TGTAGTATGTTAAAATGTTTAACTTTTGATGTTAATGTCTCCGTTTCTACTGTGAATTGAAAGTCGAGCTTTATGGTCAAAGTAGGGTTGATATAGAACTACATTGCAAAAGAGCGTTCCTGTATCTTGAGACCTTTATGAGATATCGAAGGTTAAAGATGCTATCGATGAGTTCGCTTATAACTTCCATTTATCTTAAGAGCACTTCTCGGGAACATTCCGTTCGAAAGGTTTGTCCGCGATAAAAAGTTTCTTGCGATCTGAGGCCGCTGTTGTTTAAAGTTAAATTGCAGCAACAGTATTGTTATCGGTCAACCCTGAGACCGGCTGCTAACATCCATTTGTGACGTCTGCCGCGCCTTTGCGATTACCGATAAATTCAGTTTTCTTGATTGCTCGCGCGATTTCAAGTGGCCATAATATATGGCGAGAATACATGGCAATATATGGGAATAATATATGGTAATAATATACGGCAACAATATATGGCAACAATATATGGCAACAATATATAGCATCAATATGTGGCAACAATATATGGCAATAATATAGGACAATAATTCATGGAATATATTTTTCGTTACAAGAGTCAATGCAAATTTGCGGCATGCACAATGTAATAATAAAAGTAATAATAAAGTAGTAATAAAAGTTCTTTCTGCGAGCTTTGAGTCAGACACTCACCAATGATGATATTGATGATGTCCTGTTGCATCCAACCAGATCCATCAATGTCCGCCCATGTCTGCTGCCGCTCTCCATGTCGCGCAACATCCCTCTTGCAGCTCGTCACACGGTGATCGCTACACTTTCATCACACTTCCGCGACGCGGTCGATACGCGGTATTAGAACGGCGATATTTACATCAATTAACGAACGTTTTACTCGCCATCGGTGGAAACTTTTTGCGCGCTGCGAAACGGACTCTATAAACTCGATCGGCGAGGAGTAAGAACCGTGTGAAAATTTATTGACTCGTCCAACGGATTTTTACGGTGCTTTTCGCGATTGCGTCTGAAAAGTCGCGAAAATGTGGGATTATCGATATCTACGAGTGAAATATTCGCGACGCGAATGTACGCGAGGAAAGATTAGACAATCAGAAACCGGTCCCCCTTAGGGAGCGCAAAGAGAGAGGAGCGGGGCAAAGTTTTCACGCATTATAGCTCTGTCACGACGATGCTTACGTTCGCGATACTTTGGCGAAATGAGAATTTAAGTTTTCTTTGTTAGCAACACGAGTAAAAACGCGTATATTGACAACCGCGGTCGCGATATTCAAAGGCACGCGAGCGAGGATACCTCAAACTCGGCGTGCGCTGGCGCAATTTCTACGCGCATTATACGCTACTCGAGACAAATAGGGATTGTGATGAATGGACAATATTGCCAAATAATTCTACAGCCTGTTTTGCAAATAAAAGAAAAGTAGTTAACGATATCGGCATTTAGGTATGAATATATTTTATACGGACAATTGAATATTGTCAAATAATTAAATCGTTCAGTAATTCTGCGGCCCGCTTGAAAAATAAAAATAAAGCAGCTGATGTCGGTGTCGCATTTGTACATATGAATATTCTCTTATTCAGATGACTGAACATCAAAAGAGAATCATTCAGTATTTTAAATCTTGTATGTAATGCAGGCTATCGATCAAGTAATCCCCTGATTGTTTCGAGCAATGTATTTTATTCAACGTCACAAATACACACATGCAAGTATCTATTTGCAATTCGTATTGACTCGAACGATATTTTTTAGTCCCACATCCGTCATGCAGAATTTTGTTTCTCTTTTCATTTTGACTCACCGAAACGACTTGCAGTCATAGCCGGCTACGTTCCGCTTTAACTCTGTAACAAAAAATTCACATTTGCTCTTCAGATTTGACCAACGAGTGCGGGCGAGTAAAAGAGTAGTTTACCCTCTGCGATCGTAATTCAAGTCGAGCCGGAAATTATATCCCAGCTCTAGATCGCCAAGGGTCAAACAGAGGACTATAGTAAACTTGTAAACTTACCTTCAAGCCGACTCTGCTTCGCCCGAACCGGATCCTCCGGTGCGGCATCCGCGTCCACCGGATTGCTGTTGCTTTCCGCAACAACTGAAACAGAAAAATAATTTTCCCGGTTGATAACCTGCGGTAGAGAGAGAATATCTTTGATCGGGACCAATCGAAAATACGGATATATTTTGATAAGGAATTTTTATCTTTATATTTTTGTTCCAACATTGAAAATTTAAATGGGACTTGAAGCTTTCAAGAGAACTGATGAGGAACAAGTTACAAAGGCAAAGATCGTAAAGAGTTGAACAAAGATGTGTAGGAAACTTGTAAACTTTACCTTCCGGCCGACCATGCTCTGCTCGAACCGGATCCTCCGGTGCGGCATCCGCGTCCGCCGGACTTGCTTCCCGCAACGTCTGGAACAAAAATTTAGCGTTCTTGGTTGGTAAGCTGCGGTAGAGAAAAAATGGTTGGTCGGGATGAGTGGAGAATATTCGCTACGATTTTTTTTCTTTATTGACATTGAATGTCTAGATAGGAGCTCTTGAAAGAGCTGACGAAAGAAAATGACAATAAGAAGCGGAGACAACAGTTGTGTGCTCTCGAAAATATTCTTTTACGGAAGGACATTTAAATTTAGATCCCGTAACAAGAGTAAACAAACTTGAAAGAAGCGCTGACCGAAAACAAAAAAGGTCGCAGTCTAAGAAGCGATATGACGTTGAATATTCTACACAAAACCAATATTCTCACACAGGAATTGGAAATGATTCAGAATGTTTGATTGAGAACATAATGAATTCGAGATCCACGTCCACGGACCGTTATCCGTCTCTGTCTGGATCAATATCTTTTGTATACAACAACGCAATAAATAGGTAGACAGACAGAGATTGACGAGAGTAATTGCAAATTCATAAAATGATGATTACTAGTCGGATGATGACGGATTGTGAATGCCGAGCGCGAAATTCCGACTTCTTATTCCCGGAAAATTCGTCAAACGTACGCTCTCGTTATCGGAGACCTCCCGCGTAATAAATGATTCCACATACCTGGCGTATCGCTGCTGGCGTTCTGCTTCTCGACTGCTGAAGTCCTTCAGATTTCACTCGCTCACGCTTCTAATGCTGATACTCGCGATTCGACCGTGCAGTTAATGAATGAGATGCCGATGAGATGCCGATTGAGTATCTCGAGGACCGACGAGATATATTTCTTTTAATTACACGAGACGGAAATGACGAGAGCGTCGCGCACAGCTGCTGCTGATGGAATGAGGTCGAATACATGAGGTGCGCGAATATTATAATACGAAGGGCAAAAAGTGTCGTCGCTCGCGAGCCGATCAACACAATCGGCGCGATGTAAACATTGCGGGCCTCGGCGGCGGTTGAAGCAAGAGAGACTTGCCTTTGAGCGTCTCTTGTTTTCTCGAAGGTTTCGGAACGATGAGGGGAATGCGAGGAGGCCTTTCAACTGTACGCGACATTGATGCACTCTATTTATTGATTACTGAAAATAAAGAAAATTACTCTGTCGAAGCATCGGACATTTGTTAGTTTTATGTTAATTAAAGAGGAATGTATACGATTAGAAAATGTGTTAGCAACTAATTGTAACTAATTGTAGAGTGTAAGTTGTTGTGACGCCGTTTTCAGAGAATAATTAAGGTCATGGTAGCGTTAAAGAATGGAATTTCATCCTATGCGAATTTAGTCGCGCTCTTATTAAATATTAGTCCTGTATAAAATGTCGTATTTAAAAGTATTGTTTCGCATTCACGAGATTTTGTCGTGAATTCTGCTCTCAGATTGGATTGCGGGTGAATACTTTTTAATGCGACGGGGAATAGAACGTGAAAATCTTGTATGCCTCTGAATCCGAAAACGATTAGGAGAAGAAGTGAATATTTTTCAATACGAAAGTTCGCATTTAAAAATTATCGATTGCGATTGAATACAAGGCATATTTGAAACGAATTGAATCCTTGTTAATGCGAAGCATTCACTACTGCCATCTCGCATTTAGCGCGGTGAAATTTAATGGGAACTAATACTTTTTATTTTCCCTTTCTTCAGATCAGAAAGCAGAATTCAGACGTATTCAAAATGTCAATACTTTTTAATATGTTTCAGTTCGACATTTTATACAGGGAGATTATCCGCTGCGGACAATAACTCTTCTACTTTTCATTTAATATTCAATGATGATAAATAACATTTAATTGCATTCGTTTGGCTTTTTTTATTTCGAAAATAAGAAAATATATACCGGGGTGAGATTTTACCCATGACAACATTAACGTGATTTTCTTTGATGCTTTTTTAAAAGTCCAAATATTTCGTCGACTCGCGGGATATTTATAATCGGAGTCTCGTCACGTTAATTACGTAAATAACACGTGCTCCTCCGAGCGGATCGAATGCTCACCGACGGCCACTGTCAGTGCCACGAGCGAATGTCCGGAGCGGACGGGATGCTGAATTAAAAAACAAGACGAAGTGAACAGGACGCGGACAACGATACATCATACGTCTCCATACATGTCAAATTGCTTATTGTAGAAGAGACTTTGATACGGCAATATATATTCGAAGATTTAGCATTTAATACGTACTTTTATTTTTTCTGCTCCTCCCCCCTCTCCCCCGCTCTTTTTAGACCACCGGCCATAGACTGGCATAGAGATGGCAACTGTCATTGCAGCACGGACATAAACCGCCTGAAAGTGGATGTAGCATGGACTTCCACCATATGCAGATTTTACCACCGAGACCTGAAAGTGGATGTACTATAGTAGTTCCCCTCTCAAAATGGATGCAGATGGCGTCCTTTCCCAGTGCGGAAAGTCGGTGTCGCAGAAAATGTCGTATTGGCCGCTCTCAGGTTACTCTTTGCTAGAACCAACCAACCAACCAGCAAACAAGTGGTCTGTTCTTTTCAGCTGCACTGCGGAACTAGTGCAATAAGTTAGAATGAGACAATTATATTTTTTCTCATTTTAACTTATTGCACCAGTTCAGTAATGCAGCTAAAAAAACAGACCAAAGGCGAAAAGATCTGATATTGATGAACATAAAACATAACCTTTATACTTGTATATTCACATGGTGCCGTATAGCTGTATATGGCTAAATATTCCTTAGGGAGAAGTCACAGAAGACTACAGGCACAGAATGGCACAGAAGGCACAGTGATCTAGGATCATTATATAGAAAAAAAATGTTCATGTGTATCATGGATGTTTTTTACTACGTGTGATGATTGCTCTTAGTCGTTAGTCACTTTCCTTTATTCTTGCTAAACTTCTTGTAATCATCTTAATTCGTATTGTACGTACCGAAAAAGCATTGTGTGAATATATTTTCAGGAAAATTGTGGTAAGAAACATTTTAAATAATTATCCACGATTATTTTAAAATTATGGCTAAAGGTCATAAACATGCGAAGCGTCTAAAATCGGAAAAGGCAAAAGTGAAATTGAAGAGTAAAACGAATCAGCTACCAAAAAACTTAAATGTTACGAATACGTCATTTAAAGCAAAGAAAATTGTAATACGTGAACAATTAAAACATCATGATCAGACAGAAATTCTCAGCACTCGTAAGCTCAATATCAAGGTATATAAGACAGAAGTTTGCTTGAATGTTTATTGTACAAATACTATAAACTTTCCATGACTTTTGTATTTATAATATTGCTCAATTATTAAATCAATTTTAGGATCTATTGATGCGCTTTCATCATCATAATTCGACAGTGAGAGGAGAAGCATTGAAAGAACTGAAAGAAATTTTAGTACAGTATTCAATAAAAGCTCTGCATTCAGAATTAGGTTCTTTATTGCGTGGGATAGCAGCTTTGTCTCTTGATAAAGAGAAAAATATAAGAAGAGATTCTTTAAATGCACTGAATTTAATTCTTGAATCTATTTCAAAAAAGGACTTGTTACCATATTTTGATGTTTTAATCTCTTATTTAAATTGTGCTATGACGCATATTAATCCATATATAAAAGAAGATTCTTTACATTTTTTGGATATACTTTTACACAATTGTGGTAATATGCTTGTGAAAGATAGCCATAAAATATTACCTAATTTTGTGAGTATGATATGTACATTACATGATAATAAGTACAGTGGACAATTAACAACAATTCCAAATTTTAAAAACACTAATATAAAGTGGAGAACCAAAGTTTTAGAACGTTTGGCTAATATGTTTAACCATATTATAAGTGAAGGAAAAATTTATAAAGCCACATATCCAAAAATCCAAGTAGTACACAATTGTACTAGATTTTTTCCAGTTTATAGCAGTAAATTAGCTAAAAGCTATGAAATTGATTTTAACAAACATGCAGATGCAATGTCAACAATAGGAAAAGTTTTATCCACAGAAGAATTTATAAAATACATAGATAAATTAATGCCACTAATATTTGATATTTGGCTTGAAGTATGTCCAGATGGAAAACTGGAGAATTATACATATATCACAATTTCCAATGAGACATTCTTATTATTGAAAAGTGCTATTAAAATTATACAGTCGATTATTGAATACATTGAATACATGAATACATTGGATCATGATGATTATGATGCCAAGCATACGAAGTATTGGTTTATCCATAAATTTCATCAATTATATATGAAGAATTTTCTGTCGAAATTTCCATACAATAAAGTGAGAGAATCTACTAACAAACCCAGAAAATGTCAAGAAGATTATTCTGGAATGGAATTCAACGATAATATTTTAGAAGAGAACTTGGGGATTTGCCAAATTCATGTATGGTTTACATCCATAACTAGTCAAAAGAAATTTTCTAAATCTATTGAAGACCATTGTTTATCCGTTATTAAATATTTAAATGGTATGATTTGTCAATTAATGTCTAAATATAATTGTCTATATATAATTATTGTCATATCTTTGTATATTTTTTATGTATACTTTTTTCAGATACAATTGAAAACTGGTGCATCAATGACAGAGTTGTGTTATCGCAATTGACTAAGCTGCTGAGAACTTTATTTCTATCAGCAAGTTCAACTTGGCATGCAAATGGTATCGACTTAAGCCATACTTTGCAACTGATTATAAGAGCGTCCTTTCATTTACCTCAAAATGAATTACAATCAGATTTATCTCTGATTATTGGTAACATTATATTGGAATGCAATTTAAGTGAATTACGCAGGTAATTAAATTTTTATAAAGTACACTTTCTTGAATATCTACGAAATATTATTATTATTTAAAAGTATGAAAAATAGATAATAGAAAATATCTACAAATGGCAATAGACGTTTTTTAATGAGCTTGTAGCTAAAATAATCGATGTACGTGCGAAGAAGTGCTTTAATATTTCGCATGTAATTAAATAAACCCCAATGTATTTTGACTATTACCAGGAATAATACTTTTTTCTCCATTTGACAGAGAAGAGACATTCAAAAAGTATATTGTAAGCTTACCAGATTTGCTGCTAAAGCCAAGCATAGATGAAGCCACTATTTGTATGATCAGTCAAATAGCCTTACGCTTTAAACAATGGATTTGGAATGAACTGATGATAAAACAAGAGGCTATTATAGGTAAAAATACTATATGGAAACGATTAAGAATATGTATTTTATCATTTTTTAATATACTTCATACTTTATGTTTTACTCTTTTAGAGAATGCTAAGAAAATCGAAATTATAGGCACACAGGATGATAAAATATCAAGACTTGCGATTTGCAATCTATTTTATGTTATGGATGCACAAATTTATTATTAAATATATACAGTCAATTAGTTAAAATTGTACATATTTTCTCATTTCTTTTCTTTTAATATTAAACTAGTTTTCTCTAAATCATAAGACATTGCACAAGTTGATGTGTACATACTGCTATATTTTTCTTTATTTTGAAATAAAGTATATAAACACATCTACGCGTATAAGTTAACATTTAATTTGAGCATATCGTACTAGTAAAATAAAAAAGGTACGAAAAGAGGAGATAATCTTCAGTAAAAGTGAAGTTGAAGTTAGGGCACTCACTTCCGATAATCTTGTATGTTATATATATATTGTTAAAGACACCCTCCTGGATAATTAACAGGTTTTAGCCGTTGCTCATTGTTTATTACAAAATTATTAACAACAAAAGTTTCATAAATAGAGCCTATTTTTCCAACATAGTGCATATTTTTTTTTATGTTAAACGGTACATATGAGCGAGGGAGAATTTCGTCTTATATATTTTTGCATATAACTGGCATATGGTTGTTGAAAAAGTCTTTTTAAGATATTTGAAAAAGTCTTTTTAAGATATTTGATTGAAATACTATACAAAAATATATAAAGTGGATTAAGTTTTTTTTCGAAGAGGAGGTGCAGTACAAACTCTTTCTTCTCATATGTACAGTCACATATATTAATTCGTGCCGCGAATAGAGAACCATTGTTTCCTCACTCTGGTCGTCATTTTCCGCACTGTTGGAGGCCGGCCGAGTCTAGCGTGAAATTGTTAAAAGAAGCTGTAAATCCAAACAATAGACATCTCTACCGATGTGTGTTTCCAGAATATTATAAAGAAGTTTTTACCAACAGACCGATATGAGTCATCATGCTGAGGTGTTTATTTATATTTCGTACTAAATTCGGCTGGCCTTCGATAACTAGCGGAGAATGACAGTCAAAATGAAAGAATAACGCTCTTCCTCTCTCAGAGTGAATTAATGCACGAGTATCCACCGTTAACATTTTTTAATATGTCGAAAAAATAGGCTCTTTTTCTTCTTTGAAGAAACTTCTTTTGTTAATAACTGTAATAAATAATGAACAACGATTAAAACCTTTCGAATGTTACTCAGGAAAGTGTCTTTACTCAAGATTATCGGAGGTGGATCCGATAAACTTCACTTTTATTAAAAATTTTCGACTAATATAATTAAATATAATTTTATTTATATAAATTTCATTTTGCAGGAACGACCTTCCACAAAAATGTGAAAATATTAAAATAATCTTTTTTTTAATTACTGAATATTTTTTTCTTTGTGTCAATTTTTCATGTTAAACATATTATAAGATACATATATCTTTATTAATATTGTCATAAATTATATAGCTTATATCATAATTTTTGTAAAATTATTTTGATTTTCTAAAGCAGAAATTTTGTTTGCAATTAAGTCAATTCTTTCTTGTTACAATATTAAAAATCACAGAGAAGTTGAATATTTCATGAAATTTCATAAAATGTTCACTTTTAGTATTCATTCGTTGATGATTTCACTTTAGCATTATCTACAATAAGAGTTCCTACTGTTGTAAACTCCCTAATCAAGTAATTGCATTGTATTTCGTTCCGTCAATGCTTGCTTATCACACGACGGATCGCTTTAAAATTGTTCTATGCCGTTCCAGGCATAACAACAACGTATATATATTAAAACATGAGCAAACCTTTGATTTTTTTATACAATAGATGATGTCCTTCATTCTTTTCCTTTGAATTCTATTTATTTTATCGTTATATTTCGTCGTTAACAAAGCCAGGATTTCTCAAGCCATTTCCTTCTTCAGTCTTTTCCTTTGATAGATCAGACGAGTTGTTCAAGCTATTGATCTCTTGATCACTCGAAACTATTGCGGAGCGATATCCGTTATGTGAAACGTTCATCGTTCTTTTTATACTATTTTCCTTGCATATGATAGATAACATTGGCAATTCTTTACCAAATGGTGGCCAATTTCCATACTTTTTCTCCTCATATTCCATTTTCACATATAATTTCTTTGCTTTTCTCGGTTTATACAATTTTATCCTTAAAATATTTTCAATGACGTATTCTATCACGAAACTCTCGATGAAGAGGCAAATAAAAAAATTGACCAGGGCAAGCGCTAAAATAATGAATCTCCAATCGTAAGTGGGTGGTAATATTAAATCCAAAGCTTTCACCACCCAATCCGCCGGGTAAACCGTAATGTAAATACATACGATCGTTAACAAAAATATAGAGGATATAAACATCCTGTTCGTGTAGATAGCGCGTCTGTATGGTTTTCCACGTGAAAATATAATCGCCAACGTGATATATTGAAATATAGAGACACAGTAGACCGAATAGTTCTCATAACACGTGTATCCGGTGTTACTATTGGGAACGAATGGCGTGAACCACGAAAATTGCCTAACGGCATGATACGCAATCGTTTGAAAAACAGTCATCACCAATATATGCACCGTCAAAGATAAAAGCGAAGTAAAATTTAACAGACTTGTCATGGGTGGTGTCTTAGATAACTTTTTCGTGTACGCGCGAGTCTTACCGAAGAAGAAGACAAAGTTAATAATTAAGCAAATGTCGATGAATAAAAACTGCAAGTCCGTCAAATTCGAGTCGATGGAATATAGTATTATGACGGATAAGAATTCCGTCAAGGCATACGCCACCATAAACATAAAAATTCCAAATGACGTGACCAGGGCGGCGCGTCCTTGCCGTATCACTTTCGGTACGCAAGTTATGTCCGATACCGTTGAGGTGAAAGGACTGGCCACGCTGCGAAAGAGAATATAATTTTATCAATGAAAGTGAATTTATAATCCGTATCACTGGTCGAAAGTCTGATATGTCACGTTTTCTCACCTAGATTCCGCTTCGGAAAGCGATATTCCAACGTGCGCGGACCTCAATGCCCCACAATCGTTAGCGCCATCGCCACACATGGCTGAACATTGCACATACGATGATTTTTTATGTTATCACCTGTATTTCTAATGTTTGTTTATATAGATAGACATCTCACACGAAAGACACGTACCCACGTAGTAACCGAGTCGCATGAGTTCCAATATCACTTGTTGCTTCTCGTCGCTGCTCATCCTAGCGAATATCGCGCTGTGTAGGCAAAGGCGGTCTATGAGATCGGGATAATATTCTCGTATCGCTCGCCACGTTTGGCCCGTCAGAACGAATTTGTAATTACAATTGGCCGTGCCACGTTCTATGTCTTCGGTCATCGTAAAGCCCGCGTTTTGCGAATTCTGCTGAAAGAAATTGAGACACGCATTGAGATATCGTGGGCGAATTTGACCCCGTGACGTTATACAATCCAATTTAAAAAATTTACCAGTTTAACAGATTGGGGGGCCTGAATGTCGAAAGTTATTTGAGGCCGATCTTCTTTCCTCTTTTCTGAATCGATGTTTACATTCACAACGCATTCTTCCTTCGAGAGTATCCCGCATTGTCTCGCTACGCTCATTGCGGTCTGGATATTATCTCCTTTTAAAATTCAAAAGCAAATTCGTTAACATCACACACAATATGTCCAAGTACGGACGAATTTTGCACAACATTACCGTATTTAGTCAATCACACCTGTAATCATCACAACGCGCACGTGGGCTTCTCGCAATTCTGCGATCACCGGCGTCGTCGGTTCCTTCAGTCGATTCTCCATGACCACTAAGCCTAAAAACTCCAAGTCCCGTTCGATCGTATCTCGCAGTAGCTTCGATATCTGGAGGTGTACGTTTCAACTGTACGTTTGATTGTGCGGCCAATGAAAAACAAAGTGCAAAAAAGGAAAAGAAACAAAAATCCACGATTACCTCTGTGTTACTTTGAGAAATCGTCGCTCGACGGCCCATAGCTATTACGCGATAGCCCTGGGTTGTGTATTGTTTTAAGACAAGTATTATATCCTGGGGCACAGTTTCTGGCCTGCTCAGGCTGACTATCATTTCTGGAGAGCCTTTTGTATAAGATACATAATTATCTGAACCTAATGCACGTACGATAACAGACATTCGTTGCAAAGAGCTTGAGAATTGATACTGCTGTATTATACCAATTTCCGACGTCTCTTTCGACGCATCTTCCGATGGCCTTACAACCATCGGTGTCGTAACGTCGTTTTCACTTACATGCATGCAGTCTGATTCTTCCAATATCCACTTGGTACTCTCAAACATCTACAATATTTAACTAAGTTGCATCGAGGCATCATACGATGATCATGAAATGGACGTATCGCAAATCGTACCTTTGCGTCTAAAGGATCCCCGCACAGCTTATCGTCGATAAGCGTTAAACTGTGGCAAACCAACATCCCTTCGAAAAGAGGGTGATTCTGAAGTTTAGGTATATCTGTCTCAGCCTCGCCGAAGATACCGTTCGTGCACGGTACAATGCCCCACATGTCTAATCCATCTTCGGTCAATGTGCCTGTCTGTAAACGTGGCGACGATATAAGAAAAAAAAGATATAAACAAAAATAAAAGAGAGGATCTAGTACGATAAATCTCTCTCTCTCTCTCTCTCTCTCTCTCTCTCTCTCTCTCTCTCTCTCTCTCTCTCTCTCCTCTCTCTCTCTCTCCCTCTCCCTCTCCCTCTCCCTCTCCCTCCCCCCTCTCTCTTACCTTATCGAAACAGACGCAATTTATACTGCCGGAAACATTAATGACTCTATTATTAATACAATAGATTTGCGCACGTTTCAATCTCGCTTGTGCGTATAATTTCCCTACGGTCATTGCGGCTGGTAACGCTGGTGGTATGACTATCGTAATGATATCCAACGCTTTTATCGCTACATCGCTAGCTGTAATTCCTCTCGAAACCTAAATTATGTAAATTACATTATATATATATGTGTTAAGTGTTAATATGTAAATTAATATAATGATAAATAATGGTTACGTTTGTCGAGTAAGAAATTACCTTGCTCACTATAGTATATATGAAACCACAAGTTGCAATGAATGCTAAAATGCCGATATACTTATATGAGTCTTGGTCGAATTTAAAGTCTGCCGGAGGTGGATATAATATAGCCGCGATTAGAGCACCTTTCCTAGTGAGAAAACCAGTTCTAATTATTCTTGCGAGAATAGGTTGATCTCCGTAACACCTGCAAGTAGTAGCATTATTAATATTTCATTACAGTTCTTCTTTTTATTCAGTTGAATATATCTAAGCGATTAGAAGTATAAAGTAATGTATACCTGGTTTGTATTATAGATGTGCCGCTATATAATGTATAATGCGTACATTCTTTAGTGTCGTACAACACTTGATTCAACGGTAATGATGTTTTTGTTACCGGTACAGACTCGCCTAGAAATCAGTTAAGGTAAACTTTTCCTTTAGCATACGCTCATCGAGAGAAATTTGTCAGACTCAAAGCATGGAGTATCTTACCTGTTAGCATAGATTCGTTTAATATACATTGCCCTGTTAATAAGACCGCATCGCACAAAAGAGTAGTTTGATGTCTCGGTAATTCGATAATGTCGCCGGGCACTAATTCTTTGCTAGAAATATTCTCAAAAAAACCGTTTTCCCGAAGCACACGTACATTTTCCGACGACATAACGGTACCGCGTAAATTCAGTTGGTTCTAAAAAAATGTAACAGTTCAAACTTAATTATATTTTGTTGCAAGAAAGATTGTTACAAATTGTCTCTCACTTTCCCTTTTTGGATCGTAAACCCGTCAAACAACATGTACCTTTCGCGTTTGTACTATACTGCTCGTAATTCCAAACAGTGACATTAGAATTATCACAATAGTATAATTAAAATAGTTTTCTGCGAACCACACGGCTAAGCTAAAAGCTTGAAAAACATAAAATGGATTTAAGACTTCCAACAATAATAATACGCCGATACTTTGAAGCGGTACAACGATTTCATTGCTTCCATATACAATACGCCTGTAACGAAGACGGGATGAGTCCCTTTTTCAAAGATATCAATTAATATTATTTATAATGCGATTTATACTATTAATTCGAGAAAATAGATTATCGAGTGAAGATATATTTTACCTAAGTAATTGCTCTTCTTTAGACAAGCCATGACCACTTCCAAGATGAAAGTCGGAATACATTGTGCCATTATCGAATCCTACGAGTTCCGAGAACACATTTTTCGTAATGTCCCATATATAACACTTCTTTTTACACCAAAAAGCTTTGTACTCGTAAACTTCGCCTCGCGTGCCATTTTCTAAATTGATTTTTAATGTTTTGTTTCGGATTTTTTCCACGAGATCCTGATCAACAGTACCCAAAGCAGCTAACCAATTTTTCAATGCACTGTAAGTACATGATAATAGAATCGATAGATTTTTTCTTAACAGATAAAATCAAATAAATTAGCCGGCACACATTTTGTATGACAATCGTTTGAGGAGTGAAACATTTTTCTGCAATTTAGTGTGTCTAGAAGAGAACTCTTTCACAAAGTATATTTGTTGAGATTATGCCTGATATATTTTTTCTCTTGTGAAAATCATGAAAACATTAAGTGGTGGAATTCTTACGCGAATATACAAAATCTATCGCAAAAGTAACAAAATCTGTTCTCTTACAAACTCTTTGGTCTTATGAAAGTGCAGAATCTCAATGTTCCTTAGTTTTATTATGAACCGATTATCATGTAAGTCTGATGTTGCAAAAAACTCACCTGATATTCCTGGTAGAAATTGTCTGGACGTCTTGTACGAAGTATGACTTGCACTTTCCTTGATAAGTATCCTATATTTGTTATGATTATTTTACCAACGTACGCATCTCGTTATTATTATTATTATTATTATTATTATTATTATTATTATTTATGCAATATGCAAGGATTCAACGATACGAATGAATTTCAGTAATTTGACTTCGGCAGAATACAAAATACATCAGATATATCAATACGTATTAAATATTCAAATACAGTTTATTGTCCTTTAAAAAGATCACTCGACAATGCCGTTTATTGTAAAAATAATAATTTATAAGAGACATTGAAACTTACTATGGCAAGTATCTTCGTTGCGCGACTTAAAACGCATTCATGATGAGTCGCATACAAATGCAATCGTGGATACCAGTGAAATAATAGTCTAATCCATCCGATCGATAATATATACGATACGTATGTTAAAACAGTCCTTAACGTGCTCTTCTCGAATCCAAAAATATGCTACAATATGCGTAAACCGCATATAGTATATAATTAATGAAATAAAATATAAGAGTATTTAACAGTTCTACTATATATGTATATAAGCGATAACCAGGTATACCAGATATTCGTTTTGGTCATTATAAATTTTTTGCCATGAAACGTCCGTCTTTTTGTTGTCTTTCATCCCTAGAAAAGAAATGAGTGAAATCAATAAATAATAATAATAAATTATTAAATTATATTTTATAATATATATAATAATCAATAAGACACATTGTCGATAATGTGTCTCGCGCAAAAGTCATGATAAGATATTAAGGAAGAATCCGGCGTTGTGGAAATTTAGCAGGCGAAAGTAGGAAGACATGAATAAAAAATATACGAATAAAAAATACAAGACACGCATAGCATAGTCGCATGTGGCAGCAAATATACCTGAACTTGAATTTGCTCGTCAATTTGCCAATCACTAGCAAGTTCGTATATTACATATTTTGTTTTTCAATGTTTAAGCACGTGTATCGCTCGCGTGTTAGTGATCGATATACAAGAGTCCAAGAATATATGTTACTCTTAAAGGTAGGAAAACACATCGTTATATGAAGACTGTGAAAAAACAATTAGCTTCCGCCAAATAGAAATGTAAAGTATACCTGTGCTAAGGAACATCATATTTGCATCAGGTGTAAATGTGAAGTTCGATCTTTTTAAAAATTTGTCCGTTAAGTATATCGATCATTCGGTGTAATATATCACAGGAAATATTTCATCTCTTTTATATTATATTTGTATGTGCGTTTTTGCGAACAAAAACAGCGTTTCATAACGACGATCGTGATTTAATTTTTCTCATATTCGTTTCATGTACGAGCAGCAATTGCAAAACTATCACGAGACCGGCACACAAGATTGCACGCATGATAATTGATTTATCAAGATAAGCACCATCGCACTCATCTCGTTTCTTCGTGCTTACCATTAGTATCGGTCATAACTTGGAGTTCGTGGGATTAAAGTCGACGCGTAAATGTCTCAATAGCTCCGCTACGATCCGGCGATACTGTCACCAACAAGTCCTTTCTTCACCTGTCCACAAAATCACATATAAACATTATTTATTATATTAGACTGACGTTCTAAAGCTTTTGGAAATTCGTCATTTTTTGCACGCGCACGAATATCTCAACGATATTGCGTAAAAAAAATACTAGCATAATATCTATTACGTTATTCGAGAGATTAAATTCTTCTTATTAAAGCCGGACAAAATACTCGAACGCAAGATCAAGATACACGATATGATTTGAAGAAGTAGTGAGATACGGATACGAGGAGACTATTGACAGCAAAAGTGAGTATCTCATCTACGATGCAAACGTGCTGCATTGATCTATCAAACGTTCGAATTACGACAAAATGAATTGATGATACGCACGAAATATCTTTATTTTCTCGCATTTTCTATCATATTTTCGAATTTTCCGATAAGTCTGGCATATAAATAATATCTCGCGAGTATTTTCTCCGAGCTTTCGGCTTCATAAACTGCCGAATGATCTAGATGTTAATACAGCTGACAAAATATTGTTCTATACATGAACGCACATACACATCAATGAGACACGCATTCTTCAAATAAGGAAATATTGTTTTACATATAAACGTGTATATACATCCATAAATTATTATATGTTCTTCGCACGCACGACGCTATTATTTAATGAATGTTTTGTTGGAAAGGTCTAATTTCTAATCAGTCCAAACGTTCAACGGTAAAAAGCGCGATAACAGTAAATTAGCGTACCTAGTACATACTGACACAGGCATGAGGTCAGCAGTAATTATATATAAGTAATGTTGGGGCTCAAGCAACGTGAAAAACTGAAATTTCATTTTCACAGAAGCGCGAACGAAGCCATTCGTTCGTTGAGAAACATAGCGGGCCACTTTTTACGAAGTATCATTTGATCGAACGAACATTCCGACTTTATCATTATAAGTTAAAGTTGCATAAATGCTTTCAAAATGGTAATTTTTTCGTACTTCACATAATAAATAGGAGAAAAGCACGACGCTCATAATGTAAATTCTTCAATCGTGTGTTTAAATAGATCACATCGAAATCGCGCGATATCGATGTTCCATGTCGATAGAACACAGTATGAAACTGCAATTTCAGAAGGTAAAAAAATGTACATTTTTTACGCAGTTATGCGGTATATGCATGTTTTTTTTACTTTATTGACCGCGATGTGTGTTTGTGTATGTGTGTGCATTTGATTCTTTTTTTTGTAATCAATGACGATTGGTCAAATAATAAATGATATGCTCGATCAGAGAAATAAAAAATATAAAGAAGATATGTACTTGTACAGGTGCAGTGTTTTCACAATTTCCTTGAGGACTTTCTTTCCTTGCGCAGAAAACGTCTTCTCATTCACTTGTCACCTTTTACTCGAATGAATATTCGCTGCGGTTTACATAGAGACACGGCACTTCTTCCTTCCTTCCTTCTTTCGCCCCTCCTCGCCCGATGAAGACGCGGGAACGTTTCGAACAAAAAGTACGAACGTAAGAAGAGCGACTGTCGTGCGCACAAACATTATCTCTTTCTCTCTTTTATCCTTGCGAGAGATTGCGCACACTCGTCGAGATCTGGCTCGATTCGTCGAGTTTTCGCGGTGCACGGAATATGAAAAAAGAAAATAATGGGAGACAAAAACGAACAAATTACGCACCTAACGTTCACTTTCGTTCGGCTGCGAAACTATTTGGGACGCCAACGACGCGGATCGCGCACGAACAGCGATATTTCATGGCGACGTGGAATTCGAGCGTACGCGAGAGACCGGCGCGCGACGCCGTGGGTTTACGAAACGATTCTCGGTCGTTGAAATTGCTTGAAATTCGAGCAATCAACGGACGGAATCGCAAGCCGGAAGCTGCAAGCGAGGAGCGCGAGTGTTATCGCGTCCGCGCGGCAAGGTCAACGAGTGAACTTTGGATGCAAGTCGGACAGCGCGTACCATACAGTACGTTAGTGACGGAGGTACCCGCGAGCGATTACGAATGCACGAGGCGAGCCAGCCGGCGCTAATGTTTCCTTACACCTTTTTCCAGGCACCTTGAACAGGGGAACGTTCGTTTTGTATCGAACGCGTGCCGCATCGTGACAACGTGATATGTGCCGTTTGTGTTTAACATATGCACACGTCGTGTTTCGTCACGTGTCTGCCTATTGCACAATAGTGCCAGTGGCGCACAATTCTGCAGGCAGAACTTTTGTAATTTCTCCAGCAAATCAGACATTTAATCGATGAATCGATATAAGGATACTACTTGTCAATCAAGAATCCCCATCTCACTCTTTCTTAAATTTACCGCCGCCTTTAGGACCCAGAGTTTTGCTGCGACGGACATTTGCGGATAAGTAGAGAAAGTACAAAATTTAAACAACAAAACATTATTATTAACATCAGAAAATAATTTTATATTATATGAATTAAACAATCCAAGTACGCGAAAGATAGTTCTTCAATTCTACATTTCTAAAAATTATAATCTGCTTTCAAATTACCATCTGCTGCGCAAACGTTTGCTGCGCAAACGCAAAACTCTTTCGTATCTAATCGCCCGCCATAATCGCTACTTCCTTTCTTTCTTCTTCTTTTCGTTCCCACGATTTTCGCAATCGATAATGATACAATAGTCAAGTATGTGATTCTGATAAGAAAATTACAACAGAACAATCAAAATCCATATTCTAAAGAGACAATAATAATGTAGTCGAACGCGAGTTGCACAAGCTGATTTTGCAATTTATAAATTCAACTCAAATATTTTTGGGACGTTAAAAAACCGAATCAAATTATGTCATGAAATGACTGTCTTTGTAAGATAACTAAAAGTTTTCTAACTTGCGGATTATGTTAACATAAAACTGGTTAGTTAGACTTACAATCTGTGTTCATTGATGGTTGTCCCAGTTAAGTGACACTAGACTAAGCTAGGATAGGCGCAAAATAAATATTTTGTAAATAAAAAAGCTTCGTGTTTTTTTGCATGTAGACGTAACACGATGAGATTACTAGCAATGTCCTTGCTAGTAATCTCATACTAATACAATCATAATAATCTCATAGTAAATACACGTGACAATGTAATCGCTGATAGAGAAGATATTTTTATCGTGTCTACTTGAGATAATAAGATATTGTTATATACGTATAATCTGCGAAGGATAATCGTATGAGTACTCATAGCAGAATCTTGCATCGCAATTCGGTGGGGATTCGCTGGAAAAAAGAAAGAACCAAGATGTCCATTGAATTGAAATCCTTGAAATTTAATTAAAATGACAACAGCGAAATATTCTATCAGATGCCGTTAAATATTTGCCAAAAACAAATATTTCCGCTGTTATGTCATTTTTCAATTGAATTTTGGTTATTTGCCAATAATAAATAATTCATACGAAGTAATATATAGAAACTTTGACATTGACATTTGCGTGTCGTGCAAACAGAGAGGGTGACGGAAATAGATAATAGACAAGATTCAAGCCAAGATAATTCGTGATGTGTGAGTTATTGCTTTATACGGCTCTAATCTAACAATCTTCACATACTCATTCTATGTTTTGTTGTTAACAGACATAATCCTTCCGTCCAGTGTATGTTGTGCATAAGTCGGCGCATCGATAGCTCTTTTCATATGTTTATCGTTCCGTTATCGTTGTAATATAAATGCCGTTCGTAATGTTTACTGCGAGTAATACACTATTAGAAAGGAGAGAGAAAGGTGCGCTAAATCTAAAAGTTGAAACTAGTTATATCAAACTGGTAGACAAACTCATTCTGGAACAAACATTTGAACTTCACAAATGCGTTTTACTTCAAAGATGAAGGAAAAAAGGAAGTAGGATAAATTGTGTAAAAATTGGATAAATCAAACATTGGATTCGGAAACGTTGTCTCGTTGAATCATATGCATTCCTTATAAGAACTACTTTCCTTATTTTTAAAGAAAATTAGAGAATATGCTCTCAAAGTTTCGCTGCTTGTTTTTGCGTTTTACCTTGTATAAAAAAAAGGAAACTTCACAAAGAAAATAGGATCGATAGTTAGCGTATGCATCAATGTGCATCCATCAGATCGACCTCGAGATGTACCATCTGATAATCTGACCGCAGGAACATTATGAGGCATAATTTGACCGAGTTATAGAACAATAATAGAGATTAAAACGGTCACAGCTCGACCGAGTTCGAGTCGGTGGGGAAGGAGACCGATTCCCTGCGAGTGCGAGAGCTCGAAAGAGAACGAGGGAAGTTCCATTTTTTTTCATTATACGACTTTTATTCCGTCGTTGTTCGACCCAGACCGATGGCTGGCATGCTCCGAATTTAATTGCCACAAAAAGCGTGTACGCATCACGCACTTATGTTCGTATTATGTGATTGTTGCCGTATTCATCACAGTTTAATACAAAAACTAGTCGACATTGTGTCACCGAGACGAAATAACAATGTTGTAAAATTGCATTATAACGCATCTTATAATCGCATTATAATAGCATTATTGGCATCTTTTTATTGCAAACGTAAAAGTAACTGATCGAATCGGACGACGACGCATATTTACGACGCAAATATTATTACGTTTTGTGACATGCAATTAACGGGACACGCTTTATAAATTCGCGACAGATAACATCGCATAAGCACGACTTTGAAGATAACTTTTTACCATACGATACAACTCCAATTCAAAAGTGTAATAATATCAAATATAATCTGTCGTATATTTATATGTATATACATTATAATACATCTTCTGTTGCGATACTAGTTGATTCGAGTATCACGCTTAAAACTCACGCAGAACATTGTATCAAGCTTTTATCAGTAGTATCAAAACTTAATATTCTACAAACTGAAACATCTCATGAACGACTTGATAGCCAATTGATAAAAGTATACAATCAGTATTTACAGAAAACTCATCATTTTCATCATTTTTTACTGTTACTAACAATGTTATCTACGTCTAACTGCGACAAGATCTCGTCATCCGAATCAAATTCATTATTGTGAAGCATTTCATCAGTAAAATAGCTTGCTAGATTTTTGGAATTTTCAGCGTTATGCTTCGTTAACGGTGATATAGATCTTATTTTACTTGTCGAATTTATTACAAAAAATCTCCCACTTGTATTTCCCAAGCAGTTAGTGTTTCGCATTTGCAATTCGCGCCGCTGAATATCGCTGTTTTGGGCATTAGTACTTTCGAATGACGAACGATTAAAGTACTTGTGTTCATTCGAGACGACGGGTTCGTTTTCAATAGTAAAGAAAGCATCGTTCATATCGTCATCCATATCCATTGACTGTTCAAAAGATTCAAATATTTTATCTGTAGTTTCACAACTTTTGCTGTCTTTTTCAAAGGCTTGTTTGCCATTTTTATGTTTCTCATTTGGCCTTCGTAACAACTTGGAATTATTAACCGATATAGATTTCGAGTTAATCTGTTGACTGGTTGATGTATTAACAGTATTAGTGCATAATCCAACTGTATCATCACAATGACTCGAAAGAGGTGTAATATAATTATCTCTAGTCAACTCAACATTTGAAATATTGGATAAGATATCTTCTACAGAAGAAGTGTGTACAATCCGACCTTTGTTGGAATATACTGCTAGTAAATTTACTCGAGATATTAAAATATGATATTTGTTCATTACTATGTGCGTTGTAGTCTTCAATAATCCTACATCATGTAAAAGGACAACTACATTTGGTTCCAATATACCAGGATAATTTAATGGAATATCACGATGAACAGTGCCTTCTATACTATCTGTTGAATCTTTTAATATAATAAATGGATCATTGTAACTATGATCTATATAATCCAATATACCTGCTATGAATTTTACTTTCATATTGTTGCAGTGACTAGCATTTGCCCTATTTTTAACAGTAAAAATTCCATACTCGTTGAAAAAGTTCCTTGGCAAATCGTCCAGTAAAAACTTCCAAGCTTTTTCACTAAGCAAGTTCTTCTCATCCTGGGATGACTTGGAGAAATTACTTTCAATATGTTCTACTGCTGATTTACTTTCTGATTCTTTTACACTATTCAAATATGAAACAGCAGAGGTACTGTCATTTTTCATATTTGCTACTAATCCAGCTGGCCCAGGAAATATTCTTATCAACTTCGTTTCTTTACTACATTCTGCTTTATTCACAGAATTAACGCCTTTTTTCTCCTTGGACTTTTTAGATGAGAATAAGTTTGATATATCCGTTTTAGATGATTGAGGATACTGTTTCTCTTTTGTTACTTTTTGACAAATATTTTCTTGAAAGATTCCTAGTAGAAGGTGTTCACGTGTCACATTGTTCTTACTGCTGTCAGGTGAATCATTATCCATTATATCCTTTGTTGCATTCAACTTGATTTCACAAGTATTACTCTTTGTGAAGTACGAAGCTTTGCAACCATCAATTTTACGCCGTTTTGCAAGCGACATTTTTTCCTTGTTTTGATTTTGAAGATAAGTTTGTGCATTTTCATGGTTATCAGAAGCAACCTAAAATAATGCATCAAATATGCGTGTCAGCTATATCAATTGCATAAATAATATCAAGATATTCTATTTACCAATAATCTTCAGAGTTGATAAAATTACGATAAACAAGACACATTAGATAGATCAGTCAAGTAAAATCTAATATGATTTTGCGACTAATAAACTCACTTCAAAAAGCCAGTCATCACTTTCGAACATAATTTAAACGGTCTTTCAATTTGTAATCAGCGCTAAATAATCCTACACTGCTAACGTAATAAATTGCTGTTAATCCGTCGCGTTTTGCTGAGTTTATCCATGGAAATTATAACTTCTAAAGTGCTACAAAACCTAAATAATCCAAAAATTTGAAATATAGATGTCAGTATCAGGCTTATCTTACCAAACAAAAGAATAAATGCGCCGATTTTTTGTGATCTTTCTATATACAGCGCCTCCATATTCAACAAGATGAACTACACGGCCAAAACATATTGCTTTGATGGTAACATGTTATGTTACCAATAGGTTGTACTATTTGTATAAAAATTTCAACATAGACTAGATTTTATTTTGGATTTTGCTCTGGACTAAACTAAAATTTTTCGGCCATATGCATAGTGTGTGCATATTTAAATATTGACAACAATTATCATATAATTTGAGTTATATAAATTATTGCTTTTATTTCCGCGACTTTTATTAACTTTAACTTTAACTTATTAAAATCTAAATCAAATTATTATAGGATCATTCAACTATCTTTTGAAATATAATTTTAACTACATAATTTTGTATAGAATCAAATTTATTACCTTCTTTATGAGAAAAATGTGTTTTATCTGTGTGTGTACAATAATATTTAATTATAAATATCAATTCTATATCGGCGCACTTTCTTTCTCTCTCTTTCTCTCTCGCTTGCTCGCCCGTTCTTCCTCTCTTCTCTCTCTTATACATGCACACATACACACACACACACGCACATATCCAGATTCCGCTTATATCTATCACTCGATCCTTAACACTGTTATCACTGTTTTACTTTAGTTTCTCTATTTACTCTTATTTTGACAACAATATCTTTTTTCTTTTTTCTTGTTTACCAGACTCGACCTGATTAGGAATTATCACAATGAAAGTCGTTCTATGCGATTCTTAGGACTAATCTGTAGTTTAACAATTAAATGGAAGCGTTAAAAAATCATGAGCCATTGTATAGCCAAGTATACATAATACACATATTATAGGTAAATCTAATTCTTAGGTAAGCATCCACTTAAATTTAAATTTAAGCATTTGCTTAAGTCACTGAAAGTAAAGAATGTATTAATAATACATGTGCGTCTGCTGAGTAATGTATATACGTATATTCCACGATAAATTTCAAAATTTAGATGATAGGTCATGCTGATACAGAGATTTTCAATTTTACAGTTGACAAAAATTGATTTGTTGGAAACATATCCAAAATTATATTTATAGATTTCGATAAATATATAATGATGGAACTCTCTTTTTCGACTGAGATTAGGAACTTTCTAAATCATCATTTTACGAGAAATCTGTGTTGTGTTTTGTGACTGGAGACATAATTCTAAAATATGAGAGTTAGAGAGATAAATGTGTGTGCCAACAATAACGTAATAAATTATTAATCGGTCTAGGTAAATTCGTGACTAAAATATGTTAATAATATCGTATCGCGATTACAAACTGCATGAAACCCTCTGCATGAGCATCATTTTAAGATCTAAACGTACTTTCAAGCCTTGGTATCTATAATATTGTACCTGCATCAGGTACTGCGGACAAAAGGACGGTGAAAGTTTTCAAGCACGATACTTCTGAAAATATCTTGCACAATTATTAATTTTTCTTTTTCCTTTTTTTCCAACTCTAGCTCACATTGGAATAAAAAATTATTCATAGAAAGATATCATATTATAAGAATAATATGATGTACATGTCATGTTTTTTGTTACTTTATATTTTGTAATTTCCAATAGTTTTATATCTCGATAAAATTTAATAAAGCTCTTTCTATTACTTCACAAAATGACATGGCGCTATATACAAGTATATAGACAACCTGTTTGCTGTAAAATTTATAAATTAAAGACCTTTATTCTGTTTTTAACGATACACAGGTTACGCGGATCGTTATTATTTACTGCACTAATCGGGCTAACATCCTTCCTTTTCTCAGCACGTTATCAAGGCTTTTCTTAAAAAGAAAAAATAAAGAAACAAATAAATATAGGAACATAATTGGAGTTAAATTTATACACTTTCCATGGTTCGCAATATCGTTAGATAAACATTAGTTGCACATGACTGAAATTTTCGTAGCAAGTACACCGCGTCACATTAATATGTTACGTAAGTTTTGGACAAATTTACGTTTTCATATGTACACTAATCCTAGTTATATGTACAGAGTGTGCTATTTCTACCACATTATTTTGTAACAATAGATTTTACGAACGATTAGGAGACAATTTTTCTTGTAGCATAAATGTCAAAGGAAACAATAGCTGTTTACAATTCTCAAAAATTAGCTAAAGAATATAATTTTCGTATTGACTCAGATGCCCGAAGTCTAATATGTAAGAAATCTTTCTATCATAATCATTTAATCATTTAGAATTTGAAAATTTTCAATACATAACATCTTTGCTAAAGAACATTCGACTCCAAATTGATCATAGAATATGTTATTAAAAAATAATTTGATGAAAATAGGACATCCTGTGTGCGTACATATATATACATACATAAATGTATATATATATATATACATACATACACATATTCAATCAGGTAAATTTCAAGATCTTTGTATAATTTGTATGAGATGTTTCCTTTTTACTTTTACATTTGTTCACTGTTTTAACAGTATTCTCAAAAAATGTAAGAAAATTAATGCATTGGAAACTATATATAGAGTGAGTCATGCTGTGACACTTTGTAGTTTTTGTTTTGTTAAATATGGAAAATAAATGATGAAGGTAAAAGACATAAATGGTGTGAAATAGAGAGACAGGATTTATTTTCCTATGAAAGATACAACTGTACTTCTCCAAAACACACCGTTGCGCCTGCGAAAAGAAAAAACGTATCCTTTTTTTCCATAATTTTTTTCCGTTTTCAAGAAAACAAAAACTACAATTTGTCCTAAATGTATGTATGATTCACTCTATATATATATACTTATACACACTGTATCACAAATTTGGATTGTGTGAGAATTCATTTCTAAACTTTTCCTTATGCAAAATTACATTTCTCACATTTCCCTGAACATACTCCTTTGAACAGAATCTTCTCAGGATATTTACTAAACTATTTTCGTCCCTACAGAGAAATGTTATTCTTGAACAACGAATATTTCTAGCAAAATTTCCTAAGAAATATTTTTTACAGTCTGATTTTTATAAGACTTTTACAACACTTTTATAAGACTTTTACAACACAGGCGCTATTGATCTTTCCGACCTGTATAATTCATCTTATCAAATATAATTTTCGATATTGATATAAATCCATAAATAATGATGCAAATAAAACTTTTACTTTGTAGATAAAATAAAAATTTAATAATTCCTATATCAAGCGCGATTATAACATAAAAAATAAAAACTAATCTTAGCTGCTTAGAATTTTAAATTTGAATAGATCGTAAAAACGTAGTAATTAGGCATAACTGTATATGCGAATTAAAAAATAATAATGATACTTGTTATTATATCAATACTTTGTATACTGCTTTTTAATGTAGTAAAAATATATTTCAATATTTAGACGTATATGTTAGCAATAATTCATTCTAGTTGTCATTCTTTATATAAAATTGTAATTTTTTATATCGCTATATCAAAGTTTACAATCATCTCGTACTTCTTGAATTTTTTCGATTTACTTACAATAAATAAACTAGTATATTTAGAACTTAAAGATATACTTATCACGGTATAGAAAAAAAAAATTCTTATACAGTTATGCACACATGTTTTGAATTTTCTGTAAAATAACAAAAGTCTTTTCGTACCAATATCATTCTTGTAACTAACCACAATAAATAAGCACCATCATTATATTGACACAATTATTCAGCAAACGCAATTCGTTACTATAAGCGATCACATGATTAATTCAATAACATTGTATAGAAAACTTGGCAATGCTTATATGTTATTATAGTCGAAGTGTAGAAATAATAACTTTGACCAGGATTGCATATCCTCAATCTTATAAAAAGATACATACATACATATATACGTATGTGTGTGTGTATATATATACGTATGTATATATATACATATATATATAATTTATCGCCAGCTGCTGTTAAAATATTTGCAATACGAAGGTCTTTCGTATTATATATGCATATGACAAAACGTAATTAAATAAAATTACGTGAAATAAAATATTTATATTTACACTGGAAGATATACGATGCTGCATGAAAACAAATATAACGCAATAACAAAAGAGAAAAGAAAAGAAAAGCAATAGCAAATTCGAAGTATCACTTTCATGGTCATACCAACAGGAATAAAATATCTCGTTTATATTTCCCAAGTCAAGCCGGATGATCCTGTTCAAAGGTCAGATTATAAGACAATAATATGCTCGCTTCACTTTGTCGTTTCTTCACTTAGAGTACGAACGTTTAAGTCTTGTCAATAGAAGCATCTTTCATAATATCGTCTTTAGTGATATTTTGGTTCATCTGATCATTCTCGTATTCCACAAAATCGTCAAATAAACTTGGCCACGCTTCAGCATCGTCATAAGCACCAAGATCGTCCCCAATGCTCTCGGCAAAGTTGAGAAACATATTCCATGTGTCTCTGGGTATTCCACGGATATGATGACATTCGAGGAACTTTAGCCACCTAATTAGAAGCGGAGGTTCGCGTATCGTAAAGACAAGTTTCCAGAGAACGATCGCCATGTCGGCCGGCAAGATCCTTTGACCGGACGTCACATCAAGGCCGAATCGGAATGTAAATCGATAGAGATCCTTGAACAGATCGCTGTTGACCGTCAATTCCTGAACGATTTCGGGCAAGCGAGCCTGTATACCGCGTATACTGTCGACCTTCATCGCCTTCAGTCCTGTGACGAACTCATGGCGTGTAAATTGGCACATCTGTTCCGCATTCAATTTCCATGCAAGAACGAGAACTTTAAATTCATCAGGCGACAGCTGCAAGTCATCACAAAGTCTTTCTATTCCGTCAGCTAATATTACATCTTCGTGAGGATCCTTAAAAGTAAGTATAAAATATTACCATCAAACTCTTTTTACAAAAACACCACGCTTTCCTCGTTTTTGTTATGTAGATAATCTCTAATTCGGAAAGATTTTAAATTCTGACAAGTTATAATATTGTTCTGAATAAAAACAAACATATGTTTTGTGCACCTTTACCTTATATTGGTCAAAAAGTGCATTCAATTTGCTCTCCGACGGTTCCTTTTGTTGTTTAGGTTCGGTAGATAAATTGAGACCTGATGATGTACCAGATCGTCCTAACGGCGGTAATCGCGCATAGAATCCTCGCGATAAACGTAAATTACTTTGTACACTGGGTACAGACCCACAATTATCCGAACCTACATTGTTAAATGTAGGTAATGTACTTATAGACTTCCTGTTCCCGTTCACATGTGTTTCAGGCACAAAAGAACCAGATTGTTGGCAAGAATTTTGGAACAGACCTCTCAGTTCCATTGTTTCTACAAAATATAACAAAAATACAAATCTACAGAATATTGAATGAATATATTGTATGTTTCAGAAAATAATTTTCATGTGTAATATAATATAAAAGCAATACAATAACATAATTCATATTTACCGTCTTTATGCTCCAATACGATTGATTGATCAGTGCTGGTTGGTGGAAGTAGCACCTTAAAGCACGAGAAACAGTTTCCCATTGATGCTGACCGTACTTGACATCAAAAACGATTATCCCACGCATCAGTAATTCAGTCTTACATTGGCAGTCTCGATTAAAAACTGAAGAAGCGAAAATTATTATTATCAGTTACTACTACCAATGATTCATATTAAATTCTATATTTCAGCTTTGCCACGCAATCAGAGAGCAATGGATAGATGGATGGATGAGCAAATAGATAGATACAAACAGAGAAAGAGAGAAAGAGAAAAAGACGTGTTGTCAGTAAACAGATATACATATATATTGTGACACTATATGACAAACAATACACAAAGAATCATGATAATATCACAAAACTATAAAATCATCGCAAGATCGCATGTGATGCGAACCGAAATAGATTGTATATACGACACATATTCAGAGATCATTTATTGATGACGGTACATCGATTGATCCAGGAAGATCTTACATCGCTTCACGATCAGCCTGTCAAAACAGTATCGCAAGCGTCGAGAAGCGATGAGGTTCGAACGATGAGAGGGTAGGGATGAGTCACGCGCGAAATCGTTCGTACGAGAGGGAGAGGGAAGAAACGCACGCGACAAAGTCAGCCGGGCTGTATACCTTATTATTGGTTAAGGCGATTTCTCGGTCGATTCCGGGCCTCGATAATAGCAGCAATAATAATAACAATAACAACAACAATAATAATAATAATAATAATAATAATAATAGTAGTAGTAGTAGTAATAGTAACAGCAGTAGTAGTAGTTGGGGTGATAGTAGTTACAGATAAGGAAATTCGTTGTGAGACGATAATACCTCGCTTCGGTCGCTTCATCAAATTCTTGTCCAGTAGAGCAAACGCAAGGGAGAGGGATTCTCTTCCGGATATGCCAGGACGTGTCGTGCGTGCGCACCGGTGCGTACGTGTTTGCTCGCGTATGTGCGTGAGTGCGTACGTGCGTGCGTGAGTACGTGCGTTCGTGTTCGCGTTGTCCGCGAAATCGCTGTGGATCAACAGAACGCCGTCTGTTCGATGTTCTTCCCGTACATTTTCTCTGGACGACGACGGAGACGACTCCCCAGCTTGAGTGCTGGCAGGATTCGGCGATCCAACCAAATTTGTGTCATTTGCGGTGCTGCGGTAACCTCGCGCGATCGTACGGCGTCGACGACAGCTGCTGCGACTGCGGATGTAACAACGACGATCTCATTACACGTTACACAAAACGTTCATTCGTGATGCCTGCTTGGATGCTCGCGGCGACCGATACAATTGATAAGCAATCCGCGCGAGTCACCACCGAGTCGTCTCGTCCCGTGAAAACACTTCGACGAAAACATCAAAAGACATTCCTCGTGCTTCGAGACAGGCTGCACGACGACGAAGAAGGCTCCCTCGATGGAGTAAATAGATAAATATCAGGCAGTGTAGCAAACTTCATACTTGCGACCAACCATGGAACATGATAAAATGGGGTAGACTTCAGTAGCCAATAAAAGAAATTGTTCTTTAGGGAAGATAGCGTCAAACTAAAAGGTACAGCAGCATCTCCCAGTGCCGGCGATGAGTATCTCCGAATCCATTATTCGTCATCACATTGGTATCCATGATACCGCAGAGAAAAAAAAGATCATAGCGGATTTGAAACATTTGAACCAATAATAAGCTGACGCTCGCAAAAAATGCAATTATCCATGGTAACACTGTAGTGTTACTAAAAGTGTGTTACAAAAATTTATCCTTACAAATTGTTTTATTGATTTGCATCTACTGTTCTTATCAAATTGTTACTGCCATCTGCTACCAAACATTTCCCAGTATGTATATCGATCGAGATACTATTATTTAATGAAATTGATAGGACTTTCATCGTTATCAGTAAGCAATAGATTAACTTAACGGGGAATTAACACAGTAACTCGTTACCTGCAAGAGATATGTACTTCTGAGGTAAATTTGATTGAACTTACATGCGAAGAAATGTATTAAGATCTACAGCGTTGCGATATATTGTGCAACATTGCTTAGTTTTACGAAGATTTCTTCATAATTGCCACAAATTAAACAATTCTACAGTATCTTTATTAATCCGTTGTTAAGTTAAAATTCGCAGGTACTGTTTATTGTATAACTTGAATTTATTCTTCATAACCTATGAAATCTGTAATTGTTCTTATGTTTAGATCTGTATTAGATCAATTTTAAAATAACATCAAATTTTAAAAATATCAAATTTTTTATATATAACAAAAATAATGTTTATTAAATATGTTCCATGAACTTTTTGCAATGTGTTTTTTATACACAAAATATTGGAAATGATATCAACCAAATTTAAAATAACATATGTGACATATGTTAATTTAAATATATGTATATTTTATGTCATGATATATATACACATATATATGTATCAAATCGAATTAACAGATAACATACCATGTCAAAGTTACAACGTATAACTAAATCCTTACGGATGTCCACTTGCTTAGAACGTAGGGAAATAGATCTTCAACCAAATGACTTAATAAGGAAGAGGCAAGAACGAGCAGAAAGGCTAGAAAGGTAAATAGATATTTTGTTTTTAAAAAGAATTTATGGAAAATTTAAAAAGTTTGATTTTATAGACATATCTAGTTATATAAACCTTTATATTTTATAGCAATCTTGATTTTTCCGAGATATGCAATCATGCATCTAAAGATCTTACAATAAAATTGCTAGTGCTGAGAAAGGTTGCAGAGCAAATTTTAGGTAAGTAGTATTTAATTACATATACACAAAATTTTCACTATATAAGTAAATTTCACTATATAAGTAAATTTTTTAATTAAGTTTCTGAGATGGAGAGGGGTTAAAGCATCATCTATTTTATTTGCATAATTATAATTCTTTATGCTTTTGTTGTATTGTTCAGTTTAATGTTGCCTTTTTTAATATACTAAACATATAAATATATGTATCTCTCTTCCAGAGGGTACTATGCCAGATGCTATAAATGAATTTACAGTTTATGCATTACGTTTATTAATTGAAGATGAGAAATTAACTCGAAAAAAATATGACATGCTCGTTCAAAAAGCAGGATATTTAGAGTATAATTATGCACAAAAAATTATGGAGGTATGTTATTATTATGTAAACTAAAATTTATATTAAACTAAAGGTTTTTTGAACTGAACTAATTCTACACTGAAACTTTGTTCCTTTTCTCTTCAATTTATATACTTCAATTTATATCATTCTAACAGCAAAAAGTATAACTTAGTTCAGTTAAAAAGAACAGGTCTTAGATATGTTTTTAAATCTGATTTAATTGTTTGAAATAGGTAGTGATAGAAATTCGATCTGAACATTACGATGAAGTTATAGAATTATTATCAGAATCCAAAGAGAATGTGAGCACAGAGGTTCCCATGCACATTTTTGGTGCAGATATTCATTACAATCCAGCAAGAGTTGTATGGCCTGACACTTCCAAACTTTATAATATGTCAACAGAAGGAATAAATTCAACCACTGTTAAGTTTACCATGAAGCTACATGAAGCAGAATCTTCAACCCAGAAGAAATCTGTAGTAGGTATACATTAGACATGTATATGGGCATAAAAAATAAAATTAATTTCAATTTTCTAATTCTTTTCTCATTCTAATTACAGTTTGACAAAGCAAAATTTATGAAAGGATTAACAAATTGCTTTAAAAAATGTGACAACGGGATACCATTTTCGGATTTTAATACGACAATAATAAACAAATTAAATTATTCTGAAGATGCAGCCTTACAAACTGAATTATTTGATATGCTGGGTTGCGACCACTTTGAATTCATAGGATATATTATCGAACATAGGGAGGCCATTGTATCAGCATATTCATGTCCAAAAGTGATTTCAAAGCCACAGAAAAATGCACAGGGGCCTATAATCAGTGGCCAAGTGATCGTACAGTCTGAGATAGAGAAGAAGCTGAATAAGCAAGTACGTAAGGAGGAAAAGAAATTAAATAAAATGTCAAGCAAACGGGACGTTAAAACGGACATTGAGAGAAATGAATTCGACTCGGCCGAACTGCGACTTAAAAAGCAAGAGGCATTCGCAGCTATGAACGCCCCGTTATTCCCTAAGAAGGTTGTTTTGGAGAGGGACCCGCAATCTTATCCATTTGTGTTCGATTCCAAAGCGAACAAACACGCAAGCGTCGTGTCGGGACAGAAATTATTGTTAGCCGAGAATGTTACGAGGGAGAATACTGGACTTTACGAGGAAGTGCACATACCGCTATCGGAAAGAGAACCTATTAATGTGAAGGTAGACTTAGTAAAGATATCTTCTCTGGACAAAATTGGTCAGACGGCTTTCGACGGCATGAAGTCATTGAATCAGATACAAAGTATAGTCTTTAAAGCAGCGTACGAGACCAATGAAAATCTGCTGATATGCGCGCCTACCGGTGCGGGCAAAACGAACGTAGCGATGTTGGCTATAGTGCATCAGTTGAAACAGAACATTCAAGACGGACAACTGCAAACGAACGAATTCAAGATCATTTACATCGCGCCTATGAAAGCGCTGGCTTCGGAGATGACCGCCAACTTTAACAAGAGACTTAGCGCCCTGGGAGTCAAGGTTCGCGAATTGACTGGTGACATGCAGCTGACGAAGCAAGAAATCCAGCAGACGCAAATGATAGTGACTACGCCGGAGAAGTGGGACGTCGTCACGAGGAAAGGCACGGGCGATGTCTCCCTCACCAGTATTGTCAAACTGTTAATCATCGATGAGGTGCATCTGCTACATGGCGACAGAGGGCCTGTAGTAGAGGCGTTGGTCGCGCGAACACTGCGTCAGGTGGAGTCATCGCAGAGCATGATCCGAATCGTCGGGCTGTCCGCGACACTGCCGAATTACGTGGACGTAGCGCGATTTCTGCGAGTCAATCCGAGCAAGGGACTCTTCTACTTCGACCATCGTTTCCGACCGGTGCCATTAAGTCAGACCTTTATCGGTGTGAAAGCCATTAAGCCGCTGCAACAGATCAACGATATGGATCTCGTGTGTTACAATCACACCGTGAAGATGGTGCGACAGGGTCACCAGGTCATGGTATTCGTACACGCGCGGAACGCCACCGTGAGAACGGCGCAGTCATTGAAAGAGCTGGCATTGAAGAACGACACGCTCAAGTACTTCTTGTCGGAAGGTCAGGCGAAGTATGTGAACAAGGCGTTCGCGTCGTCGCGCAACAAGCACCTCGGCGAGCTGTTCAATAGCGGCTTCTCCGTGCACCACGCCGGCTTAACGCGCACTGACCGCAACCTGGTGGAAAAGTACTTTGCCGATGGTCTCATCAAGGTGCTCGTCTGCACTGCCACATTGGCGTGGGGCGTCAACCTGCCTGCGCACGCTGTCATTATACGGGGCACTGAAATCTACGACGCAAAGCACGGTTCGTTCGTGGACTTGGATATATTGGACGTAATGCAGATCTTTGGCCGCGCTGGTAGACCGCAATTCGACACGTCCGGTCACGCGGTCATCATCACGACACACAATAAACTCTCGCATTATTTGTCGTTGCTGACGAATCAGATACCGATCGAAAGCAGCTTCATCAAGTATCTGGCCGATAATCTGAACGCCGAGATAGCGTTAGGTACGATATCGAATGTAGAGGAGGCGGTCAAGTGGCTGAGCTATACGTACCTGTTCGTACGGATGAAGCTGAACTATCAGGCGTACGGTATGGTGTTCCAAGCTCTGATAGACGATCCGAATCTGGAGAAGAAGCGGAAGGAACTCATAGATCACGCAGCCAAGGCGTTGGACAAAGCGCAGATGCTGAGGTACGACGAGCGTACCGGTGACCTTAATGCCACCGACCTGGGGCGCATCGCGAGCCACTTTTATCTCAAGTATGACACGGTGGAGATCTTCAACGAGCAGCAGAAGCCCGTGATGAACGAGGCGGAGATCTTGGCGATGATATCGCACGCCCAGGAGTTTGAGCAGCTCAAAGTGCGCGACGATGAGGTAGAAGAGCTAGATCAGTTGATGGATGACTGCAAAGTCGTGCCGAAAGGCGGTGTGGAGAACGTCCACGGCAAAGTGAACATATTGCTGCAAACGTATCTGTCGAGAGGCCGAGTGAACGCGTCTTCGTTGATATCTGACCAGGCATACGTAACGCAGAATGCAATGAGAATAGTCCGGGCGTTGTTTGAGATCATGTTGCGCAAGAACAATGCGATAATGGCCGGACGACTGCTGACAATGGCGAAGATGTTCGAGGCTCAGCAGTGGGACTATATGACACCGTTGCGGCAATTCAGTTGCCTATCCATGGAGATAATCTACAAGATAGAGCAACGGGAGTTGCCGATTCGCAAATTGAGAGAGATGTCCACGCAGGAGATCGGCATTTTCTTGCGAGATCAACGAATGGCGCTGTTGGTGAAGAAGTGCTGCAGTCAGTTGCCGAAGATGAACGTGGTGTTCAACTTGCAACCCATCACGCGCACTGTGCTGCGAATGCGGCTGACGCTAATCCCCGAGTTCAGCTGGAATGACTTTGCGCACGGGAAGAACTCACAGGCTTTCTGGATATGGATCGAGGACCCGGACAACAACTTCATCTATCATTATGAGTATTTCCTTTTGACGAAGAAGGCGGTTGTTCAAAAGATCGAGCAAGAGCTCGTGATTACCATACCCTTATCCGAACCGTTACCGGCTCAGTATTTGATCAGGGTGTCGAGCGATTATTGGCTCGACTGCGACGACGTATTCCCGGTGAGCTTCCATGATCTCATCTTGCCAGAGACTCATCCGCCTCACACGGACCTACTAGAGCTGCAGCCGTTGTCAACGAACGCCTTGAAGGATCCATCCTACGAGAAACTTTACCCCTTTTCCCACTTTAATCCCATACAAACTCAGATTTTCTATTGCCTTTACCACACGGACAACAACGTCCTCCTCGGCGCACCGACCGGCTCAGGAAAGACAATCGCCGCGGAAATCGCGATGTTCCGAGTCTTTAAACGATATCCTGGCAAGAAGATCGTCTACATAGCGCCGCTGAAGGCTCTGGTGCGAGAACGTATAAACGATTGGAAAATACGATTGGAGGAACGTCTGGGTAAGAGGGTGGTGGAGCTGACGGGTGACGTATCTCCCGACATAAAGATGATAATCGACGCGCATGTGATTGTCACTACGCCCGAGAAGTGGGACGGTATTAGCAGAAGCTGGCAGACTAGGAGCTACGTGCGGCAAGTAGCGCTCATAGTGATCGACGAGATTCACCTGCTGGGTGAAGATCGCGGACCGGTGCTGGAGGTCATAATCTCTCGTACGAATTTCATATCGTCGCACACGCTCGACAAGGTCAGAATCGTCGGTTTATCGACTGCACTGGCCAACGCGGTGGATCTAGCCAATTGGCTCGATATCAAGGATATGGGCCTTTACAATTTCCGTCCTTCTGTCAGACCCGTGCCGATGGAGGTACATATCAGCGGATTCCCGGGCAGGCACTACTGTCCCCGCATGGCGACCATGAATAGGCCGACCTTCCAAGCGATCAGACATCACGCACCATCCAGCCCCTCTCTCGTTTTTGTGTCTTCTCGACGGCAGACACGCTTGACCGCGCTTGATCTAATAGCCTTCCTCGCGGCGGAGGAGAATCCCAAGCAATGGCTGCACATGCCGGAGGAGCAGATGGCCGGCATCTTGGACAATGTGAAGGACACCAATTTGAAGCTCACGCTGGCCTTCGGCATCGGCCTTCACCATGCGGGTTTACAAGATCGGGACAGGAAGACTGTGGAGGAATTGTTTGTCCATAACAAGATACAGGTATTGCTAATGAATATAAAGGCTCTCTTAGATCTACAATCAGGTAAGATTAATGAGTTCTAATGAATGCTTAGTTGAAAAATATGAGCTTAGCGAAACATATAAATAATATAAATTCTTTGCACCACATACAGATATTAATCACCACGGCCACGTTGGCCTGGGGTGTGAATTTTCCCGCTCATCTAGTAGTGATCAAGGGCACGGAGTATTACGACGGCAAACTGAAACGTTACGTAGACATGCCCATCACCGACGTACTCCAGATGATGGGTCGCGCCGGCAGACCGCAATACGACAACTCCGGCGTGGCGGTCGTTCTTGTACACGACATAAAGAAGAGCTTTTACAAGAAGTTCTTGTACGAGCCGTTCCCCGTTGAATCCAGCTTGATGGATGTATTGCCTGATCACATTAATGCAGAGATCGTCGCCGGCACTATCAGGAACAAGCAGGAGTTCCTGGATTACCTGACGTGGACGTATTACTTCCGTAGATTGATGAAAAATCCCAAGTATTATGACTTGGATATTCTGGAGCCTCGGAATATCAATGAGTACCTCTCGAAGTTGGTGGAAACCACCCTAAAGTCACTGATAGATTCGCATTGCATCGATTACGAAACGGATGAGCAAACCCTGTGCTCATTTCCGATGGGAAAAATAGCATCGTTCTATTATCTATCACATCATACGATGTTGATGTTCACACAGTCGTTGGACGATGAACTCACGCTGGATCAATGCCTACGTATACTCTGTAACTCGCACGAGTACAACGAACTGCCGGTGAGGCATAACGAAGAATTTTTGAATGAAGATCTGGCGAAGAGCTGCCGTTACCCCGTGGATCAATACACTTACGATTCCCCGCACACGAAAGCATTTCTTTTGTTACAAGCGCATTTCTCGAGGTTGCCGTTGTCGTCCACCGACTACATTACTGATTTGAAGTCGGTGCTGGATCAAGCGATCAGGATATTGCAGGCCATGATCGACACGGTCGCGGAACGTGGATGGTTAACGAGCACGCTTAGGATAATGTGCTTGTTTCCGATGATCGTACAGGCACGTTGGATTGACGAATTTGCAATCACGTCGTTACCGCATGTAGAAGCGACAGATTTGCATCTGTTCTCGTCGTCAATGGTGCTCCCGGTATTGTGTCACATGACGTTTGACAATTATGATAGACTCGCGATGATTTTACGTGAGAAATACAGAGAGGATCAAATACGTGAGATACATCGAGTAATTAGAGACCTACCCGTAATATCTGTCGATTTAACGTTGGAAAGCACAATACACAATACCGAGGTTTTGAGGAGGAAAATAATATTAAAACGTAACAACGAAGATTTCATTGATGTTCGGAAGGATGAGTATTATACGTTGGTCGTCGGACTGAAAAGAAATAACCATTCCAAAACTTTGAAGGCACACTCTCCAATGTTTCTGAAAGGAAAAGACGAAGGTTGGTTCATGGTGTTGGGTAACGCTGCTAATAAAGAGTTGTTAGCATTGAAGAGGGTATCCGGTGTGAATGATCAACAGCGATATCATCAATTGCAATTTCATGTGCCTGATTGTTTAGGTAAAACTATCAAATTCCGTACATATAATTTTTGATTTTGGTTTGAGTCTTGCCGAATTAAAGTACGAAAAACGTTTCTTTCAGAATCGATGAAGCTGACGTTTTACTTAATTTCCGACTGTTACATGGGACTGGATCAACAGTACAATATTTATTTAAACGTGACGTCCTCGATTCAGAACACCAGCACAAGACTGAACAAATAGGTGATATTGTGTTCAATTATTGCAAATCTTTCTATTGACAATAATATAAGGAATGCAGAGAGTGCGAACTTTATTAGTGAGAAAGCGTATTTTAGAAATGAGTTATTAGCAGTGAAAGATTTGCTATAATTGCATACGAATGTATTGTTACAGGATGTTTATCGTAAGATGTACAGAAACTTGTATATTTTTACGTGATGTAATTTTATTACACGTCTATGTGTTATGAAACAATGTAGGTATGGATTATTCTACGATTCTTTTCATATAAATATAAACCTTATTATCTCGGAATATATAAAGATAGAAAAAGCAATATGTGCAGGATCAGTGTACAATTTCATGCGATTTTTTGTTTCCCTTTTTAAGAAATAAAAATCACTGATTACTTTGCTGCAAAATGCAAATTTCTTACTGCATGCCATTCGTTTTATTTATTTATTTTTTTCTTTTTTTGGAAAGACAGAATTTTATTTTTAGAAGATCTCGAGAAATAATTGTTTGAGGTATGCAGAAATGTTTTTAAGTAGTGTAAAGAAGAAATAAACACGTTCTTAAAATTTGTAGACTTATTGTATACATTTCCATCATATATGTACTGACCCCATTTTTTCAGACTTACACCATATAATAATACAATATTCGAATTATTCGGTTTAGTTTCCTATGCTTAGGTAACAATAGATTATAGGATAGGAAGGATATGAGATCATTCCATTGCTTTGTATGAAAAGAAAAAAAGAATATAAATATATACTTTAAGTCCTAACTCTCGTATTAATGTATCAATCATGATACATTTCGATGCAGATTGTTCATACTAAAGACACAGAAGAGACTTTATGTTATTCAAAATGTTCATTGGCCCATTAGTGCATTCGATGCAATTTAGAAGATTTTAATAAAGGTAATAAGATATGCACAAGCTCCACTTGCGACATGTCATATATAATTTGATCGCGAAAAATGTATTCATTTAGAGTTATATTTTAAACTATATTATTTTGAAAGATAAAACATCTAAATAATATTCAACATGGAGTTCAAACTCAAGTATTACCATTATAATAATAGCACATTTTTAATCACAGTCTAAATTAATTTATAATCGACTTAATATTTAATTTTTTTTTAATTACGTTTTAACACGATTTAATATAAAAATAACAAAATTTGAGCTAAAATTTAATGCAATTTAATTTAAAGATAATAGAATTAATATATTTTGCATATGTATATACTATTTATAGCCCTAATTAGAGTTTTGTTCTTACAAGCGATAACGATATTCTCTTCCTTGCCAATAGTTTGAACTCCGCTCTTCGGGTGCGCGTGAAATACACTTTGCACTAACACCTATACAGATGTACCATTAACCAAAGCAAAGAAATATTTAAGCTCCTTCCCATATCGAAATCTGGAAGTACTGAATATCTCTTGTAAGTAATAAACCGAAATGCATTTATACAAAAAGTTTCGGTAACGGTACATTTCCATTTGTTACATGTAACACAAAGAAGTAACGCTTACCCCGACACCCGTTGTGTATAAATTGCTACATAACGTAAATAATATAACATTAGAAGTTACAGCAGTTATAATCCGGTGCCATTCTTCTTTGCCGCCTCTTACAAAATCTTGACGTCCCGCTTAATCCTGTTTAATAATCGATAGAACGTTACTGCCATGCTTCGTTGAACGCCATTCCACTTTAATAGTGTTTATATTCAGATCTCAATGTATAAGCGTACTCAATTTGTGTATCTTTATCACTCGACAACTAGGGAAGCACTAGCATAACTGACAGAACTGTCATTCATATTGTTACATTGACTACTTTGAGCATATTTCAAAAACTTGAGATTCATCCTGTGGCCATTTGTACGTCCCTTGAGACAGTTAATTAGCTGTAAATATATAGAGTATTATGTTAGTTTAGAAATTTAGATTGAGCTAAAAGAAATTTGTACATAGACGCTTAAATTTTCTATATTACCTGCAATAAAATGCCAATCGGATGCCGACCGCATATAGTATTACCATATTTTTTAAGATAATCAGTGAACATCGCAGGATTCAAAGTCTCTATAATGTTCATGCCCTGCGGACATTTTATTTTGATAAAATTTGTTGGATATATGTCAGATTGATTTTAGAGATATTTCTCGATTCTCGTACATATAAAATAAAGAGACTGGATTGCATATGTACCATTTTATCGAGATTTTGAATAGATCTGTGAATAGGCCCACATGATCTATCGTAGTAAATATAACGGAAACGTTGTCCCCAATGGCAGAAGTCCGAAGAGATGACAAATAATGCTTGCGGATCAGCCATATAGGGTGCTAATAATCTCCCATAAAGTGCTTCTTTCTCCGGGCTCAAGGAACCCACCAAAATTGGGATTATAGTAAACGAGTCCTTAAATCTGCACATGTGAAACATGTCCCACATGAATAAAATATTCATTTTCTATCCTTGTTATTTAGTAATGGACAGGAGCACAATGTAGGTATCACTTCCTGTTATTTCTCTCATGGCGATATGATCTTCAGCATTTATAATTATAATTGAGAATTAATTTATCTCTAAACGTACTCTTCCATAACTTTGGCGATAAATGGCAACTGCATCTCGATGCTGTGCTCTTCTTCATCAGTATTCACATCCATCCAATCAAAGTGACCAGTCTCTTCGAGTTCTTTTCTCACTATTAAACATGTATGTGTTAAAAAGCACCCAATTTCCTTACAATACCATACCATTTTTCATTATGTGTAATTTCTATTTACACAAATACGAAACACTACTAGGTTGGTATTGCAAGGATTGAACTTCATTTATAAAAGTGATCATGTAACATACGCTTAACAACTTTTTTAACTTTGTTACCAGCTAAGCGTTATATAAAAGATAAACGCCATCAGTTTAAGTATAAACATGGAATCTATAGATATATGCACATACATATATATGTACCTTTTTGATCAATACGTAGATCATATAATGGTGTTTGGTAAACGGAGACCGAAGAAAGGGCACAACTTGTTAATCTCACATGATGAGAGGGGCCTAGAATAAATATCCTACGGCTGCATAACAGCACGTTGCACGTTTCATTTGACTGAGAAATTTCAAAAATTACAAACTAAACTATATATATTGCACAGTACAATTACACTTTATAAAAATTTATATTAAGAAAATATGTATAACAAATTTCTTTACTATGCATTGTAGACATTAAAAAAACAATTTTTAAAAAATTCTTGAACACTTTCCATAATTGTAAACAAAGATTTTTATTATAAAATTATCTGATAAATAATAAAGATAACATATAAAAACAATATTTAATCCTTCTTCTACATCTCTAGGCTTTAAATAAAATCTTAAGTTTATAAACTTAATGTTAGATTAATATAACGCAACATAATCAGACACTTACACAACTACAGGACTAATCTGCCGATAAGCAAAACCAGCACATTCCCCACAATAACTGTATCCTGCGTGCCTGCAAAATTATATTATATTTTTATCAGATATTTATATATATATATATATATATATGTATATATGTATGTGTATGTGTACATGTATGCTGATATATTGTGTGACTATATTATATAAGTGATTACTGACGGGGCAATAATTGCTCTCGCAGGTCCATGGGATAAGTCTGCTGCGCTCAACCAATCCTCTAATTGCTTACGCAATTCTGAACCTATAGCGAGTAGTAGCATGACTTTGACATTGCATAAAGACAATAGAAATTTTTGAAGGCAACATACGCAATCAGCAGGAATCAGTTTTGAATTTATTGGAATAAAATTATATTACTTTGTAAGCAGAATGTTTTAATGTATATTTGGAAATTCTCCTCAATATAATATAAATAATGTAAATAAGAACTTTAAATTAGGAAATCGATTAATGTATACAATGAAGACAACAATTAATTGGAAACATCTTTCATCTCTCTATGCTTCATACTCCATTAACGAATATGAAGACAAAGCACGTTAATACGACAAAAAGAAATGATCAGTATATTTGCAAACACGCGCCAACAACGATACGAGATATAAATAAAACGCTTTCTTCTTCTTCCTTCTTTTTATTCGAGTATCGCTTACCATTGTCCGCGTACCAACTACCAGCGTGAGAGGCTCTCCTAGTGAATGCCATTTTTCGGCCAAAAGTGCTTGCCTTTTCTCTCGAAGAATGTGTCTAGCTTGGCGCACAACGATACTTTATCCAATCTCACCTACCGATTACTACGCAAATAAAACCTTGACAAAGTACAAGTAACTTATATCTTAGCCGAGTGTAAAATGTTTATAAAACTCTATCACAAAATCTTGGCAATTGTCCTTCTATAGATCATTCAGTGAATACACGCTGAACGATACGCGTCGACTTGAAAACAAAGGGTGCATCCAGCATTACAACTGAGCGCTTTGCGAATTCTCACATTTGATTGGTCCACATTTTTATATCATAGACAAATCCATAAGTACATACCAATCAACTTCAAGAACTTCAACTCACCGAACGTTCATTGCTGGATGCATCCAATGATCCGCAACATGGCCGGCCCGTTATCTCATCGGGCCAATTGTGAATCGAGATGATACTATCAGTAAAATTTGCACAGAGAATTGTAAACGCGCTCGATCTCTCGATCGTTCGTGCCACCACTCGCGGCCAAGTTCGATTCGCTGACAATCGCTTATTGGCTCGAAAAAGAATACCCTAGAACGATCGACGAAGAATCGCACGGCTGTAAGTCAAGCTCAATCCTATCGTGTATACACCGTAGCGACGATGTAGTCTAACGTTTTGCTGACTCAAAACACGCGATCACGAGAGGAATACCGCCAAGAAATTATTGCACGGAGTTTCCGGACGGTGTTTGACGGCTGCTAACTCGGTCGACGCGTACTTCGAGTCGCTCGCTTGAGCACGACATAGAGATATTGTTAATATGGCAGACTCTCGTGTCTCTAGTGTTGTTTAAGTTCGTGAAACTGACTGACCGAGTGACAAAACAGTGGGTCCTGTGTACCGAAGGGCACGCAGTGTGATGTGTATGAAATCTTGATTGCCTCGTGCCGCCGTGTACACGTGCGAGTCTCGCAATCACGCGCGCTTGAGCGAGAGAGGGACGTGATTTCTTGTGATTGCCACGGAATCGCCAATTGCGCGAAGACCCCCTCGCGAGCGGAGATCGTCGTCGCGAAGAGAGTTTCTCGACCAGTTAACGCATCAACGAACGTTTTCGCGCGTGTGTGACTTTTCTTTTTTCTTTCGTTTTTTTTTGATTTAAACATCCGTCCACTTTGTTTATCGCGGGCACGATGATGGGACTCGACAACGTCGCGTCGTCGTGATACGCAGCTGGTGCGCACGTCGCAGGTAGTGTTGCGCGGCTACCGCGCCGCGCTTTTCCCTCAATATTTTGACGTCTCTGCGCGCATTATAACCTTCCGTTCCTTTGTGCTCGTCAACTCGATTCCCATCTCCGTCCCAATACCAGTGTCAATATCGCCGTGCGTGCTTACGAACGTGCGAACGAGCTGCCACGATTGTATTCGCGACTAGTCCTTTTAGTGATTTCTCACAGTTTTTAAGAGAAATGTTCGGAGATTGATATAGCGTACACTATTGTCGTATGTACTATTTGCAAGGTAGAATTGATGTTGGCGGGACCATACGTGCGTCCAATATCGCACATATGGTTTCTGTCATCTTTTCGTGACGTCCCGTAAGATTAGATGAGACAGGACCAGATTTTGCATCATTAAATATATTGTTCATCTGTGTATGTGTAGGGTCTTTAGGTTAAAACAAAGTTTTTGTTTTGGTACTTTTAGTATTACATGTATAAAGTTACTTATTCCATACTTATTCCAAGCATAAGGAAATTATGCTGTAATTAGGTATATATCTTAACATCTTTGTAAAGGATATTTGTGTAGCTACTATGGTTATGTTTGGCTCGTAAAGATTCTGATATAATCAACATGGATGAAGAATATAATTCAATAATTAGATATATATCTTTAATTTTTAATGGATATCATGTCGGGAATTTAGAATTTTCACAGAGAATGTACTTAACTTGATTAGACAAAGTAAATAGTTAATCTAATAACCAAGGTGTAGCAAAGTTGTAACGAATTGTTTATCTGTTTGTTTCTTACTAGATGTTTTTGTCTCTGTACCACGTTTTGATGTAACTGCTACTGAGACGCTGCAATCAAGAGGTAAGTAATAATACGAGGTTTAATAACAGTTTACTTATTAGCTGGAAAATACACAATCCTTTTTGTTCCAGGTTACATGTGGTTATTTGTCATGGGTTATCAGCAATCTCATGAGATTGAAGAGTTTGTGAGTGTTGTATTAGAAGAGAAGTAGGTGTGCTAGTTTGTTAAACAAAAAGTGCATTTGGTGTGAGCCCTCTGGGCAAACATTTCATATTAGTGGTGCCATCGGGCTATGGCCAACCTGAACTTTGAACAACCACCACGCAGTATTGCGAATGCAAGTCTTTCTTCACGCACAAGTGGTGGGGGGGGTTTGAACACGTCGGCCCTTGCGGGTCATGTCACACCCACTTCGGGCATGTTCTCAGGCTCGTCCGCAAGCACTTCAAGTACGGCAAATTCTGCGGTAGTCATCACTAACGTTTATCCCGGTGCATCTAGCTCCGGAAGTGGACAGAATAGTCATCAACCACAGCAGCAGCAACTCTCTCCTATGGGCAGTAGAGGACTGTTTGGGCAGAGAGCTTTTACTGACAGACGTACGATGCCTGCTCTTGGGTAAATTTTCTTTCATTATATAACTAATAAAGTCTATAAAATTTGAGTCTTTCTACTTGTAAATAAGGATTTGATTCTCTATGGGTGTCATAGAGTGATGATAGAGACCTTCTGTGTTGCAGAATTACGGTTTTGTGTTTCAGAGCTTCGAATCCAATGGGTAGTATGGGCAGTTTCGGAATACCTCCAAGTCGTAATTACGGATCTCAAGGTGCGGTCAATAATTTCCACTCTGTTTTCGGGAGTGGGGGTGGCGGAGACACGAGTACTCCGCCACTGTTAGATTTATCAGAGTTTCCCTCCTTAACAAATAGAGGTCAAGGTGATTCTATGCCACAACCTAGTCCCATGCCAGGGAAGCAACCGTACGGTTAGTATCTTATCATTCTGTGTTAGATCTCTAAAGAAATTATGCTTTTACATATATCGAACAGAATGCGTTATTCATATCTTAATCGTAGGCAACTCTTAACCATTTAGTAAATATAAGCAGATTATATCGCCTCTTATAATTCGTATTCATGTTTGTTACAGTTGGAATGGTGAAACAACCGACATCGGAACCAAGTGAATTTACTATGAGTTCGGAAGACTTTCCCGCGTTACCCGGTACGCAAAATAGAGAGGGCCCGTCACCCGGTGGCAGTGTATCTGGTGATAAAAATATACCTGTAGGACTGGGTCCGGAGATCGGACAGGACGTATTACAGGCAAACAGAGCTCTCGGATCTGAGAAATCTCAGTCTTCTAAGAGAGGCATTCAAACATCGCCTGATGGTAAACAAAAGGCTGCATTAACGACTACATTATCGCATATATCAGGTGTGGTGACATTTCATTTGGTTCATATGATTATCACACGCAGGCAAGGTGACGAACATACCCGCAAGTATGGTGAAGGATCAATTCGGCATGGTTGGTCTTTTAACGTTTATCAGAGCAGCAGAGACAGATCCGAACTTGGTGTCGTTGGCGTTAGGCCAAGATCTTACTGCGTTAGGATTGAATTTGAATTCGCCGGAAAATCTCTATCAAAACTTCGGTGGTCCTTGGGCAGAAACACCCTGTCGACCACAGGATATTGACTTTCACGTACCACCGGAGTATCTTATAAATGCCGCGATCAGGTATCCTCACTTTTAATTCTGTGTATCTCGATGCACCTTATCTCGTGTATATTTTTCATTGACACTATCTCTATATTATAGTATAAAAATTAAATTAAGGTATTAAATTTCTTTTGTCTGTTTTAGGGATAAGCTAGCGCCAGTTAAACTAAATCGATATAAAGACGATCTACTGTTTTATATGTTTTATACAAATGTTGGGGATGTATTACAATTAGCGGCAGCGGCAGAACTGTAAGTATGATAATCTACTATGAGAATCTTAACTTTCAGATTCTGTAATATTACTATGTACATGTGATACTTACAATGCTGAATGTTACAATTGTGAATTTTGTACGATACAAAGGTATAACAGAGAATGGCGATATCATGTAGAAGAGAAAGTTTGGATAACGCAGGCACCAGGTTTGGGGATGGTAGAAAAGACGTCGACATACGAACGTGGTACTTATTATTACTTCGATGCGCAAAACTGGAGAAAGGTAGCTAAGGAATTCCATTTGGATTACACGAAACTAGAAAGTAAACCTTATCTTCCCACAAACTTACACCAAACTCAGCCTTGACTACAGGTGTGTATCATAGACTTTATTTTCTTCCCCTTTCCATTTTTATGTAAAAATTTGTAAAGTTTATGTACGCTTATCAGAGAGAAAGTGAGAGAAAGAGACAAAAATAATAATACTTTAATTGCGTAATTTAATATTTCCGATGTTATTTCGATGCAATTGTCCTTCTCAGTTATTCACTGTAAGAAAGAAATATACAAGTGATATTTTTTCAAATTATACATATAATTAAAATTGTATATTTTATATCTGTTCTAGACTTGTCTGCAGACCATTGTGCTGTATTTAAGCTGGAAACGAATCAGCTATTGTATAAATGAACAAATTTAATAATCTTTAATAAAAACATAAAATTTGAAGAGTAATAAAGTAAATTTTCTTATCAATGAATTGGACACCCTTCATCCTTTGGTGTGTCAATTCTTCATCACCATTATTGTCATCATTATCTTATCATAATGTTGGCTTACTTACACTTAAAACATTGATTATATTCTCATCATTCTTAACATTCCTTCAGCATATCTTATAGCATACATTATCATATAGCTTTTAATTTATCCGCTTGCGTGGCCAGATTGATTACACTTTCCGAGGCATTTATAATAAAATGTTCGATATAATTTCGGCTGTTTCTCTCACATTCGTCTAAAAAATATCTATGAAAAACCATAACAATTATATACAATGTTTAAAGTATTTCTTTTTTATTTCAGTTAGAAATAATTCTCAAATGTGTACCTATAGTTAACCATTATGCCACAACTATTAGCCACTCCGCGCGGTGAAGGATCGGCCAACCAATTTATTCTCCACATCACCGCTCCGTTACGTAAATGAAAATTTGCTATAAAAATTGGAAAATTATTTTTATAGTGATGATCTCATTGAGGGGTGTACATTGTATTTAACTTATGCTTTTGTGATTGATTTAGGAGAAAATAGAAAAAAACAGAACGTACCGACATTATTTAGAGCATAGCCGCGTCGTTTTTCTTTATATAAATACCAGGCACATGCTCGAAGTAGTGGTTCTTTCAAAAATCCTGACAATTCTTTATTATTTGTCCATAATGAGGATTGTAAACACTTTAGGGTAGATATTACATCTTCCGTTTTTAAAATTTCTTTTATAATTTCGTATTCTTTCATGGTGAATATATATTTCGTATCTATGTAAGATAAATATGTTTATAGATCATTTTAATTTTTTCCTAATAATTAGCGATTACCTTGCTTTAATTTTTCAAATAACCAAGTTTTAAAGTTAGGTATCGGTGATAAGCTAGACAATAGTTGCACTGCTGGAAATTCAGCTGTGACTTCATTGACTACTTCTTTGATAAGATAATTGCCAAGTTCAATGCCCTGTAGAAGAATATTGTTTTACATGTGTAATTATTAATTCAAGTTGTAAAATTTATTTTATTGTTAAGTAAATCAAGTAAAATTTTGTTGTAAACCAAATGAGATAATTGTCAAATTCAAATATCCTATATGAGAATATTGTTTTACATGTACAATCATTAATTCAAGTTGTAAAACTTATTTTATTATTAAGTAAATCAAATGGTTTTTGTTATAAATCAATTACCTGCAATCCTTTTTGAGTAGATGCTATAGAATAGAATATTGCAGCTTTTATTTTAATTTTGTCTTCTTCAAGGAAAGTTATATGTTTTTTGGTGCTTCCTAAGATTCTGGTTTCAGCTTCTTCGATACCTTTCACACTATCTGCAAAATATAAAAATATATTTAAAATAATTACTGACTGTTACGTAATAGAGATGTGATTATCTTTCTACTAAACCTGGAATAACATCACACAATGCTGTGTGCAAAACAACAATAGGTTCTCTCGGCATGGATGGATGTGTAAATATGTAACATCTTCTATATGGTCCAACTCTACGTTTTAAATCCAACCAATTTCTCATAGGATGTATAGCTTCATAATCTGATATCTGTAGATATACAAATAAGTTCAATACTATCAAGCTCATAGAAAATGTAAAATTTATTTATACAATTGAGATAAATATAAAAAAGTTCACTAACCTTCTGCAATATATCACATGCACTCTCCCATGTTATTCGTTGTATATGTAAAAAACCTACTGAAAACCAAAGCAAAAGCAAATCTCGCAGAGTATAATTTAACTGCTGTATTATTATACTTTCATCAGCATCATTTGCTTCTGCCATCAATTCCTAACAAAGAAAAACTTTTAAAGATAAAAATTCAACTTTATAATAAAATCTACATTATATACTGTTATAAACACAAGAGAAAATATCTATATTTATAAGTAAATATTTTCTTTAATTTTTGCTTACCAAAACATCGGTTCTTAGATCAACTAAAAATTTTACACCATGCTCTAGTCTTCCTATTATACCAAATAGCCAATAATAGGCTGGTGTAAGAATATCTTTCAGAGTTCTTTCGTGGATAATCATCTGTCTCTCATTTTCAAGCTATGATATAATTAAAATGCTGAGACATCTATATGTAACATATTTTCTAAGGAACATACATATATGGCAGAGATGTACATATAGTTTTCCAACAAAATAACAGTAGAAAAATATGATGTATTAATGTTAATTATAGTTTAATCATAGTGACACGTATAACTCACATGAAATAATATACCTTGGTACAAATTAATTTCTTGGCTATTTGGCATACATTATCATGTTGCACAGCATATTGTGCAGCTAATGTACGCAAGATCCGTTGACGATCTTCCTTGTTGCTTTCAGTATATTTGATACATAGCGCACGTACCTTGTTCTGTAATATTTTTCTTGATATAGTTTTTAATGAAAGAAATTATTTGCGCTTTATATTATGAAGTGGAAAATACAATTTGTGACAAAGACCTCTATGATCCAGTTGCTGATTTTAGTGTTTTTGAATTTGAAAATTTCTCGCAGTTCTTCATGCACCGGTAATGTGCTATTTGTTTTGTTGTACAACGAGTATGACTTTCCGTATTTGCGTTTCACCGTATCGGTAAAATTAAATCCCGTCCTGATTCTGTAACGCTGGACAATTGGTAGAAGTTTCGTGAAAATCTTTTCTAACATTATAACCAATTACTAGCAATTGTGATCCGTCACAGATTGAATTGGAACAAGAAAAGAAGAGCAGAGACCAAAACTACTTTAAATCCATTTTCAACAGGTGTCACATAACACACAGCTGTGTTCTCACGCAAGCTGCACGTCACTCAGTGTAGCTACAAAGAACAGACCATATATTCGAGGGTAACAGGATATGAAGAGAGCGATGTTGCCGACCAGCTTTATCATCTGTTGTTTCGGTTGGCAGCACTGGATCATTATTGTTGATAAGCATAGGTTGTAGAATGGCGATTTAGAGGAGCTGTCGTGGATTGTTGTTTGTGCCTGATGAAAGCTTGATCAAAGCAATCTGAAAACAAGTGCGAATGTGACACTCCGAAAGTATACAGTATGCAGACAGTGCGTTTCTATTGTTATTTTATTTGGAGCGTTTGGTGTTTGTTACAAGGTAAAAATTGGAAAGATGAATCATAACCGCTCACAATGTATTTTCTTTTGTATCATGTTGCATTGTCATTGTTAAATCAGTCATATAGCTGTGATCCTTTATATTTTTGTGCTATCATATATTCACTATCTATCGCGTGTATATATTTACTGGTCATTTTGCAGTTACCGCCGATTATGTCAAACTATCACATGATGGACCAGTTGTATTGGGTGGTACAATCACTTTCAGAGCTGATTTGTATGAAGATAACGGCAAACGACCACGAGGAATGTACAGATACAAATGGCAAGATAATTCATTAAGAAAGCATGAATATCAGGTTGGTATTATAATAATATGCTGTTTGTTGTTTTGTAGTAACAGAGGTTATTCAATGTTTCTAGATATCGAACTTTTATTTATATTTTTGTTTACAATGCTAAACTTTATATGTATATGTGTGTGTGTGTGTGTGTGTGTGTGTGTGTGTGTGTGTGTGTGTGTGTGTGTGTGAAGCAATATTAGATAATATTCAATTTAAATTTGTAAATTTTTTTCTCTGTAAAATTATAAATAATTATTATCTTCCTTAAGTATTGTATTACAGCTTATTTATATAATCTATAATAAATTTTGCATACTGTTGTTATAGACTGAAGGAACATCAGATACTACAACATTTTGGAGTTTAAGTTATCCAAGACAAAATAATATTCCTGGCAGATATATCATGGAGATAGTAGTTGAATATCGTTTGTTTCCATACTTGTGGACACAAGACACAAGCGCTCGTATAGAATTTGAAATCTCTGGTAAGCTTTGTTAATAGAGTCTTGTGCAAATTCTGCTTCTATAATATCATGTTTTATTTTTATTTGTTTGTTTCAATTATAGAATGCCTTAATGGTAACATAACTATGGAACAAGGCAATAAAACTATAGCAGGAGAGTATGTGTCATCTGTGAATGAAACAAAATTAATGATAAACATGCGTAAAGGAGATTATGATTTCATAATGAAAAATGCAACATCTATAGTGACATATTGGTTTGTCGATTGCAAGTATTATGGGCAAACAAATGATTTCACCTTTGCATATAATTTTACAAGTCCTGACACAACGCACGAAGTAGGAGCTTTAGTAGTTGTTTCATACATACCTCCAACAACTACAACCATTTTACCACCTACTACTATCACTACAACTATACCCACTAACCTGACGACAGTTGCTCCGAATAACAATATGACTCACCCAAATGGAACTGTCACAACTGTAATAACAACTGCATCACCGACAACTGTCACAATTGTAAAGACAACAACAGTGAAGCCCATGACTACTGTATCTCCAGTCAATACAAGCACAGTAGATGCTGCCAACATGTCTTTGCCTTATGTCTGTTCAAACGCGTCTCTCATTCCACCGGATCCCAACAATACATACGGATATTTTCATAAGAATATATATGTCCGTGGTTAGTAAAATATATCAATAGTATCTTGAAGAGAAATCCCACTTAATAATTTGATTTGAATTTATTTTTTTCTATAATTTAATATCTACATATTAAATTTCTTTAATAAATATTCGGATATTTTCATATATTCTTTAATAAAATTTTTTAATAAATATCTGGATATTTTCAGCTCCCGTATCAAATATCTCAGTGGATGGTACAAATTGGATTCAACCATGGGACATGTTGAATTTGAATGTGACATGCAAAGGATCAGGACCATTTCACAAATGTCTTTTGTTCTACCGTGGAAAATACAATATAACCGGCAATGAAACGTGCGACAACAAGGAACTCTTACACACCTGTAACTTCTCTATCATTCATTATTTTTTGGAGCCCGGTGTTTATACGATATTAATTGTATTGAACAACGAAGTTAGCATGCATACTTATCCATTAACGATAAATATTTACAAAGGTAAGTCAGTAGAAATGATTTATATTGATTGTTCACGCATTTCAATTTATCGATGTGACAATGATAATGTTTATAATAAATTATTTTGTGTAGTTACGACAAAGCCACAGTTATCAGTTATCGTAGTGCCGGTGTCTTGTACGCTCGTGGCCGTGGTGCTGATAGTATTCGGTGTAGCATACTACATTCAAAGCAGAGCGAGGTTTACAGTGGAAGTTGCAGACTTCGACTTTGGGCAAAGTAATCCAGAGATGGAGTACAAAACGTTTGCGGAACGTTTACGTGATTCATTCAATAACACTGTAAGACCCGGAGGCAAAGGAACTATTGTACGACTACCCTATTACGGCAGCATGAATCACTGAAAAATCGTGCGAATTATGCGGCCTATCGCTGTGTAATCTTTCTGTTATTTTAAAGTATAGTACGATCTATTTCTTTCTCTCTCTTTCTCTCTTCCCCTCTCCTTCTCTTTCTTTTTCTCTTTCTTTTTCTCTTTTTTCGCTTTCTCATAATTTTTGATTTCACACATTTTTTTCATTGCTTATCCCAAATTTAAATAAAAATAGAGGATTTGAATTAAATTAGAAGGGTGATTAAGCCGTAACGAAGCTTTCTAACGACTAATATTGTTCTTTACTCATAATTATCGCTCACCGTTTTAAATGAATCGTTAAATAATACATAACGTATATTGCAGGGGTATAAACCACTTAGTAATCCGCAAACGCAGTGACGCATAAACAAGGAATCATTTTCTGAGGACGAGAAGCTACACTAAACTTGCTGTAGCAAGAATATTTGCGAGGAGTTGCATTGCGGCAATGTGTCTAACGGTAACATTTCCATGTAACACCGTTAGCAAATTTCATGGTATTGGTGGCAAAGAGATTCATCTAATCTCTCATTGCTGCGATTAAATAGATATTAAGTAACTTCACTTGAGGATCGACGTATCATAAAAAGGAAAAGAAAAGAAAAAGACAAATCATTGTGTGATCTTACAAAAAAATTTGCGGATTGTTAGATTAACGTTGTACATAGGCGTGAAAGAAATTATGAAGATGTATATATAGGCTGTGAATATATGTAGCGTACAATAGTGTGGTAGAATCGATCTTACATGATACATGAAAGAATTTGATATTTTTTTAAGGTCCCAAACGAAAGTTATTGATTTATAGCCTTTTTATGATTTGTCGTACGTCTTTGCTTTAAATTGTTGTGTAGTTACTATTAATTATAATATCCTGCATTCTTTCTCTCTTTATACTTACATAGAATGTTAGGTGAAATTGTATATTATATTAGCTTATGTTATAGGATTTTATAGGATTATATTAGCTTATGTTATAGGATTTATTATATATTTGATGCTTTTATAAATTCTTTGGTGATCCTTTAGAAAATTATCGATATCCTACATGTCATATTCCACAGGATCACCGGTAATTTTATAAAGACACTAATTAATGTCTTTTCATATCTCTCTGTCTCTCTTAATCATTCACATACCGTAACACACAAATACGAACGAACACAGGCGGTAATTGCTAAATAAAAATGCTTTATTAAAAAGCAGAATTAAATTATGACCAAATTGTGGAATTTTTTTATATGTGGTGTATTATATTTATAATTCGTTGATAAGTAAGTCTCTTTTAAAAGATTTTCAACCAAGCACTTAGATGGGCAGTTATACTATTACGAACGCTTATACAAGATACTAGATTAGAGGAATAGTTTAATTCGAAAAAAGAAAAAAATATATCGCAATATCGTGATGCAAAAATATTGATCTGCCACATATTTAATGAGAAAGAACAAAAATGTGTTATGAACATCACGTTAAGTATCGTTTCCCGCATTATCATCATTCGGGCGATTGTTGATACAAGATCGATGCACGGAATTTGTTTAGTCATTGTTTAGTCATACTATATGTAAACATTTTATTAAAATTATTGTAAGATGCGTGCGTGCGTTGTAAAATGATGCTTTAATTAAAGTGATTGGTTTTAATTAGCCATAATCTTTATTATAATTTGAATATAACGTCGTTATCGAAGTTATACGAATTTACATTTTCAAATGATGCGAGACTCGCGCGACGATTGTTATTGTTTATAACCCAGGACTTCGGTCCTATAAGCCAATCTTGCTAACCTAATAAAATATCATGGAATTCCATGCAAAGAATGTCATTGATTGATTCAGTAATTAAATTATCCTTTGGAGTTTTCTCTAAAAATTTTCCAATATGCTGAAAAGGCGATATCCGTTATGGAACAATTTAGATTTATGTTGCTGTAAAGGTTAATTCTCAGCTGATCGCTTTTTTATTGATGAGTTCTGTGCATCTCTGATTCTACCAAATAGTAGGAGATCTCCTACTATTTGGTGTTATAATGATGTTTAAATGTTTATTAATTACCGTCTCTTTTAATCATCGCTCACATCAATTAAAATTATGCGTAGTTTTCCAGTCGCACTTTTCCAGCTCGTCTAAGGAAATATTTAGATTCTCGCGCGACGAAAGGTCAGAGAATTTTTTGACACAATCGATCAATGAGACTTATAAGTAATCGACTTTAAGGATTCCGACTTGATAATCTCGATAAGTGGAATCGAACATTGAAAAGCAAAATCGAGCATTGGTACATATCGATCATACATGTTGGCCCATCTCAATAATATGGCGACGGCCAGGAGTGAGAGAGAGAGAGAGAGAGAGAGCAGTGGGAGGGAGTGAGAATAAGAGTGAAAATGAGAGAGAGAGAGAGAGAGAACATGGCGGCGTGAGTGACAAACTCGACGGGTCGCGCCTCGTAAGGGACGCTCTTATATTCCGATCGCGTGGTGGATGTCGGTTGATGCGTGCGTGATTACACACCCAGTGTGACCCAGTGCGACGCTAATTAATCAGTGTGATCACGGATACGCATTAACTAGCGCATAGTGCCTGCAATTGCAATCAAACGAAAATGTCAGTAAGCTATGCTAGGATGAAGGCGTGCTACGAGGCGTCTTCACCGACGGCGACAACAATGACGACGACGACGACGACGACGACGATGACGACGACGACGACGACGACGACAGCAGTCGCGGCGGCGACAGCGACAACAACGACAACAACGACGACAATGACAACGAGCAGCACGCCCAGACGGGCCGGCTCAGAGAAGGATTGGCAGATGCAATTGGCGTTTTGCAAGCCTCGTCATAACGGCACGATCGAAGGCGTAAATAACATCAGTCAGACTTGGCGGATGAAGGAGCGGGTATGTGCACAAAACGACATAGAAAAGAATATGCGTCTGGTTCGAGTGACTTAGACGATGGTGAAACTGGTGTTCGTACAAACACTACACATACATCATGTATTGGCGTCTTGAGAGAACGTGGTCGAGAAAACATTATGATACGATATGACGAAATTCATGACATTTAACGAGAAAGTTAAATGCCAGAAGGAGCGAGAAAGGGAGAATAAGACTGATTTTTCTTTCGCTAACGTATGTACGCCAACAAATCGATATGTGACCGCGCACGTGTGTTTTTCTTTTTTCTAGATGAAGACTGTGAGCGTGGCCCTGGTATTATGTTTGAACGTTGGCGTCGATCCGCCTGATATCGTCAAGACGCAGCCTTGTGCGCGCCTCGAGTGCTGGATAGGTAGCTTTATTTACATCTTTCCCTCCCCTCGAATTTCATATGTTATGTAATTATTACTTTTGAGGTTATGCATGTGCGTACCGTGAATAACGAACCGTATGCGGTTCCTTCATACGCGTGATTTCTACGAGATTCCGCCAGGTGTCGGACTGAAATCGAATTGTCTCGATCTGTCATTTGAATTTGAATTTGAATTTTATTTCATTCACAACATGTCTATCGAACTATTCGTGAAATAATTTATATTATCTTTTATAAGCATTTTATTAACGATAAAACGATTAAGTGGAACACTAAGTGGATGCAAATTAGAAGTTACAAGACTTGAAAGTAAATATTCTTTTAGATCCTTTGTCAGTGAGTCCTCAAAAAGCTCTTGAGACCATAGGCTCAAATCTACAGAAACAATATGAACGTTGGCAGCCGAGAGCACGTTACAAACAAAGTTTAGATCCAACTGTGGAAGAAGTCAAAAAACTGTGTACATCCTTAAGACGCAATGCCAAGGAGGAGAGAGTCTTGTTTCATTACAATGGTCATGGTGTGCCCAAACCTACAACTAATGGTGAAATCTGGGTGTTCAATAGGGTTAGTGTAAAAAAGCGGGATTAAAGTTGTGCAATTATATTTTCTCATGACGCCTGTTACATGTATATATCATTCATTGTTACAGACATATACACAATACATTCCGTTGTCGGTTTACGACTTGCAAACGTGGATGGGTGCACCTAGTATCTATGTGTACGATTGTTCTAACGCGGGTATTATTGTAGAATCCTTTCAACAATTTGCTGATCAGCATGAGAAAGAGTACGAGGTAGATAATGTAAATTTTTGCTAAAAATATCTTGTCATGTTCGTAAAACATTTGCATGGATCTAATAGATGCTTTACTCATAGATGGAGAAACAGCAAAATCGAGCGACTAGTGTAGCAAGTCCAGCGGCACCGTGCTACAAGAACTGTATTCAATTGGCAGCATGCGCGGCCAATCAGATTTTACCGATGAATCCAAATCTACCCGCGGATATATTTACATCGTGTCTCACGACACCAATAAAAATTGCAATACGTTGGTAAGAATTATTACATAAAAGTAGTTAAGCAGAAATAACTTTCATGTTCATTGATATATTTTCTTTTATGTAGGTTTGCAATGCAGAGTACAGCTAATTTAGTTCCGAACATATCGCTCGATCTACTTGACAAGTAAGATTCTATCACATCATTGCTAAATACTTCCCGTGAAATAACAGCGAAATGATTATATGAATCTTCAAAATTGAACGTTTCAGAATCCCTGGCCAATTGACTGATAGAAGGACAATGTTAGGCGAGCTTAATTGGATATTTACTGCAATTACCGACACAATAGCGTGGAACACTTTGCCAAGAGGTGAGTGTTTTCAATTATAAAGATTTAATAATATTAATTCATTAATAAAGAAAATTTAATAATATTAATTCATTAATAAAGACACCGGCACACAATATATATTTTTTTCTTAATGGATTATTTACATATTTATGTACTGGCTTCTTATCTTACTGGATATTTTGCTGAAAATTAGATTACTACTTAGCCATACTGCTGGTTGCTCTGTTGGATTTTCGTAATAGATTTGGTGCTAATTTTCTTATGTGATTCTGCGCTAACTTATTGTCAAAGCCAATCAGGACGTTGCTTTAGATTATCTTTAGTGACCAATGTATGTTTTTTGCTTTAAAATTATTGTTTTTGAAGTAAACGAGAAAATATAAGAAATATAATTACATAGCAGCACAATAATTGATTCGATAATTAAAAATTATATTTTTCTGACAATGTATCACAACAGCGACAGTTTGCTTCATATTTATTTATTTACTCGATGCTTTCCAAGCAGAGTTGAGTTCTAGCTAGTACAGTAGCTCGCACCGCGTGAAGCTAAGCCAGCAACACAGCCAGTAGCACTACTACCCTCACGGTAGCAAATCTAGTTAGCAATTCAGTAGAAAGGAAGGTACCATATGCTGGTGGATTAATACGATAAAATAATACAAAATATTGCTTCATTTATAGATCTATTCCAGAGGTTATTCAGACAGGATTTGCTAGTTGCTAGTCTCTTTAGGAATTTTTTACTGGCTGAGAGAATACTTCGCTCTTACGATTGCACGCCAGTCTCCTGCCCGAAGTTACCACCAACTTATCAAGTAAATTTTTTTCCAACTATTGTAGTCTGAGTCCGAAACAGAAGTGTATCATCGCATATCTTGCTCACATGTATCATATGTATTTTCCTAGCATCGTATGTGGCAAGCTTGGGACATGGCGCTCGATCTGTGCTTAGCACAGCTGCCGACGGTCCTGGATAATGAGGACCGTTATGTGCACTCATCGTTCTTCGAAGATCAACTTACAGCGTTTCAAGTGTGGCTCACCTTAGGATCACAGAGTCGCAATCCGCCTGAACAGCTTCCGATAGTTCTTCAAGTGTTACTGAGTCAAGTTCATAGACTGAGAGCGTTGGAGTTGTTAGGACGTTTCCTTGATCTCGGTCCATGGGCTGTAAATTTGGCGCTTAGCGTGGGGATCTTCCCCTATGTCCTGAAATTATTACAAAGCAATGCCAAAGAGCTTCGGCCGTTGCTTGTTTTTATCTGGGCAAAGATCTTAGCAGTAGATAACGTAAGTCTCGTACTTCTCTATTTTGTTATCCGCTTTTTTTAGTTTATAAATATATTATAGTTTTACATACAATTTTTCAACTGTATAGACCTGTCAAGCCGATCTCGTGCGCGACGGAGGCCATAAATATTTCTTGTCCGTGCTGCAAGATACTTCTACTCCGGTAACTCATACATTACGTCTAATTTTATGCGACATTTACATTCAGACAGTACAGGTAAAATCTTTTGTAACAAAAGTATGTTTGATCGTTACATTTCAGAGCGAGCACAGAACGTTATCTGCGTTTGTATTGGCTAGTATCGTGAACGATTACCGGCCAGGTCAGGTGGCCGCGAATCACGGTAATCTCGTGTCGATATGTTTGGAGCAACTGGGAGACACGAACCCACTGTTACGGCAGTGGCTTTGCTTATGTTTGGCGCGACTTTGGCACAATTACGACAAAGCGAGATGGTGTGGCGTCAGAGATATCGCTCATGAAAAGCTCTTTATGTTACTGAAGGACCCTGTGCCGGAGGTAAACGATTTGAATTGTTTTTAACTCTGTGCTTCCTCCGACTAACTTCTTTCCAACTGATCCAATTAAAATTCAGTTGTTTTGTGACCGTGTCGCATAGTTTATATTTACCATGATCGAGCGCAGTGTAAATATGTTAATGTAAATAAATCGGTTTATAAGATCGGCTGGAACAAAACGCAATGTTGAGGCAGACTTAATATAGGAAAGAAAAGAAAGGATTAAATATATTATACTTATACATTAAATTCTATTCTGCACTTAATGACCATCAATAGTAAGATTATATGTTCATAGTTAATCGAATCAATTATATATCATCATCATCCTGCCAAAATTTTTATCATATTCATAGATCTTGACATGTAATGCTGATGTCCTATCATTATTACAGGTTCGAGCGGCTAGTGTATATGCATTGGGTACATTTATAAATAGTGTTACAACCAGAAGCGAACATGCGAACAATATTGATCAAATTATAGCCATGACGCTTATCAATACAGTGTCTCACGACATGTCGCCCTTAGTTAGAAAAGTGAGTCGCTAAATCATAATCTAGAGTCGACTAAGACCCGCACCGTCAACGATGGATCACGCGATTGCTATTACAGGAATTAGCAGTGGCTCTTCAGTGGATGGTGCTGCATTTCGAGAATTCCTTCGTGACGTTAGCTTTAGCCGAGGAGCACAGTCGGAAGGACCTCATTGTAGAGACTCTGTCACCCTTCAGTGGCATGAGACGCATTAGTTCGCGGGATAGATTAAAGATGCTCTCCCCTAATAATACTTACAGCATAGACACAATCGACGGATTCGGACAAGATCGTATTAAAAGGGTGTCGTCTTCGTCGTCCATTAGCAGTCTAGGTGAGACATAGACAATGTGTTTAAGAATAGTCCAAACTTATCATATGGGGTGGTGTGGCGTTCATTTCTCATTTTATGCTAGCTTCACCTATACAATGACGAACGAATGCTGTTCCACCCTATACTTGTGTTCGAGTACTGGATAACAATTATTTGCATTGATTCTTTCGTGTGCCAGGTAATAATTGGGAGTTCGTGAGGAAACCTTGCGAGTCACTTGGTAATAATGATTGGAAGTTTCGTTGCATGTTCGTACATAGTCCATATTTCGTTTTAGTGCTAAACTATTCTCAATACTCTTCTCGCATAAGCTTTATATGATAGCCTCCCGCTCTTTCTTCTCTCTTTAAGTAAAATATTCCTTACGTTTGAGTGACGCTTTGTGAATTTTGCGCTCTGTTGATCACAGGTCACAGCTCGCTCGGAAATTTACCGAGCCTTTCCTACGGTAGCGTGTATATGAAATTATGGCATGGATTGTGCAATCTCGACAACGATCCTCATCCGGTGGTCGGTGCTATGTCTCACAGAGTGACGAATCACGTTCGTAATAAGGTAATACCTAAAGTTCCACTTGAAGAACTTGATTGTACAATCACGTTGAGTTCTTACGAACGGTACTGTCAATTGACAATTTTAGGTAAAAGCGTCCTCGGCACCGAAAGAGGTAACCGAAACGAAAATCTCCTCCTCGTTGTCTCTTCCGCCATCTCCGTCGAATCGAACTAGTTATTTAAGGTCAGTCGACGTCTATATTTTGCAATTTCTATCTAATTTTAGGTCGCAATGATAATTGTTTCTACTTACTATGCATTAGTAATAACAAAGGAGAATCACCACCGCCCGCTGTCAATTCTGGAACAGATTTGTTGCGTTCTTCGAGAGCTCTACCGCATAGTAGTCGCAATAGGAAACCAGTTCCTAATACGGTAACATGATTGTTTTTTTTTTCCTTATGCTTATCACGAAATCGTCCTAGACGATGTGCGAACTTGTCATCTTCTTTTCTTCTTTGTTAAATATTGTGATATAACTGTCAATTGCAATATTATATTTTATACTATAATTGTACAGATATCTGAAGAGACGGACGAAGTGCCTGGATTCAAGACGCCATTGACTACCTCTCAGTTTGTCGAATGGAGCTGCGCACAGTTTGCTCAACCTGCTAATTTAGAAAACGAAATGGATGATGTAGAAAGCAAGCCGTATCTCGAGCGAGAATGGCGGTAAGCTAGTACTTTCTAATTCCGAATTAATATTCTAAACATCTTAATCATTAGCCATTTATTTAGATTCAATTCTGTTTTAACGAAAGATATTGCTCTCAATTGCCAGATTTATACGCAATGAGAAGCAAAGGCACGATGCGAAGGAGGAACAGCTGCGCGCCCCGCAAAGTAAGGTGGAGTCGCAGGTGTGTCATGTGAGATGTCCGCAATCTCCCCAGATCTTGGTCTTTCATCCGTTCGAGTCGCATTTGGCCGTAGCGCTGAAAGATTGCTTCGGGTATGTGAATATTCTCGTCTTAAAGAACGCTCGCTATATTTTAGATGTGCGATGGAGGGAAGAACCATCCTCTCAACTAACTCTGAAAACTTTTTCAGAGTATGGGATTACCAAAGTGGTGCGAAGTTGACATATTGCGCGAGTCGTGGCAACAAGGTGAAATCGCACGTCACCGCGTTAGAGTTCATCAATTCGCACGACCTGACTCTGCTGATGGCGGGTTCCGATGATGGTTCCGTGAGGGTGTGGAAGAATTACTGCGGCACAATCAGTCCTGATCCAATTTTACTTACCGCCTGGCAGGCTCTGGCAGACGTGCAGCCTGCGACTAAGACTTCCAGTGGTGCGTATCGAGGAACGTCGGGGCTGAGTAGGTATACGAACGAACGAATAAGTACACAATTACCGTGGCAAATTGTCGGTGACGCGTTTCCAGTGACGGCAGGATTGGTCACGAAATGGGAACAGAAATCACTCACTCTAGCAGTAACGGGTGACGTACGCATTGTGCGACTCTGGGACGCTGAAACGGAATTGAAGAAGCAAGATATACCGACAGGCGCGGATTGTTGTACCACTTCCCTCGACGTTGACGGCACAGGTTGGTTGTTTGAGAAAAAAGATTTCTAGAGACGTTGATAGGTTCTCTTTGATAACATTGAATTTCGTCAACGTCACGCGCATACATATATAAAACGGTTTGAAAACGAGAAATTCGATTATTGTATCTTGATGTGTGTTACTTGCGCGGCTTAAACGTAAATTATGTAAAGCTGAAAGTTTTGCTTACAGGTTCGATCATGGCATTGGGCTGCGGTGATGGATCAGTTAGACTCTTCGATCGGCGATTACCTCCTGCAGAAGCAAGAGTTATGACATGGAGGGAACACAGTGTTTGGGTTCTGGGCACATTTCTGAGGAAGACATCAGCGCCCCAACTATTCACCGGCTCTTCATCGGGCGACATAAAGATCTTTGATCTTCGAAAAAATTCTTCCGTCAGCACGATTCAAATAACACCGAGCATCGCGGCATTAACGGCGCATGAAGTGGCTCATATTTTTGCTTGGTAGGCGCACTAAATGTTATCCTACTTACGTCATCACTACGTAAAATTTATCTGAAGCGTGTAATGTCGTATAACTCTTTATAAATTATGAACGATTATTTTTTATATTTCTATAAGTTTCTCACTAGTTGCTTAAAGTAAAAACTTATTCACTCTTTCTTTCTCTCTCATCTTAGCGGCACTACGAATCACTGCATCAGCGTCTACAATACCTCAGGCCACCACCTCAATACGATAAAATTCCACGAGGGATTCATGGGTACGCGCATAAGCCCGGTGAGCTGTCTGAACTTTCATCCGCATCGCGTGGCTTTCGCGGCCGGTTTCGTAGACAGTACCTTCACAGTGTACGAATCGCGCAGATGACCATTAGAGATGGAACACGTGTAAGGTCTTTGCAGATTTTTGTAAATTTATAGCGATTCACGTATATATTCTTTCGCGAATTTTATCGCTCTGACGAAAAATTAGGGCTTCGTGTTCGTATCGTGTTTTTCTGCGAGAAAACCGTGCTGTTAGTTCCTACGGTGATTAGACAATAGTCTGCTCCCCCTCTCCTCACTCCGTTATTTTTGCTAGGAGACACGATCTTTATCTGTTACTTCGTGCAAAGGTGTAAAGGAAGAAAGGTAATTGTTAGCTTTTGTGATAAGCGAGTACCGCGAGTAGATTAACCAAAGTATCTCGAGATGACCAAAGAACAATCCGAAGATACGATTAATCATCGGCAAATAGGTGTGTATGTGTATGTTCTTGTTTGTGTATGTGAGAGAGACTTTAACTTCCCTGCATAATGAAGCAAAAACTATCGCGAGGGAGCTTTGAGCTTTTTGAGTGATAATGCTTATGACCTGTACCGGTGAACTGTCCTGAACTCGACTGTTGTGCCATGCAATCCACTTCTCAAGATGAAGCTATTGGATAGACATTTTTACGCAACGAAGGTACTTCAACTACCGAGTAATGATAGGTCCGAATCGCGACGCGAGCTGTACATACGATAGCTCGCTTCGCGTGCATTTTCATATACCGGGAGGCAGTTTGCGCTGATGTCTACATTTCACTGATATCTCTCGATGATCTTATCTACTTCTTGTTTATTTCTTTTTATTGTCCTCATCGATTAAGTACATGTATGTTTTACATATATGTTAACTACATATATGTTTTGAAAACTCTTAATCGTTACTGATGTCGTACAAACTTATATATAGAGAGATATAGTATACAATGATTACGAATAATTTGATTAACAGTGAGATTCAACGCGGAATATATTTCTTACGCATTTGTGCGCTGATTCCAAGTGGCAATATTAGATGTACCTGCTGCACGTAATTTCACACGTAGGGGATTTGCGGATTAACAACGCAGATACAATCACGCAAAATTATCCAAATAAGTATATGCAATATATGTACACCCACGTAAAACCGAATAAGTGACGAATAAATGGCTGTCTGAAAATTGTGATGTGTGTGTGACAGTATTTTTTATTCAATTGTCAATTTGCGAGTAATTATGTGATTTCCGATTTATTGTTTATACAAATTTATCCGACAGGAGCAATTGCGCCCGTGTTAGAGCTATGATAATACGGGCTAGTTTGTTGCGCGGTTGAATAGCGAAATCAAGTAAAAGTATTATCGCAATTGGCTGATATACCAAGCTCTCATATATATATGTGTGTGTGCATGTGTGATTGTGTGTACGTATGTGTGCACGCATGCTTACGTACATGTATGTAAGAAAGATCGAGATACGTTAGTCGGTCATATCGTTGATTACGACGTGGCTGAGTCGGTCGTACATCGTACAATGATACGTCGCGCAGTAAGACCACTTGTATCGAAAATTACTCGATATATCTTTTTTCCGGTATGTGTTATTAACAAAAGTAACTTGTTGCTTTTGCTGTACAAAACTGAATTGGCGAAAAATAGGCCAAGATATAGATAATTTACGTCGAGACTGTTAAATGCAAAATATATAATGCTATGTTGGGGCTGTCTATTGATAATAATGAATTTACAAGAAAGATGTATACAATGTAGTGAAATTACAATTCTCTACTAATCATTTACAACTGACATCACGTCAATAACAAAATATTTTGTTACTTTTATAATATTTTAAGTTGCTTTATACCGTAATTAACAGAAAGTCAGCTGCCTGCGATTGTTGAAATTGTGCAAAATATTTAAAAGACATTACACGCGCTCCACGCTGCGCGTTAGACGGGTAACTCGAGGAAACTCTTTGTTTTCTTACCATTTAACACCAGTGATTGCATCCGCGAATCATAATATGATTATACACCGAATGATTGATTATGCACCGCATGATAATGATGGATTACACACAACTATTATTTGGCTACGTTATCAATTTATTGATTCCGCTCTCATGGTCACTGTCGCTGCCATTTGTAAAGTACGTTTTTTTGCCGATACTCGCGAGAACTGAGAACAATCCCAGTTTCTTGAACGAACGACGGGCGGATGGTTACTATTGTAACGACGGACACATTGTAAATATACATATGAGAAACGCACCGAGGGAGAAGAAGATGCGCGGGGGACGTCCGTGCGGCTTCTATCCCTTTATATCATACGGTAGTTTTATGATTGACGTCTCCGGGGCATGCCCGATAAGACGACCGAGAGATTGAGGCGTGTGTATTGTAAGAGTTATATTTCCGCTAAATTACACATGTACACAGACAGACGTAAAGAAGTAGCGACGGATGTACTTAAGCATCACTATCACCCGTTAATCATTAAACTGTGTGAAAACCGTGCGTTCCTTTTTAACTAAGGGACGAATGTTGCAAGGATTCTTCAAGAAAATTGATCTCAATGTATGTGTGTGTGTCTATAATTCAGAAAATAAATTTTCCTATTAAATTTGTTTTAAAGCTTTTCGAGGAATAGGAATTCGTTGCAATCTTTTTGCTACGTAAGTCGTGTGTTTCTGCTATATTTGGAATACAATGTTAGATGACACAATAAGTCAAGCGTAAGAAAAGGGAAACGCACGGAGATCATACACAATCGCGTCTGTAACGTCTAGCAAGTCTAGACTGACTTCCATATGTATTATATACAATTGATGACAAACGCGTCGCTACATTGTTATTAGCTAGCAATAATAATGCCGGGGATTCGCCAGTTGATTTATTACGGTACGGGACGAGAGACGAGTGGCAATGCGTCTTGAATCGCATTGTAAGCTATTGTACATTTATGTAATTATGTAATCGCCTCGTAGAACGAAATATAATATAGTCACGTTATGCACCGATGTGTGAATAATTCATAAGCGTGCACGTACATTTTCGTTAACTCTCATAGCTCTCATATCGCATCTATGATCATCTTAACATCATCTCTATATCGTACTGTTTTGGCCATAATTTAAGTTCATAATCACCAACGATCTAATGTGTTTTCCTCGCAAATAAGCGTCTGTCATTGCCGCCCAGAGCTAGATTAGTGGAGCTAGATTAGTGGTTAACACAACGCGCTTGTTTGTACCGAAAATATTTTTCTTCGTTGCCAAGTTACGGTTTTATCTGCCTTCCTATCAAAAAATCCTCTCTTTTATCCACAAAAGACCTTACACGCGTTAATGACCGTCTTTGTTAGAACGGGATGGCAGTCAGGTGAATTATCTCTTTGCGATATTGTCGGAACTATCATGGGTAGTTAAGCTATCACGGGCTTTTTTAATGAAAAATGTACAGTACATATAATAATTATATATTCTTAAATAATTCAAATTGTGGCTTTTGCGAGGATAAGTTTTTAACGCAGAAAATAAGGACAAACAAGAGCATTGCGCTGCAATTATACCTAATATATAAAAGTTATGTATTAACAACTACGGTAGGACTTTTATTCGCTATTTCTCCCGTGTTGAACTTGTAATACATCTCGTTAGAAATTGATTACTCGAATGTGTAACATTATACTGCTTAAAATAAAGCACATGCGGGAGCTAATCCGGTAACTATAAAGCAGGATGCAGCAACGATGTATTTTTCTACTCGAATCTGCTGAAACAGTCACGATGGCTTTAAGAAGCAAACCGGTATCTGGAAAAATTCCAATCTCACAGCGTTTAACGGAAATGTTCACCGACGGGCGCGAAGCGTTCAGACATTCCGCGCGTGCATACCTCGCGACGTCACGCGTCGTCAACGCGCACAAGCGAATTCACTCTGCGCGCATCTCAGCCTTCTTCGCGCTATTGTTATTGCGCTATAATGCGCGCGCGTGCAGCGCGGCGGAGTTGCTCTCATTTTCATGTTCCCATTTACCGTTTCATCATTCGCGAGTATGATCGAGTGCAGCGACCGTGTTTGAACCGTGTTTGAACCGTGCGAAAGCACGTGCGTCGTATAACGTACGTACGCCGCCACGTTTGCGCTGCTTCTGGATCTCTGTTCACCGAGGATGTTTTGACAGATCCGCGTGCGAGCGAAAGAGAGGGAAAAGATCGCGGGGTGCTGAGTGGGGGCGAGAAGCTAACGTCAGAGAGCGCGTTACATCGGTCAGCTCGTGAAGTTAGTCGACTGCGCGGCGTCGGTCGAGGCGCGTTGTGGACGATGTGACGTGCACAGACGCTTACGAACGTTACCGGCGCGCTCTCTTCCTCCGTATCGTCCACTACCTCATTGTCCTCTCGCACGCATGCATTATCCTTGTAATCGTCATCGTTAGCCGCCGTTTGTCAGCTACTGGGTAAACGGGACATCTCAGCCGCGTGGCATCGTCCATTCTATCAGCACGATTGATCGAGAGGACAAGTGCACGGCGCACAATACAATGGATCGATCGTCGAAATTGATACTGCGGAAGGTCATCGTGGACTTCCTTTGCCTGGCGGTCGGTGAGTACGCAGCGAAATTCACCACGCGCTACGGGTGATGATTGCGAAGCTTCCCTGTTAAACCAGTTTTATAGAGAGCGATAAACACGATTGCGCCGTTGACATTGAGCAGCTGTCAAATTGACAACCGAGGTGCTAAGAATGCACGCGCGTGCGCGCGCGCAATTCGTTTGATGTCTGACAGCGTGCAAGAGGTTAACTTCTATAATAGATTGGCAGGTGCGCGTCGTCCGCGTGAGAAACGAAAACGTCATTGCTGTTCTGGTCGTTGATGCCGGAAATATCGTGAATCACCTCGGTAAACGGTTTTGTGTATATACGCGAGATGCACTAGAAGAGCGTGGCGCGGGGGACGAGGATGAAGAGAAAGAGCGTGTGAAATACACGTATCGCGTATCGAAAGAATGCGCGAAATTTTCATTCTTTATTGCTCCAGAATGCGCTGATGCTTTAGATCGTAATGAAAGCCTCGCTTAATCTGCAGTTACATGACTGTCTCAACGGGGTTACTTATTCTCTCCACGATCCGTTACCCGAAAGTCTATTCGGCGAAAGACATTTTCAAAATGGTGAACTTCAATTTATTCGGCAGTCGCGTCGGCACGACTGTTCAGCGTTTGTTTTCACCAGGCCGGGTAGATCCGATCTTTGCATGGGAAGTAATAAAGTTGTCAGAGACAATTGTATCAATATTTCGAACGTAACGATATTTTCTCGAAATTTATGCGATCTTCAATAAAATACGTAATCTTTACCGTATGCGTAATTTCCGAGAAAAATGAGTCATCGATTTTCATATAACATGTGGCTTAACACACACACACACACACACATACACATATTATATATATATATATATATACACATGTATATAGAAAGAGAGAAAGAGAGAGAGAGAGAGAGAGAGAGAGAGAGAGAGAGAGAGAGAGAGAGAGAGAGACATGACCATAATTATAACAAATCAGTTTTATACTTAATGCTTAATGAATGAATACGAAAAAGATAGGCATGGTGTGTCATTGTACAAATAATCTCTGCTTGCAGAAATATTTTCTTATGTGTTCTTGTCTTCAAGGGTACTGATTTTATTTACAATTAGGTCGCGATACCGAATACACACGATGCGAAATAGAAACAGCATGCAACTTCTCTCACGACGAATGGCGATTATTCCCTTCCCATGCGTGTGTCGCTCGGGATACTCGGATTAATAAACATTATTAAATAAAAGCCGCGGAAGGAGAGAGAGCAATGCTCAGATAACGCGCTCGGGCAAATAGACGATAAATCGCTATTTGATACGCCGCTTGCTCGATACTTGGGTAAAATGCTATCGCCTAAATACACGCGATTTCTTACCGCGAGGTAAGAGCATACTTTTCTATATCGTTATCGGTTTTCCGCGCGATAACAACGTACAATGAGCGCGTAACGCGTTAGGATATTTTGCAGCAAGCCGCGTCGTCGTACATCATAAACATCCAGCGCGAGATAGAAACAGCGTGCCGAGAGTTCGATCGATTTAATCTCACAGCACCACGGTGACACAGTTTCCAAGATATGGACAGACGATATGGCGCCTTTGTTTCACGAATGACACGCGTCGATATTTGAAAATCTGGTTAAATTCGCACGTCGTGCAAGAGCTCGTGCGAATTCTCGTTCTGTGCCTATAGAATGTGTCGCAAAATCAAACGGTAAAAGCATCCAGGTTCACTCTGCAGATCATTCAGAGTAGAATTAATCAGAATAATTTCCATTTTCAAGCAATCTCACGTCGAGAGTGATTTTCTTGTCTTGTCGCAACTTCTCTTAATAACCATAACATTTTTTCAAATAATCAATTTATCATTTATGATTTATCAGTTATTATTTATCAATTTTTTGGGATACTATATATTTAACTCTTATTTATATTCTAACTTTTGCGGACGAGTATCCCCTCGACTTTGATTCGCGGAAAGTCCAGCATATTTTTTATATAAAACTAGATTATACATTATATATTAAGAATTAGAATAAAGGGAGAAAGGAAAATATGTTTTATGAAAGTTTTATTGGTAATAATTGAACATAGTACATATTAAAATATAGTGCACATATTAAAATATAGATAACAAGCAAAGAGAAGACGATTGATTAAACTTCGCATTAGCGTCTCTCATTTATTTACCGCCGTGGCAGCGGCATTCGTCCGCAAAGGATGAAATATTACGTCGTATCGTGTACGTTGTATTTTGCAGAATAATAAATTTAAAAGCGATTAATCTTTACATTTCCCGTTTTTTTGTGCAGAATATACGTGAGACAATATTGAATTCATCGTCTTATTATCTTCCGATCATGTTATCAATTCACTGCTACACAAATGCTTTATTACGGTCATTTTTGTCACATGGAAATGTTTTAACTCCGCATCGTATGATTTTGCAAAGTTTTATTTCCTTTAGAGATAAAATCTGAATGATGTTTGATACGGATCGACTTCATTTTTTATGCGATACGTGGCGTCGCCACGTTGCGAGGAAACTGTGTGAAACCGCGAAATGTTTGCGAAGTATGAGGACAATTTTCTTACATTTCCGCTTAGATAATTCACACTTTAGAAATATGTCATTTAACGTTATTGCGCTTCTGTGATGAATTATGACCAATTATTATCCGTGAAATTTTCCATTAAGTCGTTGTTTTCTACAGTTTCGTTGTAAATACGTTCCGAATGCTGAAGCAATGCTCTATTAGTTAATTATTTCGCGTTTCTATGTAAACTTCTACGTAAACTCGAATACATACATTGACTTGCCAATTGAACAAGGATCGCTTTATCATACTCTCAAAATTGAATCCACGCGACTTGACTCGAATTGTTTCGCAGAGGAGAAAAATTGGTTGAATTAACACGACGATAAACGTACCAAACGCGTTTCGGTTGAAGGAAACAAAATTTCTGTGACTTTTATGAACTAAATTCGGCTCTAAGAACCAGAAATAATTTTTTATTCTTTTTCCAGTTTGTTCATCGCCACGTTAATTCAAGCAATCTTTTTTCTCCTCACTATTGATTTTTTTTTCATAACGTAATCGTTAAAATTAAGTCGACTGCCGCGACCTGTTTTCACGGAAGAGATCGTACGATTCTCATGCTTACGCACAGGTAGAAATAAATGCATGTATAATAAGCGATCTCAGCAATTCGCCGTCTATCTCGATGGGAAGACCTTGGCACTATGCAGTCTGCCGACCGACGGAGATTAATAAATTCTTACGGGCAGGCAGACATGAGGTGCGGGGGATAGGTGGGTGGGTGAGAGTCTGGATACCGCCGTCGGTCTGCTTAGAATCAATTCGAGGCCGAGGTCGTTATCCTTGGCCGGCGGCTGACGTTATACGAAACCGCCATTTTTCGTAAGTCCGATTTAATAATCGGGCCTTTTCAGCGTTCGTTAAGGAACAATGCCACAACCCGGCCCCGCCGAGTCTGTCGGCAAGCTGGCACGAAGGAGAAGGTTGAAAAGGTCCGAACCTGCGACACTAGTTCGTCGTGTAACGAGCGTGACGGCCCATTCACGAGGAGATAAGTGATGATTAGATGGCTCCGACAAAATCGCACGGCTCCACCCTAATGAATATACATAAGTCTATTAAATTAGACTTCCCCCGCCCTAAGCCCTCTTCGATACTGGCTATATCGTTTCAGTTATCGACTGACCGTCCGCACGAGAAATTGATCTTTTCGGGGTAATCGTTCGCTCTCTTCCACCTCCCCCCCTCTCTCTCTCTCTTTCTTCCTTTCCTTATCTCTGTATCTTTCCCTTCGGTTGGCTCGAGAATTTATGATGTTTGTATTTCGCAATGTGGCTCTTGTACAGATCGCAATTTTGTTCGGACAGATTTATGCGGGCGATTGTCCGTGCGTGATATATAACGCCCGTTCTGAAATAAGCGTCTCTCACCGGTAGCGCATTCTTCGACAAGACCTCTCGTCTCCGTGTAGATTTTTCTTTAACGACCGTTTCGTCGCTACTGTTTTTGGTGCGTTGTATAATGACAGAGACGACGGGAGTAATGACGGCGTTGGCGAGTAATTAAGTTCAGAAAGGTAAACCGTGAACGAGAGGCCTGTTATTTAACATCGTAAATTAAAGCGCGTGACATTACGTTCTCATTAGACGATGATGAATTTCGAATATTCTCTCTTGACATGATAAAAAAAAAAGAAGATATTTTGCGGACATTTTCATGAGCATGAAAGTTGCAGATTTTTATCTCTCTTATTTCTGCGAGTGAATATCATATGCAGATTTATACAAATTTTATACAAGCTATCGCACAGACGAATATATTTTGAAGTTTCGGACCGTCTCTGGCATATTTTTCAGTGAGATGTACCAGAAACAAGTATATGTTTATGGTTTTATATATGCAGATGTATATTCGAGGAGGAAATGCTACGAAAATGGTGATTCTACGACTAAATATTGACAGAGTTGCTAAAATGTGATAAGATATGAACATCGTTTAGCCAAACGTGACAACTGTTTCGTAAAACATTTAAAATCTGCCGTAACACATCACATTAATGTAATGTATTCGAAATATCGATGTAACTACTAAAGTTTCAAGGAAACGTATTAGTAATTTAGAAGGGTCGCTAGGCATGAGTTTGTCAATATACCGGATAATTTCTATGCATGCCTGTTCATTACTTCACTTCGCGAATACTACTTACGTACTCGGTGTGTGTTGTACTCAATGATACTACTAAAAAAATCAGATATATATGAGTATCAAGAGGCATATATAATTCAAGAACAACTAAAATCTAGAATGTTCAAAGTTGATAGCGATTGCACGTGCAAAATTTGATGCAAGAAAAATGATGCAGTTCGTCGTTTAATCACGAATAGTATCTGCAAAAGTTTAGTTGAGTTGAGCGATACCTCGATTGTTTTTTTGATTTCCTAATTCTTACAAAAATATATATCTGTATATAAATATATACCTGTGTATATGTTCGCGGAATACATCCTGATTATATCCAGATACTCGGAAAATTTTCCCGGTAAATTCAATTAATATTCGCTCGTAATAATATTTGCTCGAGTAATATTTGAAATATCTTCTTTGATATCACAAGTAGTATCAATAATTTTCCTACAATTTCTCAGTCGCGCGCGATAAATGGGGTATCTAATAGATAATTCGTCCACTGATAACCATTCGGAATACCTTGTCTACAAATCGAGACCCATAATGAAATCTGGTGTTTCACGTAGCCTGAAACGACGGCCTGTTAATCGAAAGATACTAATCATTCTGACGTGTAGTCAAGATTATGTATCGGTTGCCTGTTGAGTCATCGATTGGGTGACGACGTACAAATTCGTGGTGATGACGAAAGGTGATATACGCCTGCACTACAAATAGATGTCAAGGCGTCTCTAAAACCGTTGTACCGATGGAGTGCGCATACGTGATCACATACGTTACGTCAATCACCGTCACAAAATTACTCATACATACCTTTGTTATCAGCAGTTGCGCAACAACCATTAGCTTCCTTCTTTTCAGCCGATAACTGTTTACGCCTTAACCGCGCGGAATGTAATGTCGCATCGCTTCGAGTGGCTTCTCCTCGAGTTTTTAGAACCGCTATCATGTTCTTTTTTGCGTAAATATTATTTGATTTAAATTTTATTTATCTTGAATATATTCCTGAAATGTGTCCGCGTCATGTCACGTCTCGAGATTGAGCTTTTTAAGAGTCCAGAGTCCTTCGATCGTGAATGTTCACTTTGTATCATTCGTCGAATAAAGTCCTTGGCCCTTTTCTGTCACTACGTGAGCGACGTTTTACGCATGGCGGCGTAATAATAATATTATTCGTTTTTATTATGTGACACATGCGTAACAGAAGCGCGAGACGCGCGCGATGAGCCGAAAATGGGTCGTAAGTTTCTTGCGCATTTCTTTTCGCGCACTTGTTTCTCTCGGTGGCCCGAAGAGCCCCTGGCCAAACTGTTATGAATTTATGAAATATTGTCACCGCACATTATCGCATGATCGAACGTTTATTTTGAGTGAAACAATTCAAAGCCGACAGAAATTTTTTGTAAATGTTAAAGGCGACGGAGCAGTTTCGAAGTGACTAAGAGCTAACGAAGCTGTTAATTACGTATTGTCCAGTTTTTTTTTAAAACAAAAAGCAAAAATTCTTGTTTTCATGTACAAAATACTCGTTTTAAACGTTTCTAGAGAGAGAGGGAGAGAAACCTCTCGGTAGATATTATTCTTTTTTATTTTCCTTCGCGAATTGCATCATGCATAAATGTCACCGTATTCACGAGTGAATATTTACGGTTATCAAAAAATATCGAATTGATACATGAACATTCAACGGACGTTGTATCTATCGGCATTAATAATTTATGAAATTCTAAATTTAACTTCGTTGCGAAGAAAGTCGAAAAAGGGAGAAAAGAAAGGAAGAAAAAAGCCAAAGCGACGCGAAATCTTGATGTCGCCACGTAACGTTTTCTCCAGATCGTAATCACGGACGCAATTTTTCGGGGGCGCAATTAGGCTTGCAAAACATACCGGGCGACGGACTACATAAATAATAAGCGGGTGCGCGCGACCTGTTGTAGCCCATCGTGGTATTACCTCGTTTCGCTGAGAACAGTATCACAATTATCTCAATTACCGATCGATCGGTCGTCGTCGTCGTCGTCGTCGTCGTCGTCGTCGTCGTCGTCGTCGTCGTCGTCGTCGTCGTGAGTTTCAAGTAGCGGCAGCAGTGGTGTAGTGAAGTTGCAATGTGCACGTGGTTGTAAATTGGGTAAATAAATTATCGTCGTGAGGTGATCTGTAATTTTCCTGGCGATTTTCTTCAGTCTCGTAACGTTAATGTATGCGCTGACAGGCACGCTGCAAAACGAACAAATGTCATCTTGTTCGGGAAAACACGACTGATAATTGAGTAACGTATGACTTTCTCTCTCTTTCTCTCTCGACGTGTTGTAACAGCGACTCTAAAGCCGCGATTCGCGATTGATAAGTTTTTTTTTTCATTTTCTCTAAATTTCTTGGAATGGAATCTCACTTGGAAGGAATGAAAAGTTGCAACATTTTCATTCGAAACGATAGTGAAAAGATTATTCTACCGCTTCAAATTGCAAAAGTACATTTTTTACTCAAGCTTAGAGCGTATTCTGATTTAGAGCGGATTCACTCTCCAATTTTGAATGAAAATATTTATTCGACAATTTAAAACGGAGTGTACACTCTATACGAATTCTCGGTGGTCACTCTACCTTCAAATGAAATTTCACTTCAAGAAATTTGCAATATTTTTCTAATTTTTCAAACTTAGGAAAATGTACTCATGTGTATGCATATGTTATAAAAGCAACATTTTACGGCTCCTTTTTTGCCACCATCCTCTTTACGATAAGCACATAAAGAAAGCGTATAATCTTTTCCAATCTCGCCCTGCGTGTAATTGCGAGAACAGCATTCGCAGATTGTAAAGATTACAGTAATACTCCCGTAACGACAGCTATAACGATAATTATAGCCGATGAGCGGATCAAAGCAATTCCGCGAGTGTTTTGCATGATCACTTGTCTACCACACGTGTGTGCAATTAAATCGTTAACCTCCGTAAATATCACATCTGATTTATTCGGCTTGCTTAATCGCCATTATCGAAAGATCAATAGCAAGTAGTCCGACCTGATAGAGCCATAACATTATTATGCAAGTGCGATTGCAACTGCTGCGACAAGTGCGCTGAATTGCACATTAATATCGAAGGCTCGCGCGAGATGTTTGATCGCCGATTGGTCTCGACAGAGTACCCGGAGATCGATGAATTGGATGATATATATATCCGCGATTGTGCGGCCAATGCAACTTCTAATGAGTTTGTTTGTCTCTCCGTTTGTTTCAGTGGGCATCACGGTGCTGATGTTCTACCTGTTCGGCAAGCCGTACAAACGTGGCTTTTTCTGTAACGATGAGTCACTTTCTCATCCGTATCACGATTCTACGATTACGAGCATGATGTTGTACATCGTCGGCATTTTCCTTCCAGTATTCACGGTGAGTCATCCCGCGTGCGTGCGCGCACGCACGAAATCTTTCGATTCACCGCGAGTTAACGGGGACTGCGATTTCTCCTCCTTGCGGCTCACGCGCTTTGATTCGGATCTCGTCGCGAAACGTCAGAGAAATCAGTAGCAGATGCGCGAGAGAGCGACCGAGCGATTTGAAGGGCTTGTCGCGTGCCGCCGCTTTTCAAGCTTCTCTTTACCCTCTCAGAGGAGGGATGAGAGGGTGGCGTCTAAGAATACGAGGCGCCTGAGCGATCGCATCGCCTACTGTCTGCCGGACACATGTGAATGTAGACTGAGAAAGAAAAAGAGAGAATGAGAGATTGATTGATTGATTGATTGATTGATGCGTTGGTTATCGCTCTAAAGCTATGATCCTCTAAGAGTGTTACGAGAAGCTGTATAGCACAAAGGGGAAGCCTTCACAGATGTTTAAATACCTTTAGATGATATGAATTAATTGATTTTTACAAAGTTGATTTTTACGTTAAATATTATTGTTTTTTCTTGATATTTGTTGATAAAATGAGTACGCTACTCTTTGTTATACACTGTAGAGAATAATTATAATGTATGATTTAAGCATATATGTCGATAGAGTTCTTATTTGAAAGTTGATTTTTTTTTTTTTTTTTTTTTTCAAGGAGAGAGAGAAGGAGAGCATGACTTGTCCGCGCGCTCCGAGATACATCTCTTCAAGTTTCGGTAGTTTTGTGGGAATCAATTTATCTGCTGGTGTCTGGAAGTGGTACACGTGGTGTACACCGGTCAAATATTTTTGCCGAGCCTAAAAAGAAAATAACAGAGAACATCTCTTTTCCCCCTGCTTCACTTTCGAGTACGTAAATCTTTTATTTTGCGTCCTCGAAAAAAAAGAAGCCCTTCGCCTTCGTTTTCTTGATGGAGACCAAGAGGAGAGGAAGTCGCTGAAGAAATTCGTACGTGCTCGTTCATTGCAATCTTCGGTTATTCACAAACGATTTTCCTCCTCCCGACGTGTCGTTGTCCACGTGATTCGTTTACGAGAACGATCGGCACGATTCTACTTACGGTTTACGCCTATTTATAGGTTTCGCGTATTTCTCTTGCTCGAATGTTTAGAAATTTGTGCCAGCTAGCTTCGACGAATACATCGAATTCCAGTGACTCCATGAGATTCTCGCTCTAATAATATTAGAAAGGCCTACGGTCCGTCATTCCAAAATTAAGTTTCGCCGCCGCGAGTCTGAAAAACCTGAAAGAAAGATACGCCGCGTCGCGCGCGCCTCGTCTCGCGGGCGTTGGTTCCGGTTATTTCTGGACCTGTTACACAATTTCTCGTCTTTTTTCATCGCTCCGAAGTGTCTCCGAAGTGAATTTTCCGTTTGATACGCGCGTCACGCCCTCCGATCTGCAAGCTGCATCGTATCGTAGCGTAAGATCGATGTATGTTAGATTCATTGGATTTCCTCCGCGAAACTACAAATAGCTCGCGAGCGCTTGTTCGAGATCTATCATTGCGATTCGCAATTTAAGAGAACTCACAACAACGCGCGACTCCTTTCACTTCGGGCGAGAGCAAACATTTCGAGAAAACGTCATCGCACAATGCGACACGCGGGAAAACCGCTCCATCTTCGGGCTGTTTTTCCTTTTAGCCAGTCGGTTCCGAACGACTGGCAATTCTCCATTTCGCTCTCGACTCTTCAAACGTCAAGCGGCTTATTGCTCTTTTTCGCCCTCTCGTCGCACCAAATACGAATTAACGCTGTCACCGCGGGGCGAAAGCAGCGAGTAATTTCGAGCGCCGTGCATAATTCAGAGCACGTGAAATTGCGTGCGCTCTTCGTGCATGTGTGTTAGTGCGGGAACGAAGGAGGACGGAGGGATGCGAAAGAGGACGAGAAAGGGAGAAAAAGAGAGAGAGGGAGGAAGAGAGAGGGGAGAAGAGAGAGAGAGAGAGAGAGAAAGAGCGGATGAATGCGCGTTAGTCTCGTCAAAGGATGATCAGGGCACAAAGAAAGATTCTATTATAATATAATGGCGCAGATTAAAGGGGATCGTATTTCCTGCAGCGAGTCGCGTGCCTATTTTCAGCGACAAGCAATTATGCACGTTTACTATAATCTGCAGAACGTCTAGTTTTTGTGGACTCCATAATGGTCCCAGCCGACCTCGCGGATTTTCTCGCACGAGTTCGGAGACGTATCTTCTGCAAGCAATAATTATATAACGATGCGTTGTTATTTTATTATTATTAAGTTTCAATCAAGAATCTCAAGGTAACCGTCAGTTCTCTTAGTTTGAGACACTCATGGAGGAGGAATTTTTAGATACTTAGTCGACCATAGCGCAACGATTCATCGCGTCCTTTTAACCCTTTATGTGGCAGTGGTAAATATATTTGCCACCTTTTTCTCATTCATTTTTGACGTGTTGTTTAATGAAAATAAGTATAATAAGTATAATCTAACATTTTTCTTATATATTAGTATTAGTATTTATCTTACATGTTTCCGATGGTTTTTATATCTGATTCATCGTTTTTAAATATTTATAAACAGATAAAAGTTGAGAAAAGCGATTTAAAAGAAATGTAATTTCTTGCAAAGTATTTAAAATTAGAGACTGAAAATTTTATTAAATATTTTTCACATGTTAAATTACAATATCTATCTTTTCCGAAATTTTTCGCAAACTAGATTTTTTATGATTGCAAATTACTTAAATGAGTTTTGCAAATCCGACAAAAAAGTCGCAGTTAATGATCTGAGAAACTTTTATCTCTTTATGTGTATTAGATTTATTTTTACACTGATTTATCTCTATATGGCGTTCATATTGGATCTGTCATTTACAATTTTTGAAACCTAATTCCAAATTGAGATTAGCTAATTGAGATTAGCGATCCAAAATATATAGAAACGCAAGATTTCACAGAAATCTGTCGGGTAGAAAAAATATGCCACAGAGCAAAGGGTTAATTAATATCCTATCTCCTGCGTCCATCACATCGCGCGGTCTCTCCCCGCGTCGTGAATTTAAGAGGCAATTACTAAAATGAACGGCAAACAGCATTTCCATCCGAGTAATAGCTTTGGTCACGCCGCCGTGGGGACTTGCTTACCATGAAAATATTCGCGCTTATTTACGTAGTCGCGCGTAGTGCTAGATGAAAGTGGATCCGTCTCCGATTCCACGATCGCCCTTTACGTTCGTTAAGCGAGCGTGTCACAAGTTTTGTTTCTGCGTTTTCTGCCAGGAGAAAATGGCGAGTAATTATATCACGCGGGAAACACATCGCGCTGTTAATTTAACTCGATAAAAGTGCGCGCGCCGTGATTAATCGTGAAAACGAAGCGGAGATAAATCTTAATACTTTTCTTCGCGCGTTCGCGTGGGATTACCTCACGTTGAACTTCCCGCGGAGAAGCCACGAGTTCTTTCTACTAAGAAGAGAGAAATGACCGCTTGTGGATATACTAGTTATATCTCGGGAGATATCGAAATGTCTAACGTTACGCGTGAGAAACTCGCGAGGAAGTCACACGGCATCTCCGCGGAAAAAAGCTAGTTACACGAAATTAACGATCGCTCCGCGAACATCTGACACGTTCTTGATTAACTATTGCGCGATCGCGTTGTAATTATAGCAATTTCACTATCGGTGATAGTTTCGAACACGGGTTGACTTTGCGCCAATCGAAATTATTTCCGCCCAAAAAACGATATATAGATTTGCTCGATTGCATGAAATACGCGATATCAAATTGTCAAAATTGTTGCGTGAAATTCGTACAAGACGGACTTTTTACTCAAGTAAATTTCGTCGAATGCTTTCCACAAAACGAATCGTGATACATCGACTCTTTTCCTCGACGTCCGCCGTCTCTATTTAACGGGATTCCCTGCACCCACCCACCTTTCTACCTACCTACCTACCTATCTACCCACCTACCTACCTACCTACCTTCGCGTTCCTGCGCAGCGGTTTTATAGCTTTTACAGGTACGTGCATTCCTGTACCTGCGCGGCGATCCGAGAAGGGTTTTTCTCCTCTCTCTGCAATCCTTCTCTCTACGAATGAAGTGAATCTCTCACGGGGTTTCTCGTGGCCGATTGCCTTAATCTCCAGCTCCTTCTCGAAAAGGAGAAACGGATCCTATCTCGCTACGTCGCTTTACATTTGATTTGAGAGCTCAGCCTGCGACAGAGAGGACAGATAAAAACGACATGCCGTGAACATGTATCACCTGACACTAGTGACTTTTGTCCTGGGATTTAGACAGTTAATCTTTTCTTCTTCCTTTTTTTTCGAGGATATGTCGAAGAATCTGAGAAATGTATATATAGAGGGAAATGGCTGCTGAGAGAGGTGCGTTTTCTTTCTCGGGAGTGCCATCGCATGTAGGCAGCTATTGGATTTTCCTTACGGCTCGACGAGGGTCGTAAAGCAGTGTCGGGATGAAAGATTGTATCACAGGTAACGTACAAGCTGTCTCGAACGTGTCGGATACTCAGCTGGTGATTCTTCATCAACAAAGACCAAGTCGATCTTTCTTCGGAGGAAACATTGCCGGTTCTTCGTTCTCCTTCTAGGGATTCTCGCCTCTTGTTATTGTCAATTTGTGTGATTAAAGATGCAATGAACTTTTCCCCACAATGATGTGCAGCCGAAGATAACTAGGAAATTACGTCGTCCACAGGTTTTACGACGATTCTGGAGTTTTAATGGGGGGACACTTTACGAATAAGACGACGAATATTTTAATAACAGGAACTGTTTGTGGAGAAAGTCTGTGTCATGCATATTCATGTCGAATTTGTTCACAAGCTAAGATTCGCGTCTTGATTTCAGCTTATTCTAGGAGAGTTCTTGCACGCGAGACATTGCACCGAACAAACGGGGAAGGTGCTGTTCGGATATTCCGTACCTCTGTGGGTGTGCAACGCTTACGAAAAGGTACGTCTCGCGTTTAATTGAGAGACCACCACCACGTGACGGTCGTCTGATGGCGAAATAAAGTAAATAAAATAAAATAAAACGAAGCAAGTGTAGTAGAAGTAAAATAAAATGGAGAAGCCCGAGGGAGATAACATAATGTAACATTCGTAGGTCGGTATATTTCTCTTCGGCACGGCGTGTACCGTTTTAATTACGAACGTCGCAAAGTACAGCGTAGGCCGGCTACGACCGCACTTCATGACGCTCTGTGTGCCGAATGTCAACTGTACCTTGCCGGAGAATCAGTATAAGTACATCGAGAACTTCGTCTGCACCTCATCGAGCATCACGGCGATGCAGTACAAGGAATTGAGGTAAAGGACCTATTCTTTCTCTCGGCGAGAGGTATCTCCTAAAGGTTTCCTTTTTACTAGAGCTACCGGAAAGTCTTTTCGTTTTTATTATAAAACTTTGCATGAAAATAATAAAGTAAGTTCGATCTTAATCAAAGTTGATACATACACAATAAAGAAATGTTGTTAACTAACCTGGAATTTTAATTCTGCATTAAAATTAAGAACCCGTACTATAACCACGGGAATCGAAAGCTTTAAGATTAACGAAAAGACTTTCCGGTAGCCCTAATATTATCGCATCCTAATCGCCCTGTACGTTATTCACAGTTAGCGGACGGATAAGAAGAGATTATTACTTCCATTTCCGACGGAATATCGATAACGTTTGAGGCGTTGAGGCATCCTCTTTCTTTCGCTCGCTCTCGCTTGGGTCCTCGCGGCTTTATTCCTGCCGCGGCTTATGATGCCGATGTGACGCCGGTCAGCAATCGGCGGGGCAATAGCCTGCTGCGCGATGTGTCCGAGAACACGAGCCAAACTGTTTAGATCGCGTGACGGTAACAATTGCGTCGGCAATTACAGGCCACGGGCGAGACGCGATTGCACGAACGAATTGCGAAGGAACGAGGAGTGGAGATGAGACAGTCGCGTGCGTTCATTATTTTTACTTCATTGACGGAGAGCCGCCGAGAGAGAGAGAAAGAGAGAGAGAGAGAGAGAGAGAGAGAGAGAGAGAGAGAGAGAGAGAGAGAGAGAGAGATATGAGAGCGTGCAAAAGCGAGGCGAGCTTGGTGAGAAGGCGAGACGAAACGGTAATTTACAGTAATCAAAGGGGGACATTATAGTAATCAACGCGGAAAGATGTCTACGACGGTCGCTGTAAATCGATTCGATACTGGACTCGACTCGACTCGCCGCCGACATTTCGCTCTCGTTACTCGGCCATTGGATTATTAGCCGTTTGTCCGTCCCTGCCTGCCTCTTATCCACTCATTTGTGCTCGTGTTTTTTCAATTGTACGCATTACCTTCATTAATTTCCCTCGTTCAGCGAATGAAATTTCCGTGATTTCGAAAGTGCAAATCGAGTGGAGAGATTCAGGTTCTCATGGAGAACGAGAAACGCGTAGCAAAAGAGACGCTTGATCAGAAAAGAAATCCGTCGGAAGGAATTTCAATGGGCCTATTTGTGGTTGAAGCAATGCCGCTCAGGAACACCTCGTTCCTTTTCCTTCCCAGCATTAACTCGCTTCTTTGTGCCTCGAGAGGCGCAAAGCGCAACTCATTTCAGCTCAAACAGAGCAGATCTAACATGCTGATGAAAAATTGAAAGTCGCTTTCTCGGCGAAAGTCCGATCCGAAGTGGTATCGCGAGCGTTGTTAAGATGCTCTGCCCTGTTTGACGTCGGCGAGATCGGCAATTCAAGGTTCGCTAAGGCGTTTCCTGCGAATCGATCGCGCACACCGCGTGTGTGGCCTTTGTCGTCGGCCGTTGTACGTAGGGCAGACCTTTTCGCGTCCCGGACGTGTGCGTACCCCGTTTGCGGGCCGGTTTTAACGGATATGCGCGCATAAAAAGAGCGACGGTAGCGAATGACAATGAGCAACGCCGCCGGGCAAATTCGCAGCGATTCGCACGAGTGAGGTTCCCCGCTCTGTCCCCCTCCCTCCCCCCGTCTTCCTCTCTTTTCTGCGAACGGCAACGGAAATGCTAGTGCACGTCCAAATTATCCGCGTACGCGCCCTGCTGATTGTTGCGCGATTCGCCATCGGTAATAATCACGCTTATCCCGATTCCCACCCCTCGTCTCTCCTTTTGTTGGAACAATCGGAGCTGCTTCGAGCGTGTGGTTTTTATAATATATATATATCGACCCGAAAAAATTTCAATCACAACACCGAGATTACCTCGGTATATTCGAATTTCGGTATTAAGACTTTTTTAGAAAGTTGTCTCACTTTTTAGATTTCGGCAGTTCTTTTCCTCGGGACGATGCACGCCAAGCTATTTCGCGCTTGTCGTTTCTCCCCCTATCGACTGCGATTCTGCGAATTCAACGATTTTTCGACATTGCATGCGTGGTACGACATTATGCTCTCCGCCGGTTAATTTTCCGAGGATAACGCTGGCGAGCGCAGTTTCCACGTGACGAACGCATTCGATCCGCGAGAGCGAATTAATTGACTTCCCGACGCCTCTAGACTTCTAGACGCCGCCGGTGGCGAACCATCTGAGACACGTCTCTCCCGTCGCTCTTCCTTTTGCACGGGCAATTTTCGCTTTCAATTTACTCGGCAAACGCGGAACGGAGAGTTCCACAAAGAAGGCGAGACGCGCAAAGCGAAGGACTCTCGAAGCGCGGAATAGAGCGCGTCGGACAGCGCGGAGAGCGACAAAGTCCGAAGGATTGCACGTGGCTCATTATTCGAAATAACTCGCCGGCCCCGTTGCAGTGCGTTGCGGTGTGCACGTCATTATCCTAAGTCGGGAAAACGCGTTGGAAATAAACACCTGCACGAGGACGACCGACCCTCACCATATTCGAACATTACACGCTGCAAAGCAAGAAAATGCTGCGGAAACTCACGAATAGGAATAAAAATAGGAGGTTTTTTCAGAGGGATTCAATGCTGTTCCTCTGAGTCCTTTTTCCAGAGAGTGTAAACGCTTTTGATCAGTCCTTGGATCCTTCTTACAGCTCGACGAGAGTCATAAAGCAATCTCACGAATACAAATGTGCATCGTTTATTTTTTATTTCTTTTTCGTGTCCGATATGTCAGACTTTCTCGAATGTTGCGAAAATAAAAACAACTCTCCTCGGGAAGCTGTCTTTTAGACAATGCGACACGGACACTTGTGTGCGCGCAAGGACGAGATCACGTCACGTCGATTCACCGAAAAAGGCAAAAGAACTTGTTGCGTAACGTTATTTGCCTGTCGTCGTTGATGCCGCGTTGTGAAACGCCACGAAACCGGCCCGATCCGGATTCCCGCGAAAGACCCGCGCTGTTAAATACACGCGGGAGTTATCTCGAGGGTTCATCCGCGATTCTCCATGATACATTCGGTGTACACTTAGGTTCCAGAGTCCACGGAAACGTGCGACGCGTGAAACGTCGTATAATAAACGCGCTGGTTTTTCCTCTACGTCTCTCCTCTGAGAAAGGCAGGAAGAAACAGAGACCGGGAGGAAGAACGGTCGGGCGTCATCATGTAAGCGGGCAAAAAGGAGGAACAATCTGCGTGTATGTATTTGTATATGTGTGTCTGTGTGCCTTAACGAGGCGGCTCTTTCGGTGGCGGTATCGCGTTCGGTACGAACGTACTCGAGCGTATCGCGGGTCATCCGCCCTTCGCGGCGGCGGTTGCGGCAGCAAGGACAGTTTTATGTATAGAGAGAAAGATTTAAGGAATGGAGAGCGATATAAAGAGGCGCTACACAGAGTATTCATTCATTCGTGATGCCCCGTCCGTCAGGGCCCGACGTTCGCGCAGGTCGGTGGCAGAGTCGAAAGGACGCGTCGAATCAGACGGAGAGAAGACGACGACGGCGACGGACAGTCGGTGCGTAGGCGCACGACGAATTTCGTTAACTCATCTCTCAACAATGTCACCTCCGCAGACACTTCGTGAGAGCTTTGTGAGCCTCGGACGGACGCGTTTGATGAGGGCGGTAGGTAGAAAGTCGGTGGCTGCTCGTCTGTCACAGACATGCCCTAGTTTGTTCCACCAAGTGCGAAATAGCATCTACGCAAATCTGAGGACTAAGAATGAGCGAGGGAAAGATATTTTTTACAGCCAGGTCTCCACGAAACGACTTATCTCACGAAGGAAAATTGATCGACAGAGTCATGTTGCAATGCTCCTTTGCCCGGCTAGTATCGAATCTGGAAAGCAACGAACGCCAAGCTGCAGGTCCTAATTAACACACCGGGCCTGTCGAATTTTTTATGAGCTCTCTCTCTCTCTCTCTCTCTCTCTCTCTCTCTCTTTCTTTCTCTCCGTTCCTCTCTGTCTTCTTCTCTCCTCTCTATTAGAGAGAGGGCAGGATCGAATCCCCGTGATGCCCCCTCGGCTTTCCTTTTTTTTTCTTTTTACTCGTGGGATCCACATACAGCCACGCGGAACCTCGTCTCGCCTCAATCTCTTCTTCATCTTCTTCGTATTCTCCGCGCTCGCGGCTACATGTTCGCCGCGATCATAATCGGCACGCTGCACGCCCCGGAATTAATCGCGATAGAATTAATAGCCGGGCCATTACGCACGACGGATCTTCCTTCTTTCCCTTTCTCTCTCTCTCTCTCTCTCTCTCTCTCTCTCTCTCTCTCTCTCTCTCTCTCTCTCTCTCTCCCCCCCCTCCTTCATCCACCTCCGCGCGCCCTGATCGATAAATGAGATTTATTTGACACGGTACGATTGATCGTTTCAGATTATCCTTTCCCTCCGGTCACTCGTCATTCTCGGCTTACACCATGATCTACCTAGCGGTAAGTTGTCCAGGTTGCGCGTTGCAGGCGCATCAATTTGCATGTAAGGGCCAGATTGTAATCGCTCGGCAGGTCTAATACGAGCGTGTTGCAAGTCCGAGGAGCCGATTTGCATAATTTTATGTGTGAAGCATCGAGATAATGTGTTACGCAGATTCGAGCTTTCTTTACGACAAAGTCGAGTCGTCGCGATAATCACGTGCCGATTGTGAGAAATTTATACGTTGCAAGTATAAAGATATTAATATAATAAGTTATGTCAATAGAGAGAGAGAACGAAAATAAATGTTCGAGGTACTGACTATCAAATATATTTATCATCAAAAAGATCGGAACATTTAATGAGGCTTGGAGACAAAACAGTTCGATAACGTTCATTATTTCGATCAAATTAACGAGAGTTGTATTCAAGTGATTTATATAATTGCGTTTGGGAGATATTTTTCACGTTCTTTGAAAGTTTTCTACTTGTAACTCAGATCTGTATTATTCTCGCCACCTTCATGTTTTAATAACGAAATTTTGCATAACAGAGATATCGATTTAACTCTCATCTAATGTCTCATGACTCGACACAAGTTTCTCGTCTTCGGGATTCGTTCAATTTTTTTCTCTATGTATACGTTTTCTCTATATAGCCGTACTTTCGTGTAAAAAAAAAAAAGAGAGAGAGTGCGACACACAGAATTGTTTTTAGATGTACCTTCAATTGCGAATCAGGTGGAAAGGCAGCAAACTGCTGAAACACTTTCTCCAGCTGATATGCCTGCTCATGGCTTGGTTTACCGCGATGTCGCGCATTTCTGATTATAAGCATCATTGGAGCGATGTACTCGCAGGATCTGCAATCGGCATCGTCTGCGCTCTAGTGGTGGTGGGTATTGGACTCCTCGGTCCCTCCATTTCTTCTGCGTCCAGAGAAGTCTCCGCTATTCCCGAATTACCAGTGCGTAACATTTCTCTGAAGTCATTGCTAAATTGATTGTCGTTTACCTCCAGACGCTCTACATTGCGGATCTCTTTGGCGAAGAGAAACAATATCCCGTGGAAAAGCATCAATCCACTGATTATGAGACGGAGATTGGCATGCAGGTGAATAATGGCACCGCTAATCACAACTATTGACCTAACGAGCTCGCTCTTCGCTTGCTGACCGCAACAAGGCCGTGACTGTCTTCTAGCTGCCTCTGGAAAGCTAAGACCTGGTCACTGTTGACGGACATGAGATCTCGAATCGGAATGTCGACGCGACGTAGTTCCCAGCCTCGGGTCCTTAGTGACGAAAATTTTTGGCCCGCAGGAATTCCTTCCATATACCTTGAGACAGTACACTGCCTTACCGTTTATTCCGAACTACTCGTCATAAAATAGAGGATCAGTTTGATCGATTTTGCTTTCGGGCGAGCGTCACGCCCGATCTTTCGCATCCGATGATCCGATGATCTCTTTGAAGCTTGTCGACACTTTATAAATGTTATATGAGGAACAAGAAAAATAGAAGAAAAAAGAAAAAAAAGAAGAAAGAGAGGGAAAGAGGAAATTTGGAAAAAAATGTGATTTAACACGCGGTTGATTGTGTGTTCTTTTTGTCTTTCATCGTCGAGCTTTGTATGGTCGGTTAGACGCGGTTCTGGTGCGAAGAGCGATATTTGTTTTGCAGCGAGAAGTTGCAACGTTCTTTTTCCGTTTTACATTGAATTCTTCTGTTTTACGTTTATTTAGCTTTTAATGTACGATATATAGATGCGCTTTAGGAGCTTATGTTCTCTCTTGTTGTAGTGTCGCGTGGTCGTGATTCAAACGGGAAATGAAAGAATTGTCTTTGTAACGCGCACTATTTTATAGAGTATTGCCGATGGAAGAAGTATTTATTTCTCGGGCGCGACATATTTATTTTTTATGTCCGATGGATGCTTCGTCCTTTTTATTGTGAATGACCATGTGTTTTGTATTATATTTTAATTACGATAGGTTTTAAATTATAGCTTATGCTGTGTTTACTACTCGAACGGCTTATCTGTGCCGCTTGCAGTAATCGAATACTATGCACGATACAATCTATTATGTATGAGCGTCGTTTGTGTGTATCCGAAATGAAAGGTATGCCACACTCGGCGACGATGAGACTGGATGGTTGACAAGTGCGAATGCGTAATAGTATTTAAAGTGTATCTTCTACGAATCTTTCTTTATTGTCTTTTTACAGTAGTATTATTATTTTTGTTTCGTGCATACGCAAACGACGCTCTTCTTGTGACAACCTTCGTGTATTCGAATATATTAAATATATATCAAGTCTCGAATATACACATCTAGGAAACTATTTTTCGAATAGCTCAGTTTTTTCCGTCATATTATGCATGTTGGCCTATTCTATGAGAGAGACGGATGTAGATCGCAAAATAGAATCACGGCCATTTACATGAATGTAAAAGAGACTCGGAAAGAGATGGTCGACAAAGTTAAGGTATAAATCAATTTCGACTTTACCCATATAAGTATACATGCGACTTAACGCCGTAATTAGTGATTGCGAATTAAACGTTATAATAAGTCTACTATAAAACGTGACGATAAGCTGCCACCAGTAAGAATTGCGATCACTCTTATTCGTGATATGAGCTGAGACTATACAATATATTCTAAGGAAAATAATCATCTTTATGAAAGTAAATATCTGATCATCGAGGTATCTAGAAATTTATTCCACAACATTTTTATATTCGTTTCCACATTTCCGAAGTATTCACTTCTTTGCTCAAATGAAGAAAACTAAAAAAATTTTTCTTTTCCTCTTAGAAACAACGTTGTTCTGCTTTCAGTTTAAGCAATTTGTCGCCAGATTATTATTTCTAACAAAATATATATTTATTAATGTTATATAAAATTATATATATATATATATATATATATTAATTATACATTAATATGATAGATATAGTAAAATCACAGGACCTTATAGTTGGTTACTCGTTGTTAGTGATCGATTGCTACTTTCTATATGACTTCTATGCACTCGATACGTATCGAAGGTGCATATTACGTGTAATTAATCCTACACGTATTTAGTTAGAATAGACGGTACACGATATATGGTGCTCTAGAGATCATTAAATATATGTCGGCGATCCATTTAATTAAAAAGTATTTATCTCGATAGAAGGAAAGCCGCGTACACATTTGCATATTGATATATAAAAATCTTTATTTATTTTATAACAAACTATATACACATGTATATCTGTATATACGCGTATATACATTGTTACACATAGAACAATACTGACCTCAATTTTAATTTGTTGATAAATCCATTTATCATTGTTAATCTGCCATTTTTCTGACACCTTAAGCATTTTTAATTAAAGAAAGCAAATCTAAAGTTTTTTCGGATGAAAGTTTAATTTGGATTTATAGAAATGTTCGGTACGGAAATTAAGGTTGAGGTATTTATTGAGACATTCGGTACTCATATATATATATATATATGTATATATATATATATATATACTTCGTGTATTTAATATACAACATTTAACATGTTTATCTTTAATATTTTCGCGACGACGTACTAATGGATGTATCCGCTTTCAGATCAGAAAGCCTAATAATCAGATTGCCTAAAACATAATATTATTAAAAGAGAAGGTTAACGCGCCTCGAAATTAGGACCAACGAAACATTCGTCGTCGTGAATGTGTTAAGTTAGCCAAATTAGTGACACAAGTCACATTTTCGCATTTAGTAAAATGCAACAATTGAAATCAATCGACCACACGATACGGCGATTGATTTTCTAGATGCGAGATCACGATGTTCATGTCGTCGTAGATCATACATACCTTTGATCGTGTTAAGAAGTAGCACAAATAACATGAAAAATAGATCGGGATCATGTTATATAACGAGACCAATATTGTACGATTAACTAACGACTCTCAGCGATCTACGCCTACTTATCTACGCTCTTTAAATGAAATTATATTATGTATTACGATTCTGGTAAGCATGTCAATTACGCGAAACTCGTCGTCGAGAGCGAAACATGTTTCGTGCGAGCCGCGTACTCGATAAAGCTGTACGGTAGATAATAAATTATTGAGTTATACAAATCATACGTTCTATCCTTAATTTATCACACGGATTCGTAGCACCAAAAAGAGAAACATTGAGAGGACATAAAAGGAAATGCGTTACGTCTAGCGACATTTACATAAGATAAATAAAAGTTGTTTTGATTCCGGATAATTATTGAGCCTGTAAGTATATGCACTTAATAATGAAAATGGTTAATTGACAAGACGACATGCATTACTGCACACAGTATAAATCTTTTTATCGAATTTAACATATTTCATATATCATCATCGGTTCACCGAAATTTTTGTAGAATTTTAACACAAGAGAAGAATGTATCAAAAAACAATATATATGATGTGTTATGTTAACGTACTGATATGTTAAAAAATTAAAAATTTTAACAAAATCCGGTTTTGACACAAATATACAAAGTTCTTTTACTGTATAATATGCATGTGCTATATGTGTCATGAGTATCACTTAGGTAAAATTCATTGCAAAAGTCGCTTACGATAAGCTGCATTTTTGTATTATAATCTTAAACGTGCTCATTTAAGTAATTACCTATACAGCACAAAAGTTGCAGCAATATTTCTGCAACGTTGAAACAATGTTGTAGCAACGTTTTTTCAACTTTGTTTATGGGTTACGGCTTCGCTTGATAATGCATTGTATCATGCTTGTGATATGTTTACTTTCTTTACCAACGATGCGTTCCATTTTACTCGCCCCTATTAATTTTTACAATAGAACTGTTACAATCACATAATAATTTGACTCATAAATCAATAGAAATTTGCGTGAAACTAGCGCGGAAAGATTGAAAAAAGAAGAGCAATCCCTCATTCGTGTATTAAAATACATCATAAGCTATTAAAATATGTTAAAAGAACATCTCTTGTTTGGTTTTGTTCTGACGAGATATTTCTGTTAATTGCAGGATGAATCGATGCCGCTACGAATGAGAACGCAAACATACGGCGGAGTTAATAATAGTACACAGGACACCGTGCGTGAATCAGATACTAATTAATATTTTCGTTTGAACAATTGATATGTATTATATAATGACTTCAACTGAACAAAGTTAACGAAATTTCAAAATAACTGCTCAAGGTATCTAGATTTTTTACTTATCTATCGCATTTGCGACGAGTATTTTCTATGTATAAGATAATGAAGGAAAGTATTGATTAGAAATTAAATTCATACAAATTTAGATACGCTTGACTACTTCTTATATATCTATATATTCGTAGCACTTGTACTTATTTAATAAATGACATTTAACAGTTGAATGAACACGACAAATCCTTCCAATAAATATTTACATATCGCAATTACTGAATTGAAAAATTCAAAATTATTGTTTTATTGATTAACTCAACACGTGAATCTCTGTTGATTATATATTTTTCAAGTTTATATTTTTTTATACGTTTGCCGCGCGCTTATCGAATTACCGGATATTAGGCTGTTCTTAACTGCAATATATTGCACTTTTTACATTTGGTGTAAAAGAGAAAGAGAAGAAAAGCAGAAAGGAACATGAGAGCGACCAACACGGCGTTTTCGGCGACACCGACTTTCCGCAGTGGGAAAGGGCGCCATCTGCATCCATTTTGAGAGGGGAACTACGATCTACATTCACTTTCAGGTTTTAGCGGTAAAACCTGCGTGTGGTGGCAGTCCGTACTACATCCACTTTCAGGCGGTTTATGTCCGTGCTATATCCACTTTCAAGTGGTTTATGTCCGTGCTACAACCATAATAGCGTACTTGACAAGCACGGTTTCGCATATTGTTACATGTTTATAACATGAATTAACATGTTAACATGTGCAAAAAAGAAAGAATTGACATTGTGTATGATTAATATCATGAAGATCACGAAGTGTCCGGTAATTAGCTGCCAACCCAAAGTGAGGGTAGATTGGGTTGAGACAAACATAAAAGTCCCATACCGTTTTGCGAGATTCGCAATAATTATCGAGTTATTAATGACAGAAATCTGAGGAGTAGGAGCGCGCCGACATAGATGATTGGAGAAGCGTTGCAGTTGCTCAGGGCAGCGATCATGAATCTTTTCCCTAGCGTGAACTAGTGAAAAGCGAAAGACTTTTGTGAATTAGTGAAAAATGAAATATTTTATATGAATTTGTGAAAATCGAAACATTTCACGCGACAATTGAGTCGTTCAACATGGCAATTGCGTTCTGGATAATTCTTAATGAATATCAAAGAAATCAACATGATCAAAATAATAATGCCCATGTAGTCCGAAGGATATTACGTGACACGCAAAATCCGTTTGATATAATATCCAAAGAATATGTTTCAAAATACGTATGTATAGGTAATATAAACCTTATGATGAGATACTATAAAGACTAATGGCCTTACGGGACTTAGCGTACCAGAGAAATTTCCCTGGTAAGACACCAGTACCGCGATTCTGTAACTCGTTATTGGAGTTAACGACACTTTCGTTATCGTTGCGCAGCTTTTGTATACCGTAGAAAAGCTGCGCAACAATAACGAAACTGTCGTTAACTCCAATAACGAGTTACAGAATCGCGGTACTGGGCGAAAGAGACGGAGCTCGCGACTATTTTGTCACGCTTATGGCCGTGTTCCAAAATTCACTGTCAGTACTGAAAATATATAGTTTATGTCATGCAAACTATAACTTTTCAGCGCTGGCAGTGAATTTTGGAACACGGTCTATATCATCAACTCCCGCTTCAATCTCCCACTCTCGATAGAGTCTGCACGATCAAGCGCGAGTTATGAAGATTCAGTTTCCGCGAAGAAACTAGTCGGAGGACGTTCGCAGTCGCGGTGGAATTTAAACACTTGCGTTCGCAAGGGTCTAACATTCTTCTCGCGAAGGGACGCCATCGCCCCTCTTTTCACAACGGTGCGGATGTTTAACACCTTTCTTCCTTATTTTCCGCGAGAACGATATCGCGACGAGGCGCTAACGAGGCAAGTTTGCTTATAACCAGCGTTTATGTCAAGAACGCTTCTCAGGAACATTCCGCTCGAGGGATTAGTCCGCGATAGAAAGTTCTCTGCGACCGGAGGCCGCTGTGGTTTAAAGTTAAATTGCAGCAACAGCATTGCTATCGGGCAGCCCTGAGACGGACTGCTGACATCCGTCCGTGACGTCTGGCGCGCGCCTTTGCGATTATCGGCAAATTCACAGTTTTCTCGATTACTCCCGCGATTCCAAGTGGCCTTAATATATGGCAATAATACATAGCAAAATGTGGCAATGATATATGGCAACAATATACGGCAACAATATATGGCAATAATATATGACAATAATATATGGCCATAATATATAGCAATAATTCATGAAATATATTTTTCGTTTCAAAAGTCAATGCAAATTTACGGCATGCACAATGTAATAATAAAAGAGCTCTCTGCGAGCATTGAGTCAAACGCTCACCGATGATGATATTGATGATGTCCCGTTGCATCCAACCAGATCCATCAATGTCCGTCTATGTCCGCTGCCGCTCTCCATGTCGCGCAGCATCCATCTTGCAGGCAGCGCGTCCCACGTTGATTGCTACACTTTCGCTACACTTCCGCGACGCGGTCGATACGCGGTATTAGAGCGGCGATATTTGCGTCAATTAACGAACGTTTAACGTCGATATCGGTGGAAACTTTTTACGCGCTGCGTAACGGACTCTATATAAACTCTATCGGAGCAAGAACCGTGTGAAAATTTGTCGACTCGTCCAACGGATTTTTAGCGACGCTTTTCGCGATCGCGTCTGAAAAGTCGCGAAAATGCGGAAGTATCGATATCTACGAGAATATTCGCGAATGTATGAGAGGAAAGATTAGACAATTAGAAACCGGTCACTCCGAGGGAGCGCAGAGAGAGAGAGAGAGAGAGAGAGAGAGAGAGAGAGAGAGAGAGAGAGAGAGAGAGAGAGAGAGAGAGAGAGAGAGAGAAAGCGAGGCAAAGTTTTCGCGCATGATAGTTCCGTCATGACGAAGCTTACGTTCGCGATACTTTGGCGAAATGAGAATTTAAGCTTTCTTTGTTGTAGCAGCGCGGGTAAAAACGCGTATATTGATAACCGCGGTCGCGATATTCAAAGGCACGCGAGCGAGAATATCTCAAGCTCAGCGTGCGTTGGCGCAATTTATGCGCGCATTATACGCTACTCGAGACAATAGGGATCGTGATGAATGGACAATATTGCCAAATAATTGTACAGCCTGTTTTGGAAATAAAAGAAAAGTAGCCAACGGTATCGGCATTTATGCGTATGAATATATTTTACACGGACAATTGAATATTGTCAAATAATTGTCGTTAAATAATTCTACGGCCCGCTTGAAAAATGAAAATAAAGCAGCTGATGACGATATCGCGTTTGTAGACATGAATATCTCTTATTCAAATGAACATCAAAAGAGAATCATTCGGTATTTTAAATCTCGTATGTAATGCAGGCTATCGATAAAGTAATCCCCTGATTGTTTCGAGCAATGTATTTCAACGTCACAAACATACACATGCAAAATCTATTTGCAATTCGCATTGACTCGAACGATATTTTATCTCCCATAGTCCCACATCCGTCATGCGGAATTTTGTTTATCTTTTCATTTTGCATTTACTCACCGAAACGACTTGCAGTCAGAGCCGGCCACGTTCCGCTTCAACTCTGTAACAAAAAATTCACATTCGCTCATCAGATCAGACCAACGAGTGCGGGCGAGTAAAAGTGTAATTTACCCTCCGCGATCGTAATTCAAGTCGAGCCGGAAATTATATCCCAGCTCTAGATCGCCAAGGGTCAAACAGAGGACTATAATAAACTTATAAACTTACCTTCAAGCCGACTCTGCTTGGCTCAAATCGGACCCTCCGGTGCGGCACCCGCGTTCGCCGGATTACTGTTGCTTTCCACAACAACTGAAACAGAAAAATAATTTTCCTGGTTAATAACCTGCGGTAGAAAGAGAATATCTTTGATCGGGACGAATCGAAAATACGGAAATATTTTGATATGGGATTTTTATCTCAATATTTTTGTTCCAACATTGAAAATTTAAATGAGACATGAAGCTTTCAAGAGAGCTGATGAGGAACAAGTTGCAAAGGCAAAGATCGTAAAGAGTTAAACATAGATGTGTAGGAAACTTGTAAACTTTACCTTCCGATCGACTCTGCTCTGCCCGAACTGAATCCTCCGGTGCGGCATCCTCCGCGTCCACCGGACTTGCTTCCCGCAACGTCTGGAATAAAAATTTAGCGTTCCTGGTTGGTAAGCTGCGGTAGAGAAAGAATGTTTGGAGTTCGGAATGAGTGGAGAATATTTGCTACGGTTTTTTTCTTCATTGACATTGAAAGGACTAGATAGGAGTTGGAGCTCTTGAAAGAGCTGACGAAAAAAGATGACAACAAGAAACGGAGACAACAGTTGTATGCTCTCGAAAATATTCTTTTATGAATGGACATTTAAATTTAGATCCCGTAACGAGAGTAAACAGACTTGAAAGAAGCGCTGACCGAAAACAAAAAAGGTCGCAGTCTAAGAAGAACGGTATGACGTTGAATATTCTACACAAGACCGGTATACTCATACAGTTGGGAATTATTTAGAATGTTTGATTAAGAACCTAATGAATGAGAGATCCGCGTTCATGGGCCGTTATCCGTCTCTGTCTGGATCAATACCTCTTGTATACAACAACGCAATAAATAGATAGACAGAGATTGACGAGAGTAATTGCAGATTCATAAAGTCATGATTACTACTCGGATGATGACGGATCGTGAATGCCGAGCGCGAAATTCCGACTTCTTATTCCCGGAAAATTCGTCAAATGTCCGCTCTCGTTATCGGAGACCTCCCGCATAATGATTCCACGTACCTGGAAACGTGATGTATGGCTGCCGGCTTTCTGCTTCCCGGCTACTGGAAGTCCTCCGGATTTCACTCGTTCATGCTTCTAATGCCGATACTTGCGATTCGACCGTGCGGTTAATCAACGCGATGCCGATTGAATATCTCCAGGACCGACGAGATACATTTCTTTCAATTACACGAAACGGAAGTGACGAGCGCGTCGCGCACGGCTGCTGCTGATGGAATAAGGTCGAGTACGCGAGGCGCACGAGTATTAATCCGAAGGGCAAAAAGTGTCGTCGCTCGCGAGCCGATCAACACAATCGGCGTGATGTAAACATTGCGGGCCTCGGCGGCGGCGGCGGCGGTTGAAGCAAGAGAGATTTGCCCTTGGGCGTTTCTTCTTTTCCGGAACGACGAGGGGAATGCGAGGAGGTCTTTCAACTGTACGCGACATTGATTTACTATTTATTGATTACTGAAAATAAAGAAAATTACCCTGTCGAAGCATCGGACATTTGTTAGCTTTATGTTAATTAAAGAGGAATGTGTACGATTAGAAAATGTGTTAGCAACTAATTATACAGAGTGTCAAAGTTGTTGTGACACCGTTTTCGGAGAATAATTAAAGGTCATGGTAGCGTTAGAGTGGAATTACATCCCATGCGAATTTTGTCTCGTTCTTATTAAATGTTAGACTATCCGCTGCGGACAATAACTCTTCTACTTTTCATCTAATATTCAATGATGATGAATAACATTTAATTGCATTCGTTTGACTTTTTTGTTTCGAAAACAAAAGAATATATACCAGAGTGAGATTTCACCCATGACAACATCAACGTGATTTTCTTTGATGCTTTTTTTTTTTAAAGTTTAGATATTTCGTCGACTCGCGGGATATTTATAATGCAGCACGGACATAAGCCGTCTGAAAGTGGATGTAGCACGGACTTTCACCACATGCAGATTTTACCACCGAGACCTGAAAGTGGATGTAGCATCGTAGTTCCCCTCTCAAAATAGATGCAGACGGCGTCCTTTCCCGGTGCGGAAAGTCGGTGTCGCAGAAAATACCGTATTGGCCGCTCTCAGGTTTCTCTCTGAGGAAAGATAACGAGAAGGTGCAAAAAGTACAGTTAAAACTAACAGATGTATTATTCTCCTTTTTACACATCAGTATACGACACATATTTATTTATTATTTCTATCAAAGTATAATTTATTCAGTACTCTAAAACAGATCATTGAAATGCACTGTACGTAATATTAAGATTAACTAATTAGATGTAACCTCAGTTATAATGTTAAGACATATGACGTCCGGATATACACGGGTCGAAGGTGATGTGAACCTTCCATTAGACAGCTGTCAGAGATCGCAGTGATCTTCACCAATCTTTACTGTTGCGCACGTTGTGCGAGATTGTCCGTTGTAATTCTTTTGTAAATATAAGAAATTCGCAATTGCAATGGGAATACTGGAAAAGATCTCAGAAATTGAGAAGGAAATCGCGCGAACACAGAAAAACAAGGGTGAGCATCGTCTTGATATTGCAACGTACCACTTAACCTATCTTTTTGCAATACTGTAACTATAATAGATCACTTAGAGACAGAACATTGGAATAAACTCAAAACATTTGCATATAAATACCCAACTCTAATAAAATTTGTATAATTCGCCAGCCACCGAGTATCACCTGGGTTTGCTGAAAGCAAAACTCGCCAAATATAGATCTCAACTGTTAGAACCGACGAAGAAATCCGAGAAAGGTGAAGGTTTTGATGTGCTGAAATCTGGTGATGCGAGAGTCGCGCTTATTGGTTTTCCATCGGTTGGCAAATCCACTCTCCTCAGTACCTTGACGCATACTGAATCTGAGGCTGCTTCCTATGAATTTACTACTCTGACATGTATTCCTGGTGTTATAGAGTACAAAGGTGCCAATATACAATTGCTGGATCTGCCTGGTATTATAGAAGGAGCTGCACAGGTAAAGAAAACTCCCATGTTAAGTATCTGTTTCTTACACAATTCAGTAGTTATTATTCTTGATTTCTTTTAACAGAAAATCTAACACTATTCTAGGGAAAAGGACGAGGTAGACAAGTCATAGCTGTTGCTAGAACAGCAGATTTAGTTCTAATGATGTTGGATGCAACCAAACAGGATGTCCAACGCCAACTATTGGAGAAGGAACTCGAATCAGTTGGAATCAGACTGAACAAAAAGAAGCCGAATATATATTTTAAAGTGAAGAAAGGTGGTGGGTTGGCTTTTAACTCAACGTGTCCTCTCACAAAGGTAGACGAGAAATTAGTCCAGATGATCTTGCACGAGTATAAGATCTTCAACGCTGAAGTGTTGTTCCGTGAAGACTGCAGTGCAGACGAGCTGATAGACGTCATCAACGCAAATCGAGTATATTTGCCCTGCCTTTATGTATATAACAAAATAGATCAAATATCCATAGAGGAAGTCGATCGAATTGCTAGGCAACCCAATAGTGTCGTAGTTAGGTAGGGTATGCTCTGATATTTTTTAATTTCATGAGATTCCTTTCTTGATTGTCGTGAGTACATCAATTTAATCTGATCTTTTCCTTTTCTTCATAGTTGTAACATGAAACTGAACCTTGATTTTCTATTGGAAACGTTATGGGAGTATCTATGCTTGATAAGGGTATACACAAAAAAGCCTGGACAACCACCTGACTTCGACGATGGTTTAATATTGAGAAAGGGAGTCACGGTTGAACACGTGTGTCATGCTATTCATCGTACCCTCGCTCAGCAATTTAAGTATGCCCTTGTTTGGGTAAGTGATATATGCGTACATTTGATAATCAAACACATACTTTTGATATTGATATGTTATTCAGTTATTTATGAATTGTGTATTTGTAGGGTACGAGTACCAAATATTCACCTCAAAGAGTAGGACTGCAACATGTGATGCATGATGAAGATGTCATACAAATAATGAAGAAATAAATTCCCATGAAATTTGTAAAACACTGTTAAAGATAAAACGTGGATAGCAATATAGGCCTTATATATATTTAGCCTTCTATACATTAATACATAACACACATACACAACATATAAATACATACAAACGGCTAACTTCAAAAATTTGTAAAATTCAAACTGTTTTAATGTGAATGTGTTTGAATTACATATTTTAGGAAGCTTGTGGCCCATATGATCACCGTTACAATAAAATTTTTAAAAATAAATTTTTATAATATATAGAAAGAAAAAACCACACATTGAAATTATAGTAAAATTCTTAAATTATATATATCACCTTTTAGAATTTTGCATATAGAGTAATCGAATCCATCAGTCTCGTCAAACAATATAACAATTTATAATTCATCTTTTTTTCTTTTTCCTTTTTCCCTTCTGTTGTTCCCATCTCTTTGCTTATTCCTTAATTTTAATATCATGTAAAATAAGTCCAATTAGTTACTTCATCGTATTAGAAATTAAAGTTTTTTTGGTTTATTATAGTATTATTATTATTATTATTATTTATTATAGTGTTATTATTATAGATGCAAAATTTAATTTTTGTATCTGCAGATTTTCCAAATCGAAATTTTTGTATAACTATAATAAACCTTCTAGATGAAAGATATCTTAAGATCAAACCAGCGATGGAGATACTAATAATAATAATAATAATAATAAAGACTTGGTTTTACAGGATTCAGCATATGAAATCTCGCTGTGCGCTAGCGTCCTCTTAAGAATATCGTGGTTGGAATATGAAGCTGTAGCTTAAAATAAGCATAGATGGTAATGGGCCTTCTACAATAAGCTATTAGTCATAAATTGTAACCAAATTGACCAACCACAGTCGATTATTTTTGAAATAATCGTGATTGGTCAATTTGCTTATAGCTTATGACTAATTGCTTATTGTAGAAGGTTTCTAACAGATATGGAATAATAGCACAAAGATCGGAAAGTATTAAGAAAGTATCAATATCGAAAACAGGACGAGTGTATGTATATATATTTTTATTTATGTTTATAAATATATATGGTAAAATGTCTATTAATCAGCGCTCGACTTGTTTTTGACTTGCGCGAATTTTATCAAATATCACATATGGGGATTTAAAAAAATAGATAATAAATAATAATTGATAAATTAATTTAATTTAATAAAATTTGATAAATCCCTATAATCTTAATATTTAATAAAATCAGCGCAAGAGAGTTCGGAATCTAATCAAGCGGGTTTGACTATCTAGATTAGTCACGCTACTTTTAAAAAATTATAAATATCCTATGATTTTTTGTATGATCTTTTTATTGCATTACATTATATACGCCGATGTTTTATTTCTCATAGCTTTTTTACACAGCTTGTTTGTTCGTGTTGCTTCAATTTTTTGCATTTTTCGCCTTTAAAACGAGACAAATGCATATTCAAACACTGGAAGAAGTAAAAACGAAGGAGTCGAGTATGGAAAGTTCAAGCAACGTGACAGATCTATAGTAACAACAAATTTAAACGATTTTTTTATATCGTCTGTAATCGAAATATAATATCGAGATATTTTTATTTCCAAAGAGCACGATTGTTCCTACACAAATGGACAATCTAAAGTAATTTTTCCGTATATGTTACGTTGACCCGGACGTTAACATTACGTAATGTTCCATTCAGATTCAAAACTCGAGCGGCACGTTCCGCCGCGGTGGAATCGGTATTTTGGTTACCGAATTTGAGGACAATGTGTGCGATTCTCCACGTTCTGAATAATGAATGACTTTCGCGACTACGACGGCTACGACGATATATTGAATGGAATGCGCGAATCTAGACGTTTACAAGACGTATTGTTCGTTTCACTTAACTGTTTCGTCTCTTTTTGTTTTTATTAACACCTTCCATTAACTCTTCTCTCTTTCCTGTCTCTTTTTTAATGACTTTTATTAACTCTTTCCTCCTTTCTTCTCTCCTTCGCCTATTTCCGCTTAATTTTCTTCATCTCTCTTCCTCCTCCTTCTCCTTCTCTTCCTTTTTCTTCTCCGTACCGCACACGAAAATACGATTGCCACTCGCGAGACACACATCCTGATTACTAATTCACGTAGCCGCGGACTACTTCCCCGCCTGGTTGTGACACCAAATCCCATATTCCGGCCGAATGGAGAGTCGAGACCAAGAGAGCTGGATGATCGAGCGGCCGATTCACGTCAGATCTTATAAAGGGTATCTCTATCGCTGAGCCATCAGTGCGCGCGCGTGTGCGTGTGTGTGTGCGTAAGCTTCGTGTGTTTTATTGTTTTTCTGTTAAGTTCTCCCTTGATAAAGATTATGGACTTGAGTTTTTTTTTTAGAAAAGGTCCATCCCAAGATATCTCTTTCTCTAGCTGAAGAAAATGTGCTATTTATATTAATTTTCTGATTAACAGGGGTTATTGCAAAATTATTTGTACGAGCCGAGGGAAAAAAATCATATATGATTATATATAAATTACATACAAGTTTTGTCTATGTATGGTTACATATATAATCATATACGTCCACACGGAAAAAGAACGATATTAAATGAAAAAGGAAGAAATAAATAGTTTTTTTTTTTTTCAAATAAACATCGACATCACGCGCTGCCAGAAACATTTCTTCGATTGTATTTGTACAATAGCATTTTTTTCGTTGTGGACATGTATGATTATGTATGATTGTATATGACCATATATGGACAACATTCATATATGATATTTTTTCCCGAGAGGGTAAAAGCAGAATATCACCATGATAAAGTAGTATCGAGATAATAGTATAACAATAGTATAACAATAAGACAATTACAGGACGACATGGAATAGCGTCCCCTCGAGCACACATCATTCGTCTCGTGTCATTAGAACAAATTAGACGGAAAGAAATAACACGGGGATGCTGTACGGCTGAGACAATTGTAGCGTAATTGTAATGAAAGAGAGAGAGAGAAAGAGAGAGAAAGAGAAAGAGAGAGAGAGAGAGAGAGAGAGAGAGAGAGAGAGAGAGAGAGAGAGAGAGAGAGAGAGAGAGAGAGCATGAAATTGACGCGTGATGTAATTGCGAGTGATCGACGTGCACGATACGCCGTCGCGATTAATCCGAGCTAATCGAGCCCTATTATCCGTCGCCTCATAGATTCACATAGATCCGTGTCATGTCGCTGTCGCGTTAGGCGCGCACTTCATTATCGTGCTGCAGATCCGTATCGTAATGTCAGGAGAAATAGAACATCGTTATCTGTTAAGATTATATTTAGTCCGCATCCCGAGGAGGCGATGGAAAAAATTATTTTCCTCTCAAGCACCCGATAAGATGACCTTGGAAATTGAAGTGTTTTCAGGCAGAGCAATCATGAAACAATCATACTCGAGAAAAGAGGAAGAAGAAAAAGAGGGATCACCCCCAAATGCAAACTGGAACGAGTACCAAAAGTCTACTAACATAGGGTGAATTTTTAGGGAGCAGGGAAAGGAGAAGGAAGACACATGAGAGTCACTCATTTGATAAAGTGAATACGGAGTGGAGCGCCGAAGGAAAAGGACCAAACGGAATACGCCAAGATCATGAGGAGTAGTCTCGAGGCGTGAAATCGTCCGGTCGAGAAACTGGAATGTATCGCGTAAAAATCCGCGATCGCTCCGGGCGTTAGACAACAGCGGATGTTGCCGGTATGATCCATCGGTAGCTATGCTGTCTTCAGAAGGAAGTCGCCCGGTATTTACAGTTAGACGCTCGGCCCGATGAGAAGATCGAGCGCGTTGCTTTCGCTCCTCATCCACGGAAACGAAATGTCTCGTTTCCGTCGGAATCACCCTGTCGGCGAAGGTCGGATTCTGCTCCTGATCTGTAACGCAGAAAAGGTAAGATCAATTGTCAGAGTCATACTATCGATGATAATTCGCGGAGCACGGATCGCCATTTTTGTGTTCACTCGTTAGATTTATCAAGAAGCGGGCACTCACAATAATTGCAATAATTAGCTTTTCATAAGCATAATTATACTATTTCTGTTATATATTGTATTTTATAATGCATACAAAATAAATAAAATGGTATTTCAATAAGTGCAAAATAATAGATAAAATAAAATTAATAAAATAAAACAGATAAAAAAAGGTAGATAGAAAAAAAGATTATGGAGTTGAAGAGAAAAGTTTCCTTTCTTGTTCGGAAATATCGTAATTTACATTTCGACCGGAAACGACATATCTTTGTTTCATTGTCCCAGAGATTCCACTGAGATCACACAAAGTTGTTTGAGTCGCCTGGTAAATATGCACGTATTAAGGATTCAGTCGCAAACGAAAGGGATCAAGGACGAGGATTGCTCCGCAAGCCCACTTTCGCTCTCTGCTCCATATCGTCGGCGTTCGCGAGCTTGGCAGCAGGACGGACGATCTCAATCCTGACCCGCGTCCGTAAAGAGATTCTCTTCCGCGTGCATCTACACGACATTCGAGATCGAACTTGTCGCTGAGTTTACATCGGTTTCTCTCGAGGTCGTCCACGATCGATCCTCCGTCTTCTAGTCATCCGCTTCTCCGTGTTACCTATCTACTCACGCACGATGCACGTACACGCCCGTCACGAAAGGGAGAAAACGTGCGGCTCGGCCACGTGGAGAAGACCCGGAGATAGTAGTAGTACGAATGCAGGAAGAAGAAAGCACGACGAGAAGGAGGACGACGAAGGAGTACGAAAGGAGGTGGAGGCAGGCCAGTATAAAAGGGTCGCGTCGCGGCGCCTCGTCTGTTTTAACACTCTCACCGAGCTGCTCGGTGGATCGATCGGACACGCACAACGATCGTCTCCGGTCATTAGAAAGAAGAAAGGAAGAAAAAAGAAAGGAAGAAAGGAAGGAAGAAAAAAAAGAAGGAAGGAAAAAGGGAAGAAAGGAAGGGAGAACCATCGGGATATCACGGATACGATACTCTTGCGGCTGCATTTTCCGGGAGGACGTAGAAAGAGGAGCGAGCGAGAGAGAGAGAGAGAGAGAGAGAGAGAGAGAGGTGAGTCTTTTCAAAGGATCCGTAATCCTGCGCTCGGATACTCAGCCAAGTGGAGAAAAGAGTGCCCTTCGTTTCTCAGAAGTTGTCGAACTGTGAATGTCGATTTCCGCTTCTGGAGAACACCACGAGCGACCTCGACTGAAATACGGAAGCTCCTGGAGTCGGAAGCTCCTGGACCGATTCGATCGAAGGATCGATGCCCGCTAATCACGGCTAAGTGATAACATACAAGTGCACGACGCTGGTATCAGTGAGAGGTAGCCGGTACTTTCTGTGTGACACATCTGCGGATGTCCGTTGTGTATATTTGCCTCTCCGTGAAATTTTCCCCTCGATGTTACGAAGCTCGTCGCGAGTTTTACTTTCGCGAAAGCCAATGTTGACGTCTCGATCGTCGTAACTGGTGAAAAATCGCAGAGAAAGAGGAAGCATGTAAAATCACGTCGGTCTTTCTCGATAGAAAAGTCGCTCGGTAACGAGTATCCTGCACGGTAATGGGTTACTTAAAGGCGCGATTTCTTACGGTTGATCCTCCGGTTGGGATACCGTAACATCCTAGTTACTCCGACGTTAGAATGCCGGCGTAGCGGATCATTCGCGCGAACGATCAGCAACGTGACGGCTTCGGGTCGAGAACGATCGTCGCGGAGCGGTCATGACGGTCGATTGAAATCCGGATCATTAATTTCGATTTTCCTTCCGCTTACAGAGCCATGAGACTAGTGGCAGTGCTGACGTTGCTGTGTTGTCTGGCGGTAGGGACGCTCGCCACGCCGGTGCCCAAGATCACCGACAGCAAAGTCGCAGAAACGCCAAATGCCATCGAGACCGGCAGGCAAGCGGCACCCGCGGCACCTGCCGCCGCTGACGATGACGACGACGACGACGACGACGACGATGACGACGTCGATTTAGATATCACCGGAGACGATGACGACGACGACGACGACGACGACGACGACGACGATGACGACGATGACGACGATGGCGATTATTTGGAACGCTTCATCGAGGACATACTCGGAGGTGAGGGCTTCTTTATTTCGCATTTCGCTCTTTGAGTGAGTCGAGATCATTTCGGGCGAAGGAAATGCTGATGGCTCGAGTCGCCGCGAAGATCATCGAGATTTCATATTTTCAGCAGCGTGCGTCAATAACTTGATTCGCATGTCTGCTATTGAGCGGTGAATTACTGGAGAGACGTTTCGCTGAGAGCTGGAGAACGACGAATCGATTTCCTTTCCTCTCTTCGATCGATACACGTCGTGCGTTGTCGAATTCTTTGCTTTCCGTTAAATCGGATGCGTTACGGGCGGCACGATCGACACATTCGTCTTTACGCAAACACCGAGCGCTTACGAGTACGTAGAAACATATGAAGCTTCTTCCTGTTCTTCCTGTTCTTTTTTCCTCTTTCTTTTTCTCCCTCCCTCCCTCCCTCGCTCTTTCGTGTGCTTACGCAGCGTAACGGTACAGGGTGCCCCGGCTCATTCAAACATATTAACATAAATCGACAGCGATCTTGGTTTGGAAAAAATTTCTACGCGCTACTTCTCCGCATTGACCTGAATACCAAAAGATTATCCGAGTCCTCGATCCTTGAGCCATCGCGCCTCGCTTACTGATGCGCGTCACGAATTTGTGCGAGTGCTCGTGAATTGGCGAGGGTTCAGGCCGCAAGAAGAGCGCAACTTGACGATATTTTTCGGTGACATTCCAAATTCTCCTTCTATTCCTGCGCATCGGGTTTTTCTTTTTTCTTCTTGCTTCTTTGGAAGGGGAACTCACATCGAGTGATCTCGATGATGCAGTCGCGACGCGGCATGGCTGAAACCAGTTTTAATGGGCGGCAAGCCGTGCACAGCTCAAGTAGAACTGGCTCTATGATCTCCGTCGAAGTCACCTGAGTCTTCGACCGTTCCTCTACGAATATTTCTCTCCAGCGTTTCACTTGCGCGAGCATTCTTCGAGCTGTCTTCGTGACAGCTTTCGTGACTCGCATACTCTACAGGTTGTCGAATATTTTACGCAAATTTCCTTCACCGAAAGAAAGGCGTGCAGCCGACTTCATTCGCATTCCAATTCATTTCACGCCAAGATATCGCTGTCATTCGCGTGACGATACAGAACTAGGATCAGTTGAACAGAATTACGTGGTTCAGTAAAACACGGGAAAAATTTCTGTTGAATGATATCGCCATATTGGATCGCCAAGATCTGCAACAATTAATCAGCAGTTTATTCGGATACCTTTGGAATTCAGTCTTTTCTATTTCGCTCGATACAACGATGAAGTCATCAAAGAGACACCATTGAAACGACATATCGCGCATTCGTTATTCACAGAGGAGGACGACGACGACGACGATGACGAAGCGGCAGCGGCTGCAGCGACACCGGTCGCGCCCGCGGCCACCGCCGCGGCTCAATCGCCGCTGCAGGCCTCTCCGGTCTCATCGCAGCAGGTACCCTTGGCTGTAGCGGCCGATCTGAATCAGGCCGCCGAGGAAACTGCGGAAGACACCGCGGGGGTCAACGCAGCCGGCGCTGAGGAGTACGCCAGCAGCTACGAGGACGAAGAAGAGGTCGCCGACGGCCAGGTCGTGTCCAGTGTGCACGAGCAAACCCTCGAAGGTGCCGAGTCCATCTCGAAACCGGTAGTCCAAGCGCCACCGCCCGCCGTTTCGGCCGCCCCGAGCGACGACGATGACGACGACGATGACGACGACGACGACGACGACGTGGACTTGGACATCACAGAAGTCGACGACGACGACGATGACGATGACGACGACGACGACGACGACGACGACGATGACGACGACGACGAAGTGGATGACATCGCCGACATCGCTGGCGCTAGGCACGCACGTGAGTTCAAGGGCAAGACCAAGAAACATAACGTCGTCGTTGGGCGCAAGCACGCCCGCAAGTCGCGGAAGCCGGCTACGCGATCGCCCACGGGGGCCTTTTTCGCGTCTTCTTCTTCTTCTCTTCCTCCTCCTCCTTCTTCTTCTTCTTCTTCTTCTTCTTCTTCTTCTTCTTCTTCTTCTTCTTCTTCTTCTTCTTCTTCTTCTTCCTTCTCCGTATCGAAGAACGTTTCACCTGTGTCCTAAACAAATGTTTTTTTTTTCTCGCGAGTGCAACGTGAGCTTCTCCAAGCCGGCGAGGTACTCTACCGCTAACCGACGATGACGACGACCACGACGTCGCGTTCCTTTCGCGTCTACCACGGAGCGTAGCCGGGCAGCACGAACTTTTGAAAGACTGGCAAGAGTAGGATATTTTTGCAGACGTCTCTCTCAGGCATCTCTTGAAAGTCCGTGCTGTTTGTGCTCCGTGAGAAAGGCGTTGCACACGTGAGAAAGTCGTTGACGATCGTCTTATCGATTGATCTCCCGATAGTCGGGGGGAGGGTCCGAGTCTAATGTTAGTTTATTTATTATATTTATTCACGGCAATACCTCTACACTCGAGTAACTTGTCGCCAATCGGGTCTGCGTGGGTCGCGTTGCGTCGAGTCGTGTCGTGTCGACGCGTCTGGGTCTCTTTGCTCATGGTGAATCGTTCTTGCGTCTCTCTCTGTGGCTTGTCGTCGTAGTCTTTCCCACCGCGACTTTTCCACCGCGACGCGGGGTTATGCAGAAGTGTACGGCACACTGTGAATTCTCCTCTCGAGTCGCACACGCTTTTACCGTCCTTGCGTGTGACGTTCTACGAGACACTGCTTCAGCATATTCTTCAGTTACGTACCGCGGTAGTGTAGCCGACTTGTCTCTGATTAACGCGAAGTAGCAGTAGTAGTAGTAGTAGTAGTAGTTGTTACGCCACGACTGAGCATGACAAAGGTTCTTTATGGGAGAGATATTCACACGTGCCGAACCAGACGTAAATGTTTCGAAGTCGCGTTCTCGACGACGTTCAAAACATTCTCAGACATTTCGTTTGCGTCTCATTTATCCCGTGAGAATCTAAGAAACGCTTTTCAGTTCAAAAGATTCTTAGATGCATGAAATATATCTAATCATCCTGATGTTTTTTTTCTCAAAAATCCTTGGCCGTTTTGCAATTCCTTCAGATGCACCTTCAGTCAGAAAAACATCTTCGAAACGTTTGCGACGTTCGGCGTAGCATCGAAGCGCTTTGATCTGGTGATCTCACGTCACGTAATTCCCCCTTTTCCCAACACTTGTCATTCGACATGCCGTCGATCGAGTGGATGGTCGTAGAAACGAGAGAGAGAGGAAGAGGGAGAGGGGAGAGAGAGAGAGAGAGAGAGAGAGAGAGAACGACAGAAACAAGGAGAACAGAGAGAGTGTGTGTGCATGAAGAAAAGAACGAGAGCGAGAAAGAGAGAGAGAAAGACATCGGTCTCACCTACAGGGTAAGCGACGCACAAGATTGTTCACGCGAGTGGAATCAGGACGGGAGGTTGTCCCGTCCAGTTCTCACTCTCTGGAATTAGCAATAAGACGTTAATCCGGCAGAGACGGCAACAGCTCTCGTCTTGATGTTTCTCATCGACAATCGCGGGTTTGCGGACTTGGAAACATGTAATCACAGCCTTGTTCAGCCTAGTAATCGGACGTTTAACAATAGTTATCTGCGAAAATCGCCTACTCTCTCTCTGCTGGATCAAACGTGCTCGACAATGGTGACGATCGTCCCGCACGCGCGACCTAATCGAGAGTCCGTCATACACGACACTTCTCTATTTATTTCTTGACCAAGACTTGTATAGAGCCACTGTCTGTTCTGGACTGCAAAGTGAGAGAAAACGAAAATATAGATAATTCATTGTTTTTCGCAAAATTATGTGTGTACCTTGTCTCTTTATTTCATTCATTTACCATTTTATCGTGTTTCGTGTCCAGATACTCGTCGCGCGTGATCCACGAGGAAGGAATGTTTTCTCTATCCTCTTCGCTGAGACGCGCCAAAGTAAAATCCTTCTCTTTTTTTCTTCTCTTTTCTTACGTGGTAACGTGACTAGAAATCGCAACTTCGATCAATTTCCGGCACGAGCGGACGTAGAGAGAAATGTCGCTCACACGTTGCGAGAACGAGTGTGAATAGATGACGTCCGCAGCAGTCACGGATTATTCGGGGTCTCACGAACGAGATCTACGAGATCCACGGCATTCGCGGATGGGAAAAGGGTGCTCTCCTGAAGTTTTGCGACTACGTGACGTGTAGCGAGCCGCCTGACTGTTCGACTACACGACGATATTAGCGACGCTTCTCCTTCACTACCTGGACGTTAATTAGCTTCGTACCCACTTGCTTTCTTTTCCCTTCTTCCTCCTTCTCGTCGCCCATCTTTCGGTCGTAGTTCGTAGAAAGCGCTCTCTTGCCTGCCAAGCTGTCGCTTCCAGTTTGTATGATCCATCTATTTGTTAGACGAACGCGTGTTTGGTGGACGGTTTTTGACGATCGACTGCAACAACGTGTACCTGGACAGAATAGCACGATAACCTCTCGAACGTATCCTCCCCGATCATCCTTCGCCCGTATCCTCCCTCACTTTCCGTTTATCTATGGACTCCACTAGTAGACATATAATTAGCAGTAGTTTGCCACTAATACGGTAGTTGATAAGTAGAGCTAATTAGTTAATAACTAATCGGTGAGAAGAGAGGAAAGGAAAAGATCAGAGAGAGAGAGAGAGAGAGAGAGAGAGAGAGACACGCAGTATTTATAAGGACGACGTCGGCGTTTCTGCAATGCTCCTCGTTGATCCAGCCGCCAAGTTGCCGCGCGAATCTCCTTTCCTTTCCTCTTTTAATACGAACGAGACTTCAAAAGCGAAGTGTAATTGTCGCCGAGGTGAGTGAGCTTCGACGGCGATCGCGCTACGAGTTGCTTGACCAAGAGGAATTCTCGAACGGGCCGTCACGCCACGGCCAATTAACTTTCTACACGACTACCGGGTTAAATCCAACAAAGGTGTGACCGCGTTGAAATTTTTCCCCGGCTTTCACCGCGAGCAGCCGAAAAAGAAACGAGGTCACCGATCACGAGCGCGTGAGCGAGCTCGTTAACGATATCAACCGGAAGAGGCTGCGACCATGACCGTGACCCTGGCTCATTGCCGAACATTGTTGTGTCGATGTCCTTCGACTTCCGATAAGAGGCCGTACTTTAACGTAACGTATACACGCCGCATGTCGCCGTTAATCCTCCGGTTATTCTCGTGCGGTGTCTTATTTCTCTCGAAGTGTCGGAGAAAAATGCTGTGTTACTTGCGAAGCACTGTCGATCAATATCGATTCTTTTCTCCAGTAAACGAAGAAAGCAAGTTAAACATTGAAATGAAAAAAAACAAGTTAAAAAGAAAAGAAGAGCAGAAAATGAAAAAAATTCGGCAAAGAGACGAGCCTGATAACTGCGGTTTCACACATTTGATCGCGAAGCTCCATTTAATTTTCCAACATTCTCCTGCTTCGCGACGTCTACGAAAATTGTTAACGTTGCGAAAAATCTCAAACCTTCAACAAGTGCCTCAACAATTCGGTGTGAATATTATGAGAGGGACGCGCATCGCACTCTTTCCAGCTATCTAGCTTGAAAAATAAGAAACGCCTTTGCCTCAGAAAAATCAGGTCGACTGCGTCGCATGGGCAACCTTTCCGAGAGCGTTCAACGCGAAGTTGAAGTCCCACGATAACGAACGTGGATAATGAACATATCCATAGATAACGTATTACAATGTTACAATGTTATCACTCGTTATCCGGAGCCTTTAACTCGGAGCAGAGACTCGAAATGACGAAAAAACGAGGTTGTCGCCCGGCCTAACGCCACTCTGTAAGTAGACGGCCTTGATATTGTCCGTGACACGACAAATTTTCATTGGCGACGTCGGCGGCGTACGCTCGATGAAAGTGTGTGCTTGTACTCGGTGCGTGCGGGTGCAACGACCGCGGGGGGAGAGTTTTTAGATAGGTACGCAGGAGATTGGGGGCCGGTCGCTGGCTACGTAAACGCGCTCGCTCGCTCGCTCGCTCGTACGACTAGATGGGTCTGTAGGTGAGCGCCCATAGGTAAGAAGGAGGTCATGACCCAGATTGAGGACCAGTTTGGTCGCTCCGACGGATTCCGATATACCGTTAACATTGTCGCCGGCTCGTTACTCTAAGTAGGCTCCTCCATCGCCGGCGCCGATTTCCTTCCAAGGTAGAGCCGGCCCGAAGCGACGGAATGCGTTTCCCTTCATTAAAACTCAGAAAACGCACCGGCATGGCATCCGAGAAGGCGCGTCCCCGTGGTCGATGACCCGGACGACACGTCGGCCTGGAATGACCTCGCGAGGAGCGCCTTTCAAGGTCGCGCTCGTGCGTTCCCAGGAAGTTATCCTCTTTTCCGCCCGATTCGGCTGTCGACTGGCGTTCTCGCTTCGCTCGGAAGAGTTTCCTGAAGTCACAGGATCCAGTCGCGCGCGGGAAATTTCTAATTTTCGAATTAACAATGCGTAAGATCCTCGCATCGCTCGCCTCGCGTGTGCACGCGGCCGGCGAATAATCGCTGAAAAGTCGATTCGTGGAAGCAGGACATGGCGGAAAAACGGGGACCGAGACCGATGCGACTCATCACCGTTTTAGGTGGCATGGAATCCGAGCCGAGCGGCCACGTGCCGGCAATCTACGTAGCGAAGTACAATCGCTTCGTGGACAACATCCTCGGCAAGATCAACAACATCCTGCGCGCGAATTACGAGCCGGTGACCGTGAAGCTGACGAATCCGAGCTCGAGCTCCAAGTCGAGCAAGAATAAGAACAAGTCGAAGAGGAAGGGCAACAAAAACGGAACCAAGAAGAGCGCCTCGAGGCCGGACATGACCGTCACCGACAAGAGCGACAATGAGAACGTCCTCCAGGTACGTTTAAATGGCGTTAACGTCGGCGCAGTTCTTTTTCTTATGCATCGAGATACCGGTAATCCTCGCTCTTCGATGTGTAAATATGTGTCCCGGCTCACAGAAACTAACACCGAGCACCGAGTCCGTGGTGACGCAAGCGGACGCGGCGGAGAAGGAACCGATCGCGACCACGATTGTTGGCACGTTCGGATCTCCCACGGAAGCCAGCGTGAGAGCCAACAAACGACGAACCTCCGGCAACAAGAGCTCGAGCAAAAATCGCAAGCGAACGAAGAACAAGACAAGGGTCACGAACAACACGAGAAATGGCAATAACAAAAATAAGGTGATTGAAAACTTTGAATAATCAAACTCTTGTAAGAAAAGAGAGGAAAAATATTATCGGCTGTAAAGAGGTAGCTAGTGATGAATTATTGTTGCTCAGCAATTTTACTCGTACGAGCAATAAAATTAGACTAATATAATTTATCACTGGCTAATTTATTACAGCCAGTAATATTTTTCTACAAGGCACGGTTGGCTGTAAGATCTAAACGAAACTGACAGGAAAAGAAAGGTAATGTATGTAAGAGCCGACCGTTGGATGATAGTTGAACTCATTGTAAATTGTAGACAAAGTCCAAGAGCAAGCCGAAGGCGAGAGCCACCTTGTATGGGCTCGCGTCTCTGCAGAGAACAGGCGACGTGTCGGTGAACATGATGAGCGACCACACCACGATTAAAACAAAATTCAGTCTCGGTCCGCTAGTACTGAAGGTTGAGAAAGAGTTCGGCAGGGCTGCGAAGAAGGAGCTGAGAAGCGCGACGGCCACCACGGCTGAGATGTCCGGCAAGTTGAGCTTGCGCGTGTTGCATGGCGGTGCAGCGACCTTGCATTCCATCCGGGTCTTACAGCCCAAGCAGGTACGTCGATTCGATGCGACACGCTGAAAAGAAGAATCGAATGAAAAGAATGAAGTTTCGAGCAAAATTTGCAAATCTTTGCGAGTATGTAAAGATTTGCACACGCAAATTTGTAAATTTTATATCAATCTTACTGCTCTCGACTTAAATTGTAGGAAAATTGAGACATTAAGATTTTTCAATTATCTGACGTAGAATTTGAAGAATTCTGAAAAGTAAAATTATCCCGAGGCTGGAAACTATAAAATTTAATAGCCGTGTGCTCTTTCAACCGTTAGAAACATTGATCTAACTGCATAATGCGGATTTCATCTCTGCTAAAGATTAAGCAAATCAGGTGATAAGTACAAGCGATAACATATCGGGTCAGCTTTGCAAACTGCTCATCGAGATCAATTCCAAGCTTGTTTTGCACAAACAGGAGATTGAGACACCAAGGTTCTGCTAATAGAAAAGTAAAAAAGAGAACGACGACGAATCGTGTTCTATTATTAAAGTCACACGTTTACTCGTCAGGTTCGAGTGGAAAGCGCGGACGACCACGACAGAACGCGGGAATTCGTGTGGAGAAGGTCGTCGCATATCGCCCATTTGGTGTCGCAGAAACTTTCCTCGGCTACTAGGTCGATGCTGCGACCGCCACCTGTCACATCTACCGCTTAAATGGAAAAAAGAAACGCCGGCGATCGAGGTACCACACGATCATCGGATTCGACGTGCCCGCACTTCTCGCCGCGTCGATCGACCGATCGTTTAGCGGTACACGCGTTACCATTTGTCATCGGCTTCGCGAAAGCCGCGCTCGACAGCTTTGGCGGATGCAACTGGCTTCGTGCTGATAAGCGGTACGACGATCGCCATCTCTCATTCGAGAAGATAATGCCGAGGAGAAGCGACACACACTCGCGGGAGAAAGTAACATCAACAGGATGCGCGTGATGTTCTCGTGTATGACATGCGTTATTTTTTACGAACGACAGCTTGTCGGATCGACGATATGATTCGAAGTCTGCTCCTCTTCGATAAAAATTTCGGGGTGTGTAGCGTTCGAATGCGATCACGACAGTCGCGAAAAATCACAGCTTCTCCAGCCAAGTAAGTTGCTGTGAGGGAAAACTTCATTTCAAACGAGCTCCATACGATCTTCATTTTTCTACAACGCACATACATATAATAAAATTGCAACACAAACGGGGAAATTAATATTCCTACCAGAGAAAAATTGACTCCGAATCGCGCACGTGTGCGTGTACATGTGTGTGTGTATATTTGCATGTGTGTGTGTGTGTGTCTGTGGGTGTATGTGTGTGCGCGCCAAGAACGAGCCTGACATTTCAAAGTAGAAAAAGAAAGAAAGCTACGGATTCTTTTGTTACACAGACTTCAGAGAAACGATCGCATACATGCATACCATATTTATTTATTATTTATTTATTTATTTGCCATAGACTGTAATTCGCTTTTGAAAGTCTGACATATGTATTCTAACGATATCTACGGTCAAATATCGAGAAAACAAGCCATTACATGAGTTTAGATCATATATATATATATATATATAAAATTGAATGTAAGGATAGATGTTACGAGAAACATTAGAATATAGAATATGTACACGAATAATGCGTCAATTAATTCTTCACCGACAATTGTGTCCCCGCTTTCCTCAAATCGTCCGCTTCAATGATAAGGAATTCGCCCAGTTACTTCCGCAAAAAAGCTCATCTCGAGATCCATGAGTTTCGAACGTCGCGTCACCGCCGAGAACGCGATCCAACATTCTCCAACGAATTCTCCCTCATCATCCACGGTGTCAACGACACATGTCCGACTTGAAATCTGCTGTACTTACACGGTATTAGCATAAGCGGTATAACAAAGAAAAGACTGAACGTAAGTACAGAAAAAAGAACAATATGAGACCCCTCAGAACGTCTCGTCCAAGCGCGCCAAGTTTGTCGTGATCACATGCTAGGGTCACGTGACGAATGACGTGTTCGCGCGTGCGTCCGACGAGACTTGTCACCGCAGTTTCCTGCCTACCCGGAGCATGTGCGCGCCACGTACGCACGCACGCACACGTGCGTATGTGTGTGTGTGTGTGTGTGTGTGTGTGCATGTTTACTTTCGTTACTTGCAAAGGCAGATCGTGCGAAAATGAAGAAGCAGTCGTGACCACGACGTGGTCGACGCGATAGCGCTCGTCGGGAGGGATTTTCGCTCGCTCGCTCGTTCGGAGACTTTCTTCGGCTGCCCCTACCACCGCTATCGTCTACTTATTCAATATCGTAATGTCGACGAAACACGACGACCACGTTCGCACAGCGACGGTTTAAAGTCTACCGCACAAACAGTATTCTCGTCCGCGACACGGCTAAAATCAAAACACGAGCAGCTGTGGAAGAAGAGAAAGAGAAAAAAAGGGAGAGAAAGAGAGAGAGAGAAGAGAACGATCAAGCTTTCCTCTGTTTGTTGTTTATGCACACACGCGTAATTTCGCGGAGAGAGACCCACATGAATGCTCCTGCACGCCTGTCGCATCGTGATCCCGAAATAGGATCAAGGATAACGACGTGAAAGATTTTTTCTGGAATTGCGCGTGCCGCCGATCGCCGACAGCCCGAGAGAAGCCGGTCCGTTGTTGAGTGAGTCTTCTTGGAAAGTTGTTTACATTAATAAATTTACATTAATATCGAGTCGCTGTTCGAGGGATTTTCTTCTTTTCGGTTTCAATCGTTAGAGCCTTGCAGGTTTTTCTTATTGCACCGAATACCTGTGGAGATTAATATATTCAATTAATTTTTTTTACTTGTTTTGACAAAAAAAAATTTGGTTTTTAATATGGACGTTAATAATGCAGAATGATATATTCTCCTTTTCTTTTTTCGCTAGAAAAATACGAAGAACCGGTTTGCTTCGTAAAGTATATATATACAAGTGTGACTTACTTTGAAAGTGATGTAAGTCTATTTTTTTTCTTTTTATATCGATTTACGAACATCGCGACCGAGAGAAATATCGGTTTTATCCCTAGAATTGAGCATCGTCACTTTCAAAATGAGTGCTTCATACATATGATCAACATGTACAATTCAACTCATGTTAAAAGCTTCGTTACGCAGCAAACCAATGTAAATATTTATCGATAATAGATCAAAGTACCGACGCGAACGACTGTACAACGCTCATACGTGATTACTTAACGGGGAGTACATAAAATAATAGCATAATTATCATTCGAATTTCACAAAAGTTACTGTTAATTTCATTTTAAAGGAAGATTCATCAGGTCCGAATAGTTCAACGAGTTGATTCCCCGATGGCTTCGTTAGTGACGGGCGTCCGGGTCACTGGAATGCTTTATCAGCTCTGCGCCTGTGCATCAAGGACACTGGCCACAAGCACGATGCCCAGTAACAACACCAAGGACGAGGCGAAGGAAGTGATTGTTAATTACTTAGACGGCAAGGACAACGGTATCGCCGTGATAGGACTGAACAGACCCGCCGCTCGTAATTCCTTTGGCAAGGGCATGGTCTCGCAATTGATTGAAACTCTGGCCACTGTTAGGCAGAATGAGAAGCTGAGGGTGCTGATTTTACGTAGCCTCGTCCCGAAGGTATTCTGCGCCGGGGCGGACTTGCGGGAGAGATTGACGATGGACAGCACCGAGGTGTCACGATTCGTATCTTCTCTAAGGAGCATGATCAGCAACGTGGCGACCTTGCCGACTCCAGTGATCTCCGCGATAGATGGAGTAGCTTTGGGTGGAGGACTTGAGCTAGCTTTAGCTACTGACATCAGGGTCGCCGCCTCGGAGGCCAAGATGGGTCTCGTGGAAACTAGATTGGCGATAATACCGGGTGGCGGTGGTACGCAAAGACTGCCGCGGATAGTCGGATTAGCCAAGGCCAAAGAGCTCATCTACACGGCGCGGATTCTCGACGGCGAGCAGGCGTGGCAGATCGGTCTCGTGAACCAGGTAGTGCCGCAAAACAAGAGCGGAAACGCGGCTTACGAGGCGGCTCTCTCCATCGCCAGAGAAATCTTGCCCAACGGTCCCATCGGCGTTAAGTGAGTCGCGCGATGTTTGAGTTTTTTGTATTTTAAAGATTTTTTAGTATCAACAGAGTACATTGAGAACGTAAGAAACTGTGCAATAATAAGAGCTAGAAAAGTAAATAGACAAAAATTAAAAAGTGACATGTATCATAGGCTAAACAATGATACACCAATATAATAAATAAAGACAATAAAGTTTAAACTTGAACGTGAAAACGCCGGAGACAAAAGAACAGAAAAAGTGAGATATAAATTACGAATAGATTGCCCGAAAGTTAACATGCAATTTAACTATTAGCAAATCATGAAAACAGGTAAAAGAAATGATAATGCCTACTCAGAATTGCTGATATGATCGTTCACGCATTACATAATGCGCATCATGTGCTTATCTTCTTATGATACGAATAATACAAGTTTATCCAATACTTGACGGTTCTACTTTGCAATATCAATAAATATCAATTAAAATTATTCGATAATAAAGAGATAAAATGTTTACTCACTTTTATGGACATACTGTTTGATGTCGAAAATTTTTTGCCCTCTAGAATGGCGAAAGTGGCAATATCCGAAGGTACAGAGGTATCACTTAAGGACGGCTTGGAGATCGAAGGACAGTGTTATGGCAAAATCGTGGACACGAAGGATAGGATTGAAGGACTCGCTGCTTTCGCGGCGAAGCGTGTACCTGTTTATCAAGGAGCATAGAAATTCATGTGCGATCGATTTTTAACGAACGTTCGGTTGCCATGTCAAACGAAAAATGCATTTTATATCGATATCTTTATAAAATAAATATATGTGTATGTATATAATTTATATATATATATATATATAATATAAGTGTGTATATATATATATATGTATATATACATGTATATATATATATATATATTTATTTTTTTTATATACATGTATGTCACATTTATTATAATTATGTTTATATATATATATATGATAATAATTATGTTACACATATTAATGATGTTATATAACGAATATAACGAATAAATTTAAATTTCTTAGAAAATCTCATATTTACAAATAGATTCAAGTTTTATCCGTTATACTTTTCATTATTTACAAAATATAAAAATTTTCCAAATCTGTCCAATTACATGCGTTATGAATTACATTTATCAATGTCTTACTTCATGCAATAGCTGCAACGACTATGAATACACCGATGTTAACCTTGTAGCTTCTGCATTTACATATGCTAATTGAGTTAAAGCCACGTTGCATACCTTATATCAATGGCGAAAAAAGATTCCGCGTCGTCTTCCAATCAGGTATCGAGTATTACCTTGCCTCAATACCACTATCGCTTAATGTCTTCTCAATGTATGTATACACACATGTATGTATCTATATGTAAGATGCATGAAGAACGGTGTGTGCACATATTATATTTACGTGAATGTTATCTACCTCAAATCTGAATTAACTGTTATATATCCGTAATACTGATAAACGTTTTTATTCAACATTCATAACCTTTGCACATTAAACTATAACGAATAAACCATATATAAATATAAAGAGTATACACGCATCCTTAAATACGTGTGGAAACACATTCCGTATAGAATTTTCAAAAAAATCATTTAAAGATGTTGCATACTTATAAATAGCATTCTTATTATCAGGAATGCAATAGAATCAGTATGGATGAAGTATAAAGAAAATTTTACGCGTAAGAACGAATTGCATCTGCGTCATTGTATACCGTAGTGAAAGTATCATTCTACATCTCGACTTAGAAACATACTTCGAGTTTAGGCCACAGTTACATTAGACACATTGCATCGGCACACTAAGTTGCTCCTTTTCTCTACTTTCTTTCACGAGCGCCAAAAGGACGTTGAGTTGGTTGATCGTGTCTTTGGGACATGTGATGCAATGTCCTATCGTCAAATCGCTCTCATAAATTTCATAATCGTTACCACCTTCGGCCGTTTTATCGCCAAAGAAATGTATCTCATCGTAGCCTTGAATATGACGCAAGCAATATGTCTTGTCCCAACCAAACGGGAATACGTCGAAAGAAATTTGTCCCCCTTAAAAAATAAAAAAATATAGAAACAAAATATTAAGCACGAAACGTGAAAGATTCTAGGATCTACAATCAAAATTACAAACAATAAGTGGGTGATAAAAGCCAAACATCCGATAACTAATCAAGTGCAATGTCATTTACCAATACTGTAAGTCAGTGCCAAATCAGGAAACTCTTTCTTAAGAGTCTGTATAAATTTTTTGCGAATGTGATTTTCATTATCGTATTCGTTAAACATTTCGCGCTCCTTCTTGCTGCAATTTCGTCCTACTGGCGAAATATTCAACATGCCTGTGCGGAACTCTACAAAAGTTCCACGTTTGAATGGTAATTTCAATTCTGATATGTAATGCAATACAAAATTCAGGAAGTCTTGTAGCATATCCTCTCCGAGCATATCCTGAATTGACTGTAATATATGAGAATAATTTATGTGTGCGTATAATTTAGTTAATATTCTATTGCTGATATTCTCATATTACTTACTTGTGACGGCAAAGCCTTGCCATCCTTAAAAGCGATAAGGCCATTCTCTGCAAAAACATACTTGTACTTTTCAAACAGATTCTCACCACCTAGTTGCTCTTTAATTTTGCACAAATCAGATCCCCCAACTACCGCAATATCAAATTCTTTTTTCACTGTTTCCAAAAGGTACTTTTCTATATTGGGACTAATTGGCTATGAAAAATATAAGTATTTTGTTCAAAATACATTAATGTTTTATCCAAATAGTTATGAGTATTCTACATATTTAGCCAAGATATAATACCTGTCGTGGTTCAGTGAGTGTGCCGTCGACGTCAAACAAGCAAATAATCTTTTTTGACATTATGCAAAGTTATGTTTAAACAGCCAAAAAAACTGAAACACATGTGATCATTTCAGACATAAACATTGCTACAGATGTAAAAAAAAACGTGCTCGCAACGTGAGCAAAACATATAAATTATACATACAGGATAAAATAAGCGAAAGAACATATAGTCTTCTGAGATTAGTAGTAAGATACTCGGATAAAAGCGTGTTGTAACAAGTGACCAATTTTAAGATGGAGAAAAAGAATTATCAGCAAGCGAGATTTCAAATCACGTGCCGCATATAACGTTAAAGTAACGGATTAATAATCCCCTCCTTTTTTCCACTAACTTTAGCTGATAACCTAACCTGCTGAGCACTTAACCTCTCATACATAGTCAAAAGAAACGTATATTTTTTCTTCTATGCAGTTTCAATTTAGTCAACGCTGTCATCGTCAAGAGTCAAAAGATAATAGGAAAAAACTTGTGTCTTTACTGACATCTCTGTAATCCGAAATTGGTTAACAACCTCATGAAATAAGGGCATACATGATACATTTAGTACATATACGTGGCTAACTTGACGTATCTTGCCTCATGGTATATCATATGCGCCGATATGTCGCGGAACAGCTGTTTGAATAAATTATGGTTTTTGTGCATTATCTTGCTAGATTTGCGCAACACTGGTGCGAATAATGATGCGGCTCAAAAGAATGTGCTGTTACTTCTGGGTAATTCTTCTTCTCTTTTTTTGTCGCATATCTTGTAAAAATAGCTTGCGAAAGTATTATCGAATTAACAAGAACGAACTATAATCATAACTATATGGAAAATTATAATTATGCGCATAGATATGTAAGATAAAATAATATTAGAACATTCTTTATCTGGAGAAAAATTTTATATATAGACAGAAATAATTTTATATAGAATAAGGTAATTTTATATAAGTAAGCTTGAATCTGATTTATTCTATTTGAGATCATTCTTTTCTGTTTTTTTTATTTAATTCATAGCTGACGATGCAGGATTCGAAATGCGATCTTACTTGAATAAAATCTGTCAGACTCCTAACTTGGACAAATTGGCAAAAGAAAGTCTTTTATTCAATAATGCGTATACATCAGCCAGCAGCTGTTCACCAAGGTACTTTTAGATTCAAGTTGATGTCCAGAAAAGAAATAACTTGAGTTTTTAATTTATAGTCGTTCTGCAATATTGACTGGATTACCAAGTCATCAAAATGGAATGTACGGTCTTCATCATGGTGTTCATCATTTTAATTCTTTTGAAAATGTTCAAAGTTTGCCAAAATTACTGAAGAGAAACAACATTAAAACAGGTATTGCAGTTATAACTAACGAATCTACAATATTCATTCAGTATTCAGTATTCAGTATATCATTATTGTGATAAATAAACATTTTCTTCACATAGGAATCATTGGCAAAAAGCATGTAGGTCCAAGCGAGGTTTACCCATTTGATTTTGAACGTACAGAAGAAAATTATTCTATTCTTCAAGTAGGTCGTAATATTACTCATATTAAATTGTTAGTACGTGAATTTCTCTCATATAATAAAACACAGTAAGTAAAATTTTACACAAAATTAACATTAAATTAACAATTTTAAGTTTAAGTTAATCATCATATATAAAAAATTGCTTTAATTTATAAATATTTTGCAAAAAATTTCTCCAGTTATATTCAAATATTTGCAGACCCTTCTTCCTACTAGTTGCTTTTCATGATCCTCATCGCTGTGGACATACTCATCTAGAATATGGCAATTTTTGTGAAAAATTTGGCAATGGAAATGTCGGAATGGGTATTATCCCGGACTGGAATCCGATATATTATCAATGGGATCAAGTCAAAGTACCTTATTACGTTCAAGACACGGAAGCTGCTAGGAGAGACATTTCTGCCCAGTATACAACAATATCTCGTTTAGATAAAGGTACGTTTAGAATACAGATATTCATCCATATTTTTAACATATTATATGCAAGATATACGAACGTTATACAACGAAATGCAGCTGAAAGATGTATATATTTTAGGAGTTGGTTTAGTACTTGATGAACTCAAAAATGCTGGCTATAAGGAAAACACTTTGGTACTTTACACGTCCGACAATGGCATACCTTTCCCAAACGCTCGCACAAACTTATATGACCCAGGTATCACTTTTTAATTCAATTATATTTGGTAAAATTGCATTGTACGTACATAAACGCGGAGAGCAAATGGCAATAATGTTTCAAGAATTAAGATATCTAAGTATATTCTATAGAATATATATAGAATTTGCTAAGGAAATTGGTGAAACTATAATTATCTAATGACACTAATTGTCAATATTTAATCATCAAAGGTATAGCTGAACCGATGATGATTTCATCGCCAATACGCGGGCATAGAAAAAATAGCGTAACGTACAGTATGACCTCTTTGCTAGACATAGTCCCAACAATATTAGCTTGGTTTAATATAACTCACGAAAATCAGACGTCCGACGAAGTATCTCTTCCGCAGTTTACTGGCAAATCGCTTTTACCGTTGCTCCGTGAAGGTATATATACACGCAACGTACATTATAATCCATTAGCAAATCCGCACTGTGAAATAATTGATGTCCCATTATTAGAACCCACAGAAAACGGTACGGCGATCTTCGTTAGCCAAACGCATCATGAAGTTACCATGTACTATCCGATGCGTGCGATTAGGACTAAACGCCACAAGCTTATACATAACATCAATTACCGGATGCCATTCCCTATCGATCAGGACTTTTATGTATCCCCGACTTTCCAGGTAATCTGAAAAAGAAACATTCAACATATGTTATTTTTTTATAAGCATGTTGTACAAATTTATAAAAATTTATGAACAGACATAATATATACTTTATATATATTGCATATGTGTGCAGGATCTTCTCAATAGAACACGAAAACATGAATTTTTACCATGGTTTAAAACATTAAAACAGTATTATCAGAGACCAGAATGGGAGATGTATGACTTAAAATATGATCCGGAGGAATTAAATAATGTAGCCTTAAAGCCATCATTGAAGGTAATGGGAAGTTATATTAGAATTAATAGCAAGTATTTGTTTTCCTCAAATCCTGATAAGTTTAATAACTTATGTACATATATTTCCTGATTTTAGAACATATTTGTTGACCTGCAAGACCGATTGTTCAATTGGATGAAAATGACAAAAGATCCATGGCTATGTGCACCAGATGCTGTTCTCCAAGATACTGGAGTTAATAAAAATGATCCTCAATGTATGCCATTAGACTGGGATTCAATTTTATATTGAGATTATTTCCAGTATTTGTTACATTAATAGTGTTTACAAGTATCTTTTCTTTTTTACAACTTTCCATCTATATATTTATACTATATATTTACCAAGAAAATACTCAACAAAATGCAATATTCTTATAACTTCCACTGTATATAAACTAAATCATAATAGATTTTGTAATTAATATTTTATGTAATATGTATATATGCAATTTTCTTCAGTATTTGCATCAATTTTATAATACACAAAGCAAATAACAATGTAATGAATTTTTGTAATTTCAATATAACATCTACTACCTTCAGTTGAAGTTCTCCATTCTTCAGTAGCTCAAAATATTTATGACGACGAAGTAACTTTTGACATTGAAATATTCTTTATCGATCTTTCACGATATTTTGAGAGCATCTCATTTAGTTGACGAACATAAGTAGATGATTTGTTTACAGACTTCACTACTGCCTTCAATTCCGTTGCTATCTCATTCATCTAAAAATATATGTGATAAGATATATTATTTCCTATGATAAATTAGCAAAGCAGCAAAGATTATTTCAGGCATTAACTGTTAAAACATCTATAGAGATATATTGAAATCTTACGTATTGTTTGTACGTCAAATATCTGTTATATTTCTGATTGTTGTTGTAGATCTGCTTAATTTGAATCATAAAAACAAGGCTCAGAATAACGAGTCCCAACACAACTAGAGAATTCGAGTTTTGAAGGCCGCGTAAAACGAGCATCACACTTTGTTAAAATTACAGTTATTGATAATATAAATAAAGGCCGTTACATATTACCAAACTGAGCTTGAGCCGGCATATACATTTCAACGTTTAAATTTCCATACAATTTCAAACATTCATTGCTTTACAAAATTATCGAGCACTATTATGAATTACGAGTCATGATGCATGTACATTTAGATATGCGTTCGATTTTAAAAATATGATAGAGTAGAAGCGGAAGTCTGATTGGCTAGTCTAAGTCCTAGATGGCATTATTGGCATTATCGAACGAGCCAACACGAAAATGTATTATTGTCGCCAATCAAGTACTTTCTCTTGACTCACGACAGTCCGCGTAGTCGACTCGTGTTCGTACCGTAAACGTTGGAGAAAAAGGTTATAATTTCTAACCAGATCACCACTTTTTGAGCACGATGTACGACGACTACAACGAGGTACCGATTTATTTTAAGAAATTTACCAGTATATATCTAACATCGAATATCTGTAACACATCCACGTAACTTTTAATGTAATTTTTACATGATCTTATCGCACGGTTTATTCACAGTACGATACCTATGACGATTACGGGCCGTCAGATGAACAGTATGACCGAACGAGTTATCGGCAACTGCCCGAGATCGTGCGCAACTTTCTCGTATTCTTGCGCAATTGCATCAACGATGGCATGATCTTCGAGATCCAGAACCTCTATGAGAACTCGTTTCCCAAGATCTCGGAGCAACTGTTCGACAAGTCGCCATGGCCCGAGGCGTCCACGATCGCTCATCTAGTTGACAACGACCCAGTGTTCCTCACCCTCTACAAGGAACTCTACTACCGTCATATCTACGCTCGCATGCAGGGACCCACATTGGAACAGCGTCTGAATTCCTTCTACAATTATTGCGACCTCTTCAACTATATCCTGCATCCGGATACGCCGGTGCAGCTGGAATTACCTGATCAATGGCTGTGGGAGCTGATCGATGAGTTTGTCTACCAGTTCCAATCGTTTGCCCAATATCGTGCCAATTTATCCAACAAAACTCCAGATGAGATTGACAATTTAAACGCACACAATAAAATTTGGGACGTGCTCTGCGTTTTGAATGTTCTGCATTATCTGGTGGACAAGTCGAAGATCAAGAGCCAGTTAGAAGTATACGCAAGCGGTGGCGATCCGGATTCCGTGGCTGGTGCCTTTGGCCGGCATTCTCTGTATAAGATGCTCGGCTACTTCTCGCTCGTCGGTCTCTTGCGACTGCACTCGCTATTGGGTGATTATTACCAAGCCATCAAAGTGTTGGAGAATGTGGAGCTGTACAAGAAGAGTGCGTACTCACATGTGCCCGGCTGTCAGATCTCGACGGCGTATTACGTAGGCTTCGCATACATGATGATGCGTCGTTACGCGGACGCGATCCGCACCTTCTCCGGCATCCTGCTGTACATCCAGCGCACGAAGCAGCTGTTCGCGACACGCAGCTACCAGAACGATCAGATTAACAAGCAAACCGAGCAGATGTATCACTTGCTCGCGATCTGCCTGGTCCTTCATCCGCAATGCATCGACGAAGGCCTGCAGCAAGCACTGCGGGACAAGAACTACCACGAGAAGATGTACAAGATGCAATATGGCGATTTAACTGAGTTTGAGAACTGCTTCGTGTTCGCGTGTCCTAAGTTTCTTTCCTTGACGCCACCGAATCCGGAGAATCCTAACGAGGACTACGTTCGCGAAGCCATCAAGCATCAAACCCAGGTGTTCATGGATGAGGTGGTGCAACAGAAGATGCTGCCGACTATTCGCTCATACCTAAAGCTCTACACAACACTGCCCTTGAGTAAATTGGCGACTTTCATGGGCAGCAATTCGCGCTCCGACGAGAGCTGGGATCTGGACAAGGAGGTGAACGCGTTGACGATCCACTTATTATGCTTCAAGCACAAGATGAAGAATATTGTCTGGACGAAAGGCACGTCGGGATTAGACGGCAAATTCCAGTCCGGATCCGAGGTGTGTCATCATTTTTTCTCATTTTTTACTTTTTACTTACATTCTGTTACATTCTATACTTTTATATCAAAACGTTACTTTTACTATCAATTCTCTGTAGAATACCAATTTCTCTAGTTGAAAGTAACGCATTTTATTACTGCATCTTCCGAATTCACATTTGAAGAAAACAAGTCATGGAAAATATTCTCATTTTATACTGACGATAATCATGTCGTTCTTCTAGCTGGACTTCTACATTGACCACGACATGATTCACATAGCCGACACGAAAGTAGCGCATCGATACGGTGACTTCTTCATTCGCAAGATATTGAAGTTCGAGGAATTGAATCGCAAGCTGCATCATATAAAAATTTAAGTATTATCTCGTCAGGAAAAATTGCGAAGTATGGGAATAAAGGAGTTTTTAAAGATAAATATTAATTTTTATTAAACATTCTCATATTGTAGATTTCTCTCTGTAAGTTCGAAGAATCGCGAACGTCATATAAAAATTTAATTATCTCGGCAGACAAAAAGATGCGAAAGATACGGAGAAAGAGGAAATAAAAGAATTTTTAAAGATAAATATTTATTTTGATTAAACATCCTGAAATTGTAGATTTCCCTTTGATTACAATATAGATTACGATAAAATATAATGATCCGCGTTTGGCAGTGCACTGTGATATAATGTACAGATAATAGTAATTGTGTATGAGAATTTGCATTCATGTATTTCGTATTTCTTATCACATTCGAAATATCCATACACAATTCTGTATATCAGGACAAGTAAAATTTAACATCAATCGCATCTCGCGTTCAGCGTTCAGTAAAATCTAAAGTGCAACTGTAAAATCCATTATATATGTATATATACGCGATACATCTTGTCAATATAAATTACTCTAAACTTGACTCCATTCCTCCTCCGATTTTTACAGGCCCGAGTATAATTGTACGCCTCACTCATATAATGATAAATTTATCAATGAAATGTGAGGAAAAAGGCATTGATATTTTACTGCGATATTCAATATAATATTAAAATATATCATATATACATATTATCTTTGATAACAATGACAGTATAATACATAATAGTTGATATTCATTATAAATAACATTTTACGAAATAAAAGCTCCTCCCACCTTCGCAATCAATAAAAATTACATCGCGACTGAACTTCGCAAAGCTACTCGCGTCGCATCTCGCACGGAAAATGTACTTCTTTTCCAAATAACAATCGATCACTGTGTGCTCGACGTGGATGCGTTTTTGTCAACTTTCTCCTGCAGCGTTCGACATGCGGCAGTCAGGATGTTCGGCTTCAACGAACTGGCCGGCACCTTCAAGCTGTGCAGATAGTGGAAGAATCGATTGCCCCGCTTGTGATTGCCAGCAGAACGAAACTCTTCGGCGCGACATATTGTACGTGCAGTGGACAAGTAATCCGTCGCCATCACCCGGTGGTCCAGACAGGCGAACGTGACATGCGACAGTACTAGATCCACTCCTCGATTCAATTGATTTCGAAGTACGGTGGTGCTTGAATTTGGCATGTGCTTATTTCCGTTTGAGTTCTTGTACAGTATCCTGTCGCTTATGAAATTTGCTATATCCGCGCTGCAGCGCTGGGCCGCGGAATATAGCGACAGGCTCTCGGTTAGTGACAAGTTAGGCTGCGAGTCCGCTTCTGGCGAGTTCAACAGCGCGTCGTCGATGTCGATCAAAGACGACACCAGCGACAAACCGTCTAAATCGTCCGCCAAACTGCACAGTATATCGTTTTTCATTGTCCGTCCTTTGTATTTCTTGGCATTCATATCTTTCTTCGTATCGTGCCGTTTCAGCTTAATCGCAGGTTTGTATAAGTAACGTTGCATGTCTTGCCAAAGCGACGGTCTCACGGTTGTAGATTGATCGGATAGTACAGGCGGGCCGGACAGCAGCAGGTATTGCAATTGCAGCAGCGCCTTCCGTAGATCGCCTGCTTGCAGCAACTTCTAAACAATGAAGTGAATAATAAAGATCAATAAATAGATAAGCTCGTAGCATATGAATTATAACTATATACTTTTGTAAACGCGACATTTTTGTACGAGTAATTGCGATATTTCAATTTTTTTCTATTTTCGTCACATAAAATTTGCGCGATATCATCGTATCATTGATTCTCCTTTAAAGTAAGTGCGTAAAAAACAAAAATCTAGATAATATTATTAGGGCAGAAATTTAAGCTCTATTGAAGCCTTGTTAAGGTTAAGGTAGAAATATCGCGGGACTCACCACTAGGCAATTGTGCGGCAGCCTGTAACCCGTCTCGGCCAACGAGATTAACTCCAGCAAGGCGGACACTCTGCTGCCATTCACCTGTTGAAAGTAGATCTTATTCTGTTGCGGCGCCATTTTGCTCAAGTGCGGGCACACATTTCTGCACGTCATGACAATCGGTCTCTTGGTGTTCGACGCTAACTGGTACGCCGCCGAGACGAAGCCCTCGTCCTCCTCGAAGATGAGGTCGATGTCCTCTAGAAGGATCAGCGAGTTCTGCGATATCTCCGACACCTCGTTCTTTTTCGTGGCTTGCTCGAATGGGGACTTGCGCTTGTTCTTCTTGATTCTGTGCGACTTAGTGGCTTCCTCCAGCTCCTTCAGGATCCTCTTACCGGTTCGTCTGGAGGACGCGTTCACCTCCAGTACGCTATAACCGAGCTCCTCCGCTACCGCATACACACTCGCGCTTTTTCCGCTACCGTGTGGTCCCAACAACACGGCTGTTTGATTGCTTTCATTGTTGCACAAGTTGCTGCACGAGTCCGACGAGTAGAATTCCTCGCCGCTGCTGTAATCTTCTTTCGACAAAGGCGTCCTCCAACCGCTCAGCCAGTCCCTCAATTTAGCCGCGGCTTCTTCGTTCCCGACCACCTCTTGTGCGCTCATTGGCTTGTACTTGCATATCCACGTACAATTATGCGACTGACTCGTCTCCACGTTCTCCGCCAACGAACCTTTTCTATTAAGGGACTTCGTTTTCTTGCCTTCTTTCGTTCGTGGCAGCGGTTTTTTTTCAGTCTTGCCTTTGATCGCCGATATAGTTTGCCACATTTTTTGTACATTCGGACAACGTTCCTCCATCTCCAATAACACCAGATCAAAATTTCCTTTCACGGGCTTGTCGATTGCTTCGGTTACTTTCGAAGCTATTTTGTAATTAGTGATACACTTGTACTCATTAATGTTTATTGAAGGCAGATATTTCTTCTCGACTTTCGCAGGAAATCTGTGCTGGAATTTAAATTTGTTCAAATGGAAGTTTTTCTCCAACTGTGTAACATGACTGATGATGGGAAATGGTAACATGAGTATACTATTGTTTAGTTTCCTATCTGTATTTTTGTTCTCGCCATCGATTATATCGGATTGCAGGAATAAGCGTTTCGCCGCAACGACCGCTGGATCAGTTTTGCGTCGTTTCGTAAATAATGGTGCTAATTTTTCGTTTGGTTTCTTCAATATATTCTCGATAACGATTTCATCCTCGGAGTTGTCGGTTATCGTTATAACAGTTCCGCACGTGCCGTTGAATGTTTCTTTCGTTTTGCTAATTTTTTCTGATCCTGACGTACATGTATCAGAAGCCTTATTGTTAGCGGGAGAATCTTTGTCGATGTTTGCTTGAACGTTATCTTCCTGCTTACTAAATGACTCATTTTTCTTCTCGTTTCGTACTGTCGTATCGACATGTCCTTTGCGATGCTTTATGTGAGACTTATCGTTTTTTACATATACACCCATGTCTTTTTGAGATTTGTTCGTGATCACGTTGAATTTCGATCTGCTTCTCGGCGAGAATAGCTCGTCATCGGTTGTATCTACGTGTAACATTTTGAATATCAGTTTAGCGATATTATAATAAAGCTAAGCAATTATTTGCTAGAATATTATTTACATCAGCGATCAAAGTGTGAAAAAAATATCATCGCCATCAACCGATAAATATCGGGAGACTCCTGCTATATTTTACATCATATGTATTACATAAGAACAAAAAGGTTATATTGTTTTTCGATATTAAATTTTATACTGATACCATTACCATCCTGATTATCGTTGTCTTCGGAAGAATGTAATTTTATACGTAAAGACCAACGGGGTTTTTGTTGCTTCTCTTGCTTGGGGGTTAGCGGCAAAGTCAGATTTTCAGATGCTATGACATGAATATCATCTACTTTGGAAAGATCCATGTTGGCCTTCAGGTATCTTTTAATAGGATAAATCTTGTTCGAGATTGGCTTAAGCACTGGTTCAATGCTGGCAGTCTCGGTTCTATGCACATCAGCTTTTACGATAATAGTAGACACACATTTCATTTCTTTATTTGTTAATTCCAAAGATGATTTGCTGTGTGATAAAAATTGGTTATTACATGATTTTCAAAAGTTATAATAATATAATTGTAATATGATTAAAATTTAATATCTTAACATTAATTCAACAAATTTATTAATTATATAATTTTATACTATAACACACACAAATTATCACACATATACATGCATACTAATATAACAATTATATATTCTATATTACCTAAAATAATTCAACAAGCTTCCAGATAACTGCTTGTTATTTTTGATTGATAATGCAGAATTATCATTGTTTCCATTGTCACCTTTGAAGAACTTTAGACGATTTTCTATATTTTTTTCTATTTTCTCACCTTCTTCAGTCTCAGCAAGTTTTCTTTTTGAATAACCTTTCTTATCAGCTAATGCTATTAGTTTTTCCTTATGTTTGGCTTTCAACTCTTTAATGTCACTTGATTTTATGTTACATTCAATATCTTCTACAGATTGTTGTGGTAGAGACTTATATTGTATTGGTTTACTACGACTCATCAGAACTTGGAAGGCATTTGACTCTTCACGTTGAGAACCAATGTCATCACAAAATTTTGCATTTGATAGTCCTCTATCATGAATATTCTCCATCAGGATATCATTAGATGAATCAATTAAATTCACAATCTGTTTATTTTTATCTATTTCATTGTTTATATCTTGTGAAATATTTTTCATACTTTTAGGTTTATTTCCAACCAGTGCAACAGCAAACTTAAAAAAAGAATAAAATTTAATTAGTCAACTGTTCACAAGAAATAACCTGAATGATTCAGAGTTGATATTTCTGAATAAAGATATCATTGAAAATATATAATTCTCTATTATTTCTATTCATTCCAGAAACTTCTTTTATGAAAAAAATATCTAAAACTATAATCGCTCGAAAATATTATTAAAAATTAGGTACTTCCCAATAAAAGTAACATCAACTCTAATTTAGTCAAATTATGTGTACAAAATTTTTCTATTTTGTTTATCTAATACTTTGTAAATCAATAAAATATACCAGTAATTAACCGATTCTTGAATTCTATACCTTTTCAAAATGTCGCTTTGTACTGGAGCTAGTTAAATCAGACTTGACTGTTTCATCTTGTGAAATTCTGCTGTTGTCATTTGTTTTTCCAAAAGGACTCGGAGTCTTGTCGATCAGATCGTTCTTGCTTTCAATTATATTACATATCCTCTCCTCGGAGCCAGTACGAGATATACGGATCTTGACACGTTTACGTTTACGATTAGCCCTCACAATGAAGTCATCTTCTTGTTCTTCTTCCATATGTTCCTTGTGTGTATTATCATTGGAATCAACGATCTTTTTATCAATTCTTGAACCGTTCGCGAAGTATTGCTTGATATCCTTCATGTTTCGACGGACTGATAAAAATTTATCCACAAAAATAACACTAATCGTATTTCAGTGCCATATTAACTATTTACTGGTGGTGAATAAAATCAGTAGTACATCTATCGCACGGTAAAATGTTTTTATGTCACGACGAAGTAGAAATGTTCGGAGAAATATGCATGATAATCGTCGTTCATCTCCCGACGATGCGACACCATGATGGCATGCCTTCATCCGCGTCTTCCCGCCTTTTTAACTCACTTTCCAATACCTATAGATAGCAGTAGTGTGCAATAAAATAATTAAAGCAGAGAGAAGCTTAAAAGTGACTATCCAAGCCTTTTAGTTAACAATGATTTTTAAAACTGTTCGATACGTCATTTATGCCTATATTTGAGCTGAAATTATGTTCGTTACACCTATTTTCAAACGTTACCCGTAAAGTATCCGGTTAATGCATGTCCATGCTACACCTGTTCTACTTACAAACTTGGTTTTAGCTATTAATTTTGTAATATTACATAGAAAAATATGATATTAGATAGAGATTTTTTGTTACTTATTATTTTGGTAATTAATCAGATGATCAATTACGGAACGTATTTAATGGCCGTTACTACCAACCTTGTTAACTCAACCTTATTGGTTATTTTAATGCGATGATCTAATTCTATGGCTGTGTTCCAATATTCACTGCCAGCACTGCAATCTATAATATATGTGACACGAACTATGTATTTTTTCAGTACTGGCAGTAAATTTTGGAACACAGCCTATCTGTCGTTAATCAGTATTGGCAAATGCGATTGGTCGATTCGGATGGAATAACTAACCGGTGAAGTTAATCACAGTAGAAATGGGCATAGGATAGTTTAAGGCCTACCAATCTTACAACTAAAAACCGAAGTTTCCGAAACCGATTTCGGAACAGGCCTAATGTCAGATATAAATTGATGATAGTGACTTCTACGTCTCTCAAGTTTTAGAGCATGCGAGTGCGAGACAGAAAGAAGTGAAAAAGTAGCAGTAGACGTTTTTCGATATTTTACACGACAATTTTCGACTCGATGTATTTTTACTCGAGCAGACGTGAGTATTTGAACATTGTGTGAAAATTACATTGTTACCGATAGGCTAGTGACAGACGATTGTCTTTATCGCGGAGCGATAACGTGTGCATCAAATAACGCGATTTCTGTTTTGCAACAGATCATACGTTCCTCTTACCGAGTAATAATTCTAATAATTTTCGCAAAATATAACATCGCTGTTAAACGTGTTTCGTAATTACTGGTGTATTTGCACAGAACTTGTACGCGTTATCCTTTACCCGCTAAAATGTCCAACATGTTATTACGACTGGCTCATTTTTCGCGACAAATGTGTCAACATAAATGCGCAATTACGTGTTACTCGATAGTGTACCTTTTCGTGCAACAGTTTTACGTAGAATATTACATTATATTATGTAACGTTAACAGAACACTCTTTTGTATTATTTTAATATTACATTATGTTTGTATATTTCTCTCCCTCTCACTTTCACTCCTCTGTTTGTCGACACAATTGAGCTATGATCACACCTGTTGGGCTGCCATAAAGAGAAAGGCTTAATTACATTTGTTATTTGTGTTGTGTGAATTTATGAACAATTTGTGTCTTTTATTTTCAGTGATAGAAGGTCATTTCTGACTGCTCACTGGTAACACAAATATTGTCCAAAAAATCAAACACCATGACAGAGGATATGTTAGGTGCAGATATATGTCGGGTCTGTCGGTCAGAGGGCCTGGCAGATAGACCACTATTTCACCCATGTATCTGCACAGGCAGCATAAAATGGATACATCAAGAATGTTTGGTGCAGTGGATGAGATATTCGCGCAAGGAATATTGTGAACTCTGTGGCCATCGCTTTTCATTTACACCTATATATAGTCCAGACATGCCACGTCGTTTGCCACTAAGAGATGTCATAGGTGGTTTATTTTCAAGCATTCTCACTGCTGTAAAGTACTGGTTACATTACACATTAGTGGCAATCGCTTGGCTAGGAGTTGTCCCTTTGACCGCATATCGTACATATAGAGCTTTGTTCAGCGGTCCATTGGATTTAGTACGGGTAAAACATTCGGCTTTAGATACAAGGCTTTGCATTTCAGTGATAAAGTCAATTGATTAGTTTTGTATCCGCAGATAATGTCGCTGCCAATGGATATGCTTTCTACAGAAAATATTTCTTCGGATGTATTTCATGGTTGTTTTGTAGTCACTTGCACCTTATTTGCATTTATTGGTCTGGTATGGTTGAGAGAACAGATCCTACATGCGGGCGGTCCCGATTGGCTCGAGAGAGACAATGTGCAGATACCATTAGTTGATAATCCGCCGCCGGCAAATGCACAACAGCCGCAGCAAGCTCAAGAAGAGCAACAGGCTATGCCACAGGAAGTTCAAGACAACAACAACGTCCCACCTTTTGTCGATCATCCACCTATCCCGCAAGAAGGAGAGCCACGTAATGAAGGTATATAGTATACGATAGCACACGAAACATTTATCTAATAATGATCTTGAATTGTGTAGACCAACACCCTGTGTATCAAGGAGTAGCGGATAACGTGATTGACAATCCGCGAATCGGCGAGCCAGATGATCTGGCAAGAGACGCGCAGGCACCGGTTCCCGCTCCGCCACCACTTCCAATCAGGGAGGAACTTGGTGCGGACGATGCACAAGCGGACGCTGTGGCTGGTGAAGGCTGGATAAGGGGACATGTGGTACAAGCGCACGTAGTGGCTCAACCGCAGGGCGAGGCCGAGGAGGCCAATTGGAATCCCATGGAGTGGGATAGGCCCGCCGAGGAACTAACCTGGGAGCGTCTGTTAGGATTGGATGGATCTCTCGTTTTTCTCGAGCATGTCTTCTGGGTTGTGTCTCTGAACACTCTGTTTATTATGGTGAGTCTATTCTTGGCGCGAAAATCAACCGTATATCGAAAATTGATTCTCTCTTCCTCCTTCCATTTTCCTTCTTTCATTTCACTTTCTTTTTCTTTCAGTCCGTCGTACCTTTCATGATATTTGTTCGCAGGTATTCGCCTTTTGCCCCTATCATATCGGTCATTTCGCGATAGCGGGATTAGGATTGCAAGAGCACGCGGCGGCATCGCACTTCGAGGGTTTGGTGACTACGTTGTGCGGTTACTGTGTCATTGGCGTTTGCCTAGTGATTCTTCATACTCTCGCCGCACTGCTAGGCTTTCAACGTTCTCAGCGAATCCTCGGGCTCTGTTATGTGATTGTCAAAGTCTCCCTGCTCTCCGTTGTGGAGATTGGTGTACTTCCATTAGTTTACGGCTGGTGGCTAGACATCTGCTCGCTGGCGATGTTTGACGCCACCCTCAAAGATAGAGAATCTTCTTTTAGACTCGCTCCCGGCACGTCCATGTTCATTCATTGGCTGGTAGGGACGATCTATATGTATTATTTCGCAGCGTTCATTCTTCTGTTGCGCGAGGTTCTGCGACCCGGAGTCGTCTGGTTCGTGCGCAACATAAACGATCCCGATTTCTCCCCTATACAAGAGATGATACATCTTCCCATATTGCGGCACGTACGGCGATTACTCGCGTCCGCAATCATATTTGACACGGTGATCCTGTTGATGTTGTGGCTACCTGTGAAGATTCTCAGATGGGCCTGGCCGGGATTTCTACCGTACACTGTGACCGTGCAAAGTGAGGCTCAAGTGGGCGAGCTCTCGTTGGAGCTCCTGCTGTTGCAAGTGATTCTACCGGCGTTGCTGGAGCAATCACACACACGCACATGGCTCAAGGCTCTCGTGAGGGCATGGTGCCGCGTAGTAGCATGGATGTTGGATCTGCAGTCGTATCTTCTGCGAGAGCAGACGGACGATCCGGAACCGGCGGTGATTGAGGAGCCACAACATCCCGACTTGGGCGCTGCACATCAGGCGTTGCTGCAACGAGAGGGACCCACGGGATTCCAACCGTATGTTAGACCGCGTTGGTTCCCCGCGCGACTGGTTGGTCTCGTGCTCTGCGTCTGTGTATCCCTTGTGATCGCCAGTCTGGTGGCCATGACGCTACCCGTATGGCTTGGACGTAGAGTGATGGCGTTGTGGATGGTAGGAGCGCCCGCTCCCTCGCCACCTGTATTACCGCCAACGTCAACCGGATCCGGTGAGTCGATGTTATTATTATTATATCGCGTTTTGCTGTCTTCTACCTTTCAAGGTCTTCTTCATTTCGTCTGATCTTTGTATCTTCATTCGTTCTTTTCAGTCTCTATTTATTATACTTTATTATTACTCACTTAATACTTATGTATAGATGGCGGCGAATCTGTGGGGCCTCTCTCCGGAAGGGTGCACGAAGTGTATACTGTAGCTTGCGGCACATACGTATGCTGGGCTGCGGCACGAGGCTTGGTACTGGCATTCTCCTGGCTGCCTCGTGGTCGTAGGGCGATTCTAGACCGAGTTAAGCACTGGGCGATCCTAGGCATGAAGGCTTCGCTGGCGTTTGTGCTGTTAGTCGGAGTGATACCGCTCCTATTCGGTCTTTTACTCGAGTTGGTGGTGGTAGTACCGTTACGCGTCCCGCTCGAGCAAAACCCTATCTTGTTTATCTGGCAAGATTGGGCGTTGGGTGTGCTATATACGAAGATAGCCACCGCTGTGACAATGATGGGGCCCGATTGGCGGATACGCTTGGCTATTGAACGCGCGTACAACGACGGTATCAGGGACATGGATCTGAAATTCGTCGTTACAGAATTGGCGGCACCGGTCATATGTTGCTTCGGTCTCGCCCTCGCGGTTCCTTACGCCGTGGCCTACGGGATAGTTCCCCTTCTAGTGACCAATCTACAGACTCAGATCCTCATCGCCAGACGCTTGTATCCTTTCCTTCTTCTAGTGAGCCTGGTCTGCGTGGTGATCGGCTTTCAGATACGTCAGTTTAAGAAACTGTATGAGCACATTAAAAACGACAAGTACCTTGTGGGGCAAAGACTTGTCAATTACGAGCATCGCAATAAATCGCAGACGCAGCAACATCAGTCGCAGAGGTCAAGCTAACGGTGTCATTAAGCATAATATTTGTTACGGTGGAAGATGAATTAGGATTAGCTTCGTGTACATTCTTTAACATCTATGATAAATGATAATTTATATTTAGTCACGATTTTATTTTTAATATTATAATTTATCGATGTAAGAGCGATACCAAATAAAAGAAAGAAAGAAAAAAGGACTGTTATTCAGTGTGTATTGTTTCTTGCTTAGATGCTTCACAATTCAAACATTGTATTCCGTTGTGATCGCGTTATCTGAGTGAATTTAATGAATTTTTACTCTTTATTGGCTACTGACGCCTCGATCTATCTGCAGCCGAGAGCAAGCAAAAAAACAAGTATGATGAATTCATCGAAAAACTGTTTCTTCGTTCATCCGACAGAATCATCGATTCTACGGTAGCCCAGAGTATATTTAATATAAATTTTTAATAACACTGCAAATGTAAAGGTATAGAATATCGTCTTTCAATCTCTCGATTGAGATTTCTCTTGATCCTAGATTGATAAAGAAACAAAGATATAAAAGTATATTTGTACCGTTATCAAATCATCTGGGAGCGCAGGATGTATAGAAACAATTCTGATTCATTCGTTTGATAGGTAGATTTATAGAAATTTGTACATCTGACAGGTAATCATTTTGAGCAAATCAAATATTTTGTTACGCAAATGATACAGTACAAATATGTACGCAAATGAAATGAAATGAAATCTGAAAGTGTATATATCCGCTCTGACCGTCAATACAGGTTTATGTAGTATTTATGTGTAAATCATATAAATATATTACAACACACGGTTCGTATGATCGGGTGCATTAATTTCGCTGATCCGTTAGCACTTGCAAGATTTCACTGATCTTTTTCATTGTAATAAAGCTCGCTCAAAAAACACACGAAAACGGAACGGATGCACCAGATAACATTAATGCATCCAATTGTACATGTATATGTCGTATTTACAATAAATTAATATTTTAAAACAGCAATGCTTGTCCTGTATTGTCTGCAACGCATCTACATGTCTTGATCTTAATTTGTGAAGTAGTTCAATGACGATCAATCAAAGTCGCATGTAAATTGACGAAAATGCATACGCATACTCTACTTTTGTCAACCATTTCCATGTGTTTGCAATAATAAAAATTCGTGTTTTACCGAAGAAAACTATATATCATATATCATATAACTATATATCATATTCGATAACAATTCATTAAGTACCGTTCAGTAAAATGATTTGTCTGCGCGCGAAAAAAGAATGAATATTTATTTATTGTTGACTTAATGCTTAAAAAGATTAGCATATCAATCACGTAAAATGGTATTAATAGTAATAGTAGTATAAAAAGATGTTAATCTCTCATCCCATCGAATCGGAAGATCACATTATAAGAGAGAGAAAGAGAGAGAGAGAGAGAGAGCAATATTTATACGCAATACACGATATTTTATAAATTAAAAATTGCTTAAATTTACAATTGTCAATAATGGATTATATATACAAATTTGGTCTTTCAAATAGAGAGACATGATCCGAGTTTCTTAATGTACAATAATGATAAAAAAAGATCTCTATAAAGACGCCATATACATACGTACATGTATAATGATACGTTTAAGAGTGGAATGTTACTTTTATTTTAACGATACCACACTTCTAATTCTTCGTGCGGTAATAATTATGAATTAACATCCTTTTCCTGTATTCTTAACAATTATCATTTGTGATCCTCCAAATTGGTAGACTTATTTTTTAATACACATATAAATACAACATATAAATATGCAATTTCCACTATATATATAAATTATAAAAAAGAAAGAAAAAAAGAATCTTTCGTCGTCACAATGATTCGTCGTATCAGGCTACTAGTATAAACTGATGCAAAATATATCCCGAAATAACAAATGGCAATTTTAAATATGCATTCGCAAATAAATTACTGTATATATTCTACATACGCTAATACATTTATAAATATATTAACTATATATTAGAACTATACCAGAATACGTATACTTTATACAATTGACATACGCGTTGACACACATTTACGAATGCGTACTTACGATTGTCATTCATTACTCGCGAATACACACCTTGTATAAACACCGATGTAAACATAGCCATTTACCTTGTAAAAAAAAATACAAAAATAAAAATATTACAAACGTTGCGCATCACCTCGCTATTATTGAATGAGGGTTGCTTTTAAACGCAAGTCTTCGTTCATTTTTTCCACTCGTACACGTACCGAAGAAAACATATTAATTATCTGTAACAGAGTTGGTCGATGACATGTTAGTATACCATAGTAGTACCAACGTACACGTTGGTAACATATTTTCATCGACCTATAAAATATATCGTGATACCTGTGTAACGGGAAGCGTCTTCCATTGAATTGTTACAGTTGGGACCGTTAGATCTGCCGAATACTTTACAGCAACGGTGTGTTTTATGTCTTTAAAATATATCTTCAACTTTATGCCGGTATCACAGAGAATAACATCCATATTGCGTTCCTTTATCTCCGCTACAATAGCCAGAGCTTCAAAACTTCCCGCAAGACCTACCATGTGCACGAAGAATAGCTCGGTACTTTGCTCTTGAGCTAATTTTGCGTTGTACTTCTTCACGTTGCAATTGTTTGATATTCTGTCGGAGATCGAAAGTAAAGTTTAGAAATCCTGTGTGATATTCTTCCCGACTTCTATCGCATTCATTAAAAATGTGTGTGTGCGTGCGTGCATGCGTGTGACGCGCCCGCATTTATATACATGACATAATACCTAGAACAAAGTTTAGCCGTCCATTTCCTTGGCATTGGTTTATTCGCGATCGTCGCATAGAGCAAACGATGAACTATGCAATCGGAATACCTTCGAATAGGGGACGTAAAGTGCGTATAAAGTGGTACATTCAATGCGTAATGCTTCAAGTCATCGCTCGAAGTGACGGCAGATGCACACTTGTATTCTGCACGCTGAAACGTTAAAAATTTTTATTACGTCGTATACTTTTCTCATCATGCTTATTCGCGCTTGTTCGCGTTGCGTCTACATTGTAACTCTAACTTTGATAAACCAAGTACACCTTTTATCATTATTAATATAAAAAAAATTCCATGAATTCTTACTGTCATAGCTTTTGAACATAAATTCGTGATAACCATTATAACATGTTGCATCGTATTGTTCATTGTGCTAGAATTACATTCTAATAAATCTCTTTCATAGCGTTGAATACTGGCATTTAAAGCTCCAGCTGTCTCGATGTCCAAATGGATTCCGTATTTTCGCAATGTCTCATGAATCGTTACAAGACTATGCTTGATCGGATCTCTATGGATGCGCAATAAAGCCGTTTCAGGAATCGTGCTATATAATTGCGCGGCAACTGTCATATTTGCCAACAGCATAAATTCTTCTATGAGCCTAAACCGACACACATAAATTCATCAAATCATTAAATCTGTCGGATGTATTTTATTCAATCAAGTTATTTCTCTTGCGCGCGCGACACGAAATGTATATAGCGGAAACAAACATAGTGTATATTAGTAAAAAATTGCACCTGTTACTGTCTCTTCTTTCTTCGAGTTGGTAGTTCACAGGTACTGAAATTCCGTGTTCCCGCATAATTTTGGGGTCCATACATATATGTATTTTTGGTTGGTCCAAGCTGAGCGCACCGTTACTAAATCGTTTATTTCGCAAGCTAGTCGACAATTTAAAAAGATTATTCACCGTATTGGATAATGATAACGCCGTGAAATTTCCTTTTATGTCCAAAACTTTATCAGATAAAACTTCTTCAGGATTATCAATCATAATTTGAGCAAGGTCATAGGACAATTGACAACATGATCTTATTACAGTCTTTGCGAAACGTTGTTCCACAATTTCGCCGTCCGGTGTCAGTTCCCAAATTACTGAGAAAGCTAATTTATCCTTGCCGGGTAGCAAGGAACAAACTCGACAGAGCTGCTCCGGCAACATGTGGTAAGATGTGTGTGGTAAATAAACAGTGGTGGCTCGTTTAGAAATTGCTTTATCTAATGGAGAGAAGAGTTCTAAATAATGCGTTACGTCTGATATGTGCACACCAACCTAGAATCATCACAAAGCATACATTCATATATCCGACAGAAGGATCTCGGTAAAAAAGAGGTGAAAAATAAAACGATCTTGAATAAAAAGAAAAATTTAATCCGTTTATTCGTCACGATTACCTCATAGTTGCCATTTTTCAAGACTTTACAAGACACAGCATCATCCAAATCAACAGCTGTGGCAGGATCTATCGTGAAAACACATTCGTTGCTCCAATCTTCTCTGCCCATTATATCGGCATTTGTCAAGACATAATCACTATCGGGAAGCCCTTGTAACAACTCTTGTCGATACGGCGACACATCCAAATTGTTTTCGAGTAATATTGCTGTTACTTCTGCATTTAGGTCACCAGATTCACCCACTATCTGGAGAATTTCCCTACATAAATATAAAAGCAATCGAAAATGCCATTATGAGCATCTTTATATATAAAGCCAGAATATAAAGCTCATTATCTTGTTTCAACATTGATATATATTACTTTTTGTACATGTGATGCAAAGACCTACCCTGATGCATGACTCGGCTGTGTCCAGTGATTAATGACAATCAAAAATATTACATTATTATAAAGATTTGGTTGCTTATGATACAAATTTGGCATTGACTTTGAGGGTATCCTAATCAATGGTATTCTTATATCTTTCGGTTTGATTAGCACATAAGGCTTGCATTTTCGTACATGTTGTGTTAAATACCCAATTGCCTTCCTTGGATGTAGTTTATCCAATATACAAATAACTGTGCCAGTTTTTTGTATTTTTCCATTGGCAAGTATCTGCCAATTTTCTTCAGGATTTATACGTGCTACAACTAAATCTCCATCAAAAGCACGATTTCTATCAATTATACTATTTATTAATAAATCACGTTCCCCATCTATCATGCTTATATAAGCAAAATGATTATATTTAGGGTTTACACGGATAGTTCCTTTTACATATTGTATATTATCAAATGTTTGATTTTCCAAGATTTTTTTCATTTCTGGCACAGGTATATAATCTGAAAACATATTTTCTGACAACTGCTGTGTAATTTCCCGTGCATTTTTTGTTTTCTTTGTTGCACAATTTTTTTCTGTTTCTTCTTTAATGCAACAGCATTCCTTCTGTGTATTTTCCTTAAACTCTCTCATTGCTATTTTATTCTTTTTACTTTTTTTTGGTGATTTGCTGCAGATATCAGCCTAATGTAAAAAAAGAAAAAAATATATAAATATGCTTATAATTCTGCAATTATAAATATTTTTCAAGTATATATATTCTGTGGCAATAAAAACCACATTATAATGTTTGCACAACCAACACCAACCTGATTTGTAACTGAATGTTTCTCCTGTATCTGACATGAACATAAACAATTAGTTGCTGTAACTTTGTCCAATTCTACTTTGAGCTTTAATTTTGACTTGCAATTCAAAGCAATGTTCTGTGGTTTATCTGACATGGTTCTTGCATCATTTTCATGCAATGTAACATCTTTATTCATTGACCTGCATGTGTGAAATGTGTCAATCTTCAAGTGATTTGTCGTAGCTGATGTCCTGATGTCATTTGTTTCTTTTTCTTCTTCTGTGGATTCACTTTCATCTTGCATAATACTATTGTGCGTTGTGTTGCTAGCTACTGATCCGCTACTCGACGATACCCACAATGTACTCGCCATCCTCATAATGTCCGTTTCGTATCCTGAGGAATTCGATGCAACTTGCTCCTGAGTTTCACACATTGCAGTCCTGTTGGATTTCGCACGTTCCTGTTTCAACTTGAAATTTGCAGAAACCTTGAGTTTAGATGCGAGTTGTGCACCAAGTTCCATTAATACGTTATTTTGAACGGCATCTGTGCCATCTATCATTGAATCCAATATCATTTTCTGTTCGTATCTAAACGATGTGATATCTTGGCGCTTACCACGAGACCCACGTCGAACTTTCTTCATAGTTTGTCTCAGGTCTCTCGGCATGATTGCAACGAGTAATCAGTATACCCTCGTGAAGTTACAGTGTATTTTAATGCAAAGCGCGATAACCAAAAAATAGATCGCAGATAAGCTTACACTTACTCCAATGTGCCAAGGAGATATATATATATATATATATATATACACATATATATATATATAACGGTGATTCCTAGTCGTTTCGCTGAAGAATATCTTTGCAAACGCCAGATACAGGTATAAATTTGTATATGTATGTACAAATCATACAACAAACAAGTATATACACACCTTTTGTTTCCGCGTTAGGTCATAATGATAGGAAAGGAAGACAAATATAAACACGACGCATGAATCAATCTTGCTCTTGCACAGATTTACGAAAATCTTATTTGGGCTGAGATAAAGGGTCATTTTGGCTATTCTCATGTATATATCTGATAACTCCATTGCGAATAGCCACGCTACAGATTGGGTGCATTCAGTACTACAACCGCTTCCTGAGTGCTCAGTAAGCAATTGTAGTACTGAATGCACCCATAGTGTATTGTATATCAGTGTATGATATAAAGGAAGATTTAAGCTAGCGGCACACGGTGCTTGTTTTCGTGCTGGATTGCTTGCTGGATGAAAATACTGCGTTCTGATTGGTATATTTCCGAAGATGGATGGAAATGCACTAATCAGAACGCAGTATTTTCATCCAGCAAGCAATCCAGCACGAAAACAAGCACCGTGTGCCGCTGGCTTTACACTACCCCCAATGCTAGAAGTCGATTGTGTATCTTCCATTGCTTTTCAACAAAGGAACACAAATAGACACAAAGGCTTATTCCGAAATCGATTTTGGAAACTTTGGTTTTTAGTTATAAAGTTGGCAGGCTTTAAACTAATTTAAATTTATTTAAATACATTTCATAATTGACCAACCGATCAATTATCAAGATGATAAATAATAAAAATCTGTCCATTTCTCTGTCTAATGTTACAAAATTAATGGCTAAAACCAAGTTTATAAACAAAAATGGTACATGAGTGAACATTCAAGAGCAATCAGCGGATCAATTATAGAAAGTTCGTTTGCATCTTTCTTTTGAAAGAAGAGCTCTTATTGGATATCGTTCATCGCATCTGATGTGCAACGGGCATTAAAGTGCCAATACATGGGATCGTCGAGCGTCGAGCGTCAAAGCGTCCAACCAATCAAAGTTCCTTGTTTTTATCCGTGAAATAAGAAATGAAAAACTGATTGGTTGGACGCTTTGATACTCGACGCTCGACGCTCCCATATATTGGCACCTTTAGATACAAAAGTGTCAAAAGTGCAAACAATGTAAACAAATTTTAAGTTTAGTTTAAGAACTACCAACCTTGTAACTTAAACCAAAATCTCCGAAACCGATTTTGGAACAGGCCTAGGGTCTATTCGAACGCATCTACGATGGTGGCGCCTGTACAAACAGCCAATGAAAAGCGCGAAATTTGACATTCTTAAAACGAAGTCTTCGAGATAAACTTGAAATTTCTGTATTTCTCTCACGAAAGAACTATATTTTATTGATTTGCAACGATTTTTGTTCTCAGGATTAACGTACGATCACAATGTCGCCTCAATTTCTTTTCAACTAGATGAGAACAACCAAGAGGTTATTGCTGTTACATTTCGCTCTGGTATTGTGGTAATACTCGCAACGCAGTTGAAAGGGGAATTTCAAGTAATCCTTTCATGGCGGTGCCAGTAAGTGGATGCATCTCGGAGTCGTCTAAAATTTGACAAAGTTCCGCTATTTCAAAGCCAGCTACATCGTTTACAGTGTGTAAGTAGAGTAACAATCAAAATAATTAATCGATCGACAAGAATAAAACATTCCAACAACGATTACAACGGCGATTGTACATGATACCGTTTAACCTCTTTAATTTCCGCCACTAATGAGTTTCTTGGTATCCTTTCACCGCGCGCTGTTGACGTTTCGTGAATCGTACGATACACAATCACCTCGTATTATCTCGCGCTCCTTTTTTTTTTATTCTGCAGCACGTCACGCCTATATAAAAGGTTAGAGAATTTACGGATTATTCCGTGTACGAATAGCGGCAGAGAAACGTTTCGTATTTTATTCCTTTAAGCGCATCTTTAACGCGCTTTGTCATGTTAGTGTAATATAGTGAAAAACTATTATTTCTCTGAACATTGTATGTATCATAAAATGCATGATCTGCGACATGCGGTTTCACAGATTGCGGCGAGTTTGCTTGTGAAAAATGTCAAGAAATGTGAAAAGAGTGAGAGAGAGAGAGAGAGAGAGAGAGAGAGAGAGAGAGTTTTGGAATCCATTTAAAATTTCCAAGAAGGAGATTAACATATCTGCTTTTCGATTTCTTTTTTAAACTGTTTTTTTTGTTTTACATAGATATGTGACAGAATATACACAAAACACAGATTACAGTCAATGCGAGATTAAAGTCAAAGGTTTTCGCATAATTTTCGACAATAGCAAACTAATTAATATTGAGAAATACCAATTCCATCAAGTGCATGAGTTCAGGGAATGTCTTGCTGTTCGTCTTAAAGTATAATCTGCAATGCTAATCGTTTACGCAACTGTCGTATACAGTCTGCACATTTCACTATTTTTACGCTAGAACGCGCTCACCAAGGAAAAGAGACTTTACATTCAGTTTCTTATCATTCATGACTAGATAACATTCGAAGGTCGCTCCTTGAAACTAGCGTATTCCATAATATTCATATAATCCTGTAAGCATACTTTTGCTATGCTACATGCATCTTTATAAAGGAATAACAACAATAAAAAGGTTATTTTTTAATAACCTTCTATTGTATCGCTTGATTTCACGTCGATCTTCTGTAATCGTACGTTATATATTACGCGTAACAATCTCGTGAGTACGTTCTACATACCGATATATGGAAAGATGTACTCATATAAGGAATCACGTGTACATTGTATGATAATTTATTCAGTAAGACCGTATTATGACACAAGATACAATCGTGAATAATGTTTAATGTATAGTTAATTGTATTATCGGTACATTAAATTTTAATGACGAGCCTTTATATTTACGTTCATATTGCCTTTTTTTCCTTTCTGTCACACTACTTTTATGTCTTCCGAATTTAAAATTATACTTTACGCACGATATATGCGGGAGAACAAAAAGCTTTACAAAACTTTGCAAATGAAATAAATATCATTCATAAGCAGCAAATAATGTTTGGTGCAAAAACGTGTTAGAATAAAATTTTGCAAACATGATATATTCTCACATTAAGTGTATGGAATATACTGTCGTAGGTATGTGTGTAAGATAGAGAGATAAAGAGAGAAAGTGGTGGGGTGGGCAGAGAGGAGGGAGTGGAAGGGAGGGAAAAAGAGGGCACGGCATAAAAAGATCGAAGTAAAATCATACGATATCTCGCGATATCACGCGAAGAGATGCGATGTTACATATTACCGCAGTGTCACTACAACTCGATTGGTAGCCAACGAATGAGTAAGATAAAAGACAGCACATTGACGTCTTATCAAATACATTTAAAGGTATTGAATTTAACAAAAAATACCGCGATTTACACTATGTAATGCTACATATCATGAATAACAAATAAATCTTTTGTTTTATCAAAGTTTTGTGTAAGAAAGTTTGGAATTCAATTTTGAAAATTTTGCTCAAATTAATAAATATCTCAATTCTACTACAAAAGAGGAAAGTCAATAAGAGCATTTTGTTGTCTTCATAAGATTTTTAAAAAACAATTTTTTTGTGTTGTATGATTATTAGGAATGTCAAAAATAACCATTAAGCGAGAAAAAACTTGATCCACAAGTTAATTATTAGTCTAGGTATATCACTATAGTATCTAAATCTTTTTTATGATTAATAAGTGGACTAATAAAATATTTTCGTTCATTTTAATTCTCTACTATCATATTAACATAATTTTAGATTACAATACATACATATATGTTAGTTAATTTTCCGATATATAAAAAAAATTCGGCTAATATGATGACCACCTGAAATTAATACCTATTTGTTATTAGTACCTACATGTCAGGAGTAATAAAAAATTGATTTTTTCATTATTCACTATATTCATTTTTACCTTGAAGATGATACATATTGTAATTTATCATGAAAAGGACTTAGATGCCTTAATGACATATTTATGTTAATAATTACTTTTGGCTTTATGGATCAAGTTTCTTCTTAATGATTATTTGTGGCATTTCTAACTATTATATAATATAAAAAAAATTGTTTTTTGAAAACAAACTGCCTCTGTGGAGGCAGAAAAATGGGCCTCTGTGGAGGCCCTTATTGATCTTTCCACAAAATGTATTGTATATATATACTACAATATTTGTTTTTTATCAAGATTTATAATAGATTGGAATTTTCTACATCCAAGATTATTTCATATATTTCTTAAATTCATCACAGTTTAGACAATAAACTATACCTCTATTTATCAATGTTAAGAAAAATTGTCAACTTCACTCATTCAAGATATATAATATGGTACAGATATATGATATTATGCACAATATAACAGGTGCAAAATAGATAAAATAAAATAAATAAAATAATTTATGCACAACAAAGGATGAAGATGTAAGGGCATTAAAGAATAGAAATAATAAAACTATCAGAACCAATAGCTTTGATCTAACAATGCCAATCTAATACTTATTTATTGATCTGTTGACAGTTGTTCAGAAAAAATGGCAGCAAAGGCGATTCGAGAGGCAACTGGAAAGGATTTAATTAATCGCAAACTTTCTCTTGGAACAAAAGTAGCAAAATGCAGATTTGTACCTGTTACGGAAAATACAAATTGGACCGACATTGTCAATGAATATTCGTGGCTCAAGACAGAAAAATTAGTTGTTAAACCAGATCAATTGATCAAGCGTAGGGGAAAACTTGGATTAATTAAAGCGAATGCAAACTTATCTACGGTACAAGAATGGGTTACACAGCGCATGAACAAGGAACAACAAGTTGGCAAGGCGACTGGAAAGTTAAAAACATTTATAATCGAACCATTCATACCGCACAAATTGGTGAGGCTTCTGCATATTATTGTTTCTTTGTATATAAATATATATGCACATATCTTGACTCATTTTCTTCCCATTATAATTGTTATTTGTGGATTGCATTGTAATTTTTTCTTCTGACTATATGTTTATAAGAAACAACATATATTAAATTAAAAAGAGCCAAAAAAGAAAAGAAAATATCAAGTCAATTATTTGTGGAACTGAGAGACCAGTGCAGCATTGTTTGCAAAATATATAAAGCATACAATTACTATGTATATATGCGATTATAATGTGTATAATGTATATCCCTCGTATTGACGTTGTAGGAAGAGGAAGCTTACGTCTGTATCTATTCTCACCGTAGAGCTGATACTATATTATTTCACCATCAAGGAGGCATTGATATCGGGGATGTGGATGCTAAAGCTTTGAAGTTAGACGTACCAGTTGGCAGCGAGTTACCCGACCGATCCACGTTAATCGATGAGCTTTTGACGAATGTGATGGACGATAAGAAAATGTAACGATATTTAGTCATTGCAAATATTTCTATAAGTGTTATATGTTCTCATTTATACACACACATATATATATATATATCTTTTTTCTCTTTTTTTTTATAGGGTGATCGCCGAATTCATAGAATCTCTCTATAAATTTTACGTTAATTTATATTTCACATATTTGGAGATTAATCCACTGGTGGTAACAGACACCGCGATTTATATACTTGATCTCGCGGCTAAGTTAGATACCACAGCGGATTTCATATGTAGACCCGATTGGGGCGAAATTGATTACCCACCGCCTTTTGGAAGGGATGCTTATTCGGAGGAAGCTTATATTGCTGATCTAGATGCCAAATCCGGCGCTAGTCTGAAGTTGACAATTCTTAACCCGAGCGGTCGAATATGGACGATGGTTGCCGGTGGTGGTAGGTAGACGCGCGATAGAGCGCAGATATAACGACTTTCATTAGTATCTTTATCATTCGGCGTCTCGACTTTATATGTAGCTGAATAACAATTTAGCTGGAATTCAGATGGAATTTTACAGGTGCGTCCGTGATATATTCGGATACGATTTGCGATTTGGGTGCCGCCGATGAGTTGGCTAATTACGGTGAATACTCTGGCGCACCTAGCGAACAACAAACTTACGAGTACGCAAAGACGATATTGAGTTTAATGACGAAAGAAAAGCGTACCGATGGGAAAGTACTTATTATAGGTGGAGGAATTGCTAACTTTACTAACGTAGCCGCGACATTTAAAGGCATCGTTAAGGCTCTGCAAGAATATCAGCCCAAATTGGTGGAGTACAACATAAAGATTTTTGTACGAAGAGCTGGACCTAATTATCAAGAAGGCTTAAGGTTGTAAACTGAGAAAAAAATTTAATTATCTACAAAAAATGTATAATACAGAAAAAAGCAAAGTATAAAATTATATTTTAACAGGATAATACGTGAGGTCGGTAAACGCTTGGGGATTCCCGTTCATGTATTCGGACCCGAGACACATATGACAGCCATATGCGCTATGGCATTAGGAAAAAAACCAATTCCCGATCCAGAAGCCCAAGAATTCTCAACCGCCAACTTTCTGTTACCCTCGGGCCAAGATATCGGACCGTCGTCTTCCTCATCCAAAAGTAACTCACATTCGTCATTAGAACAGCCCAAACTGAAGACCGCCGATGCGGTAGACGCAGTCGGTGACAGGCAACTTTTCCATGATAAAACGAAATCTATCATTTGGGGTATGCAAACTAGAGCTGTGCAGAGTATGTTAGATTTCGATTTTGTTTGCCGGAGATCCGAGCCGTCCGTTGCTGCTATCGTTTATCCTTTCACCGGCGATCACAAGCAAAAGTTTTACTGGGGTCATAAGGAGGTGAGTTTTCAGATTTAAAGTGAACTATATACATGTATATATGCATAATGAGAAAAAAGAATCAAATGACAAAAGAAACAATTAGTGTGATATCGAAGTGTGCAACATTTTGTAAAAAGCTCGTCGATAATAATATAGAAATGTTGATACTAGTAAAATATCGTTTTTTGTTTCTTTTCTAAATAGGTTCTCATTCCTGTTTATAAACAAATGAAAGATGCTATGGCTAAGCATAAGGACGCCGATGTAATGGTCACGTTTGCCTCTTTAAGATCCGCTTACGAAAGCACAATGGAAACCATGCAATTTCCTCAAATCAGGACGATTGCCATTATCGCGGAAGGTATCCCCGAAAATATGACTAGAAAATTGATTTTAACGGCACAACAGAAGAATGTAACCATTATTGGGCCAGCGACTGTGGGAGGTGTAAAGCCAGGTTGCTTCAAGATCGGCAATACCGGCGGAATGATGGACAATATCCTTCATAGTAAATTGTACAGACCCGGCAGGTAACATAACGCAATGAACGATTCTCTCTAAATGTGACGAGCGTGTCACATCTGCGGGTAACTTAACACATAAAGACGTGTAAAATACAAAAAATGTGACTGACATGATTGACGAGGAATATCATTTTCAGTGTCGCTTATGTTTCTCGGTCCGGTGGCATGTCAAACGAGCTGAATAATATAATCTCGAAAGCTTCTAACGGCGTATTGGAAGGTGTCGCTATCGGTGGAGACCGTTATCCGGGGACCACCTTTATGGATCATATAATGCGATATCAGAATGACTCGGATGCAAAACTGATAATATTGCTCGGAGAAGTCGGTGGTGTCGAAGAGTATGAAGTATGCGAAGCACTAAAGACAGACAAGATCACCAAGCCGTTGATAGCTTGGTGCATCGGCACCTGTGCCAGTATGTTCAGTTCTGAAGTGCAGTTCGGCCATGCTGGTTCCATCGCACATACTAATCTCGAGACGGCTTCTGCGAAAAATGCGGCTTTGAAGGCTGCCGGTGCGTATGTTCCAGAGAGCTTTGATAATCTCGGCGATCTCATGCAGACTGTTTACGAACAATTGGTAAAAGATGGCACGATAGTACCGGAACCCGAAGTTCCACCACCGACAGTACCGATGGATTACAATTGGGCCAGAGTAAGTTCATCATCAGCATCATCATCATCATTATCATCGTCATCATCATCATTATTATTATTATTATTATCATTACCTTTTTTACCTTCTGTATTCAAGTTGAATTTCATCGTGTTCTGTCATAGTAGTACAAGTGATAGAAGAATCACACAGTTGTAATTAATGGTTTCATCAATATTAACAGGAACTCGGCTTGATACGTAAACCAGCGTCATTTATGACGTCGATTTGCGACGAACGCGGACAGGAGTTGCTATACGCCGGTATGCCAGTAACTGAAGTACTGAAGCAAAACGTGGGCATCGGTGGCGTCGTCTCGCTTCTTTGGTTTCAGCGTTGTTTACCACCAACTTACTGCAAGTTCCTTGAAATGTCGCTCATGTTAACGGCTGATCATGGTCCGGCTGTTTCCGGAGCTCACAATACTATTGTTTGCGCGCGTGCTGGCAAGGATTTAGTTAGCTCTCTTGTCTCGGGACTACTCACTATCGTAAGTAGAAAGTGACAAGTGACGGAAGTTATACATGTGTAAACTAATACGCGTCGCATATGTGCTATACTTGATGTATACTTTAATCTCAAGAGAGCTTATTAAAAATGCAGGGTGATCGTTTCGGTGGTGCCTTAGATGGGGCAGCTCGTATGTTTTCCGAGGCATACGACGCCGGTCTACATCCGCAAGAATTCGTAAATAATACACGTAAAAAGGGCAAGCTGATTATGGGTATCGGTCATCGTGTCAAATCCATCAATAATCCAGACATGCGTGTCAAACTCATCAAAGAGTACGTGTTGGAAAATTTCCCGGCAAAACCCTTGGTCGATTATGCATTGGAAGTTGAGAAAATAACGACCAGCAAGAAACCTAATTTAATTCTTAATGTAGACGGTATTATCGCCTGTGCTTTCGTTGATATGCTACGGAACAGTGGTACCTTTACGAGAGAAGAGGCACAGGAATATATTGAAATAGGTGCCATAAATAGCTTATTCGTCCTTGGTCGCAGCATCGGATTCATCGGTAAGACTGCATTTGTGCACGTTCGCACACACATACACGTTTTATTATAGACAGATATTTTATTACTTCAGTTAAATGCCAAAAGAAAGGACTTGGTTTACATTCCTTAGTTACATTCATCCATATCCTATATCTGATATCTTATATCTGTCGAATTATTTGTTTTAAATAACAGCAATGTTATAGTCTTTGTTTCAAAACTTTAAAAAATTTAATTTTACCTTTATATAAACCTCAACATTAGCCTTAATATAATTCCTATTTCTGCTTATTTCCTATTTTATCGTAGTAATTTACTTTATTTCCCACATATTCTATTTATCTATTTTTTTGTTTACTATTTTTTTTATCTTTTTCTTCCTTTTAATTGCTTTATCTTTTTTCCTCTTCTTCTCAATTCATTGCATATTCTTGCATCTTTGCGATCTTTGCATCATGTTTTTTTATCTACTGACTTATATTGCTATTCAAGGATTTATTTAATCTTATATCTATCTTCGTTCTACATTTCACTATATCTCTATATCTTATACTAATTTACACTTTTATTATCACCTCAATTCTGTTGTGTGCGTGCGTGCGTGCGTGCGTGGTGCGTGCTGCGTGCGTGCGTGGTGCGTGTCGTGCGTGCGTGCGTGCGTGCGTGCGTGCGTGCGTGCGTGCGTGCGTGCGTGCGTGCGTGCGTGCGTGCGTGCGTGCGTGCGTGCGTGCGTGCGTGGCGTGCGTGCGTGCGTGCGTGCGTGCGTGCGTGCGTGCGTGCGTGCGTGCGTGCGTGGCGTGCGTGCGTGCGTGCGTGCGTGCGTGCGTGGCGTGCGTGCGTGCGTGCGTGCGTGCGTGCGTGCGTGCGTGCGTGCGTGCGTGCGTGGCGTGCGTGCGTGCGTGCGTGCGTGCGTGCGTGGCGTGCGTGCGTGCGTGCGTGCGTGCGTGCGTGCGTGCGTGGCGTGCGTGCGTGCGTGGCGTGCGTGCGTGCGTGCGTGCGTGCGTGCGTGCGTGCGTGCGTGCGTGCGTGCGTGCGTGCGTGCGTGCGTGCGTGCGTGCGTGCGTGCGTGCGTGCGTGCGTGCGTGCGTGCGTGCGTGCGTGCGTGCGTGCGTGCGTGCGTGCGTGCGTGCGTGCGTGCGTGCGTGCGTGCGTGCGTGCGTGCGTGCGTGCGTGCGTGCGTGCGTGGTGCGTGCGTGGCGTGGCGTGCGTGGTGCGTGCGTGGTGCGTGCGTGCGTGGTGCGTGCGTGCGTGGTGGTGGTGGGGGGGGGGGGGGGGGGGGGGGGGGGGGGGGGGGGGGGGTGGTGGTGCGTGGTGCGTGGTGCGTGCGTGCGTGCGTGCGTGCGTGCGTGCGTGCGTGCGTGGCGTGCGTGCGTGCGTGCGTGCGTGCGTGTATACTTCCTTCTTTTTTATATACCAATCTAATTCCAATTATTCCACTGACCTTTACATTTATTTTATTTGTTCTATTCCTATCTCTATTTTTTGTAATCGTTTTGTAATATTTTCCTCGTATCTCATAACTTTGATACCCCATTCTATTTTGCATATATTATTTTATATATTATGTTTAACAATTTTGCTCTCTCTTAGGTCACTATATGGATCAGAAAAGATTAAAGCAAGGTCTCTACCGTCACCCGTGGGACGATATTTCTTATGTGTTACCTGAGCAATATAATTGAAAATGATCGAATAACACGTTGTGCAATGTTTCATATTGCTAATTACACATGCTCGGTTTGAAAATCGTATCTTAAAGATACGAATGAGTGAACAAAAACGTTGAGAAATAGATACAGATGTCATTGTGGTATCTCAATCTTGATGTCACAAACTTAATTACCAGTCGAAGTTAGTACATACGCGCAATGCTGCACATACGTGAGAAAAGAGTGCTGTACTCTAATTTCTCAGAGAAGATATTTATCTGTTAACTCGAAATTTCAACTAATATAATATTGGATAATCGAGGAGTATGTTATTAGGAGACATCAAGTCGGACGATTGCAGGGATGTTTTAAACGAAGGTCAATATTTCACGCAACTATATCCTAGTCGGATATAAACCTGAAGTAATTCTACTTTAAATGCCTATCAAACACATTCCATAGTGTGCATTTTTGTTTGACTAGCAGAAAGTTTAGTGGATGGTGATTATCTGACATTTGTTTGGGGATTAATTAACATGATTTTTTTAATTGAAACTATCATTAATTAAGTAGAAACACTGCAATGTTATTAATCTTGTGCACAATTCTGAAATACAACTTATGAGGAAAATAGACTATGTTATATATTATTAGGAGAAAACAAAAGATATTTATAAGCATTTTGTTAAAATTTTTTTATTTAATATCGTACAGCATGCACATATATATTTTGCACATTTGCTATACGTGTTTATAGGTAAATAAAAATTAAGAAGATATTGTTATTTATTTTCAAGTATGTCACATGTACACATTGATAAATTTTTAAACGTGAAAAATATTACAAGTAGAAATAAAAGTATAATTGTCATTTTGCATCAGAATGATTTATAATTTTTATGATTTTGCTTTGAAATAATTTATGATAGTAATAAAACTATTACTATATGTTCGAAAAATTCGTTTTATACTTTCTATGTATTCAAAGAGTAACTTTATTGAAGCAAATATGTATCATTTTGTTCAGTGACCTTGGTCCACCTCTCTATAAAGATCTACAGAAGCCAAGAGCAAATCTCGACTTGACTCGCGAGGGGCCTATGTGGCGAGAGTGCGTAAGAGCGTTTCTATGTACAGATGTATCTATACACATGTGGTAGTATCGTCGCGCAGTCAAGAGCAGGATGGTTATGTCGGTTGGACAAGAATAGACAATCGATTGCCAACCATAGTTGCTTTTCAACAAGAAATATGAAGAGACAGGTGACACAAAGTGTTTTGTTTCTTACTCTACATATAAAATGACATAAGTATATACAGCTGAAAAGCAGAATCAGTTTCTGCATGTTGAACTCATGACTTGATTATTTGGAGAATATAATAAATTTCTAAATATTGGGAGAAGTTAGCAGCACTGCTTTCTGTAAGTGCATATATTTATATGAATGTATGTTTCATGTTTATATAGCGATTATATGTTAATTAATAAATTAAAAGGATGTTCTATTGTAAACATTGCGCAAGCGATATCAGTTCGCTCGATGAAGTACCGAACATAGTTGCTCTATTGCAAAAGAAATATATTTTAGAAGGTAAAAATATATTTTAAACTATGTCTAAACAAAGTTATAATAAAACATGAATTATGTTGAAGTGCAACTTACCACTTACATTTGGTCTGTTCTTTGTAGCTGCACTGCTGAACTGGTGCAATAAGCTAGAGTGAGAAAACCTATATTTGTCTCACTTTAACTTATTGCGCCAGTTCAACAGTGCAGCTACAAAGAACAGACCAATTGAGAATCAAATAGTGTTCCAACAAACAGCTGTAAACAGACAGCGCCTCGGTGTTTGACACTTTTACCATTTTGCGTCTCCTTGCTGGAAAATAATCTCTGTAGCGTACGTAAGTCTAATATTACATGTGTCGTACGACAAGCTTTTCGGATATAATTGATTGGCGTACGCAGAGCAATCCTAGAAATATTTTGTTTGTTAACCAATCAACGTATTCGAAAAGATTATCGTACGACAAATATAATATTAGGCTAAGCGTATCAAGAAAAGGATAGGTTAATGAGAGAAATAGCGAATGTATACCTTTCTCTCTTGCAAGAGATAAATAAAATCGCTCTTATGTATAGTATAGATTTTTATGAGACGGTCTTTATTTAAGATTTGCTCTTGGCTACTGCAGATCCTTAATTAAGATAAGGTGCTTTTTAGTGATTATTACGTCGCTATCTGCTATTAGTCATTATCCGCAACAATGGCGTGGACGAATTACCAACGCATATTAGCTATACTTCAAGTGACTACGGGATCGTTTAATACTTTATCGGTTAAGTAAGTGTATAATTATTATTAATACGAAGAAAAAAAATTATACGGGAGAAAATGAGTCGAACAAATGCAATTACCACGCCAGACTTTGATAAAGTCATACTTACTCAACGTCTTTTCGTCTGTAAAACAAAACTTAGAGTTAAAATAATTACTGGGTGCAATGTAGCAAAAACGATTAATTGTTAGAAAATAAAGTTTCTTGAAATTAAGAAATTTGTCGTACTTGTATATATTCGTATAAGCATGCGCCATGTTAGAAATTGCGCGCGAAATTTTAATCTCTGCAAATCATACATAATTCGTTAATTATAAATTCGTTAATTATACTAAATGAGCATCGAATTTTCACCGAAATATGTAGTGAAGATTATATTCTAAGTATTTATCATCACAGTTTCGTAAATATTAAAATTTAATTTCAAATTTATTTAGATTCGCGGACCAACAAGAAGTGGTTGGTGATGATGGACAAGTTAGACATTTTAATCATCCTTTCATGCAATCATCGTTTATGTTCTTTGGAGAGGCTCTTTGTTTTGTAGCATTCAAGTTTTTCTATTATTATTACAATCGACGAGCAGTAGGTATCTGTATTTTAACTTCCGACAGTCAAGTAAGAATTATACTATGTTTATTATATTGATTTGTTTGCAGGATGGTTCTGTAGATAATAATGTACTCACTAAAGGCACGAGAATTTTTAATCCTTTTATCTTGCTAATACCTGCTTTATGTGATATGTGTGCAACATCCATAATGTACATCGGTCTAAACATGACTTACGCAAGCAGCTTTCAGATGTTGCGTGGAGCAGTGATTGTTTTTACAGGAATATTCTCTATTGTATTTCTTCATAGGAAATTGAGGGCATGGGAATGGACAGGCATTGCTTTTGTTATAGTTGGTTTAGCATTAGTTGGTGCTAGTGATATGTTAACATCGGAGAATGCTGATATGGATACCAATTCTATGCTGACTGGAGACTTGCTTATTATATTTGCACAGGTATCATTCCGCTGCTGGTATTCATTTACTGTTATATCTATTTACAATTTCTACTAGTCTACATTATCAAATTGTCAAATTATTTGTAAATTGTCTGTTCTTGTGTAATAATAAATTCCAAAATCACAAAAATACAGGTGATAACAGCCATTCAAATGGTTGTAGAAGAAAAGTTTGTGGGAGAGCAGGACATACCAGCATTACAAGCTATTGGATGGGAAGGTTTGTACATATTTTATATTTCCTTATATATACTCTTATATATAAACTCTATTTTTGAAATTGATTCTAAATGTTCTGGCAGTAGGATTTTTTTTCTCAAATTACCTAAAAACACTTGGTTCTAAGAGATCTAAAATTTAATTCTATAAGAAACAGGACATCCTATATATATTTTCCTTTTCCTTACAGGCATTTTTGGATTTATTGGTATTTGTCTTGTCATGATACCTCTCAATTTTATTAAAGCACCACCACCATTCGCAGACAATTCACGTGGCACTCTCGAGCACTCTGTGGAAGCTTTGATCCAAATTGGAAATAGTAGCAAATTATTGATAGCTGTCATTGGTTAGATTATTCTTTTCTTCTTAACTTTTCTTCTTAACTTATTATGGGATTAATACGAGTTTTTCGCTCTTGTTTCACGCTATATTTTGCGTGCATTTAATACTATAAATATTCAATGAGCTTTTGTATTTGATTGGCATATTCTTTTAGATTCTAAAATATATGCTAATCAGAAGCAAAACTCACTGAGTACTGTAGTATTGAATGCATCCTTTGTATTACAGGCATAGCATTCAGTATTGCCTTCTTTAATTATGCTGGTATTAGTGTTACCAAAGAAATAAATGCTACAACAAGGATGATATTAGACAGTGTTCGTACAGTCATAATCTGGGCTTTTTCTTTAGCATTCGGATGGCAAGCTTTCCATTATATGCAGGTACAACATCAAGAAAAGTTTTCAGCTATGTAAAAGAAAACCAATCATATAAAATTGATGTTTCACTACAGGTCATTGGTTTCACGGTTCTTTTAATCGGTATGGCATGTTATAACAAGGTTGTCATTCCGCAATTATTCAGGAAACTTCGTTCGCGACGGGGGCGTCATACATTGTCTGGAAAAGAAGATCATATTGTTAATACTGCCGCAGATGATGTGCAAGAGACAATATAAAAGATTTTATGAGAAATCGTTGGATATCGTACGCTACGTGATCATTATTTTATAAAAGATTAACAAGAATTGTGATTTCCTACAAACCGACAATCGTAAAAATTTCTTATGTTCTTTTGTTCTTGTTATATACGAATATAATTATCTATTTAGAATAATCGTTGTAAATTTGCCATTAGACAAGATAGACATAACATACATACACATATTGTTGATTGAAGTAGAAAATATCACGTGGACGAAAATCTTATGTCGACGAAAAAACATTATACAAAATATTACAAATCAGGTGACACGAATTATATTTCGTAAATTCTGCAAGTTATAATAATGTCATCGAGATCATTCGGTCTTCCAGTAATTTTTTTTATTAAATTGTCTCGCGATACACATTTAATTCTGGTGTTGAATTCACACGTATGTATGATTTACTTTTAGCAAAATTTGCTATTTCTTATTTAACGTATAATCCGAAATCTATAAAATATAACAAATGCATTTCACAATATTTTTTTACATTTATGTATTTTATAATGGTATGAAGAACGGAATCATATCGCTAAGAGAGTATGGTCATGAATAAAAAATTGTTTCAAAATGTATCCGTCTAGTCCAATGGAAGAATTCTCTCCTGGAGATAAATTTATTCTTGCCAATACTCATCGTTTATAATCGTTATTTTTCATTGCGGTATTCTTAATTATTTATACATATATTTTCATGTACCGAATTTGTATGTTCGGTTATTTTCTATCGGGTATATGGTTAAAAAATGTAATGTATATGAATATAGTAATATAATAATTTTACCTTTATTTGTTGTCGAGTATATTTGGTTTTTTTATCAAACTAATTTCATTGCGCACATTTCGTAAATTGCACGAGTTCGTAGCCAAACGTATATATGTACATATATATGTATATATATTCATTACTTATATCTATGTATATATAGTTACGTATATATAGTTACATATCTTCGAAGTTGTATATTCTTGTAGTAGCAAAATTAATCTTTTTGATATAAGCGGGTCTTAGGAAATATTCCTGCTGATGGATGTAGTTGTACATGGTTACAGGGGTATACGTCGCGAGAGAAAAGGGGGAGTAGAGGAAGGAAAAGAAAAGGGGAGAAAAGGATCAGTAAATTGACAATTTTTTAACCCGTGTTACACAGCGAGCGATTATATCAATCTTTCCATATTGAAAGAGTTCACACTACCTTGAGAATCTTTAGTTTTCCATTAGCTTCGTTAACTCTACGATAATAATATCTATCGTATCTATTGAACATACTATGACCAACCATTCCAGCTGTTGTATAAATGTGATATTACGAGAAAATGAGATAATATAGAATTCATTATTTTAAATAATATAATGATTTCCTTTTTTTTCAATGTATTCTCTTGTGGAGTATTGCACATTAAGTTTGATTGATTTTGATTATTCTCAAGTATATTCCACCTGTTGGTGCCAGTAGAAACGCTTTAGGATCATTTATATAAGGTATTTGCGTTTTCTCACAAATGTCAACAATGTAGTTTCGCAATATCTTTACGAGTCCAATTTTGGTCTGATAAACAGCAAAGCGGGCACCTGTGAATAAATAATAAACAGCCATTAAACAATAAACCTTTATTGTTTTACCTTTGTATTAGAGAAATATTTCAAGAATCTACTTCATTGTACCTATGCAATTCCTTGGGCCGTCGCCAAAAGGTAAGTAAAACATAGCGTTCCTGGTTTGCATGGCTTCCTCGTTAAATCTCTCTGGATCGAAAACTTCCGGATCCGGATATATATTTGGATCTCGTTGAATCGCATAAACTGGTATCCATACAGTTTGGCCTTTCGATATATTAATTTCTGTACCGTCGAAAGTATAATCCGATGTCGATTTCCTCATCAGAAATGTCGCCGGCGGATATTTCCGTAATGTTTCTGCATATATTGATAACGACAAAAAAAATAAGTTATGAAAATGTATTTATATAAACTAAAATAAATATGTCTTAAGCTCAATAATATTGAGAAGCAGTATATTTTTTATCATTCTTTTAATCTCTTCAGAAGATGTACCTTTAAAAACTTTATCTAAGTAGTCCATTTCTTTGATGTTGTTATACGTTAAAATGCCATCATTTTTTGCATACTTATGATTAATTTCTTCTCGTAGTTTATCTTGTATTTTATGATTCTGTGCCAACTCGTAAAGTGCATGACTCATGGTGGTTGATGAAGTTTCAAAGCCGGCGAGAAAAAATACGAATGCTTGAGAAGCAATTACACTGTCGGTCAATTCTGAAATGTATCAGCTTTCTTGTATCAAAGCTCATTTTATATACAATTCAACTTTTACACAGTCGTAGTAAATTGCAAATTATTTGAATTGTCATACAGACAAGAAACTTACTTTGATCGAAATTAGAACATTTATGTAATGTTATTGCTACTCGATGCGTTAAGAATTTTATTATAATTTATATATTTCTCATTAAGACTTATATCTATTTTTTGTATATAAAAGATTCTTGGTGTAAGAAAAAAAGGAAAGAGTAGAAAAGAATCATATAGATGATCTGTATAATTGATATTTACCAATGTCGATTTTATCCGGATGCCTTTTTAATTCAAGTAGCATATCAACGAAATCGTGTCGAACAATATTATTCTTTTCTCTATAATCCAGATTTTCCATGAGAATGCGTGTGAAGAATTTGGTGAAATTTGTTTGTGGTAGGATATAACCGAGAATATTGTAAAACCATGGTGCAGCTTGTTTGATTCTGAGTCGCATCACATTTTGCCATTTCGTTGCAAACACTTCTCTTCCCATTCTACGAAATTCGCTGTCCACGTCGGACAGTGAATTCGTATCGATACCAAAAGCACAGCTACCGATAACATCAGTTGTATATTTTGCCGTCAGCTCACGGCACTCTACAGGCTCATTCTTACTAGCCAATTTCTCTACGTATTGTTCTAAATGTTCAGAACATTCTAATATTAGAGGAAACATATCTTTCAATTTACCAGATGTAAACACAGGTGATAGCTTTGTCCTTAAGGGCCTCCACCTTTTTGGTTCTAAAGCGACTAAGTGTTGCGACAGTGGTTCAGTCTGCAAAAGAACAAATTTCTTATTTTAAGTTTGGATTCTATACATATACATGTGTTGGTTTACAGAAATTTCCTTTTTGAAATTTTAAATATAAATATAAACCTCATAATTTGTGATAATTCCTATCATCTAGTATGCTCCATTAAGATTATCATGTAATTTAACAAAATAAAATTCTTAGAAAATGTTATATATATATATATATTAAAATAAATATATAATAATATAATATATAATATATATATGTAAATATATAATAAATATAATATATAAATATATAATAATAAATATAATATATAAATATATAATAACAATAAATATAATATATATAATAATAAATATATATATTGCAACTTAACCAGAAATGATTATACCTTCTCATGAATAGTAAGTCCTCTGTCGGCAAAGTTGGAGAAATCTTTGATAAGAACATCTTTGATCAAATTTGGGTCTTTTACAATAAGAATAGGACTTCTTCTAGCAAATATGCCAATTACAGGCTCATCTTTGTAACTGTTATATATTTCCATCAAATAATCACTCATAGCTTTCTTAGCTAGCATAACATCTTTGATATTACCAAACAATGCAATTGGTTGTGGACCAGGAACATTACGCAATTTCCAAAAATCAAAGGTTGATGTAAAGTAGTAATTGATGATAAAAATTATGAAAACAATGATAGATAATAAATCTAAAAGTTCCATAGCTAGTGCTAGTCTTTCACTTTACTGGTTGTTGATCAAGGATTATTTTCACTGAAAAAATAATATTCAGATAAAAAGAGAAAACAAATTTTTATTTGGTTTATATAAAGCAACTCTGAATTGTAATTACATATATATTAGAAGATAGAAATATAATTAAGTTTAATTAGAGGAAACATCTTTCAATTTACCAGATGTAAAAACAGGTGATAGCTTTGTCCTTAAGGGCCTCCTAATTAAACTCTAATTAAACTTTCAGAAAAATATATCTTGTTACCTATATAGTTGTAGTATAATAATGATTTTGGCTTGAATTAGCTTTCAACTATATATAATTTCCAAATGTGTAAAGTTTCTCATAATTGTTACTCTCATTACTCTTAAAAACTTATTTTAGAGCTGCTATATAACAAAGAGAATGTAGCGATTTTATTATTTCTACAAAATTAAATTAATCAAAAAATATTTGATATAATTGTTCATTATTTAAAATTTTACATTTAAAATTTTACATTTGTAATTTTAGTGATTTACATAAGATTAGATATTGTCAGACAGATATTAATGTTCGATCATTTTTACAGCCTTAAGAAACTTTAAAAAAAGCTATACTCCTTTTTGTAATATTATTACAACTCATACATTAATTAAAATATGCTTTGTACAAAGTTTTGTAATGAATAAAACCACAGACAATAAGCGAATATAAGTTACCTAAAGATTTACACTACTGCACATTCACGTTTGTACTGCCTTTAACGACATCACTTACAAGAATACTACCGACTCGTCTTGGCTTCAATTATATGAATGCGTTACGGTGGAAAAGTTTTATTGTAATTATTTGCCTGAGTCATGATGAAACGCAAGAATGATATCTTCCAGGATTTCATTTTTGCTTATACTCTCAAATCACATGATGACATATATTACATGATGACACAAATTATAAGAATCATATCGACAGATGCTGATTCAAATTGGTAATGTATATACTCGGAAAATGGTTACTTTATTACATTTATTCCCGTTATATTTATTAATGTGATAAGATAAGACAAGTTTAATAAAATAAAACAAATATTGACATCATTCATGTGACGATATTTAACAATAGCCTCAATTTTTTTTATATATGTTAAGCCAGCGGTACACGATTCCATCCATCTTCGGAAATGCACCAATCAGAACGCAGTATTTTCATCCAGCAAGCAATCCAGCACAAAAACAAGCACCGTGTGCCGCTGACTTTACACGAGTTTTCAATCTCCTTCCTAGGCTGCGTTCCGATATTCACTGCCAGTGCACTATTAAAAATACATAGTTTGTGTCACGTATACTATAGATTTTCAGTACTTGTAGTGAATATCGGAACGCAACCCTAAAGCTTAGACTCCATGTATGCGATAGAGCTCCGGCAAATGCTGCGGTGACCAATCAGGAGACAGGCGCACGCCGGAGCTTGCCGCAACCGGACCTGCGCCTGTCTTCTGATTGGTCACCGCAGCATTTGCATGCTAGAGCTCTACCGCTTTGTTCTGCTGAACACAGCCATGTTTATCGTGACAGAGGTTACATGTTCGTTTCTTCATATATTGCGTTCGTTTCGATGTTAAAATGTCAAAAATGAGTTCAAAGGACAAAGACAATAAAACGTTGCATGATAAACTGAAACAATTCTTTCGCATTAATAAAGGTTTAAATGAATCTTATTTTACGTGAATTTATACACTTTGAATGCTTATGTCAAGTGTCTTTTGTGCAATATTAACTAGCCGTATATGTGTTTACAGGAAATTACAGGAACCGCGAAGACGTTACATTGACTCATGATATCGAGAGAGATATTAGTCCCGATAGTCCTGTACATCATCGTACGAAAGCGATTAAAGAGCTTTGTGATGCAGTTCTTAATCAACAGTGGGAAGATGTATGTCCTTGTACAGATAATTGTATCGTGTTATTTTCATACACGTTTTGTGTGTAACTTTCAACTTCTCCTGTGCTGATAGAGAGCAGCGGAACGTTTATGGAGTTTAGTTCAAGATTTATTAGGGAAAGATGTCCCACGTGAACATAGGCATTTGACGTTAAATTTTTTAAGATGCCTCGTACAGGGACAATATTCGAAACTTTCGTCGTTGATGCGTGTAAAATTTTTTATGGTGGTAAAGGAATATGATGTACCAGAAGATATTGGTCCTAGGTATTGTATTAATACCCAACAGATTTATTTAATATTTTCTTGTCTACAGCTACATGAATATTTTAGGTTGGAATTGTTACAAACATTAACGGAACATGGTAAAGATATTTTACATTTGGAAGAACGAATGGGTCCTTTTTTGCTTGAATGGATGCCTACAGTAACAGCAGGTGATGGAAAAAGAGGAGCTGAATTTTTGTCACTTCTAGTAAATGTAATCAAATTTAACTCTGCTTATATTGACGAAGACATTGTATCTGGTTTGGTTCAGTAAGTATTTTTGACTTTGTGCTTTATCTCCTATTATTATAAATCATATTGCACAGTATATAATTGTAATTATTTTTTTAGGTATATTTCTCATTTGTGTTACTATAGTAATAGTACCGAAGTTGTTTCTGGATGCTTGGAAGCTCTTGATGCAATTATGTGTTATAGTAATTTGCAATCTGACTCATTGCAAACATTCGTCATAGCTTTATGTAGAAGTGTAAATGTTGAGACTTATTGTCAAACAAGTTGGAAGGTATGACAATTACTTAAAATATCTAAAAAATTTTATTTACTTTTTTTTACATTTATTTTTAAATTTTGAATGAGAATATCTAACAGATGCAGATAGTGCATGTACGATTTTACAGTGATTTGTTTGTATCTTTACTGGAAAAAAAATAGTTTTTTTTTCTTTCTGTGTGTCGACACAGTCAATATATTATAATATTTGTAAGTAGAGATTGTTATGTGGTAAAAGAGCAGGAGAAGAGGATTGTCGTAATAGTAGATATTGTAATATGTTTATAGATTATGCGAAATTTATTAGGAACGCATATGGGTCATTGTGCTTTGTATACAATGTGTCGGCTACTACAAGACGTAAATTTTCAACGTGATGTTCGTTTACTTCGGGGCGCAGTATTTTATGTAAACATGGGTCTTTGGGGTACACATAGAATACCAAAGTTAGAATGTACACCAGCGTCTGTTTTACCCTCATTCTATCAAGTATGTATCGAAGTAAAGTTGTTGATTTGTCTCAGTGTAATGTTAATATTTGATGAAACAAAACGTTATATCGATTGACAGGCATTACAATGCAATCATCCGATTGTTATGTATGAGGTCACTCTATCGATACAAAGATTGGTAAATAAATATGGTAATGAATTGTGGGATCCTACATGGAGTATTATTCTTGATATTGTGGAAGAAGTGATCGCTCACACTGGTAAAATTTGTGAGATGTGTTACGTTGGAGAAACCAAGTCGACGTTTGCAATATTCTAACTAATGTCTTTTTGTGTACTATTGCAGAAACCAGTAATCAGCCAGCGACCAAACAGGTTTCTACGAGTTTACATGAAACAATCACCAATATCGAAAATTTGCTCGATACAAACAATTATAATGGCTGCATTCAACGTTTCTATGATCTTGTCGAACGTTGTAGCGATACTCGACCTGTAAGTAGACAAGCCTTTTCAGCGCATTTGTTAACATACTTTTGTCAGTAATTTTTATTCTTAGGAGGGATCCGTGTTAAAATTAATCGAATACCGGACTTGTACGATAAGCCCTACGTATTATCAATGGCAGGCCAAGTTAGGATCTTTGGTGGAACGTTACTACAAGATTGAAACGCGTACGACCATTAGAATGAAAGTTCTCGATGTATTGATAAACGTTATTCAAGTTAACCGGTATTACACTCTTCTTTAATTGAATAATTTGCGCATACTCGAAAACGAAAACTCTTGTATATCTGTACATATATTTACGACATTTGCGTTTTCAGGTTCAGGTACGAAGACGAACTTATCGAGCGAATAGTTGTACCATATACTCAACACGTGGATGTGGATCCTGATATTACAATACGCAACGCCACGGCAAACTTACTAGTGGACCTTTGCCTAGAATGTGACACTAAACTTTGTTTGGAACTTTTAGACATACTGGAGAAAGTATGTAAATGAGAAGATACAATAGTGCGTATTCTTTTATGTAGGAATATTTCCTCAATGCGATTATTTTCTTTAGATAATCAATAAGCCTTTTACATCGGATACTCCAGTCTCTACGGATGCTGACGTAAAGGATGTAAAAACAGCAATTGTTGGAATTATAAAGATATTTACCTCGAAAATTTATCGTTTGCCGTCAAGTCATGCGATTTGTGCTTACAAAATTTTAGTGAATCATCTTGAACAACATTACAAAGATCCCTCTGTTTTCCATGATGTATCAACGATACGTTATTTGGTAATTATCAAAAACATTCAAATTATATATTTGATGGTTGTGTATTGTGTGCAGCTGGTGTGATGTTTAACAATTATAGATCTTTGAGAGCTTCTTAAAAATCAGAGCGAACTCTCTGTATCATCTTGGTATATTGGATGTATCGAATGGTGTCGTAATGCGATTCAGTCCGTATCTTGTTTTGGAACATTCTACGACTGAACGTATAAATAATGCAAGCGGAGGTAACAGCCCTCCACCGGCCAGCCCGGCACCGTTACAACATTTATCTTGTCACGTTACTCCTATGTCTCTGACTCACGCGTGGAAAGCTGTAATTTCATGCATCAAACAAGAAAAAGGTAGAGCTTTCGTTGCTTATTGATGATTCTATTAAATTTTGGAGGAAAAATAAGATATTAGGATATGATAATGAAGTCCTCATTCGTTACAAGTGTCTTACATTTCGACAGATTGGAAAGTTTTACATCTTATATTGAAGGAACTGCCTCAGGTAATGCAGAATAGAGCGCTCATGTTATCTCGTCATAGTAACGACATCGATATCTTTGCGGCAGCTTTATGTTCTATGGTTGGTATACTCGCACTTTTCTCGCGGATACCATATCCTTATTATTTACTAATTTCGCCGAATTAAATTTTAGGTGAGTGACAAGAGTCTGCGTTTACCCGAGTCGCTTTACAATGTACCACCAAAGTTTACGCTCTCTGAATTTCGGGTTTATGTATTTCCGGTACTAGCGTCTCTGTCGTCATATCATGCACATTTGGAACCTAATTTGCAACAACGCTTAATCAAATGTCTAGAGGTATGAGGATGCATACGCGCGTAATAAACATTCGTCTGGAAAATTCACTCAAGATTCGTGAGTGAGTTTATAATGATTTTGTTAATTTTTAGGTTGGTCTAACGGCGAAGTGCGCGAGTCAATGTGTAACTAGTCTTACAATTTGCACATTGGAAATGCGCGATGCGATGAACAAACTTTTGACTGAAGTGCTTTTAAATTTATCAAAGATCTCCGCAACTGTTTACATTGCCATACCTATTTTAGAGTTTTTATCAAGTAAGTATCGTACGGTATCTAAGGTATTCGATTGATATCTTCTCCACTAACAAATGACAGAGTAAATCTCTTTGTTCTAGCTCTAACAAGACTCCCAAAAGTCTTCGCCAGCTTTATCGGTGATCAATACATGTCCGTATTCGCAATATTATTGCCATACACGAATCCTTTCAAATATAATCATTATACAGTGTCTTTGGCACATCATGTAATAGCGGTGTGGTTTCTAAAATGTCGACTTTCGTTTCGAAGAGATTTTGTTAAATTTATTATCACAGTATGTACACGTATTTTCTACTGAGACTCGATACAGCAATTTCGCAAAATGTTGAATGAAATTATATAAAAGATTACTATATCCATATTTTCTTTTTCTTTAAAAAAAAAAATAGGGATTGAATACAAATGTGATAGTTCCTTTTGAAGAAGGACACCTTATGAAATCTGACTTTAGTGCCATTAATGAAGATTCCTCAAATAGGAAACGTAGCTCCAGCTTAACTGAACAAGTAAATAATCGATATATCGTAATGCTTATAAAAACACTCTTATGTCTTATCATATACTTCTTACCATGCGTGTACGTGAGTGTGTGTGTGTGTGTGTGTGCGTGTGTGCGTGTGTGTGTGTGTGTGTATAAAACATGTAATTAATATAAATTGAACGTACATTTCCTTGTGTTTGTTGTACGTGTATGCGTATTTATATGTATGTATATATGGATGTGCAGGGTAGTAGAGGACGAAGAGAAAGACCGATAATGTCCAATCGAATGATAGGAGAAAGTAGAGCTTTAGATTTAAAACCTCCTATTGACGAAGCTTTAATGAAATTTCATATTGAGCTTACCGAAACTTGCATTGACTTAATGGCTCGTTATACATTTTCAAATTTTTCTGCTCGACCTAAGAGGTAATGCTTCTATATTTAACGTATTTAGAATTGAGAGACTATGAAGAAAAATATATTGATCTTTTTTATGTTGTAACAGATTACCAGCTGCCGATTTTCTCCTTAAAGAAGGCCAGTCGATGACTTGGATTCTTGGTAATAGGCTTATTACAGTAACGACAAGTGGTTGTAGTAACAAAGCTATGCGTGGTGGACTTTGTGATAATTGTTGGATAGCGTGTAAGCCTGGGTTTCTACTACTGGATCAGACGAAAACTTCTCAATCAAATTTGCAACGTACTTCGAGTCTTGAGGTATTTTGTATATGCGTGCGCGCGCGCACATGTGTGAGATTTTTTGCAATTATAATTGCACAATATGTATCAAGAAAAATGTAATACATTCCAAGTATATGTATAAGAAATAACATTGATAGACGTCAAAAGAAGACAAGTTATCGAGACAATCCTCTGGTGGACATGGAAGTTCAAACGCAAATACTGCTGCAAACTCTCCTACGGAAGAATCTAAAAAATCCACGGAAGATTCGGATAACATAAAGAAAGACTTTCTTACGGAGGTTACGAAAATTGATAAGGATCAGGTTGAACAGTCCAAATTAGGGCAGATATTGAATAGCAACAAACAAGATGGACATGTACTTTGTGCTTGCTGGTGTCAAGGATGGGCTGAGATATATGTTCGTAGACCTACAGGCGATATGTCTTGGATTATGAGAATTCAGAATTCTACACAGTTTGAGACTCCTATGGATTTTCCCGTACATGATATTATGGCTCTGTATATGCCAAACCAAGATGCAGTAGCGAATAAGCAACAAGAAACTGCTACAGAATTTTCCGGTGATGAAACAGAGGTTATTGATTTTTAATATAAATTTCATGTGACTTGAAAAAAGAAAAGGAAAAAAATGTTTATATTATTCGCTTGTTGCAGGATGTACCAAATAAAATTAATAATCAGTCGTTGATTGAGCATAATGTAAAATCAACAATGTCTTCTTCCACATCATCAGGTCCTATCGCGATACCTGGTTCACCAGTGCGACCTAGTCCATCTCGGCAAAGTTCAAGAGATAGTTTAGAAAGTTTGGAGGAAGGTGAAGAAGGTGCGTGGAGATATGCGCGCGCGAGATACAATACATACAGTCTTGTTTATGAATTATTTGCTCAAAATAATAAATTTCTAAATGAATAAAAATTGTTCGCAGACACACGACGCTCCAGAAATCCGGTCCGCCGATCAAATTCCAGTCCAGAAATGAGCGCTAATTGGAAAAACCCATTTTTGAACAAAGAAAAGTTGAATATGCAGCAACAAGCCGATAAGGATCTTGCTTCTTCAGATTTGGAAGTTAAGTTAGATGCAGAACTGAAGAAACATTCCAAGAATATTTATACGAAAGATATGAGGTATATCTCTATTAGAGAAAACTTTTAACATCAGTGTTGTCTTCTGATTTTCTTCATCCATCAAATGCCGTTAAACTATAACATTTATACGTCGTACGTTTTATTTAACGGATAGAGTCAGCTGCGAAGCTATACCGGAAGAAATATTTGGCATGGGAACAACTCCACCTTCCTCGGAGAATATTGGAGATCATCCGACTGCGCTACGTTCACAACGTTCCTATCCAGGGGCAACGCAAATATCTCAGACTCTTTCGTCGACTACCAGCAGTACTGTACCACCATCTCCTACAACTGTACAGGTAGATGGCACGCATACATGTTAAGAAAATATAAATCGTAAAAGTTGTCGCTTTAATATGTTATCTCAATTATCTTAGGCGCCGGAAAGTTATTTAGGAATACAAACGCGCTCCACGCAAGTACAGTCGTCTGGTATAATAAAAGCACCGCAATCACCTACTCAAATTTATTCTCGGTTATCTAATCTCGATTATAACCAGAAGCAGGTACCACTGACTGTTGAGAGTAAACCACCTATTGGACGAAGTCATTTTTCAGATAAGGTATGTATCAATAATATTGAAACATGACTGTGGCTGTTTTGTTTATTCTTTTTTTAATTATATATCGATTATAATTGGTTATTATATTTCTAACAGAAAGATGAGAGGCCCGATCCGTCGACATTGCCTCCTTTACCGATATCTTTTCGCGATAGGGGCCATACGATATCGGTTATGAGTCCAGTGAAAAAATCACGAGGAGAATGGGATAATATGCGACGAGGCAATTCTCCTCGAGTGAAAGATCCTCCGCGCACAGGCATTAATCCAAGGTATGACGATATAATATATAACACTGTTGCGTATATTAAATCTGTCTCTTAAAGTGACTTTTCTCATTTACCTTTTTTTGTTTCCTCTTCTTTCTTTTTTTTTTTTTTTTAATAAGAACTTTCTCACTAGTAATATCATATATCATCATATTGCAGTTTTGTATTTCTCCAACTTTATCATGCAGCGCATTTTGGCATTACCACGGAGAAACCTTTACTGGTTCCGCAAACAACAGCCATACAACGTGTAGTGACAAATCTAGATAGGATTCAACCATATGAGACTCACAAAATTGGAGTACTCTATGTTGGGCCTGGACAAGCATCGAATGAAACTGAAATTTTGGCGAACCAGCATGGTTCTCTTCGTTACACTGAGTTTTTGAAACGTTTAGGCACGTTAGTCCGACTGAAGGATGTCGATGAGAATGTATTTTTAGGTGGATTAGATCGTAATGGTGAGAATGGAGATTTCGCATATATTTGGCAAGATGATGTTACACAGGTTTGTAAACATCAAGATATGTTGCGTAAGATTAATTAATTTGATTTTCTCTCTTTGAATGTTTGATTAAGTTAAATCAAGTAAATGATAATTATTTCATTTAAAACACAATATATGCGTGCATACGTTCACATGCACATATCATGAACACCACCCTCTCACTTTAAAATTGAAAATTTTTCAGGTAGCTTTCCACGTCGCAACATTAATGCCAACAAAAGTGAGCGATCCAAAATGTACATCTAAGAAAACACATATTGGTAATAATTATGTAACGCTTGTGTACAATGAATCAGATGAACCGTATAATATACAGACAGTTAAGGTGTGTATGTATGTAGATCTGAGTGCATAAAATGTATTTTTACAGATTTTATTATGATTCATATCTTGATTTATCTTTGTGCGCTTCATTTCAGGGTCAATTTAATTACGCTTGTGTTGTAATACAACCTTTAGATCATGGTACTAATCAACTTACTGTACAAGCCCGAGAAGAATTAGCCGAGCATATTGGTCATAGCGAGCCTAAGATAATTTCGGATCAGAATTTGGCCATACTGTCACGGCAACTTGCTCTACATGCTAATGTGAGTATTTCACAAGAGCTTTTATAAAAGAAAATGAGGACATAGTATAAATGTAATTTACTTACCACAGCTTGCCTCGATGGTTTGTTCGTCTTTGAAGCAAAATAGTCACAATCCCTATGCGTCTAATTGGTTGGAACGTTTGCGACATATTAAACGACTAAGGAACAGAGTGTTGAAAGAAACTGTTAATAACAATCCAGATACTACCACGGACGAACTATCACCAAGAGCTAATAAACGGGTTTACATGGACGACTTTACAGAATATACAACATAATTTTGTCATGTACAGGATGAGAGAGAGAGAGAGATAACTGTACGACGTAAATGATGGATGAAAATTATTGAATTAGATATTGAAACATTCAATACATATAAAAGTATAGGGTTTAAAGTAGACCTAGGATTGAAATAAACCTATACAGTTTAAGCTCTATTTAGTAAGCATAAAAATAAAAAGAAAAAAAGATATTGTATACATCCTTGCAATGTATCCCAAAAAGATTTATAAATCCTCTTCAACAGATTACAGGTTTATATCAAAACTTCACCGAATGAAAGATAAAACTTGATGTATTGTTTATATGGTTTTACACAGTGATTATATATTTGTCAATCAAATATTAGTTTATTTGAAAAAATTATATTTTTGAAAATGCAAGAATCATTTCATATATAAATAATATATTTAAATATTGTAGTAATTATTGCTGCGTTCCGATACTCACTGCTAGTACCGAAAGTCTATACAGTCCACATTATATATACTGGCAGTGAATACCAAACGCAGTTTATATAAAAGTACTTTGTATTAGATTAATCAATTATTACAAGTTCATAACAAATTGAATTGATATTTGATTTAATACTACATTCATTTTGGACTTGTTTCCAACGTTTTATGAATATTCCTGAGTTTTAGGTTGTTCTTTCTACTGAAGAAATAAACTGGAATATTCACGAAACGTTAGAAATAAATTTAAGATATGTGTAGCACTCGCTTCTCTAATGTGGAAGTTGAATCAAATATTTCTATCTACTATGGAAGCCTAAAGGCTCGTCTACATTAGCTGTAAGAGTAAGGCTGTAAGGTTGCAAGACGCGAAATGAAATATTTTCATTCGCTGACAGCTTACGTTACAGCCTTACAGCCTTACTCTTACAGCTATTGTAGACGAGCCTTAAAATATCGAATCAAATTTAATGGCTATCATCACAGCGGCCGAACCCTTATGCGGGGTTTACAATAGAAGTTGTAAAGTTACAAGAAAATTAACCAATCACAGTCGATTTTCTTTGTGGTCGAAGAATAATCAATTGCAATTGGTCAATTTTTTTACGACTTCTACTATAAATCCCGCTTTAGTCTTGCTTCGAAATCGATATCGAAAACTTTGGTTTTAGTTATAAGATTGATAGGTTTAAACTAACTTAGATATGTTCTATAATTGATCAGCTGATCAATTCCGATAGAATAATCAGCCGATTAAATTAATCACAATTAGTGGAAACAGACTTAAGTTAGTTTAAGGGTCGCCAACATTATAACTAAACCCAAAGTTTTCGAAACTGATTTCGGAGAGGCCTATTGTTGGCTATTTCAAATAAAATAGCACGTTGCGATTCGTTTTCATTCATGATGTTGTGCGTGATTGAACCAATCAACAATATCGTTGAATCGAACACCAATCCAGCGAAAAGACCTTGTCAAGCGAGATTTGAGAAGTGACCGTTTGCTATTTACGGTGCATGGAGTAAAGAAATGTTGGGCTTGTGTATTTTGTATCATTTCGTGTTCGCATTTGAGACAGGTGTTCGTCAAATAACTCAATAAGGTGCGTCTTTGAAAAACAGCAATCTGTGGGCAATTCACAAACAATTCAAATTCCATAAACGGTTCCTAATTTATAAGTGTACTCATTTTTGTATTGAATACTTCTCGAATAATATTCTAATATACATGTATACTTGTGTGTATGCTTTTGCAATATTTTATCAAAGCAGTGTTTTATCGAAGTTAAAGGACACAATTGTTTTGTACGACTTTGAATAGCAAAATTATACTGAAAACTTTGAATGTTAAATTTAATATTATAATTTATATTATATTTATTATATTATTTAATAATATATTAATATACTTAATATATTTTTTAATAATGTTGGTTACTTATAATGTTAGATCCATTTGGTTAAAAGAGTTATTGTTTATGTTAATGTTTCCAAGTTATGGACTGTTATCAACTGTTGTGCATCAAGCATACTATGTATGAAACAACTATATTACTATATTACTATTTATTTGCATTTATGCAGATGGAAAGTACATTGGACTCGATCCGTCCGTCAGGAAATCCACAGGAAGAAATGTCATATCTATTTGGTAGAGATCCAAGCATTTTGGCATACAGCCAAAGGCCATTTCCTTCAAAGGACACCAAGAAGAATTTACTTTCGCTGTATGAAACAGAAGAGGACAATCCTAAAGAAAATACACATGAACATTCTGAATCCTTACAAACTGTTAGAGTATATCTTCGACTTAAACCATTTCCAAAAAAGTTGAAACTAACAGACGAACAACAAGATGCATACAAAATAATGAATTCTACCACATTGGTTACTAAACTACCAATGTTGGACAATACAATAAGTTCTATTAAGCAATCAAAAAATAATGAGATTATAAGTAGGAAATATATATTTTCTCAAACATTTGGACCAGAAACAACTCAATTGGAATTATTTGAGCAAACAGTACAACAGCAAATGGTTGATTTTCTAGCTGGTCATAGTTGTACTATCATGACATATGGTAAGAGATGATCCATGGTATAAAATATGAGCAAATTTTCTATCAACCAGGATGAAGCAGTGTATACATATCTAGCAAAATTATTTCATAAAGCAACAGTGCTTTGAAATCAATTTTGAATTTCTGACCTTTTTCTTTTTAAAACAAGTAATCAATTAATTTTCCCTTATCTTGAATTTTGTTGTATTAATTATTAAAATATATGATTATTGACATTATATAGTATGAATGATTATATTTTATAGGTACCACAAATTCAGGAAAATCATACACTTTACAAGGAACCACTACTTCACCTGGCCTTATACCACGTGCATTGGAGTTTGTATTTTCCAATATTACTACAAGACCAAATCCATCTTATAAACCTTTGCATTATTGCAACGTAATCAGTCTTAATGCTCTTGAACGTGCGCAAGAACTCGAAGCAAAAACCAAGTTGCTGACGTTCAGTTCTGTGGATAAACATCAGTATACAAATGCTTACAAACAGATGCAAAAATTATTGCAAGAAGAGTCAGTTCGGCCCAGTCAATGCCATGATGCTCATTATTCAATTTGGGTTTCATTCGCTGAAATTTATAACGAAATTGTATATGATTTATTATCAAACGAATGTCAAAAGAAGAGGGTACCATTGAAACTAGGAACAGATTCCAATGGTAGAGCATTTATCAAAGGACTGAAAACTATCTATGTTAATTCAGCTGCAGAAGCTTATCAGGTTTTGATGGCAGGACAGTATAATTTAAAAATAGCAGCGACTGCGTTAAATGCAAAAAGCTCAAGATCCCATTGTATATTCACGATTTCATTATTGAAGTATCATATGGAAAATTCACCAGATAGAGTTGAAGTGAGCACGTATGTATATTTTATCATATGTTATTTGTACAGATGTATACATCAAAATTTATATGCACAAGTTACTTTAGAAATATATTAACAATCTTTAAAATGCCATTATACAGTTGGTAATAAGAATAGTTAAATGCAATTGTACAGAGTTTGACAATGTATCTTTCAGATTTGAGAACAAAAGAATAGCTTATTGTGCATTGATGCTTTTTATTTGCGCAGGTTTTCCTTTTGCGATCTTGCGGGCTCGGAACGCTTGAAAAAGACGTTGAACATCGGAGATAGATTGAAGGAAGCACAAAACATTAATACCAGTCTGCTAGTATTGGGCAGGTGCTTAAAATCTATTCACGAAGGACAATTAATAAGAGCGAAAACCGACGCTATCGGGCCTTTCAGAGAGTCCAAATTGACGAGATTGTTTCAACGAGCGTTATCTGGAAAGGAACATTTAGCTTTGATAGTCAATGTCAATCCTCTTCCAAATCTCTATGTAGAGACTCAGAACGTCCTGAATTTTGCTGCTATCGCCAAAAAGATCATTATAGAAGAGAAGAAGCAAGTGCAGGCAAAGTTGAGATCGAGGTTCTCGCGGATAGTTACACAGAGTATGGAGGCAGCAACTGATTGGGATGCTACGGAATTGGAAACGGATGTGGAGTGGCAACAAGCAGATACTATGGAGAATATTTCAGAATATGTCAGATCGGAAGAATACATGGATCTTATGAGTGAAAATGAGAGATTAAAGAAAGAAATTACTATTTTAAAAGATTCGGCATTAAGCAGAGACATCCAGAGTCGGCAAGAAATGTCTGAAAAATATATCGTGATGATGAACGAGCTCGAAGTCCATTGGAAACAACGTATAAACGATGCAGAAACACAGCACGAGGATAATCTTGAGTGGACTGTGAAACAAGTTCAAGAGTTTTATGAGGAAAAATTGAATCAGCTGCTCAGAACGAAACGAAGACGCAGCGATTGTGCCGATGAAAGCGAGCAAAATAGCGATTTTCTTAATGTAACTCTTGATTTGAGCGAAGAGAACACACAACTCAGGACTAAGATTGAAACTATGAAAACGAGACTGACGGAACTAAAAACAGCGAACGAAACCTTGATTATGGAAAAGAACAAGGCCAATTTTGAGTTGGGATTATCAAACGAGGATCTAAAGGTAGTGAAAAATCTCTTGAAAGCCGCACAGGAAGACATTAGCCGTGATCAAGATGGTAAATTTTTCGCAGAGAAAATGACGTCGCAATTGCTCGCTAAAGATGAACAAATAATGAAACTCAAAGAATTTCTCAATGAAGCGAAGGAAGACTACATTACAGTGACGTCTGATTTAAAGAAGAAGGAAATTTGCATTGATGAACAGAAAAAGATCATAATAGAAAATGAAGAAAAAATCGAAGATGTGGAATCACATCTTGAGCAAGTTAATATGTGTCTAATGGAAAAAACCAGGATGGTGGAACTTATAGAAGAGAAATTTGAGCAGCAAAGTGAAAAATTGTCCGACGCTCAGAGTAAAATCCTGCAACTGCAAGAGGAAATTAAAAGATTGAAGGATGACAAGTTAGTATCACTCAACTGCTACGAGAAACCGTTTGTCGCGAGTACGGAAGATTCTCAACGCACAAACAAAGTGACAAATACATTTGCATTAGCAGAAACATCGTGCACTGCAGTTGACAGCACGAATGAAGAGCTTATCGTGAAGGAAGAATTAATTATTGAGGACGTATTGGAAAGTCCGCATACACAAGACAAAACGGGAAGCACGGCAGAGAGTGCGGAGACATGTTCGAGGGAAAATTTGGAATTGTTTGCAAGCTTATCATCCAATGATCGACAAAAAGATGATGATGGTTGCTACGATATTGAATCTAATTCGAAGCAAGGTTTTTGTTGCAAAAGTACCTACACTAACGTGTCGATAGCAACGGCGGAAACCCAAACTCAATGTGAGAAGGTGCTTTTGAAAGATGAGACTGTTCAGACAAACGAGCTTTCTGACGATGATAAATTACAACTAAAAGAAATGGCCGTGCGATATGACAAAGTCCAAATGCAATACCAAGAGGAATGTTTGAAAGTGGAACAGTTGATTGAAGAATTTCGCGAAGTAAAGGGGACAGTACATTCATTGAGGGAAGAAAATCAGTCGAGTAAAGCTGCCATAGACGAATATAAACGTTCCACAGAAATATTAGAGAAACAATTGTCGCTCGTTACGGAAGAAAAGCGAAAGATGGAAGAAGCTTTATTGACTTCCAATACGGCCTCGGAAGTCAAGCTTGCGAGATACGAGCGTGAGATTGATCAGCTGGAAAAGAATCTCGCGACTGCGAAGGATAATATTCAACAGTATATGGAGCAATTGGAGACAATGCGTAAAAAATTAGACGAATGCACGTCGCAGTATAAAGTGGAGAAAGATGAAAAATCAATAGAATCTGCTCGGGTAAAAGAGGAGAACGACGACACGACGAATGATATAAAGGAGGAGAACGACACGACGAATGATATAAATGTAAAGCAATTGGATGAGCATCTGAAAGAGATAGAAACCAATTTAGAAACTATAGCGAAGTTAAAAGGGGATATTGTTCAACTGAACAAAAACTTGGAGGTCTGTCAAATTGAGAGGGATCGCATGCAAAATGCGCTGGAGCAAAATAAACAAAATACCCAGAGATTGTTGGAACTTGAGAATCAATTAAAACAAACGGCCCTGAAGGAACAAGAAAAAGACACCGAGATCGCGACTTTGCAGAAGGAATTGAAGCGTTTGATACAGGAAAGCGAAAATTCCCAGAAAAATGACGATTGTATGGAAACGGAATTAAAGAGCGCTATAAGTGAATTGACGCTGACAAAAGAGACGCTTTCCGAAAAAGAGCAGTATATCAAAGAATTGAAGATACATTTGGATAATTTTGAACGAAACGCGAAGATATATGATTTGCTGGAAGAGAATGCGAAGGAGCGACAAGCTGAAAATGAACGATTGCGGAATATCAATGATGAATTGAGGAGCCATTTGACGCAAAAGGAGCGCGAGATGGATGCATTTGTGAGGAACAGAGACGAGACGATGATGAAATATGAGGAATTGGTGAAGAATCAACAAGAGGAATTGGAGAAACAGAAAAAGGAAGTTACAAGGTACCAGGAATTATTCTGTAGACAAATGACAACCACGCCGAACAAAGACGATTATATACAGTTGCAAAGTCGCGTGCAAAATCTCCAAGACAGACTATACAAGTATGAGATTGGCGCGAAAGTTAAAGAGTGTTGCGACACTGCGTCGGAGGATGAAGTTTTGATTCAACGTCAGCCCAAACGACGCGGCAAAAAGGCCGCTTCGTCGACCAAGCAAGGGGACATACCGGTTATCGAATTATCTGGATCCGAGTCAAAACGCAGTGCGAAACGCACCGCTTTGCCCACTACAGCTGCGGAATCATCAACCGACAAGAGACGTACAACTCGTAAGAAGAAGCTATTTGTTGCTACCGATTCGTTCGTCGATATTCAACCTGTGGAAGAAGAAGCAGGAAAGGATGTCATTTCCTCGACGCCATTGCCGACCCGTAATTTGAGGAGTCGAAGGAAATGAAGAGTCGCATTGTCGAACAAGTTGTAAATGTGTATATACATGAAGAAACACTATTTTCTGTGTATCGAAAAACTTAGAGTAAAAAGAAAATATGCATGAGTGATAAACTAATGCACGGTGCGTACAATGTAGATATCGTGAAGCGAGTGCCGCATTTCTTCTGTGACAATCAGCGAAAGACAATCTTGAAAAGGTATCGCGAAGCAACATCTGGTTATAGCTTTGTTAAACTTTTTTTTTTATTTCATATCTTCGTGTATCCCGCATTTTGTAAATGTACATGTATGCTTACATATATGTGTGTGTGTGTGTGTATATATACACAATATCGAAATATTTTATACTCCAAAATGTCATGCATGTATAAATTATACACACGTGTTTTATTGACATCTTAAATGCAGCGAGAAGATGCGATATATCGACCGTATCATGTTCGCTATAAAAAAAATATTGCTGTGTGTTATTATTGCCGCTTTTGTATAATTTTGAGAATTTATCGTAAATGAACACTTAAATTTGGACGTAAATTTATGCAAATTTTTGAAATTTATCTTCTCGGCTGGTTTAATAACCATTTTCTCCACGATGCCACTAGATTAGGCAAGTAAGTTGAAATGCATACTGTAAAATGATAATTTATCGACGCATCGAATCGTGAATGTGAAGTCCATTCTATGCTATTTGCAAGTTGCAAAGTTGCAAGCAAATTGACCAATCACAGTTGATTATTCTTCGATCACAAGGAGAACAATCAACCGTGATTGATCAATTTATTCGCGATCGTGCAACTTGAAACTAATGCAAAATGGGCTTAATAAAGTGTGCAGATGGCGCATTGATATGTTGTCTTTTTATTGCAAACGTATGCTCGCTTGACGATAGCGATGTATAGCGTTGCAACGATAACACATATTATCAGATAAAATGGAAATCGTCGGAAATGCCGTAAAAAATTTACTGAAAAAGAAAAAAAGATAGAGAAACATAGAAGAGACGCGAGAATCACGATTCTGAAAGTGGATTCTGAAAGTGGATGTAGCACGGACTTCCACCATATGCAGATTTTACCACTGAGACTTGAAAGTGGATGTAGCATCGCAGTTCCCCTTTCAAAATGCAGATGGCGATGGCGTCCTTTCCCAGTACGGAAAGTCGGTGTCGCAGAAAATGCCGCTTTCAGGTTTCTCTCTACATATACGTTATGCTTAATTGTTTAACGTGATTTTAACTCCTCTGCTTCCTTTCTCTGGTCCCCTTTCTCTTGGGCTTTTTACAGCGCACCCTTGTGATCGTGGATGCAAAACTAGCGGGTCGATTTTTCGTGCATCAACAGATATCCAACTGTGCTGTCAGCATTCTCAGCTGACGAATAAGAAGATAATAATATACATCGAAAATGGTAATATATTATTAAATATTTTGATCCATGGCGTAAAAAAATGATATCTCCGCTTGTAACATCGTACATGTGTGTTTCCAGTCGTTCGGTGAAAAAATAGCATCGATCATGCAAAAGCCTGGACAGGACCCTGTTGCCAAGGATGATGTACCTTGGTGGATGAAATACGCAGGTCGTGGGCTTGGTACCGTAGGCAGTATAAGTAAGTTTACGATTGCATGTCGTAATATATTATTACTTGATACTATTTGTGCGATAAAAATCTTTATAAATCTCTTAAATCTCTCTTTTTGGGGTCTTTTCTTTTTGGCAAAATTTAATTTCCATTTTTTGTATATTGTATCATTATTATGATTAGTGTGCGTTATTGTGTATAGTTTTACGATGTGAGGTGTAAAAACAATGATCTTCCTCATATCTTCTCCCCCTCCTTTTCCATCAAACAATGATCTCTCAAAAAAGTAGACAAGCAATTTTTATGCAGGAATTTTTTACCTTTGCAGTTGCAATATTTCTCGGAGCTTGGAACTGTGCATCTATACTTTTTGGTCATATTGACTGTTTAATCAGCGGCATGTGGCAAATGATAGCTGGTTTCTTGGTCGTGATGATTGAAGCACCTTGCTGCTGTTTGTTCATCGACTTTGTACAGAATTTAAGTGACTGGGTAGAGAAAAAGCCATATTGGAATAGAGCAGCTGCTTATTGTCTGTAAGAGACTTCTCTTTCTTAATATTTTTCTTTATAATTTACAAAATTTACAAAATTATAATTTCTATATCCTTGATAGGATATAATCATTCAGATAAATTTCAATATTTTCTTTCGTGTTTACCAATTCAGAATAGCATTACCAGCAGTCTTCCTATGTCCAGGGATGAGTAGTATATTTGGTAGCGGATTAATATTTACAACGGGTATAATATATGGATTGATGTCCCTTGGTAAAAAGTAAGTGACACAATTCTCTAAAGGAAACTTAGATAAGATATAATTTATCATATACATAAAATGAATATACTGGATTTTTCTAAACATGCTGTTGTGAACTGATTGTTTTTTTTTTATGTTTCACTTTTCTATTAATGAGACGTTTATCATATAACTTGGCATTGACATTGCATTTAACTTTTGTTAAACCAGGTAACATGTGTTGCTTTTCAATATGGTTTAATACACACTTTGTTTGCTTTGAGGTGAAAGAATCCTTTTGTATTGTGTTTGTCTTTGTATTTTAATGCTGTTGTGCTTTGGTTTGTGGGGGAAATATTTCATAAAGGAGTTTTACATGTTTTATGTTAAACGGGAGGATAATGAGTGATTTGTAAGATCTCCATTTGGTTTTTTCCTTTGTAATCATCACGATGAAAAATATGTTATTTTCTAAGTATCCACATAAAATATTTTGCAACAATATATGTCTTATGAGATATGTCACGTTATACAAAAGAACGTTTTCGTCGTGTTCGTGTTACAATTTTTGAGAGTTTACTAATTTGCAACATAACAACAGAGGGTCTAGGCCCGACCCGGCAGGCATGACGTCGTCGGGCGTGGGTTCTCCACAGGGTACAGTGCCTCCTACCACAGATCACCATACCACTCTCATGGAGGATCCCGACGTCTGGAGGCCTACATAAATCATCAAACACTCATTGCACCACTTCACTAACCAGGCAATAATATATATACATAATATATATGTAAAATTTTAATTTTCTTACTATTGCATATCTAAACAACGCCTTACAATGCTTTATCGTAACTTTTCCTTGAGTCAATGACAATATATCTCTTTTCCGTTACCTTGATATTGTCATTCTCCCAAAATCTATCTTTAAATTAGCATGTTGCATCTATAAATCAGCATGTTGCACTATTCATTCTTGAGCTTTCATGAGTGCTCCATTATTTCAGATATTACAACGCATGTGTTGCAACGTTATCACTTTTAATAATGTTTCATAATTAATTTCTCGTTATCGCGTCGATTTCGACATAGTCTTGTATCGTCTGTGCTCTTGTTATGTGTTGAGCTTAAACACATAACTTTCATTCCTGTGAACATGTTTTCTTGTTTATACATCAATAGGTAAAATGATGTTTTATAATTTGTAAATAATGTATCGATAATTTCCTATCATACGTGTGTGTATGTATGTGTATGTGCGATTCAACATATGTCAAGTTAGGATATATTCATTTAATCATTTATATGCCTTGTTTCGTTATACGCTTATATTCATATTTTATCACTGCAGTGACTAAGTTTCAGTGGGTAAATTAGATGATTGCGACAAAATCATCTTTCACGGCTGATTACGAATGAAACATTTAATATTAATTTGCATCAGTATTGTAGAAAGGAAAAAAATATTATGTGTATTGATACTACTGTGTATATTGATAAAAAAAGAAAAATATTATGTTAGAACAAACAAAATATCTATCTGTCTTTTTATCAATCTACACATCTACACATATATATGTATGGGATTAATTATCGGATAGTGTTATTAATAGAAGGAAGATCTGACGAGTATTTCTGATGAAACTAACACGGTATCATACTTTAGGGCACCTTTTGGCGAAATGAGAACAACGGCAATGGATACTCAAGCTCAGTCGTCGAGCATGCGGTCCACACTAGTTGAAAATACTCAGCCAATCGGTCTTAGCAGTACCCCAGGTAGTATCGTTTGATCGTTAGGAATTAATTGAACGAGCGATCTAATATTTTGTGCGAATGACGTTGAGTGCTAATCGGTTTAAATGATCAGTAGCTGAGCCCACGAACATGCTTCGTTTCATTTTAGCTATGACATTGACGCGTATCGTAATTCTAATGTATCACAATAGTAATTTCACGAGAGGTGTATCGAATCTTTGGGACAGTGACAAATAGAAATCCTATTATCGATATATAGATTTAAACATGATGTGATTTAGAGAGAAATTCTCGGTATACTGTGAATGCTGAATACCTGAATACCTAAGCTTTTTAGTTTTGCTTTCTACTTTCTTTTGTACAATGTTCCAGTTGATTGATAAAAGTTACATGTGTTTGTTATACTTTGCGATTATGTACCAAATGTGTATAGAGAGAGAGAGGGTGAAAGAGAGGGAGAAAACAATGAAAAAGGATATATTATGAACAGACAGTATATAGGGAAATTTATTACTTTGTTTAAAATAATGCCAAAGTCAAAGACTGTCATAGAAAATGATGTTGTTCATGGGCCTAGTTATTCATGGCCCTTTTTGTCCACAGTATATCGTAAGATATACCGTTCTCAACAAACGGAACAACAACAAAATTATAAATCGTAATTTGACTCATTTTGATGTAATGACGGAACGTTTCATTCTGAATATGATTGTTTTCTCTTGCGAATCAGTTAAATACGTTTACTTAACACTTGTAAATGAATCGGATAGTCTTGAACATCTGCGAACATTTCGCATCTAAATTATAGAACAAATCGTACATTTAGAATGTCTTGAAAGTAGGGAAGTTTTGTAATCTTTTTATCATGTATCATGTTACTTCCATACATATAGACAAGTTTCTCTCTGCCAAATAAACTATATGCGTAAAATTTAAATGTGTTTCGAAATAGTATTTTATGTGTACACATTTAAATAATATTACAGATTGCATTGTATAAGATTTATTATATGTGTGCGTACATACGTAAGTAAGTGTGCGTGCGTGCGTGCGCGCGTGTGTGTATGTATGCATGTGTGGTGCGCGCGTAAATATGTAGCGCATAAAGCGCTACAAATTTAATTACATTATTACATGTTGGCAATGTAATAAAATCACGTAATATATATGCAGTGTAAATTATTTGTTTCAATTATTGGCTGTTTGTTTTTGACGATTCAACAATTTGGATACTCTGACGTTATGTTCTTCTAAAATCTAAATACTTTATGTTATCTTATACCTTAAAGTTAAGATAAAACAAAATAATATAGCATTTCCTAAATGCGCTTCTGTCAAAGATAGACACTACGCGTGCACCCATAGATGACTTGTTTGCGTGCGATATGGCAGAGAGATTTAATGATTTTTTCTATTGGCACATTCTTACATATCAAAGGTTCATATCACATGTATCTCATATGTATATTTAATTTAAATAATATGTTTTTTTGCTAGTAAGATTCTTTTCGCGAAAATATTGAGATACTGTTGGTAGTTCGTGCGTTAACAAATGACAGGTTTGTGTTTCTTTAAGAAAAATTGGCTGGATATCATTTCTCTAATATTTATGATTTCTTACAGAAGATACTTTGCGGCAAATGAAAGACTTTAAAGACAAGAAATCTTGCTTAAGTAATGTATGTACACTTGAAAGCAAACTATTAAAATGTCTTATAGATATACTTGCAGCTATGAAGACTATAAACTGTATATTTAATCATTTTTGAGACAGAAAGAAGGTGTCTCTGGATCTATGTTCTAATTCTTAACGATACATGTATAAAGAATCTTTTGTTTCAGGTCAAAAATGGAAAACGCCCAGTCAGAGTTTTCATCTTTCCTTAAAGATAAAACTTTCTTTAGATAAAATTCAATTTACTCAAGGGATATTTGGATAAAGCATTTACTTGTGATTACATTATTTCCTGTATATATGAGCACATGTATTGTCAGGTGCCTAACATACACACATACATGCGCGCGTACGAAAAAAATTGTTAATTCTTTATTTAAATGATGAAAATGTTGACACTTTGGAAGTATATCCACTCAAATATTAGAAATATTGGAAATTGTGGACAAAGCTTGTATGGCACTCGGTTGCTCATGTATAAATATTAGATTTGTATTGTTCCGTTAGTATTATGCTCTTTGAATTATTGATATTGAATGTGCCAAGAGTGCTTCTTAATCGATCATCATGATTCCCTGAGCATTTGTTCCATTTTTTTCCGTTTTATTTCGTCTTAGATTTAAATCTGTGCTCCAAATCATCTTCTTCCTACACATTCCTATATCTTGATTAATTTATTTAAGAGGTAAAGACTATATAGGATGCCCATTATATCATCCAACTTTTACTTGATCTTCGTGAAACGTTCTTGTGTCACGATTGTTAAATAAATTCTATGTGGACGCGTGATTGTCGTAAGTAGATATGTAATCGTATTACCAGCTTACATTATGAAACTTCTTAATTGTGATTATTTTATATTTATAAGTGTGACCGCCTATGTAATGAAATATAATGAAATAAAACATACTTGTGATTAAACACATTATGTTCCAAGAAGCTTCTTTTTCCTATTATCTCACTGTTCATATTACTGTGAATAATACTGTTCATATTACCGTGAAAAGATAAACTTTGCTACAAGTTTGTACTTGCAATCATTCATAGTGATATCTTAATTTTTGATATCAGACATCTTTATCAAAAAAATTAAGTTTTCTCTCTCTTCTGATCATCTATATACGCAGCATAAATTTACATACCGCACACACGTATATGCACATAAAATTTAATTTTACAACATGTTAATTATCAAGACAGAGTGGTTTTCTACAATACAGCTAATTTTGAATCTTTAAGGATATATTTAAAAAAATTCTCTAGGAGAAAAATGGAGCTGGGAAATTAAATAAGGAAAAGGCTTTAAAGATATAGATTATCGAAATTTCTATTGTTCTATTTTTATTGCGTTCTAATTCATAGAAGTACGTATAACATTGAACCTAACATATAATTCAATCACCGTATGCATGAATAATTATTATGTAAAAAAAATAACGAAACAAATATCTTGAATGAGGAATAGCTTTATACGATATAAAAATTATTGTATGACATAAAAATTAATCGTGATTCGAGCAGAATAGAATAATGATTATTTATCACACTTATGTATATTTATCCGTGTGTAGTCTATTTCAAATCGATATCTGAAAAACGAACATTTTTTTTCTTTTATATTATATTACGTAATTTATTTCCAATTTTAGTTTTGACTAAATAATAAATAACTAAGAAAACTTGTCGCTATATTACTTTATAATATACCAATATAAACTTTATAATATGCCAATAGTACACATGTATATATATATATATGCATCGTATATTTGTATAAAATCTAAAAATTTCCTTTCTTTTCTAAATTATGCGTAAATGTTTTCTTTCGCTATCTACTCGATAAAATAAAAAGTATTTACTGTTAACAAATTCCCATGTTTTCTTTAGACAAGTTTTGTTTTAATTTCGTTTCAACTTGTAATTTTCAACAAGTCCTTGATAAAAATTTTGACCGATTTAATTCTTATAATGTCTTATAGTTATTCTTATAAGAGCGACGTGAGAAATATATTTTGCTAGTTTCCGCAAAAAATTATCTTTGGATAAAATTATTTCCTAAGCGTGAAATCTATTCGATTGTAAAAAGTAAGTGCGGTAACTTAATAATATATGAAAAGATATTTCTTGTATTTTGCGAAATCAAGAAAGATCACAAACGAACAATATAGTTTCAATATTATGAAAGCAAACGGCAAATATAAGATAAGGTTGAGATTTCTATAAAATGACATAGAAAAGAAAATAAGGAAATTAAATCAATTACATCTTCCAAGATCACCGACTATTACAAGTAACTAGAAAAATATACAAGATATCCATTCGATTGCAATGGAAATAAAAGTAGGTGGGGCTGAAAATGAAAGATGAATAAGATACTTTAGTCAAAATTTTTGCATTCGTATTTCGTACGACAATCGTGGAGAGCATTGATCAATCACTTGTCATTTTTTTCTAAAATATAAATGATATATATGGTGACATGCAACGACTTATAATAGCACAATGGTGAAAATATTATAAATTACTTTAAATCTGTTAATGACTAACGATACTACATACAAATCCGCCCGCGGATTGAGTTATAAAACGGATCGAGTTATTCGGCCATCTCGATATTTTCATATCAGGTACTTTTATCCTTTTCTCGCTTGTATACTTTGAAATAATACCTCAAACGATTTGTTAGAAACAGCATTCTCGTTTTGTATCGTTACGATTATATATATATAACTTGGCTAAATATAATTATTTTAATTCGATGTTATATAATATTCGTCGGGAGATTGAAAGAGAGATAAATATTTATATAAATAAGTTATTAGAATAGATGTGTGTATGTATGTCTGTGTATGTATGTATGTGTGTGTGTGTGTATATAAGACTTCCTAATGATTATTATCTTGTCATCGAAAATACTGTTGACGACTCCATGTTTGGCGTTTTTATAGTGAACGTAGATATCTACCTATTAATTCTACTGTTTAAGTCGTATTTGTTTCAAGGCACCATGCATCAGTACCTGAGTACAGTCGTTGAAAGACACGCGTGCGCGCGAGCGCCGATTATATACAGGTATAATTAAAATGTAAAGTCTGTCGTAGTACATAGTTGTCTCACAAGAATTGTTCGCACGACGTTAATGAGTAAAAAATGCACGTTCAGCATTCAGCTATATCGAGGACTCGTCCAACGGGCGAGTCTCGCGTCACATGTGAAGATTCTGCTGATAACCCTCAACCTCGTTGTACATCTTCCTGATGGGATCCTTTGGCAAATAGTTGCGCATCGTTGGCGCGACTTTATTTTTGTCAGACGGCACGATACCGTTAGCTAAATGTGCTACACCGTTCTGCAGCATATGTGCCGTACCATTCGCGATGCCGTTTTGATGAATATGACCATTTTGCTGAATATGCTTCATATTATTTAGCACGCCGTTAGAAATGGTACCTACGCCTATGTAGCGCAGAGAGATAAGATAAAAAAAAGAAAAACACATATTTTATTATATTTATGTATATATATATATTTATATGTGTATGCTTATTAGTAAACAATTACCTTGAGCAGTGATTCCGTTTACATTTTTCGCCGCATCAACCGGTTTTTCAACGTAATTCGACATGCCGTTGACCGTCTGTTTGGCAACGCCGTTAGGTATCGCGCGCTCGTTTTCATAATCCATCGTAATATGTTTCCCGTTTGGGTGTTGATCGTGTCCTTTAGTCGTCGAAAAATTTGTATTGCGCAGATCGTCCTCTTCTGAACGACGTTGCCGACGCATCAATTGATATAATGCGGCGGCGAAATCCTGCTGCACGGTAGGCACATCAGTATCGCCATCAACCTGTGAGAAAGAAAATTTATCTTTTCGTGATCGATAATTAAGCTAAGCTAAAAGCACATACGTCGCTACAAGTATGAAACCTTGTAATTAATTTCTAGGTCAACTAGGTCTTATCTTGTCATTGTTCGTAAGTGAAGTTTGAGCAGAGAGTATTTCATTTATACGTACAATTATTAACCGATTGTCGCTATCTAGTGTCTTCAACATAGGAAGAGACACCTCGCGAAAGAGTTCCAATCTTTTTCTAAATGCCGAAACACTGTCGTCCAGTCTCCCCCTTCCAAGTTGCAACTTGGAACAGTCGAGTAACACTAGTGGTGGTTCTTGCCCAAACTGTCAACACGATTAATACGATAATTATTTTTACCGCGTGCTTAGTAATGATAAGTTACAAAACGAGAATCGAGATGAAATTAGAGAATCAGTCAATGTCTTCTCACCTTGCCTTCGAATTCTTGTACTTGATTCAAATCCCTCGGATATCCGTCCATGACAATACCATCTGAATCTCGATTTAAAAGTATTTGTTGCTCCACAAGTTGCATCACGATATCGTGCGGCACCATTTCACCCGAGACGATAGCTTCGTTCACAACCATGTTCGACGACGCCATCGTCCTTAAAAGTCCTCCAATACTCACGTGTAGCCAACCAGGCATGTTGCGGACAGCTTGAGCGCAGAGAGCCGCCTTGTTACTTCCCGGTCCACCTGGCATCATATGTCGCATATATCACATGTCGACAAATGTCGACGATAATATACTTTGTGAAGCGAACGCGAAACTTTGGGAATGTAAAACATAATTTTTCGCACGTGATTTCACGTGTACATCCAGTATATATATTATATACGCGGATTGACTTTGAATGTAGGATTGGCTATGTATCCGCGGATCTGTGAACTCGATTTGTTTTCTGCCGAATTTTAATGGAATTTTTTTTCATCTTGCGATTGACAAGATTGAGCTTGCGCTAGACTTCCTTATTATGGGATATACCTATAACCCAGATAAATGATGGCAGTCCTTTCCTCGGCTTATCAGCGGTTTTCGACGATGCATTTATTGGCACCGGAGGTGGTGTTATCTCGGATCTCGGCACGATTTGTGGCTTCGTTAGCGAAGAACTTGAAACTGATTCTTTTCTCCTCTCCACTTCAACCTGAGACAAAATAGATGAAATATGAATAATATGTACAACTGTGTCAAATTGTACGCCATTCTCAAATGCATACGATCATTACCACGAATAGTCGGTGGTACAAATTCAGCTTAATTCGCGGATAAGGATTCAGTGCCTTTTATTTTACGGATAGAGACGCTCATCGGTAAATCTGATTTACTTACATCTAATTTGTATCGATGTAAAAGTTTTAGTCAAGTTTGACTCGCACTTACTTCGGCTTCCAAGGACTGAGGTACATTTTGATCTTGAATTTCGCCGCTTGACATCCCGAGAATTCTAAGTACGGCATCCCGAAAGCTAACGTAAACTTCACTCGGATTACGCTCTCCGTTTACCTGTACGATAAATGCGGTGCAATTAATGTACGATTACTAATAACGAATAACTAATAAGGAGGACTATTGGGGCATTTGATCGGCGGCAAATATCTTTACCTCGAGCAACATTCCACTTTGATCGAAATATTCCGCAACTGGCATAACGTTTCTATAAAAATTATGCAACTCCATCCTGGCTAATCCGATGATAACATGACCGAGTTGCGCCCCGAAATCAATTTGTCTCTCCAGCACTTCCTGCCTCCAGGACACGAGAATGACGCCGTTTACAATCTTTATCTGCAAGTTATACACAACATTGTTATGTGAATCGCTCTGTCATAATCTGATAATAACGTACTTTACGTGTCTTTACATGAGAATAATGTGTAAAACAATCTCGCGATATCGACTTAATTATCACGCGGTGATAAAGCGGGGAGAAAAATTTATCGAAAGGACAAATATAAGGTACACTCACTTTCTCGGCATATTCTACTACATCGCGCATATTTCGCGGGTATCCGCTGATGAGAAACACTTTGGCTCCTGGGGACATCTTTATCTCGAGCATGAGCACTTCTGTAACGGTCTTGCTACTAAGTTGCCCGAAATCTTGCATATCTAAGTTTGAGGTTTAACGAATTTTAGATTTGATGACGTTGTTTTATAACGTTGTTTTATAAAGTTGTGAACGTTATAAAGAAGTAGATAATTAAGAAGCGACAAGCGCAGAATGTGATATGCATCGTGTACGATCTCGATTGAACAAATAAATGAAAATACAAACAGCTATTCCACGTGTGAAAGAACGTATCTAATGCAAGGTGCATCCTTAGAAATCATATACTGAACAATATTCCACGTTTATTTTGTGTGCACGTGTTGTCGCGTGTTCCTTTAATCAAATTCTACATCAGTGACGTTCATGCAAATGGTTGTAACGATACTGCACATATGTGTGTACAAATCAAGTATGTACCGTTTCCCAGTGCATACTGCTGAAGAAGATCCATCATGTTGATGTGTGTTATTCCCTTCTTCTCCTGTATCAGATTGTCGCAATATGTCACCTTGCCGCTGCCAGGACCACCTAAAAAAGAAAAAAAGAAATAACAATAGGACTTTCGTATCAGTAATTTGTAAAGCATACGATGATTAAGTTGATTGATTATATCGCTGACCAAGTACGAATATAACGGGAACTTTTGGTATTTCAAATTTAACTGGACCGACATTCTGCTTTGGAAAATGTCCATCCGGCGGCGTTGCCAAAAGACCAGCTTCTCCTCGCCATCTTCCTGTAGCACGAGCATCGCCTTCCTCGAACACCTGCGATCCATTTTGCTGATCTGCAACAAATCACTTAGTTATTTTATAATAAACCTATTATACTTAGACTTTTGAGGAAAGATGTGAGAAAAAGAAAACCGAATTTATAAAGTAAAAATACAGAGCGGATTTGACACTTCAGGTTTCTGCGTCGGATAGGAAATTGGCTGAAAGGTTTATTGTTTCGCGCGATTTCGCTCATTTCACGTATTGTATCGCTTACTGTTGTCTGCTAAATGGTATTTGTACCGGTGGAACTGGTTTATATATACGATTCTCTTATCCCGCTGTATCGCGTGACTACAACCTGACGACTTTGCACAAAATCGAAAGGCTATACATAAAACATGTGTTATTATACGTGTACGTTATTTGTCACGTGAAGTGTGTGGAATTAAATAGAATGCAGTAAACATTACACGAATTAAACCATTCAATCATTGGTCAAAATTAATTATCGCATCTGGAATGATCGCAAATCGTCTGATGAAGAACGAACGTGATCGCAAGCGATCGCGATGGAAATAATAATCGTTGGGTCAATTATTACGCATTATTGCCTCATCTTTGGTTCAGTGGCGAAAAAAGTGCGGAATGGAAGCGAAGTGATTCACAGGAGAGACTAACGTGTATTGCTATTAATTAAGCTACATTGAAATTGTTCGCTTAATTTATATTAATTACTGTGTGAATCGCGTTATATCTGTCTGCTTTTGAATCGTGAGAATTTGCAATTCTTTAGATATTAATGACCTTCGTAGCGAGTCAAAAATTGCTACGTAACATAATTTATTTACTTATTATTGAGAACATCGTATTGAAGCAGACCACGTAATAAGTATCGCAGTAGTAGTAGTAGTAGTAGTAGTTGGAAGTCGACAAGACAAATTGAATCGCGCTATCGTGCAATATTTCGCGACAAGTTTACTACCGCGATGGCAAGGAAAGACCTGTCGTCGTACAATAATGTCGCTTCTGCAATATCGATCGCGATACGTACTCGTGATAATCGTAAATATCTCGTTGCACGTCTTGCATTGAGCGAAAACAACCGGAAAAAAAGAAGAAGGAGGAAAAGAAAAGAAATAAAGAGAGAGAGAGAGAGAGAGAGAGAGAAAAAGAGAGGAAGATTTCCATGTTGGATATCGCGACATTTATTATATTTTTGTTACATTTATATTTATCGTGTTTATCACCCGACTGTTCACGGCTTAATAGAAAGAACTGGGTTTGGCAGTCGTAAATAATAAGGATATATAAATAAATGATCGCGTATCGCGATCGTCGTTCGCGTATCTTGTTTCGCGGGTATGATTGACTACGGTACAATTTTGATTTGTTCTTGAATAATAGATGAGCCGAGTCATTTAACATGGCTTTCGATATCGAATTTCCAAGGTTGTGCAGTCTTATCTTAAAATGTACAAATAATTTGTGCGATTTTATCCTCGAGAAAATATATGAATAATTATTATATGAAAAGACCTCGAAGGATCGGTAATAGCTTCCTAGGCAGAACAGAAAATCATGATGACATTAAAATGACGAGAAAATGAATTATGAAATAAATAAAATGAATTATGAAAAGTCGGGTAATAAATATGATAAATATAAATGTAACAAACGAAAATATAAATTATGAAATAAATAAAATGATGAAAAAATGAGTTCTCCTCGTCATTTTGACGTTATCATGATTTTCTGTTCTGCCTGGGTAGACCAGTCTACAAATAAGCGAGCCAGATTCGACGGTGGAAAATCGACGACAACAATAAGATATAACATATATACATCGGAGGAGAGAGAAAAGGAAGAGGAATCGATTGCTGGTCGATGTACTAACCAGTGTCCAGGCAGATGCCCATAGTAGGTTGTTCGAAGACTGGCACGATCTTTTCACGGCCATTTACTTCACATGCTTCCAGCGGACAAACTCATCCTTGCTGCTCGACACCTCAAGTTCTACCCCGTGAGTCCCGACAGATCACCGTACGTTCTCTCTCTCTCTCTCTCTCTCTCTCTCTTTCTCTCTCACACACACACACACACACTCAATCACCTTCGCACGATGCTTGACATCAGATATTCCACATTGGGCTTGTACTGTCTTGAATCGCGTTGCTTCTTTCCTTCCGCTTAGATGCCTCGGAAGATTCACTTTATCCGTGAAATTTTACCTTCTCTCCTACGAAACGACGTCCTAATGATGGAGGCGTGTGTACTTGCCACGTGTTGATTCGCGTCGGATCTATTCGACGTAATTTTTTCAATAGGCACTTTAAGATAAAACTCAGCAAGATCACTGTCCACATCGACGTTGCCTGGGTTTCAAAAAAATCTACTCGCGACGATTTATCCTGATTGAATTCATTTGTTCGTCAAGTCCACCTTTGTCTCGTGGGAGTACTTGCTTCGAGTGGAAACTCGACATGGACTAGCAAGCAACCTGAAAATATATTGCCACGCTTTGTCAATATGTATCAATTGGGAGCGACATGAGCACCTTCGCTTTCGTATTTTACAGCTCATATTTTGAACTTATCATAAAAAGCGACTATAAAAGTAGCTTATAAGCCTCTTAATTGGTTGTAAGACACTTTTAGAGTCACTTTTAGTGATAAAGGAGGGCCTATGTGTGTGTGTGTGTCGTATTTTTTTAACATTGGGGAAAGCCGTCGGGCAACATTGAAGCTTTGCGAGCTCGACGAAGTGAAACAGGCAGAGATATTATCTTAGAGAAAATGTCAAACGTCAACGAGACGATTCGTTAAATTATTCTTTCTCGAGCAGCTGGAAGCGGAACTTCTTCTTCACGTGAGATCTCTCCTTTTTATCTTTCGCCGATTTCTTCCCGTGTAATCGAACTAATACATACATCGTATAACCCGTTCCCAGACAGAACAGAAAATTGTGATGACGTCAAAATGACATCAAGATGATGAGAAAAACTCATTTTTTCATCATGATCCGGTCATTTCCTCGTCATTTTGATGTCATCATGATTTTCTGTTCTACCTACGGGTGTCAGTATGAAGATATATACCTTGCACAATGACTCTCAAGACACGACTGAGTCCGTTCACCGCCGAGTCACTGCATCGTACGGGTATCGATGATTTTTCCGTCGATGAATCTCACCCGAAACACCAATTACATCCGGACGAACTGTAGAAATATATAAAACGCGATTGAAATCGGGGTCGCAACGCGTAGGGAGAGCTGACACGGGGAGAGACGCGTCGTGAAATTTCTCTGTCGATTCTTTTTCGAGGGCGAATCGATATAGCACCAATTGCTTCGCAGGTGCGACGTACGATTGTATTGAAACAAACTCAACAAAATAGGAGAGTCGAGATAAACGAGATCGATCTTTTTTTTCCCTCTTTCTCTCTTTCTCTCGCCTTCTCCGTCTTATGTCTTGCCGACGTGAGCGCGAGGATCGACAAGTGACTTATGCGACTTCACCGACAACACCAAATCCAAATCCGAATCCGTATCCGCGCGGAAGTGAACACTCGAACGACAGTTTGCTTCGGTTCACCTGAGTTCACCTAGCAGAAGTACAAGATACGTCGCGCGACAGCACAGAGCGGTATGAGTCACGATGCTTTCACAGCGGAGCTTTTACGGCGAGCTTTCTTACGACGCTTTCGCACGACAATGCCATAATGGTTTGCCTACTTGGAAACAAGTAGAGGTCGTAAGAACCACATGTTGTCATGGATACAGCGCAAGCGCTCATTTCCTACTCGTGCTCGTGTATCCCTACACGTACTTTGCATACGGTCGAATTAATGGGCGCGTACGTGTGTGTAAGTGAGGAGCCGCGTGCGTGTGCGTGTGTCGTGTAGGGACGTAATGTACAGGTTCAATGTCAAGTTTCTATCGGCTCGACTCCGTTCACGAAGGGAGCTCGATGGGCAAATAGCGCGAGGCCGCTGAGAATGCGAAGCGCGCTCGAAATAAAACGAATTAATCGCACTCGAGATGTTCGCTAATCTCGACGTAAATTAAATCTCGCGGTGAAAACTTTCCACGGCGAGGGGAGACGCGATCGGCGCGATTTCGTACCTTCGAGGAATACGTTTGATCCGTCGTCATTTCTCAAACGCTATATACGGGGATATTTGTTTAATTGATCAGTCGGTATTGCGTATGTTGCGCGTAGCGATGATGCTTGATGATTGCGTGGAAAGCGCAACAAAGAGCGAAAGTGAGGGCAACGATCGAGTATAATGGATGGCGCTTCGTTGTACCGATATGTTGATATATATATCTCTCTCTCTCTCTCCTTCTTTCTTTCAGTTTTCCCTCTATCGCATTCGTTCTTTTTAACGTCGCGTGAAATTCGGTTGAACTTGAAAGAATTCTCAGCCAGTCGGAGAACGACTATCGCGTATCGGAAGTTTGCTTCTAATTGGACGATTAAATGCAAATGAACGATTCAGACTTTTGGCGCAACTCGCGCGACAGTCGGAAACAGTTTGAAGAACAATCTCTCCTTTATTGCTCATTTATTATAACGTAAACTGGTGGAACATGCGCATGTGCCTCCGTGGGAGCCATCACGGTCACGACAGATGTCTCGATGCCTCTTTAACGTATTACGTAGAAGCAGGAGCATGTCGGCCGTTTAACACGCGGAGCTAATATGAAATTTATGTTCTCGTTTTATAATCGATCGAGAAACGTGTACGAGCGAACAATAACGAGGGGGTATTCACGGTAACACGGGTTTAAGAACGTCTAAATTCTGTATATGTCTTTGCCCGTACTTTACCTGAGTCTAAGCGCCAACTACGTACGTACTTGAACTTTCTAGCTCGAACTGTAACTGTACCGAACTATAACGTGTCGTCGACGAATATCACGTTTCTATAAACATGTCGTTCTAATACCGGCTAATGTCGTCCGTTTAATCGACTTTCTCATCGTGTAATTTCCAAGCAGCTAAATAGTGCAGCGTCGTTCCGGAAAAATCGCGAGAGCTCGTTCAGCTGCCTTTCGTGCTTCGTGTTCTTGGTCGCATATATTTTGTGGTCATTGATGAATTTTTCACTCTTCTACACGAAGATAATTGCGATTTTAATGCTAATCGGCGAAAGAGTCGCGGTCGTATGTAAACTCGAATCAACTTAAAACCCATGACGCGTCTTGTTGACCCAAATTTTTCGACTGTCCCAAGTAGATGATAATACGCGTCGCTAAATTATACAAAAAGAGATTATGTCGTGCAGGCGACGATTTAATCAATCAGAACGGATTATTCCTTTTTTCCCCAAGACGACGGTCTTGAAATACAATGGCGAAAGAGACTTTTCATCGTTCGATTTTTTTCGCGAATGTCACAATTTTGCCATCATTTGCGTACAATGCAATTGCGTGTTTTTATTTTGTTTTTTTTCACGAAATTATTATTAGTTTATTTTTCTTTTCTTTCACGAAAAAATTGGATCGCCGATCGATGCATAATTTGGCCACTTCACATACGGCATGACCGCATATGACAAACTCTAATCGATGCTAATTCGGTGCATCGATAATGTAATAAAAAGGAGAGAGAGAAAGAGAGAGCATAGACAAAAAGCTATTAATAATTCTAGATGCTTACGCTTAGATATTCGGCTTTCCAATCGAGGACTGACATATGAAATGACATACGTTGTGACATTTATTATTCACTTTACGTAGACATCGTAATTTGAAAGCCTTTTGTTATTGAATAGACTTGAGAAGTAGTCCGTGTATATATCTATCTTTAATAACTTATTTACTCTGAGTTTTACTTTATATTTGGTTAATCGACTTCTTGTCGTAGAGTTATAATATTGCAGATTTTTTAAGGAATTGTTTAATGTGCATTGGTATAGAGAATGCCAACAACTCCATCCCGAATTGCATTGTATTTTATTAAAGATTCGTTGGTGAACCGACGGTATAATGTCGCGCCAATACTGATGTAATCAAAATATGAATATACATACATATATGTGTTATATATATATATACATATATATATAATTGTTAATATGGATACATAAATAGGAGTATCGTTTTCAAGGCATCACGTTATGAATTTGCAAGGCGACATGCGAATGCGAAGCAATATAAGAGTCCGATCGACTTACAATGAATATTTAATAGATACGTATTATCGGTACTGTTTCGAGAAATTATACGCTTGTGTAAAGCTATCTAACCCGCTTTACTATGCTCCGACCGAAAGCATAGGACAATAGTATAAGTACTGTCACATCGGTCCAATTGAAACTTAACGAGAAATTGATGGTTCATGACACATGATTATTTAAAACACGGTACTTGTGCAAAAATCACAAATTTGTATCTCTTTGTATAACATGATAATGCAACATATCTATTGTTATTAAACTTCGCTCGAGAAAATGTGTAGAACGTATCTGCACAACGTTGCGAGAGAGAATGAAAGAGAGAGGGTGGAGAAAAAAAGCGAGGAGAGAGAGAGAGAGGAAAGAAAGAGAGGGAGAGAAAGATGTTTAAAGGTTTTCAAATCGTTTGTATCTTATATCCTCTTTTAGCTATCGAACATTTTTTTCAAACTTTTGTCACGACAAATTTAAATTATTTTATGGTGTGATTAAGTACATTGCAAACACAGAATAATGGATAGAGTTGTCTTTCAATCACAGATGTTTCAGTATTCTTCGTTGTTACCGAGTAAACACAAAGTATAACTATTATATTACATAGAAGCAATGTAAGAAGCATGTAATATAATTGCGTAGATATCTATTCCACATGTTTGGAATAGATTGATTTTCGCATCTAGATATCATAATGGGCTCTTTTAGACGCGACTAATAGATGTCTTGTAGATACGTCCACAAGACGTCTTCTGTAATCCAATGGATTGTTAAATCCATATTAAACCATGCATTAAAAATTAAAATTGGAAATTGAGATTTGTTCAATCAGGATAAATTTCAGCTCCTTTTGTTTTGATTGACCAAATTTCAATCTTCAATGCATAGTCTGATAAGGGTTTTACATACAATGAGTTAATCTGAATCTACAATGAATATACTAAGCTTTTAACCTTTGGTTTTGTGCCCTAAATTTTTGTCTTTCCAGCATTTTTCATACTACTACAAGAGCTGGAATTTTGAGAGTTCTTACTTATGATTTATGACGTTGCAAAATATGCTTAAAAAAAATTTTTTAATTATATCAAAATTTTGGATATAGCTAAAGGTTAAAGGCTAATTATTGCCAATATATCCATTGCAAACTCATTTTAGATTTGGACTTATGACTTCAGCATACAGATTGTCATTACATTGTGCGTAATAAGAAATAAAGTTATAATTAATTTACTTCTATAAAAGAGATAATCAACTTAACAACTAGTTTTAGTAAATAATAATAGTGATATATGATTGAAAAAACTACAAATATATTTATTTCTTTTTTTCTTTTAGTATTTTAGAGTATTTTTGTACAAAGTAAAACAAGACAGTACACTTACATTGATTAAATTCATAGATTGAAAAATAAGGCATTAAATCAATAACATTAATCTTATGTTGAAAATAATCACTAAAACTTTCTTGGTTAGATATTTCTTAATCAAAATATGAAAGACAAATATTAAATATTAAATAAGTTAACAAATTTTATAGGATTAATAGATTAAAAAATAAAACTAAACTTGTTATTAATAAAACAACAGTTTATCTTAAATTACTTATTTTTCTTGGTAGTGATACGATCAACAAATTATAAAACAAAAATAAAATGAAAATAGCCATTAATAAAAAAAAGCAACAGTTTATCTTAAATTACTTAACACTTTTTTCTTTGGTATTTTGTATAACCTGAAGGATTTCAATGCTTCACTGAGATCACTTTCTTCAAGCTTTAACAATAGTATACCTGAAAAATTAATAAATGTACGTATTGAGAAACATCAACACTTTCTAATAAAATGAATTAAATAAATGAATTAACAAATAAGATGAATAAATAAAAAAATTAACTCAATAGAAAAAAATTCTGTATAACCAAAAACATGAGTGATAGGCATGAACTTTAGTATAATTTGACTTTAAAGTATAAGCAGTACAATCACATTGCAAGAAGCATAATCAATTGTCCTTGAAAAACAAACAGTTTACTGGTCTCTCTTCATTTATCTTGATTTTTATTCAATGTTTCCCAGACATATATATATATATATATATATATATATATATATGGTAATTATTTAAAAGACGGGCCTCACCTTGGATTTCGCTCAAACTCACCTATCTTGTGTATTTTGACGTGTAGAAGCCGAATCTGCAAGTAAAAATGGTCGCTCGGCTTTAGTTTGCGAGAAATAAATAGTTAAAAAGTGACACATGCGAGGTTAGGAAATCTGTCATGTCGGTAATACAGAGACTTATGGTCTGTTCTTTTTAGTCGAAAAGTGTAAAATAGTAATATATATTGGGGTGGGGCGAAGCCCTCTCCCCAAAGACATTTTCATATATTAAACATATGAATTTTTAGCTCATGTATCAGTGGTTATTACACAACAAAAATAACCACTGATACATGAGCTAAAAATTCATATGTTTAATATATGAAAATGTCTCAAACGTATGTATACAGTACCAACATGTGTACACACACACACACACACGGGTGCAAGGGGGGCCTTCGGCCCCCCCACCCGCACCCCCGTTCGATGTGTGTGTGTGTGTGTGTGTGTGGTGATGCTCATATACTTCGTGCAGTTTGTTCGTGTCGTTACATTCAGTCCATCTGACAGGATTCATAACCTAAACTGTTATCTGCTTTAACGCTTAACATCTCGCTTCGGAAGGCAGAGCGACGATTTTGCTAGAGGAAAAAGTTGTTTGTTTTGCAAAAACGCGTTGAATGAGCCTAGTTTCATCAAAATTGGTGATGATGTGGCTAAACTGAATAATTACCAAATTGTAAATATTCACAGAAAATATGCCAAAACGGTGCGAAATCGTTGGTTGCCCGAGTGCTGCAAAAGAGGAAAAGCAATACAAGAAGCATCTTTTCGAGTATGTGTAAAAGAAATATAATACATGTTTAAAAGAATTTACACTTGAAGATTAAATTACATTAATTTAATATATATGATTTAGATTCCCACGGATAGAAAGTATAGCAGCAAAATGGATTAAAGCAAGTGGAAAGACTAATTGGACACCAAATAAAGCTAGTGCGGTGTGTGAAATACATTTTAAGCCTGAATATTTTAACAATACAAAAATACGAAAACGTTTAAAGCCAGATGCAATACCCACGAAACATTTGCCCTTTAGCTGTATGATAAACGAAAGTAAGATTTCTGTATTAATAATATTTACATATTGTTTACTATATATTTTATATACTGCAAATATTTTATTATTAGTTTACAGAATTATCTATATATTACAATAAATATGTACAAATATATACAAAAACCCAAATGCAATATAAGCAATAACATATGACACAATGAAACATGAACATGAAACTTAATGTTTATATCTTAATTTAACAAACATAGCAAATGAGGTTATTTCTACTGAAGATAGTGGTGATATGTACAGGGTATGTGGACAGTTACAAGGTAAGGATCTTAATTTTATATTTATGTAGTTTGATTTCTATTGAAGGTTATTTGATATTTATTTGCAGAGACAGAAGAAACAGAGTATATTATAACAGAAATGGAAGTTACGCAAGATATGAATATTGATGTACAAAATATCACATTCATTCTAGACATAGGTACATACACATATTAATATATATTAATATAAAGTTTAAAAAAATAAAATCCCTTATTTACTGAATATAGATGCTACATACTGATGTTCTGATTGCATTTGTTCAATATGACTTATTTTCACAGATACAGAAAAGGCATTGTTAAATGAAAGTAGGAAATGGAAAGCTTCAGAGGAATTGGAAAACTTGAAAGTAAAAATGCAGAAAATGGAAGAAGAAAATAAAAGATTGAAGGCTGACATAGAGTCGTCAAAAGAACAGCACGAAAAAGAATTAAATAGTCTAGCAGATATATTGAGAAATATTAACGAAAAAGAAAAAAAGAAGTATCAGGAAAAATTAGTAACTAAAGATAAACTAATAAAAACATTGCGGATACAAGTAACACGAAAAAATAGCTAACTTGAAGATATGTTAATGACTATGAAAAATATGAATGTATTAAATAGTACCTCAAATGACATTTTAAATAATGACTTTGGAGAAACATCATCTATACTATATTATTATGTATACTATATTATTAATTAACATGTTCTCCTATACTTGCAATAAACTTATAAAAACTTTTATCAACACACTGCACACTTTTATTGAATTAAATTTTAACATATATATTAATATTAGAGGAAAGAAAAAACACCTTATTGTTTTTTATTGAACTATTTTTTAATTAAACACCTCATAATTTTGCATAGCATACAACTTCACTTCATATTATTTGTTTAACACGAGATATAAAGGTAGAGATCCATTTCACGCTCACAATGATTGGGACATCATTCTATTTTCATTCAACATATGAGAAACAAGATTAGGATAACGTCGCAATCGTTGGAAATATTAAATTGAGTACGCCTATAGAAGTATATAACTGTTTACTGCGCATCCCTTAGTCCGTATTCTGCGCAAGTTGTACATACTTTTTGGCAACAATACGGCCCCTTGCACAATGTCAGGCAACAAGCAATAAGAATAAAAATCACCAATCACATAATAAATATAAATATAATAAGACCAAAATAAGAATAAAAAGACCAATCACAATCGACTATTACAAGAATAATCAATTGTGATTGGTTTATTTTAATTCTTATTGCCTGTTGCCTGGCATTGTGCAAGGGGCTTAATACCTCGTCTACAATAGAAGTCGTAGAGTCGTAAGTCGTAGAAATTGACCAATCATAGTCCGGTAAGAGAAAAATAATCGACCGCGATTGGTCAATTTGTGCGACTTACGACTCTATGACTTCTATTGTAGACGAGGTATTAAAGGGACGCAGTTAGCGGTCTATTAGCGGTGTATTATATAGAAGTCTGTGGTGCTGGCAGTGAATATCGGAACGCAACTTTTAAGCCCGGTCCAGAATAGGTTGCAAACACTCCAGTTGCGAGTTGCGAGACAACGATAACGAAACTGTCGTTAACTCCAATAACGAGTTAAATAATAGCACCATTGAGAAAAACCTGAGAGCGGCCAACACGGTTTTCGGCGATACTGACTTTCCGCACTGAGAAAGGACGCCATTTGCATCCATTTTGAGAGGGGAACTATGATGTTACATCCACTTTCAAGTTTGGTGGTAAAATCTGCATGTGGTAGAAGTCCGTGCTTCATCTACTTTCAGGCGGTTTATGTCCATGCTGCAACCACAGTTGCCATCTCTATGCCAGACTATGCCCGGTGGTTTAAAAAGAGCGCGGGGGGAGGGGGGAGGAAAAGGAAAAATAAAAGTACGTATTAAATGTTAAATCTTCGAATATATATTGCCGTATCAAAATCTCTTCTATAATAAACAATTTGACATGTATGGAGACGCTTGATGTATCGTTGGCCGCGTCTCGTTCCCTTCGTTCTGCTTCTCAATTCAGCATCCCGTCCGCTCCGGACATTCGCTCGTGGCACTGACACTGATCGTCGGTGAGCGTTCGATCCGCTTGGAGGAGCTCCGTGTTAATTAACGCGACGAGATTCCGATTATAAATATCTCGCGAGTCGACGAAATATCTGAACTTTTATAAAAAGCACCAAAGAAAATCACGTTGATGTTGTCATGGGTGAAATCTTACTCTAGTATATATTTTTTTATTTTCAAAATAAAAAAGCCAAACGGAGACAATTAAATGTTATTTACCATCATTGAATATTAGATGAAAAGTAGAAGAGTTATTGTCCGCAGCGGATAATCTAACATTTGATAAGAACGAGAAAAATCTGCATGGGATGAAATTCCACTCTTTAACGCTACCATGAACTTTAATTATTCTCCGAAAACGGCGTCACAACAATTTTCCCAGACAATACACGGATGTCCACTGGACGTCCGTCCAGTTATATGTCCATTTTTTTTACAAAAGACGTCCATAGGACGTACGTTTGTCACAACTTCGGACATAGGACATACGATGGATGTACATCGGACGTCCTACAGGTCCGATGTCCAATAAGGACATCCTTGTTACGTCTAATTTATGTCCACGAACGTAAATCGGACTTACGGACATAAATTGGACGTGAAACGTACATCCACTGGATGTCCGGTGCTGTCTGGATTGACACTCTGTACAATTAGTTGCTAACACATTTTCTAATCGTACACATTCCTTTTTAATTAACATAAAGCTAACAAATATCCGATGCTTCGACAGAATAATTTTTTTTATTTCCAGTAATCAATAAATAGTAAATCAATGTCGCGAGTTGAAAGGTCTGCTCGCATTCCCCTCGTCGTTCCGGAACCTTCGAGAAAAGAAGAGACGCCTAAGGACAAGTCTCTCTTGCTTCAATCGCCGCCGAGGCCCGTAATGTTTACATCGCGCCGATTGTGTTAATCGGCTCGCGAGCGACGACACTTTTTGCCCTTCGTATTAATACTCGCGCGCCTCGCGTATTCAACCTCATTTCATCAGCAGCAGCCGTGCGCGACGTGCTCGTCACTTCCGTTTCGTGTAATTAAAAGAAATATATCTCGCCGGTCCTCGAGATACTTAATCCGCATCGCGTCGGCATCGTGTTCATTAACCGGTCGAATCACGAGTATCGGCATTAGAAGTGTGAGCGAGTGAAATCCGGAGGACTTCAGCAGTCGGGAAGCAGAAAGCCGGCAGCGATACGTCACGTTTCCAGGTATATGGATTCATTTATTATGCGGGAAGTCTCCGATAACGAGAGCGGACGTTTGACAAATTTTCCGGGAATAAGAAGTCGGAATTTCACGCTCGGCATTCACAATCCGTCATCATCCGACTAGTAATCATGACTTTATGAATCTGCAATTACTCTTGTCAATCTCTATCTGTTTCGAATTATCAAAGGCGAATATCGGTGTGTACTGTTTCGTCAAAAGTACCGAAAGCAAATTTCGTGCATTTGTCATAGCGAAGTATCGTCCAGTAGTCGAAAGTAAGTAATTAACGAAACCGGATTGTCGGGAATGCCGAGTGAAATTACGCACTACGCACGTCCGTGTAAATGCCTCGTCGATTTCTAGAACTCACGCCGCCGCGCGCTTACCCAGACGACGTGTCGTAGAGAACCATATTTACTTCCCCAAATTTTTACTTACTCTCTACGCTATCCGAAAAGCTATATTAATCTGGATTTTAGAAAAATTAGACATATGTTGATGTTAAATGCCTTATCCATAATATTGCCTAATACCAAATTTTTTTGTGAAATTTTAAAATCAATTTCTATGAAGTTTTAAATGGATTTATCGGATTTGTCTCTGGTGAGGCAACAGTAGAAGAGAATATGCTCCATGTCCCTAGTTTCATAGAAATATTGTCCCTAGTTGCATCAGAGAGAAGCCTGAGAGTGGCCACTGGGTTAGATTCCAGAGTATGCATCTTTCGACGCGCTATCTGAGAAAGTGCATACGAACTACATCTGTCCTGATGGTAAAACCAAAATGCGTACGATTCTCGTCTGTTCTACTTTCGTACAATAATAGCAAGTTAGAAAAGCACAGACTCGTTCTGTCTTTGTCTCATCAACGATGAGCAGACCGTGCGGTGGTAGACAAGTCAGCGGCGATCTTATCGCCGTATAAGTTCCTTCCTCATCCTATCTCTTATTTATCTTATCTTTAACGCAATGTGTTATCTGCAAATCGGGAGAAAATCTTTCGAGATCGCGCGGACAATTTCTAGCAATGATAACGCCAATAAGTGTAAGCATTTTTTATACTCTATTATGAACATACGCACACGTGTGCACATGTGTAAATATTTTTACAATTTTCGACAGATAAAAAATATATTTTATATAAAAATAAAAAGTAGGAGAACTATTTCGATGATATTTTGTATAGTATAACAAAAATACATGATCAGGCTGGGTCTTTATTTCAAGAATAATTCAGGACACTTTGTACATCGTGATATTAGAACACTTTGTCGGAATATGATAATATGATTACTGGCGACGTATGATATTTGATATGTGATTAATATTTTAAAATCTTTAATGAGTTCCGTGGCTCGTTGAGATTGTGCAAAATGTAAGTCATCGTCCTTTCGGCTATGCCGCGTACTGAAACAGAAACGCGGATGGCGTGCGGATGGGTATCAATCTTTGATCGCCGCCGCGATCTATCACGACGTAATAATCGCGTCCGTTGATGCAGTGTTTTTTCCCGTGAATGATATTATGCGGAACGTTCGGATACGGTCTCATGTTTCTCTTCCCATCTTGCTTCAAATTGATCTGGCTGTCGAGTAAATGATTTTTACTGATATACACTAGTTCTGGAGTAGCAACTGTTTTCGACTGTCGCTTCGGTTTGCAGCAGCTGAAAGTGGTGCAGTCGCAACATTTGCCGGTTGCTTTTCGTCGCTTGTAAATGTTTGTGGTACATCTCATTATTAGCTCGATGAAGAAGATCATCGACGCGATCGCGTATCCGGTGATTACGACTTTGTAAGTCAGGGACAAGTCGGAGTTCGTCAATTGCCGTTCGGTGGAGCGAAGATCCACCGGGCATACTTCCGCGAGCGGTAGATCTCTCAGTTTCGCGCGTTTTATTATACCGGACTCCACCAGAGCCATCAGCCTGCAACACGTTTGATAAGTAAACATTAAATTAATTACATCGGTGAAGAATAGTTTCGGTAGTTTCAAAATCTATCTAAGTAATAAATTCTTAATAATATTTGAGTAGTAAATATCGTGCAGTTTAAATCACATCATATACTCAACTACTTCAGGATGAGCCGCGCAATTGGGACGGGTTATATCTCGAGTTTGATTAGTAATATAAAAAGATTGTAGAGAAGAAAGTTAAATGGAAAAGAAACACCTCATAAATTGTTTTTGTATGTTTTTCATTATACAATTGAGGTAGTCACTATTTATATTAATGTAATTTAATTCGTTCTTCGAGTATAATTCGTTTAACGTGTTGTTGATTTTTCTTACATTATACACTTTTCACGCAGGTTGTTTCGACAGATCGATCTATGTAAAAAAAGTGCGTAATTCCATTTAAAAAGAGAGTTCATTTTTTAAGTACATTGTTATTTTATGAAAGAAAACTAAACTAGGCAGGTAGGAAAGTAGGCCTTTCTATATCATTCAGCTTTTCCTCTACAATTTTTTTTTATATTTCAGTATATTATTGTAAAACTAAACTCGAGATATAACCTAATCCCAATCGCCTGGCTCATCCTATATAGATACACTCATTAGTTTACGCTCTTATTTTTATTCGATTTTTTATTGCGAAGTTTGATGCTTACTCCTTGTTGATCGGTTTTTCTAAAGAAGATCCTAAAGGGAAGGCGAACGCTCTGCTGGTGACAAGAATCGTGCTAGGCATAATGACGTATGTACACTTTTTCTGATGCTCCAGATGCAGCCGGGTTTTATTGATGTAATCCTCGAATATCAGGGTCTGAAGGTAATGGGCTTCCGCGAGGAATAGTTGATCTAAAGATTAGCATCGTTTTACTCTTGTTTATCATTAAACCCGTATTCATAGTCAGGCCTTATCTCTGAGGCCTCCTTATATCCATCTTTAGATGCTGCACGGATTATTTTATTGGCTACAGACCATCTGAAGATAAACTTAAGGAAGCCTTAAATATAAGGCCTAACTATGAATACGGGTGATAAGCAAGTTGTGAGTTTTGAGCGGACGGTACTACTTACTCTTATCGACGGCTTTGAGAATAGCTTCAACTGGATGTTCATATGCCGTGATATAGTGGCCTTTCCATCTCGTAGAATTCAACGGAGTCAATTCGTCCGGGTGATACTGAAACCGATGAAACGCTTTATTCAGTAATTATCTTGGTAAATTTTATCGCATTCCTACCTTTCTAGGACCTTCGAGTCCTACCTTTCTAAGTTAAAACAATATATATATTTTAATCCTTCATTCTTTTTACAGTACTAGTGTCATTTGTTATTTAATAATATCATTTGGTAATAAGACTGAAGAATAATAATTAATCCATTAGCTTTCTCGTAAGTTTTTGTGTTGTAAGCTTTTAATGAAAGCTGCCACAAATACCTACCTGAGTGATCAAATACTCGATTGTGCGTCCTTTGTAAGTGACCCAGTGATAACCTTTGCGCGCTATATCATTTAGAGAATTGATCGGCAAGGTGAATTGCGGCCTTGTGAGGAATGCGGTGAGATTCGCCGTGTAGAAGGACGTCAGTATCAAGATGAACACCCACCACGTGGCAAATAGAATTCGCGTTGAGTCTGCGATAAATTTGCGAACCGAGCAGAGATCCGTTTCGATAACGCACAGTAATGATAATGCAAGGTACTAACGAGCATATGTCCGCGTATTTATCGCTCTCGCGAGTTATCGCGAAATAAATTGCCACTTTGACTGTCAGTAGTCGTATATAAATCACACCTGCATTTCTTTGAAAACTCAACGGCATTCGAACACAAGGTCTCGTTTCTCACTTTATTTTCATTATATTAATGCACACGAATCGTAGAAGTACGAGTGTTGTTTAATTAAAGCACAATCTTTATTCAGTTGTTGTCTAGCGCGAGTGCCACAACTCTCACAGATGTCGTTATCCGCGCGATCGTAGATATTCAAAACGTAAATATTAAAAATCTATACAACAGTCTCGTACCTGTTGTTGCAGCTATGTTCGTTCCCTGCTTCAACAAAGAACTGTACACAAACCACATACAGGAAAACAGGTTATAATTCTCCGAGTTAAGATCGTTCCACAATTTCGCCCTGCAAAATCAATGATGACATCGACGAGTATTACGGGACTTCGTTCCCTCATAGAATACGCTTTTGATTTATGATTTTCTGATTTTTGATTTATGATTTTTTTTGTCAACAACATTCGACGAACCTAAACGTGGCGAAGACGTAGATAATCGGTCCTACCGAGAGCACCGCAGCCAGGACCAATAACCAGACAGTTTGGTGGAACGGTGCGAGCAGTCCCGAACCGGTTGCTGATTCTTGCGGTCGTTTCATCAAAGCTGTTAGTTCGCCCTGGTCCAAGGCTGTGCTGAACGTGCAATATTTCCGCAACTCCGGCAAAGTCGGCAAGAAAGCCACTGCCATGTCCACCTTCTGTTCGAACGGGAACTTTCTATGTTTTCTTTCTCATCGATTATTTGATCTACTTTTATTCCCTTTGACGGAAATTTCACTTATGTTTGGTCGGAGAAAGAGCGAATAAACTTTTGAAAATGTCCAACCCCAGATTGCTACGAATTTCAGAAAATACTTCAAATGATGTCAAACGAATGTCCTCGAGTGGATTTCCACCGATAACAATGTTTAATGTAAAAAAAAATGTTAAGTTAAATATTTTACATATTTAAATAAAATATGTAAAAAAATATTTAATTTAAATTAAATATAATGTAAAATTATATATCGCCACTCGTATTATATTACTTCGCCAGGTGAATATATTTGTTAAATTTTCGTCTTACTAAATGGATGAATCTGTAATGTACTAAAAATAATGGATTTCGAGAAGATTAGCTTATAAATAAGATCTCTATGTAGGGTAGGATATTATGAATCAGAAGCAAAAGCATCATAGCATGTGTTGCTGCCGTTAAGCAGTAAACGTCAAAAGCAAAGAACCGTATAAATTTAAATAAAAAATATACACATAAATTATATAATTATTCATAGAGTTATTTGTATTGAGTATATTATATAGAGCATCAGTAACTTGTAATTCTAAACTTTAAATTTATTATATAAATAAAAAATATATAAATGAAAAAGAACTTAACCCAAATTTACATCTAACAAAGTAGTATAATACAAACAACGATATATAATTTACACATTTTTGGCATTAAACATTGTTATCGATGGAAATCCATTTGAGGACATTCGTTTGATATCACTTGAAGTATTTCTGCCAAAATTCGTGGTCAAAATCTGGTGTTGGATGTCTCCAGACGGAAGATCATTCGGAAAAGTTAATGGAACACGCGGAAGAGAAATTAATTATCTCCCTTTCTTAAATCGCTCAACAATTCAGACCCAAAGTTTACGCGTATCAAAGATATCCACCAGCATTGGATAGTAATTAAGGGCGACAGCTCGGAGTGAAAAATATCTTACCTTCTCGTAAAGTAAATTCACTATTCCGCTGTCCTTGTTGCCTAGAATGTGCTGTTTCGGCGGCACAATGGTGTACGTGAAATTTAATTTGGAACTGAGCAACTCGAGTAAATAAAACGCGTAACCTTTTCCCACCCACGTGCCGTTCTCCATTGCTAGGCCGGAAAATGGCATGTCCTGTAACAATTCCATTTAACTTGGCGTCTATGGTTGGTGCTGTTTTAATTATTGCATCTTCGTACGTTCATTATCATAGCGTATCGCGATCGTTTCTCACGTAATTAGAGTACTACTCGAACATATCTTTATTCCAATGTTCGATATTGACTTGCTTGAACGCGTTGACGGACGTTTATGAAGATTGCAAGATGTATGTCGGTAGATATATTAGCGAAGAAATGTGCGTGTTTATTAACAAACACGATACTCACATAACGCGAGAGGCCTAACAACACACTAGATTGCCGGTTACCGTTCTCTGTTTAGCCGTGTCATGCGAGACATGCAATGTCATCGTGAAGAGACTCTTCGATTTTCCACTATGCGGTCTCTCTCGTTGCAGTTATTATGATTATTATATTATTTCCCTCTCAATTTAAACCCTCTATCGAGCATCGTAAATTCTCAACGTTTTTCTTTGAAATATGAGATGCACAACGATTCGGAGCACAAGATGAGCATAAAACAATAATATAGCAGTATTTAAATGCGGAGATGCAAAGGGAAAACGAGAACGTCCGGGTATTAGATAATATGCGCTTTCTTTCTGCGAAGAAACTCGAATGTTTTTGCGCCGCATTCTGACCTACTGCGATCATTGATTCTCTCTCAAACGTTCTGGCATTTACATGCTATTCAGGATAACACATGGTTGCAGCCACATTCGCGGTCGTAAATTGTACTTAGAAAATTGCAGCGTACGGCGTTTTTACGGCGGAAAAGTGGCTCTCGTTATTGGTACTTATGAAGTATATTAAACTATTTAAGCGAAATTATATCAAAACGCAATAAATAGTATGTGAAAATAATTTGCTAATTTTTTATTATTTTTTTATTTTCAAAAGTAATTTTTCACTTTAACTATGAAAAAATTACGAATGGCTAGGTGGCTTAACATTAAGCTATCAAGTCATTGCAAAAACAATATATATATAAATAAATAAAAAATTAAGAAACTTCAAATTATTTCCTTTTTTTGCTATTACCTACATATAACAGAAATTATTTTGTTAAATTATTTTATTATCAATAGAATTAATGTTCAAGAAGAAAAAAGTCATTAAGGAATTAGTTACTTGCATGGTTATGACATAAAATATTTCTTGAATTACTTATTCCAAATATCAAAATGTTTACTTGCGAAATAAATTTTAGAAACGATTGATTTCGTGCAATCGAAACTACCAGAAACAAAATTCATTAAAGAAATGTGTTGCTTATATGATATGATTGGAATATCAAAATGTTTCTTAAATTATTTGCTTTTTAAAAACAAAAATAATTAAAAGCTTTCAAAAATTATTAAAAATAATTAAAATTGAAGAAAATTTTTTCTTATTGATATCGCTTATCATTCTATTAGCTGAAGAATTAGAATTGCTAAATATTTGTAATTAATATTGTCTTCGACTGACATGGATTTAAATTGTTTTGACAATGAGAAATTTCTCTTTTTTGTAATTTTAGTTGTGCGAAACATTTTGATGTCACTATCATGTGAGCAACTTATTTATTTAATGAATTTTGCTTTCGAATATCGCATCAACAATAAAATGATTTAACAAAACATTTTTATATGTAAACGGTAGTAAAAAGTAGCAAATTAATTGAGATTTATTAATTTTTTGCTTTGACTCGTGTGTACGCTATTTTTATAACTTAATTTGAGTAACCTTAATGGTTGAAGTAAAAAAGTTACTTCTGAGAAATTACTCTGAAAGCAAAAAGTTCAGGACCTCCAGATATTTGGGAAGCAAAAAATGAGCAAATTATTTTCATGTATAATTTATTGTGTTGATAATTTGGCTTAGATAGCTTAATATACCTGAGATATGAATCACGTGCGATGTTTCACGTTTCGCGTGTTGCGTTCAGCTTTTTCGCTTAGGAAGAACGTAAAAGTAGGCCGTTTTGGCGTTTTGATCAATAAATCATACGATGGATCGTCGCTTCTGACATGCGAGGGGTTGAGTCGTGCTGCTTTTTTTGAATAGTTTTTTGAATATATATCCTTTGTAATTACCAGTCTGAGCCAGACATGCGTAGGGACTGAAAAGCTTATTGATTGACATAAACTTACAGTTTATTATCATTAGAATTTTTCATATTATATATCATTATACTTAATCTTTGTAATTTTTGCAATTTCGAAGTAATTATAGTTGTCCGTTAAAATGTTACAAACGTAGTCACAAATCCCGCGGAGAAAATATATGGATAATTCTGCCATAATAAAGGTATCGTCAATATTTCTTCCATGGAGAATACGTGAAGTTATACCATGACATTTGCATCGTTATTTACGCGTCGTCAAATGAACTCGTAAAAATGTGCACTTAACGGTTCCATCAAAGGAGCGATAAAACTAAGCGAACGCGTGAGCTCGCGTTCGTAGTTATAATGTCCGTGTTATCAACGCGACACTACGAAAGATTTTAATTAATTTCCAATTTGCCACTAAAATTATTTAATCACTGCGAAATTATTCGAAATTTGAACTTTTCATTATCATCAGAGTATGAATATATATTCGGAACAGATGTGCTCTCAGTTAACAATTGAGCAGACTACAATTCGAATATCCCGTCTAATCGGTTGACTAATTACGAGACGTAAAATTTAGCAAATCTCTTTGTTGAATGGATAAGTCATCCCGCTGCGCAAATGACATTAAGTTATGCTGAGGTCGCTGTTGCGTCAAGGAAAAGCAACGAGTGCCGGGCAAACTAAATAGAAGTAGTCCTTATTGGCTTCGTTATTATGTTTGTACGCATTCCTTTAGCGAGGAATAGTCGCGCGAAATTTCGAGATATGTGCAAATATAGACGCAAGAACGAGAACGTTTCTCTGTCAGAACTAGCCTTATTTATTTTATCCTCGGAGATCAAAAGTAATATGATGATCATTTAACGCCAGTTATAAACAATGTATTGCGCGTAAGCAATTTATGCTTTATCTCCAAATAAATGTGCGCAATTTTCTCGACGTCCGTAACGCTTATTCGACGTTTAGATATGGGTGTTCTGTGGACGGATAGACGTATCAAAGGTATCGGCAAAATCTTGATTACAATCCCCGTCGGTGAAAATATAACTTTGCGAGCGAGATTGATGGTACATTTTTAAATATAGAAAAGTTTTCGATTTTTTCGTGCGTATTCGAAGGATGTTCCACATATTTTTTTTTTTATTCTTTTTCGACGCGCACACATACGATACTGTGTAGATGTGTAACTGTCAAACTTACGTTCCACGTTGTTATTTTCACTTCCTCGGGTATTGTTGACTCTACAGAATACGGCTCGTCGGTGGTCGTGCCATCTGCAAACACAATGTTGTCTTTCACAAAATTAACGCTCTAATGATACGTCAAATTGCACGAGTATGTATCTTCGGATTTTAGCTCGATAGCGGTTCTACCTTTCTCAAAAATACTATTATTTAGATGTTAATTTTAATATTTACGTACAATTACTGTCATTCGGACGGATAATGAATTCGCGCGTGTTTATTGTATTGCGCGTTAATCACGTTGGTTCACCACGTGAATGGAATAACTTTTCTATGATTTAACAACTTACCGCCCAAACGGAGTGAACTCTCGCGGAACTTTCTCATTATTTAATTTTTTTAAATATTATTTTGAATACAATTGCATTTGTATTTATAGTGCGTGTCTACTTTCATTTTCTATGAGGGTTCGTAATTTTGATAAAAATATTACAAATTATGCAATAAAAATTACGCAATAAAAAAATTAGAATGAGATTAGTTATTTCCTATAGGTTTTTAGATGCGTTGAATACGAATCTGGTTTCTAAATTGCTTCATCACGTCACAATTTTTTAGGAATTTATAGCTCAAGTTGCAAAAAAGGGTTATTTTAACATATTTCATCATATTATAACTATGAACTATATGAAATTTAACATGTTGGAAAAGTTTTATTGGAATCAGAATTAAGTATATTGATCATTCGTTATAATATGATAAAATATATTGAAATAGCTCTTTCCTACAAATTTTAAAAAATTGTGACATAACGGGACAATTTGGAAACCGAATTTATATTCAGCGTTCAAAAATGACTAGTCTCGTTCTTATGTTTGAAAAAAAATCATTTTCGTTCGACTGTGTAATCATTTTGAAGAAGTACTCACTCTGCCCATGGCTGATATGATGATGCGTCGCGAGGATCAGTGTTCCAAATAAAAGTTGTCGGAAGCTGTGCATCCTTCGGTGATATCCGTGACTACATTTTATCGGCATGCATGTCGATCATTGGATCCTGTCTGATTGATCAGATCCTACGTCCGGAAATGCTTCGCTCAATGTGGCATAACCAGCAGCCAGGTGAATCGATACTGACACTTGTCTGGTCATTCTGACCTGGACGACAGCAACGTAGTGACGGACACGTCGTTCCGTGGTATGTCAGTGTGTCACGCGACCGTTGAAGGTATCCAAAGAGGGGCAAAAGGGTGGTAGAAACCCTGACGGTGTCTTGTACGCGCGGGCGCCGTCAACCCTTAACACGTTCCTCGACCATTCATCGGTCATCTTGCCAGAAATTCTATTGGCGCTTGCACTGGCCGTTGCGTTGACTGTTTTCATCGAGAATTCATGTACGTAATTTCAACGTAGATAATGGAAATTTGTGAATTGCAATGCACAATTATATGCATTTTGAGTAATATAAAAATTAAGTTGTTCGAATATTATAAAAATTTGAAATATATATTATAAAAGTTCATACATCAGTCATTGATCTCTCTCGATATTGCGAAATATTTCATAAAAATTAAGTAAAACTACATCCACTTTACACGGAATCGATTAAAACAATATTCTGTTTAAAAATTCCGAGTAACGTATGCTGTGCGCAAAGAAAAGTAACGCATTTCATATTAGTATTTCATGTTAGTATCTATGAGATGAATATCTCACGAAACGTTAATAAGCAGGTAGGACGCACACATCTTTTTAAATACCTGTTTAATGGACACATTTTATTTAATATTTAATTGTGATAACGGATGATTAATCAGCAATATTGAATACTGGGAGAAGCACGTGCATGCATATATGTTTTATCACATAAATCGCATCTAATATTTAACACACAATATTATTTAATTCTTCGTTCTTTTAACGAGTATTATTAAATGTTTGCAAAATTTTGTAAAATGTTAAAGTAATTTTTATTTATTAGTAACAATAAGATGATATTATAATATTTTAATTAAATATTATAAATATTATAAAATTATATAAATATTATAAAATGACTCCCTCACCCTCTGAGGCAAAATCCATTTATCAATCCATTTTCGCATTTTCTCAGTATTTCAGAATTGTGCATCAAATAGACCGTACTATATCGGTTGGAATAGATGAAAATCAGATGGGGTGATGTCTAGAGAGTATGATGGGCGAGGCAGGACTTTCTTAATCGAACTCGAACAACGTCGCAACAACGTCGCAACAGCAACGTTGTTACGATATTCTGGAGATAAATTGGAAGATTAATGTTCGTGGACGAGACATAAGGTCCTCGTGAGGGTGCATTATATTCAGTCGGCTCGAAGGTTGCGTTAAATGTGTGCGATCAATATACGCACCATTAGTAACATTAAGCAAGTAATCGTGTGAGAATCACCCGTCAGAGAAAATTAATAGTGATATTATTAATAGGACGTGCATGTCAGCGTATAATGTCAAGTGGAAATGAGATCATTGAGATTAATCGTCTTTGATACATGTCCTTCTTAAATGCGAAGGGACTTTCATCTAGACAAACCGAAGTAAAAAAATTAATATAAGATAGATTTTGCTTCTCTCGTAAGATATGTGTACCCATAATATTTTATTGCCTCTATAACTGTATATATTTATAAAAAAACGAATACTTTCACGTGCGTGTAAAATGTGATTTTTTTCAGAAGAAAACATTGTTAAGCTAATATTGTACTGGATAAGAATCGTACATCGTCTGTAAGAATGACAATAATAAGATATCGGGCAAATAGAGAACAATCTTTATTCTCAGAACAAATTTCATATTGTTTATTGTTAAGTATATTTAACCCCCTTTAAACCCCATTAAATACATTTAACTGTCAAGTTTATTGTTATTTTGGAAGGGACAAAAATTACCTAATAGTTTGATTATTCACATATGTCTGTCTTATAATTGCCCATTTGATGTACTTTGTGCGTATCTTATATCTCCTTACTTTTCTGTGTAGTTAGATCGTATCTATCGCTATTTATATTAGATTTCGACATCTCATGTCACGACTCTGACTCGTTTTCACATTATCTTACAATCATCGTGCGAGGGAGATTGTTAAAACGAAACAGAAAAGAGAGAAGGAAAATGTTATGAAAGTAGAATGTACGTAGCGCTGTCGAGAAATGCAATCAAGCAAGTTTGGCAGCAATCCAATTAGATTATGCAGTACGATCCATTCTTGAAGCAACAGGAAAGGAGTGGTGCTAGGAAGTTGAGAAAACATGTTTACTATAAAAGCCCATCTAATGTTTTTGATGGTAGTATTTTCACTTTTCGGAGAAAACTCCGGGAAATGTCGGAAACCGAAAGTAATTTGAAAATTTTAAATAGCAACATGGGGCAATATGAGTATTATTGGATATAGCTTTTAGAAAGAAACAACTTCTGCTTGAGAAAAAGAATTTAATGTCACTCGGAAATGAGAAGATAGTTACACATGTTTAAAGCGTCTGCCACCTTGAAGACATCCTCTCCATCCTTTGTCTTTGTCGATTGCGATGTAATCGTTGAATTCCTGAAGCATGTATATTTCTTAACATTTCCGGATTGATTGTTGCAATAATTCATTGCTGCATATTCTCGTCGATGTGGTCGGTAGTTTTTGGTAATGTTTTTTTCCACAAAAAGGCGAGTAGTGTTATATTATTGTTATCATTATTCTGTAGTTTTTCATTCTTGTATATGGTTGAATATTGTGAAGAAACCCCATTAAAGTATTCTCATTGAATAATATGTAAGCAAAGAAATATAGGATGAGTTAGGGTTTTCTTTAGGGAAGGGATACAGAAGGCGCGCGGAGTCCCTCGTTCGCGCACATGCGTATATACTGTTTATCATTTTTAATGTTTTTTTAATGTAATTATTTTACACTGTGAGAGACGGGAAAGTATCCTTTATTTATGAAGCTTTTTTGTTAATAAATTTTTAATAAATAATGAGCGACAGCTAAAACCTTTTGAAGGCTACTCAAGGAAGGGTAACTTCTATAATGTATCTCAAGATCAAGTTGGTCTCCTCGGAGGTGAGTCTCCTAAACATCAATTTTATCATATATATATCTGCACCTTTTGTTAAACGCTAAAATTGGATTTAAGAATAAGCTATATTCGTTCGGTCGAGGACATATAAGTATTAACGATTTCTCGAGTATATAATCGCGAATAAATTTTGAGACGGGATACATTCTAAAACTCATAAAAATGTAGACAATTTATCTATCCGCGTCTATATACTCGAGAACTACGAGAAATCGTTAATACATTGCTTACGTAACCCCGATCGAACGAATACAACTTATCTATAATCCGATTTTAGCGTTTAAGAAAAGAAGATAGATCATATTTCTAACGAGATAGGGATGAGTTTATAAACAAATTAAAAAAAGAAAAATAAAAGATATAAATCAAAGTTTGGCACAATGCCTGTTTTAATTTACCGTATCAAACTATTATCAGGTCAAATAGAAAATGATTTTGAATAAAAATCGCCTTACATAAAATATAATAACACGATTTAAACGAAACGCCTGCACAATTTTGCTGCAGAAAACAGTGTCTTAAATATATATTTATGAAATATCCGATTGACGTGGATGTGAGGCAGAGTAGTAGGCGGAAGAAGAACCTTAAAAAATGCTTTAATAATAAATATTAATGAATTAATAATAAAATTCGAGATCCAAAAATAATCGTATAAAATCGAATCGGACTAAATACATCTTATCCGGCTTGAGAAATTTCGCTCTATATAATAATTGGATTTATATCACAATTAAAGTTTTCAGCGCTATTAATGATAATTGTGTCGACGATTACAATCGTTATCGTAACATGAACATCAATGTTTTAAACAAATTATTAGTTTAAACAAATTTTATCCATTTTTTCTTCTGCTACACACACACATACACACTTTCTCTCTCTCTCTCTCTCTCTCTCTCTCTCTCTCTCTCTCTCTCTCTTTCTCTCTCTCTCTCTCTCCCTCTCTCTCTCTCTCTCACTTTCTTGTTTTCGTTCTCGAAAAATTAAACAAAGAATACAATTCCACACACAATCGTGTATCGACATAATCAATTTTTTTTTATGATTATATAAATGTATACGTCATTATCACGAGTTAATCTTCAGCGTGAACGAGATGATGCAATTGCCGGTAAGTTTCTCAACGCGTGTACTTATGTATGTGTGTTCATATTTGTATGTCGTACGCTGTGTACATGTATGTGTGTGTGCGAGTGTGCGATCAAGCGAAAATCGAAGAGTCTCCTAAAACACACTTAATGTCGGCGAGTCAGCTATTGTTGTGGGCCGCAATAGGTGGACAATTCATTGTATGTGCACGCATTGAGACAGCATTCCTCGTAGATACCTCGAGCCCTTCGGACGCGGCTGCCGCGATAACGGTTTATGAACTGTGTTGCTCCCATCCCGGATATAAAAAGGGAAGGTCTCTCGTAGTTGAGCGGATATTCGGACACTTCCAATTCTGAAACGAAAGCGAACTTTTATGAACGCGCAGAAAATAAAGGTGGTATGCTGGTTTAAGATCGCTCGACGATTTCACGATCGTCAATAAATTGCGCGATCGCATCCAGATCCTGCTGTCAGATTACGAATGTTACGAATCAGACGAATTTTTCAGACAGCGATAAACTCTGACTGAGAAAAAGATCCGCGCAAATTTCTGACGTAAATCCCGCGTCTGTTTTCGACGTGAGGAATCGGCGCTGATCAAATGGCGCGAACGGAAAAGGCCATGGAAAAATGCGACGCCCCCGATCATTGGCATATTTAATTATCCCACGATTAGAGAGCGTGCCGGCTCACGATCCCGCTCGAGAATACTTAATGCGAGTTCGCATGTATTATTCATCGGCGGCAAAGTGGCGATTATTCGGTTAATTGCTAGTATCAGATTGATTGCCTACTTGATCGTCTTTCGCGGAATGTGCCGTGCTCGAGGAACTTTAACCGTTAAAACCGGTAGCTCGAAGAACTTCAACCGTTAAAACCGGTAGAGAGATTCGGCACTGGAAGTACGAGGTGAGAATTTCCTCGCGATTTTCGCGAATCGCAAGATTTACTTCGAACGCGAAGTTGTAACTGAGGTGGGCAAGTACGCGGATTATGGGCTGACCTCATTCCTAGATGAAACCGTTCAATCGTGGGTCCGGCATAAATTAAGCCTCATTTATATTCCCAGACGGGTCGTCTTAAATCCGCACATCCGACGTTCGCGGACGCCGGTATTTGTCTGCTTGGAAGATCTGCATGCGCCCCCCCCGCCCGCGATGTATAGATAGATTCTCAGGTACTCGCTCGTAAAATTTCGGACGTGCGAGCGTCGCGCGAATGGTCGTGCGATGTTGAAAGCTGCGCCGCGAGGAGGTACATCATCGCGCTCTGCGTCAGTGTGGGGTGATGTTAATCGAGAAAGAAGGAATCCGAGCGGCATTAATATTAACGAGCGAGTCGCTGCATTATAAAGGCAAATTTCTCATCGCGAAGAGGCCGCCATCGAGAAACGTACTTCCTGAAATTATCATCGCGCCTGAGGATGCACAAGAACATATCATCGGCTGAGACTCGCTCCAGCAGAGCCAATATCTCGAGGGCGAGGGAACACCGTGGTCGTAATTATCGCCGCATCGTGCGATTAACGGTCAATTTCGCAGTCTGCTTAATTGCCGCGTGAGAACATAAGTGTCGTTTATAAGCGAGGAGGATTTCTGCTAATACGCGTGGATTTACATCTAGTGAGTAATGATTGGCTCCAGAATTATCCACGTTGTGTGTGATTGTGATTTTACCTGAGTACATATTACTGCGTCTGGTGCCGGGGTCGACAAAATGTGACTTCTCCTGTTGGGTCTTGTTCTCCTCCTGTTGAACGTTCTTCTTGAACATGTTATTGTACACGCCCGTACAGACTGTCTGTAGAGCATTGGACAGTCTTCTGCCGCAATATCTTTGCGGTACGTTCATCGACCATTTTAATGCGTAACTACCGTCGGATTGTGCATTTCCTGATTCTGGCATAAGAAATGCGACAGCCATCACCAAGGTCACGATCACACTCAATCGATACGCGGACATCTGGAAGCAATAATATAATGTTTGTTTAAGTGCGTGTTCGCGCAATCGTACAGCGCAATCGTACAGCGCAATCGAAACAAGCGAGATTGTTTCGTCATTTGATTATCGATTCTTGTACATCCCGATTGCTTCCGCATGTCTTATCCTGAGGCTCTGCCTCAATCACTCTCAATATTTCGAAATCGTGTTCTGATGGTTTGCTCTTTGACAGACAGAAACGAATAAGACCGAAATGATCGCTTTGAATTTATCATATTATATTACATATCTTGGCGCATATCGTTAATTAATTAATTAATCGAGAAAATGACGCGCATGTTCATTGCGAGTAAAATATTATGGCGATTAGTCGGTCGATCGTCGCATAGCTTTCGAGCGAACGACAACGTTGACGTTAGCTGGAACTGACCGAACTGGAACTGTTTGCGCACTTAGATACGTTCAGTATAGGGAGGTAATATTTTAGTCAACTTTATTTGACCTCGACAGATATCTAGTTTGAATAATTTTCCATTACTCGTTTAGGTAAAAGTATTAAATTTGAGCGTAAGAACACGCGCACTTGAGGTACAGTGTGGACTTCGACGCCGAGTGCGCCGTGGAAGACTCGTTATTGCTGTTAAGGCTCTGTTTATACTTGTCGAGATTTATTGAATGTGCATGTATATACAGGGTGTCCAAATTAAATGTAACAAACTCTCTTATAAACTCCAATTTATCGAATTGAATGGAAAAATATCTCCATCGTTCGGCAAGCACCAAGCATGATGTTTTTCGAAACGTTTGATTGTCATGATTAATGAAAGAAGAGACAAAAATGATCGTGTTTGCAAAATGGTAATATGTAGCTAGAATGTTATGGAAATCTTTCGGTGTGGTCGCGTGACTTTCAAGCCAACAACATTGGCATTAGCCGGAGCTGACCAGATGAACTGTTTATTAAAGTATTGCCTTCTTATATCCAGCATCTAGATTTTATTCGACATCGACAGATATTCGATTCAGATAATTTTCCATTATCCGTTTAGGTAAAAATACTAAACTTGAGCATAAAAATACGCGCATTTGTAAAGACAGGAGAAAACTCTGCTATTCAGATTAATGAAAGCTTTGTTTGCACGCGACGTTGGTACTTTTAAGTCTGGACACCCTATATACATATAAAGTATAATTGCCTAATAGGCACAACGTCGGCGGCGGTACGGCATTCCAATGACCGTGCACAGGGTGCGTCTATTTTTAGGTATCTTTCACTTAAATATAAGTTCTTTCGCGCTAAGAGAGGAGGGAGGAACGGATCAGCATTAGAGTACCCGACAGAACAAAAGAAAAAGATCACTTCTCATGCTTTGACTATAAGATATGACCTTTGTTCACACATCAGCGGCAACATAATTTCGGTGCTGCTCGATAAGTAGTTGACTACAGTATATTCTTATTATTATAAAACATCGCATGTACATATGCGTGGCGATTTTGTGAATAAAACATCGCGGAGACATTCCGTATACTTCGACGAAAGTTTCAGATTATATTGATTATATTTTGTGTTCCCGATCAAAATGGCAACTGTGTTTTGATAACGAATTTTAGAATATGAAAAATTTGGTCATCGGAATCGTTTACGATATCGTCATATTATCACTCATTAATCCTACTAATATCCAATCGGATTAAGCAGGAGAATTGAGTAAATAAATAAAAAGATAATTATCTCATCGAATAGGATTTTATATGTTACGACAAATTGTATCGTACATATTTTAGACCAACATAAATCCAACGGCTATTAATTGCTAATCGTATTTTATATTATAGATAGTACATCTATCCTGGATTAAATCATACGATGTGTGTATTTACATGTAAACACAACTAGCAGAATAATCTCTTTACTTGAGATATTCTCTAGTTTACTTGAGGTAGATTAAGATAATAATTCTGTAATATTTGCTCAAAGCGCGGTCAGGATAAACGCATGTAGCTGGATTACAACAATGTTGACTTGTTTTGCAAGTTTGTCGATTAGCTGCGTTATCAGTGAAAATGGAAATAAGGCCAATGGCTTTGATATCATCGTGTACGAGGATACAGCACGATGCACGATACATGATTCATATGTTTGTTGGCGAAACATGTTGATGAGAGAGAGAGAGAGAGAGAGAGAGAGAGAGAGAGAGAGAGAGAGAGAGAGAGAGAGAGAGAGAGAGAGAAAGAGAGAGAGAGAGAGAGAGAGAGAGAGAGAGAGAGAGAGAGAGAGAGAGAGAGAGAGAGAGAGAGAGATTCTCGCGAGAGAGCATTTATTTCTTATAACTTACAGATGAGTAATTACCGAAGTTCCAACAACTTCATCAACAGATATCGATTCTGAGTATGTCCATTTTCGAGCAATTTCGTGGGACATCGCTTTTAATTACGCAGCATTGCTTTTAATTATGATTTGAATGTTGAAATCAATTAAAACTGCATCAAAAATTTAATTTTATTCCGAATTTTTTATTTCAACGTTTCAAGGTTGACGGTCATTATTTATGATCGATTCGCGTATGCAATATCATTAGGTAGACGCGTGCCAGACTCGTCGCCATAGAAGACGACACATTGACTTGCCCTCTTCAAAACAAGCTACGCGAATATGGGACAGACCATTTCTATTTCCGGCGCATTGTGCCGACGGGAATTTGCGTTCAACATTAGCAATAACAGAAAGAAACGGCGCATATTGATGTCGAAGTTATCTAACCCTATTTATCTTTCTCCCCTCGTGATTATTGATGATGCTGGAAACATCATCAATACACGCGTATAATATCTGTAATCTTCGAAGAGTATTACTAGGCCGATAGATTGATTGAATCGTTTGTTACATCCGCAATTTAATGAAGATCTTTAATGTACCGAAATTTCGGATGAATAGAACTTTCAAAGTTAACAATTGTATTCATACCACGATGATGTAGCGTTTCTAATATTTGTTTCATTGTTACGTATTTCACCAAATTTTACCGTTGAGTCGTGATGTTTGAAATATTTAGCATCGATCGTGTCTGTCGGTGATTCTCCCCTTTGTCGGCGCGAAAGAAATCACGTGTCTATCAATCGGAAAATAAAGCCGATACCAGATCTAAAAGTGCGTATTTGCGTCTACGAGCGCGATTTCAAACGAGAGTTGCGATATTTTACAGTAAATTTAATAAGCCTGTAAACGGTTTAACCACGAGCAAATAAAAAAGCGCAAGCACGAGTATTATCCGAAAATCGGAACGTCCGTACATACGAAATATTTTATTATCTTTACTATCTTCGCGAAAAGGATTATCCTTATAGAGAAAAAAAATTGTCCCTATAGAGAAAGAAAGGGAAAGAAAGGGAAAGAGGGGGAGGGAGAAAGAGAGAGAGAGAGAGAGAGAGAGAGAGAGAGAGAGAGAGAGAGAGAGAGAGAGAGAGAAATTTTTGTGCTGAAATATCACAATTTTATCGATCAAGGATGTTGAATAATTTTTCGATCTTTCTAGATGTGCGTTCTCTTTAGGTCTCGCGTGTGTCGTGAGATATTATTTTGTTATACCGTCTTGGCTTTCTGCCACTTCAATGGCAATTCGCGTAAAGTAAGAGCAAAGCGCACGACGATTACCGTGTTGACAATGAACGGGCGCGCGCCGTTCATTGGCTTTTCGTCTGACATTCCTAACGACTGTAAACAGTACTGAGCTACATAGATTCACTCGGCCATCACAACAGAGAGAAAAGCGCATTGCACGATAAGAAAAAGTCCCACAAATTGAAAAGAGGACTCGTTCTCCAAAGCGCGCTCTCAATCGCCCACCCTTTCCTCCGCCATTCCCGCCGGAGGACTTCTCTTTTTTGTTCTCCTTCTCTTGCCCCTTTCTCTTTCTTATATGATCACGGCGCATTTCTATTTTTGTCCTCGTCCTTTCTCTTGACATTATCTACCAAGTATCGCAGGCAGACATGAGTAATAAACACGTGTATATAACACTCGGAAAGATACTAAGCGGGTCGCTCACTTATATACGCACTCGAGGGAGCGCACTTACGTTCGATCAAGCGCAAACCAGCCAGGGGTGATCGACTTTCCCGATTAGAGTGTGACCGCACACTTCGCAAGAGAATCAGGAAACTTTTCCGTTTTCGCGCGGGAGGATGAAATGCTTGAAAAATACAGGAATAATTTGTTCGGTTACGATCGCATGCGTGGATTCGTGCCGTTCTATATCGTGCGGATTTTCGGTCGATCTCACACAGGAATCTAGCTGCAAAATTACACGTCTTACAATACAATGGATGGATGCAAGCAATTTTCGGCGCGAGATGTTAATTGAGATATGGTCGGCGTGTCGCCAAGAATCGTTAATTAACGGACGCTCCCCCTCGTTTCGCGTTGGAATCCCCGGCATTGCGTAAGAAGCAATTGTTTAGCTTTGCGCAAATTAAAATAACGAACGCGAGATATCGTGGGACGCGCAACAGAAATAGCTCGCTATTTTAAGTCGGCCGATTGTAGGGTTGGAAAATGTTGATGTCTTGAGTCAAGACGTGTTTTTAATGGCGCGAGATTGCGCCGTTTTCCGCATATCTGGAATTATTTAGAATGTAACGTTTTTTTGGCCGGAGAAACTCGCGGCTGATACGAAAGACCGACGAAGGAGAGAGAGAGACTCCAACATCGTCGTGCTCCTACGTGAGTCACGGGCGATAAAAGCGTACTTTTAGCCTCGTCGGAATTTGCCTACAACACGTATATGTGATTTTTTCAATGAGACAACCGTGTGTCGCGTGTATAGAAATATTTCGAGTGTATGCAATGTGTTTATGGAAATCGGTAGAACGTGATTTTTACGGCGAATTCGCGATAACGATTACGAAATGCAACACGCGAATACGAAACGCCAGATATTCCAGTAGCGAATATTTAGCGACAATCAATATTTAACAGCACCGTTCAGCCGCGGAAATTGCAGCACGATATCTGGTGAGAGTTTATACGCGACAATAAAAATGATCGACTCGTTAGAGGCGAATATCACCTCAATTAAGATGCTCGAAATCTCGGAATGCTGCTTTAACGTCGCAAAGTGGTATAATTAACTGTACGCCGTTTACTCATGCCGTATACGTATTACGAATATCGTGTAATTGAGCAGAACGTATTGAATAACGAGGGTATGAACTTGTGCATTACAAACGGCACGTGAGAGGCAAGAAATGCCAATGTGAAGGGGTATTCACCTGTACAAAACGCATGAATTAATCGGCTCGTTGCTCGATCAACGAGCATCTAATTACGTTTATCATCGTTTAATTTCGTTTAATTTCCAAAATTTCACGAAAGATCATCGTCTTTGTTCGCGATATAGTTTCGAAATACGAAATTTGAATATTATGAATATGAAATTTAGATTATTATTTTTAATTTGATATTAATTTGAGCATATAATTTGGATTGTATGAAATGAGAGAGGTATATTTAATAGACACTTATTAATTATTGTACGATTTGTTGAAGAAACGTGTAAAGCGGACGGATTATAATTTGTAACTAAAGGTTAAAGAGAGAGATCAACGAACGTGAAATTTTAAGGCACAGAGAGTTACTTTAATACTAATGGCAGAACGTTTTGCCGAGCGTTGAATGATCGACGTGTGTCATCAAGTTGATATTATAATTTAAAGAGATGGCCTAAACGCGAATAAGACTCGCATTCTCTAATAATACAATTGCACGTTGCATGAGCACCAAGCGTGCTGCACATATGTGCATCAAGTGCAGCAATTTGAGAGAAATCACATGGTACTTGAGGCGGCTGTGAGCGTAGTTGGAATTAGTGTCAATCGTTATCCTCGGATAATTCGACATTTGTATAATCGGTTCGCTCCTTAGCGATCATCCTGACTCGAAATGAGAGCAGAGACTCGCTCCGACGTATATTTGCAGGATCAAACATCTCAAATCATCTCGAGCGAAAGTATCTTTGCCGAATATCGCTCGTTCAACCTTCGTTCAGGACTTGAAATAAAGGAATCGAAACGGAAAGCAGGACGATAACAAAACATCGCGGCTCCTCGTGACGTAAATTCCTCCCAGCGGCAACAAATAAACGCTAAATGCCGCACTTTACCGCGTGTCGTTCTCCGCCAACCGGCTGTGGAAATCAAACAACAAAATCCAATCAGTGAATAAGAGCCTTTCTGTCTCGCGGCCGAAAATATTTTTTATATATTTATTTGCCAAAATGAGACGCTTCCCGATACGGGCGGCGTAGCGTCGAAGAGCAAACTTACTGAGTACGTTGAGGTAACACGTGGATCATAAGGCGATTTCTCTATCACCAGATAATATCACAGTCTGCCACTCTTTCTCGGACGACGCTGTTACTACGGGACGCTACTGTTGCGGACGCAAACGGGTTGACGGCGAATCGTTACGGTGACAGCGAGGCTAGTTATTCTCATGAGGGATGCGATTACGGAGTAGCCCGTAGGCGATGCTGGCTGGCTTCTCAGCACGATCAACCCTTTCCACTACCTATGTATGTTGGCGAGCACTTCGAGATAGCCCTCGTTCTTCTGTGCCACCTGTGCCGGACGAGATCACACAGCAGAGGGGGTCGCGAACCGATCAGTCGATCGCGGAAGGCACCTGTCCGAGATTGACCTCGGCTGGACCGCGCGCTGTCGACTAGTCGCAAACCTGACTTCTCGGTTCTCCGGCGAGCGAGGTTGCTGCAGCTTCTGTAGCTTCGTTTATGCAAAGTGTACCACAGGTGCACGGTACTCTTCCTCTTCCCTCTTCTGCTTCTTCTTATTTCTAGCCTAGTTGCTTAGGCGCATTGTAGATCACAGTCGTGTATTCTTCTTATCCTCCTCCTCCTCCTCCTCCTCCTCTTCCTGGCCTGCCCGGGCGAGAATCGCGACGAGAAATACGCTATTTTCTATGAGATCCTCGAATACCTCGCTCGATCCTCTCTGCCCGACCCTCGTCGAATGGTCCTGAGCGATTTCGCAGCGAGACGGCCCGATCGAAAATCGTAAGCTCTTGTTCACGATTTCAAGTATATAATTCAGCCTACGGATCAGAGATCAGCGGTGACGATCGCGAGCGCGGACCCTACGCTTCTCTCTTTCCGAGAGGATCGACGAGGCACGTCTCGACCGCTCGGTCGCCGACGAGCGTCTCAGGCTCTCTTCCGACTGAGAACGTGCGGTCACGTTTCTGACAATGCCAGCCTGATTGACCGCAATTGTCACGGAGACCTGTCCTCGGAGGAGTTCTCCGTCTCGAGAGGAGACCACTGACGAACTAGCGTAAGGTGGTTTGCATTCGCACTCGCACTCGCACTTGCACTCGCACTCGCATTCGCATTCGCACTCGCACTCGCACTCGCACTCTCTCTCTCTCTCTCTCTCTCTCTCTCTCTCTCTCTCTCTCTCTCTCTCTCTCTCTCTCTCTCTCTCTCCTCCCCTCTTTCTTTCTTCTTCTCTCTTTCCTCCTCTGCCGTATAAGCGGAGCTTGTTGTCTTTCATTTGAGTGCATAGTCGGGAAAGAGTAAATAATATTGACAGAGGAGAGGCAAGGGGGAGGGAGAGCGAGGAGGAAATGTTGCGCGTTGTTCGACACACGTTGAAAGAACCGGACGAAACGGTCACATGTGGAGGAGGAACGAGCGGTAATTAGGCGCGTGAAACTTATTTGAGTTCACACTAAAGCGCCTAGCAGAAGGAGGAGACGGGTGTTGGCGTTTGTCTGGGGAGAAAAGCGGCCCCGGTTGCCTCGTCTGTGAGGTCGTAAGAAGAATGACATGTCATGTCTCTGTACTTCACCGAATTCGGATCGCTCCGCGCTATCGTTTGACTGATTATCGGTTGACATAAGTGCTTAAAGGCCAGTTTAAAGGCCATGTGGCCGCTCGAATATAAACTTGCCTGATCGGGTCACATTTAAAATGTAGCTAAGCAGTTTTCTCCATTGTTGAATAGATGTAACGAGAGAGAGAGGGGGGGAGAGAGAGAGAGAGAGAGAGAGAGGGAGAGAGGGAGAGAGAGAGAGAGAGAGAGAGAGAGCGTGTAATGAGCACATCACACGATATACTCCGGTGATGGAGCAAATGGTTATACTTATCGGGGAAATCCCAGCGTTCTCCTTTTTGCCTATTAAAGATATCGCAATGATGGAAAATAATTTGGCGGAGAAACAAATGATCCCGGCTTAGTCGTCGATCACTACAATGGCGGGCATTTGCCTCGTTCTTCCGTAAACGAATCGCATACCGCGGTTAACATTCGGTTCCATTTCGCGAATCAATTAGTCCGTCAGTCTGAGGTGCAGGTGCCATGAAAGCAGCTTGAAAGCGAGCCGAAGTTCGATTCACGAAATTGGAGATCCTCGCAAAGTAACGGTACGATTGACGAGAGAACGAAATTACGAAATGATTTGATAGAAAAGAAAGAAAGAAAGAAGAGAATTATATTTGCGATCGAGGAAAAATATTCACGTTAGAAATCCACAGCAATTACACGCCGCTGCGATCTACAATAGGCGTCTTCGGTGTGCTTGCACTCGCCGTTGATACGATTTAATTTCTCTCATCTCTTCTACATCCTTCTTCTCTCCGTCCGCTCTCGTCGTTGTTCACGGCAGATTCACGGGTGTCGTGACATCTCCGCGACGATTGTTTCCAAATTGGATGACCCCTATCGGGAGGTCGTGTGCGAAGACGTGACATACAGACAGCCGACTTTCTTGTTCTTTCTGTCGTACATTCTTCTAGCCTCCGCCTCCGCAGACGGCCAATTGTGAACAGTTATCTGCGAACATGTGCCACATCCAGATCGTACGCACGGTCTCTCGGTGCACCCTCTCTCTTTTCGGTATGATCGCGATCGCTGTCTGTCGCGTCTGACAGACGGTGACGACAGTGGCAGCCGTCTGCTTCCTACATTGGCGGCGCTTTAGCGCGGAATCAAGCAAGTTTAACGCGACTAATTACCGTTTGTGTTCTCCGCTTCGTCCAGAGTCATGGCGCGCTGGATCGCGCGATTTACTTGATTTTCCAGTACGATCCAAGACGAAAAAAATAAATAGAAATTTCGTTGAGACAAACCAGTTCGCGCGAAATACGTAAGTCGTCGGTTTATTATTTTTGCTGCTTGAGTTACGAAAAATGTCGATTGCTCGCTTCGAAATAATAATTCATCAACTTCTGATTCTTCGGACGCCTTATGCCTATTTTTTTACACACGAAAGCAACGGTGTGGATACAGGTAGATGAATTTCGCACGGTCCTACTTTTTCATCATTGTGACTCTATTGTCGGTAGAACACTCCGGTCTGGATCTACAAGTGCCAGGCAGATGCTATCCTCCTCTCAAGCGATCATAGTCCTGCAATTGAGTCTGCGAAATAACGCTACACGCGGGCAATTGTCCTCCTAAGAGGAAAGCACTGCTGTCCTACTTACACAGTCAACCCTAATGGGACCCATTACTGGGCACTGAACAGAAATAAGCGACGAGAGTTTTTCCACGCGGAAATAACAACCCGACAAATCTCGGAAACAATGACGCGATTTTCAATCCTCGACGGGCTCTCTCGATAACGAGACGATTCATGGCACATTGCGCGTGACAGCAGATGTGTGTCGTGTTCAAATTTGACGGTCTTCTAATTGCAGCCACAAAATGTATGCATAATGCTGCGATTTGATAATAATAATAATAATAATAATAATAATAATAACATATATTCCTTTAAATTAGTATACAACGCGCAAAAATTATTATTACCATTCAATATTACATTTTATATGTATACTGGAATAAAATATAAATGTAATAATATCGTGTAATGTATCTTACTGTGCGCGCGTATATGTGTGTGTGTGTGTTGGATGGAGATCTGAAAGAGGAACTTTAGATCGCCATTGTTAGTTAATACTCTCGGTGCAGCGCGGCTAGCGGCAGAATTCCGGAGAGTCGCGTTTATTAGATCGAGAAGATAGAAAGTCTCTCGCAAGTTCTTTTCCAAGAAATCAACTCGGATGTGTAGGGACGTGAAGCGATCTGAGCGATAAGTTAATCGTGAGGCATATTGCGCGGTAATACGAAGAATCTTCAAGTATAGCGCGGCTCGCGTGACGTTGCCTATTCGCTACCCCGATTTATCCCGCAACAGTCAAGTTTTTGCACGGCAAAGTGGAGTGCACACGCCTCCCCCTCCCTCGCCCCATTCCACCCCCTGTTTGTGTTCCGTGTAACTTGGTAAGTGTTTCATTTATCATGCGCGCTGATATTTTTATCTACACGAGGTCTTAAATAGAATAATTAGATATTTTCGCGAATAATTACATTTTAAAATAAAACAGTTACACATCTCCGATGAAACGCGTGCAGGGTAAACGACTGTCGGGATTGCAATCGGGTTACATTTTACATATTCAGTTCTTGTTAATCGATAACGTCTCAAAGGATACGAAGCACTTTTGGTTCGCTCTCGCGATCGCGCATTATTTGAAGTTAAAACGGGTCGTTTCATATTTTGCGTAGAGATAGATGGATATTTTTACGTGCTTGTTTTCTCGTTATTGTACGTGATCTGTTTGTTACGAAATTTCAGTTTGAAAATTGAGAAAAATGGAAGGAAAAAATATCGAGACACCTTGTCTGTCGCGGCTTTTACTTGCAACATTAACATCGTATTTTATTCCCAATATTTGCTTGCCCAGTAACTCGTACGTGGCGAGATAAACAATACTTATTGCCTTGGCAAGCAGCTTCTATCTTAAATATCGGAAGAAGGAGTTTGTATAAAGCAAAAACCGCTATAGATGACGAGAGTTCGTCTGCGCGAGAAACTATGTATGTTGCGCGGTAACATGTCTGCCCGTTTGGCGTTTTACTATTACGATCGTTTGAATTTCAAGTTACAAGTAACATTACGTAACGTAAACGATTGAAAGTGTTAAAACGGGAAGTTAAAACGGGAAAGCAAGTGACAAATGGCAACATTGTTAATTAACTTTTTTGATGACAAGGAATTACAAAGGCTCATATAACAAAGATATAACAAAATTATGTCTTTAACGTTCCATGAGTACGTTTACACGGCTATGCGAAGGAGATTATTCCAACATATAATGAAGAACAATTTAAATCGCATCTCAGTTTGATGTGCCGCTGCGTACGGTCAGTTTTCATCTTTTAGAAATATTTCCCTCATCTTAGATACCCGCGTGTGTGTGTGTGTGTGTGTGTGATGTTTTTACCTTCAGTGCGCTCCCTTTGAATGTCACACGCGCGCTTTCTCCGCTCTACCTCGCCGAAATAATCGTTTGTGAACAGAAGTTATGGCGTTACGCAGAAGTTATGGCGTCATTATTCGGTCTGTAAGCGCTTATAATGCCAAAGCGGACGACATGAACGACGCTTATAAGTCGGTAACTCACGCTTACAACGCGCGAGCGCCCAAAGCGAAAATGCATCCTACGCCTGATTTTTGCGCAACGCGAGTAAAATTCAAAAGCAGCAGCCTGTTTCTTTCAACGCTTAGCGCATACTACCCGAAATATGAGTTTGCGCGGCAACGGAAACATGAAGACAAGAATATTGCAAAAAAATTGTTGACACGTGATATAAATCTTCATTAACATTAGAAACGTTCTTAAGATGATCATAGCGTGAAAAACTCAACAGTTTAATCAGTTGCACGCTTTAATCTGATGTACCTTTTACTGTCTTCGCAGAGAAAATGCTGAGGCTTTTCTCCAACCGACACAAGTTATGCATTGAACGCGACAAATTATTATTATAAAGAGCAATACAAATTTTTGCACAAGCACGAATGAAAATTATCACAATGATCCGTCGAGTCTGTGATCTGTCCGCAACCGCGTTGACGTCTAAATCAGCAACAGATCAATAAGCAAGTCCAGGAAAAATACAAATATTTGAGAAAGAAGAATAAAAATGTGTGCCCCTTTATGCCGGCGGCAGCCTAAGTTCACGAAATAACGAATCAAAAACCGATTTCGAATCTCGCGTATAGCGAAGTCTCTTGTCTCGAGCTGCCGAAAATCCTGCCGGATTGTGTCATTACGAGGAACATTGTCACCATGGACACGCAAGTCCGTCTCAAACATATATACCACTTAAAGTTAAAGTTGAAAAAATTGCAAAGTAAACCGCAAGTAAGTAAAGTAAAGACGTAAAGGGGAAAACGAGATCCGGTGTCGAAAGGAACGCGTGACTGCGCTATGATACGAGCTT